TTAAGAACTTTACCTCAGGATGAGAACAGAAATCTCGTGGCAGCAGCGGGAGGCCCCATTAGCTAAAGTGGTACCTCAGGTTAAGAACAGTTTCAGGTTAAGAACGGACCTTCAGAACGAATTAAGTTCTTAACCCGAGGTACCACTGTATATGCATCCGGATAACTGCTATCTGGTGCCTCATTTCATGGAATAAAACTCCATTGAACTCAGTGTTGCTTCTTGATTTATTTTATTTCTTACGCTTCTTGTTTTTTGGCATCTGTCTGTCTTGGATCGCTCTTTTGCGGGTGAAGTCAAACTGCTGGAGAATCGCAGCGCCTGCTGTGGTTGCAGAGGCCGATACAGGAGAGATATGTTTTGTTGGTTCCCACATTCTCTATTTTACCCTCCCAAGAACCCCGTGATGTAGTTTAGGCTGAGAGACAAAGACTGGCCCAGTGAGCTTCATGGCTGAGTTGGGATTCGAACCCTAGTCTCCTAGGTCTTGTTACGAAACACTGACTTTCCATCCCTGGTTGTATAGGTTCAGCTTGGGAAAAACAGCAAGCACTTCTGCCACTGCAATGCAACCTTTCGTTTTCAATTAGAAGTGCAAACAATCTCGCAAAGAAGCAGCCAACGTGAAAGAACTCATAAAAGAAGAGCCCAGATTCTCTGCTCAATTCTCTCTCCTCATTCTCTGCTTTCCTCTGTGCCAGCTGCACGCAACTTAGTGCACACAAGATGTTTTGGAGTGCAACTCCTCTCATCTCTTAAGGTTGGCCATGCTGGCTGGAGCTGATGGGAGTTGTAGTCTAAACTATGTAGAGGGCACCAGGTTGCAAAGTCGATCTGTCACAAAAAGACTTGAAAGACTCGTTATCACCTCATTGACTTGCCATAGCAAGGAGGATCTGTCAGTTATGGTTGAGTGTTTGTTCAAGTGACACCTAAGGGTGCTGGGAACTGAAGCTCAGTGACGGATCAATCACAGTCCACAGGATTCTCATGTACATGTTTTAAATGTGCTTTAAATGTACAGTGTGCGCACAGTGTAACATACACTGAGGGCATAATCAGGGTGTTTTTTTGCTACAGCCGCTAACATGGCTGCTCTTCTGGAATTGCTGCAAGCTTCAAAGTCACACAGGACACTTCCTCAAAAGCTTGCACTGGCATTTCAAGGCTGGATGGTTCAATGAACTTAAAATGCAGAAATCCTGTTTGAGCTGAGAGCAAAGGGGCCTTTGAATATGTGTCACATATTTTTCAAATTTCAAAGGGATTCTTTTTCAAGGCTTAATTTGAGCCAGAGGACTGGTGCAGAACCAGTTGTCAGTCTCAGGGCTCAGTCCTCAGGCATCCGAGTCAAGACGAGTGTTCGTCTGAACATGAACAGAGGGCACTTCCTTTTATGCTACAAAACAGAGCCAGCCTCACATACGTTTTGGGATTCAGGGACAGGTTTTCTTGCAGCGGTGAGTTGCGGGCTTGAGTGCCAACACCTCTAAATTCCCTCCTCACTGCAATTAAACTCTTGTGTTACTTTGCAGCATCTTTCCTGCACATGTGCGTCAGTGCCCGGGGGAAATGTGAAATGAATTGCGCCTCCTGCTCAAGGAAACTTGGAGAGTCAGAAGAACAGAGCAAAGCCATCAGTCCTTCCCTCCTCTTTATCATGGAATAGAAACAAGCTGACCTCGGGGAGAAGAAAGGGAATTATTCGCAGCCATAGCCGCCGTGTATTTTGTGTAAACAGTTCCACGGAGGAGTTTAAACAAACTGAGAAAAGCTACCCACGGTGACAAAAAAGCCTCTTGTTGCCTGTCTTCGGGCCAAAAGGGATTAGCGCCAGTCCTACGAGGCGGGCCCCTAACTTATTTGTTTGGAACCAGCAAGGACTCGTAAGGTGCAAAGAGGGCTCAGTCAAGAACAGCACCTGCCACCTTGATGCTCTCTGGAAACCCGTGGTTATGGTTAGACGGGGCACCTCTGTGTATTTTTGCCTTACGTGCGTCATTCCTTACCACGGCAAATGGAAATTAAAACAAGACCAGATAGCAGAGCTCGATAGGGATTGGTTTGATCTCCTGAACAGAGAGCTTTCCTCTATCAGCAAAGGTCTGCAGGATTTGTGACTTTTTGTTTACATGATAGAAGTTTGTCAAAGTATGCCCGGCATGGGGAGAGTGGGTAGGGGAAAGTTTTTCCTCCATCTCTCATAACCCTAAAACTCCGTTGGAAGATTCGGGGCAGATAAACTAGTTAAGCATGCTCTGGTTATGGGAGGAGGGGGCAGGGGGCAGGCAGGTGTGGGTGGAGGACTCCCTGGTCCTTAATGGAGTAACTGTGCCCCTGAAGGACCAGGTGCACAGCCTAGGGGTCATTTTGGACTCACAGCTGTCCGTGAAGGCATTTGGTATGGCAACTGAGACCCTACCTGTCTGAGCACTGTCTCGCAAGGGTAGTACGTGCTGTGGTTATCTCTCGCTTGGACTACTGCAATGTGCTCGACATGGGGCTACCTTTGAAGGTGACTCGGAAACTACAAGTAATCCAGAATGCGGCTGCCAGACTAGTGACTGGGAGCGGCCGGCGGAACCATATAACACCAGCCCTAAAAGATCTACACTGGCTCCCAGTACATTTCCAAGCACAATTCAAAGTGTTGGCGCTGACAATTATAAGCCCTAAATGGCCTTGGCCTGTATACTTGAAGGAGCGTCTCCACCCCCATCATTCAGCCCGAACACTGGAGTAACTGTGCCCCTGAAGGGCCAGGTGCGCAGCCTGGGGGTCATTTTGAACTCACAGCTGTCCGTGAAGGCACAGGTCAATTCTGTGTCCAGGGCAGCTGTTTATCAGCTCCACCTGGTACGCAGGCTGAGACCCTACCTGCCCACAGACTGTTTCCCCAGAGTGGTGCATGCTCTGGTTATCTCCCGCTTGGGCTACAGTTTTACCTTGGGTTACAGACGCTTCAGGTTACAGACTCCACTAACCCAGAAATAGTACCTCGGGTTAAGAACTTTACCTCAGGATAAGAACAGAAATCGCGTGGCCACGGCGTGCCAGCAGCGGGAAGCCCCATTAGCTAAAGTGGTGCTTCAGGTTAAGAATAGTTTCAGGTTAAGAACAGACATCCAGAACGAATTAAGTTCTTAACCCGAGGTACCACTGTACTGCAATGCACTCTGCGTGGGGCTACCTTTGAAGTTGACTTGGAAACTACAACTAATCCAGAATGCGGCTGCCAGACTGGTGACTGGGAGCGGCCGCCAGAACCATATAACACCAGCCCTAAAAGATCTACACTGGCTCCCAGTACATTTCCAAGCACAGTTCAAAGTGTTGGCACTGACCTTTAGAAGCCCTAAACAGCCTCAGCCCAGTATACCTGAAGAAGCGTCTCCACCCCCATCGTTGAGCCCAGACACTGAGGTCCACCTCCGAGAGTCTTCTGGCAGTTCCCTCACTGCGAGAAGTGAGGTTACAGGGAACCAGGCAGAGGGCCTTCTCAGTAATGGCACATTCCCCATGGAATGCCCTCCCATCAGATGTCAAGGAGTTTAAGAACTGCACAACATTTGGAAGACATATGAAGGCATTCATACGGAGTTTTTAATGTTTGACCCCAAGAGTCCAGCCCTTGCAATGCTGGAATCTTTCACCCCTCAGTTGGTTTCTTCTAGCTTAAAGTTGGTGGCTCTAATAGATCTGCTTCCGTCGATCTCCAAAATGTGGGGGTTTCCACATTTTAAGTCTCTTGGGTCCACACTTCCAATCCCACCACCAAGACAGAAACACTGGTGTAGTATAGCGGCTAGGCTAGAACCCAGGAGACCAGAGTTCAAATTCTCCACTCAGCCATGAATGCGGCTAACTGGGTGACCTAGAACCAGCTATAGTCTCTCAGCATAAGCTACCTCGCAAGGGTGCTGGGAGGATAAAATGGTGGGAGGGAGAAACCTTCAGAATGCCTTGAAGGTGAGATACGAACATAATAATAAATCAAATAGAGAACCCCATCAAATGTCTGCTTTTAGTATTTCTTCCTAGTGTTTCCACACAGGAAATCATCTGGCTTCTCAATTCAGAAAATATATATGTACAGTGGATGCGAATGGGATCCGTTCCGGAGCCCCGTTTGCATCCTTGAAATATACTCGGAGTCGAGAGTGGATTTCATGCTCTTTATTCAGCTCATAGTGGTGAGGAGGAATCGAAATTCCCCCAGAATGTCCGCTTTATATACATTATTTACACAATGGGCCCCATGTGATTGGCTAATTCTGGGATTCACCTGTAGGCCAATCAGGTTGCAGATTCACTTCCACCTGGAGCTGGATTGGGTGGCTCCTGTGGACCAATCAGACTGCTGCATTCTGAATCCTATTGTTCTAGGACCAATCAGACTGCTCCTTTTGGATCCTATTCAACTCAGTACATAACAATCCTGAAGCGAACGCAACCCGCGTCTGCACGTCTGCGTGTGTCGCGATTTGCCGCTTCCGCGCATGCGCGTGACGTCATTTTGAGCACCTGCGCATGCGCGAGCGGCAAAACCTGGAAGTAACACGCTCCATTACTTCCAGGTTGCCGTGGAGCGCAACCCGAAAATGCTCAACCCAAAGCTACTTCAACCCGAGGTATGACTGTACAGTATATACCGTATTTTTCGCTCTATAAGACGCACCAGACAACAAGACGCACCTAGTTTTTGGAGGAGGAAAACAAGAAAAAAAATATTCTGAATCTCAAAAGCCAGAACAAGAAGAGGGATTGCTGCGCAGTGAAAGCAGCAATCCCTCTTGCTGTTCTGGCTTCTGGGATAGCTGCGCAGCCTGCATTCACTCCATAAGACGCACACACATTTCCCCTTACTTTTTAGGGGGGGAGTGAGTCTTGTAGAGCAAAAAATATGATAATTCTCTCTCTCTCTCTCCTGCTTTGTGTCTTTCTCTGTGGCAGACATACCCTATTTTTTGCTCCTCCCTGTTCCATTTGTGGACCTTTCCATGTCTTTGATGTTCTCCCGCCCAGCCAAATTCCTCTGCCTGCCCCTCCTGAGCCTGAGAGAGCAGTTCTCCAGCAGAGACCTGGCCACAGCCCAGAAGGAGGTGGACTGTTGAGCACTCATGTCTTCTTAATGCTCCATAACTTTACCAAGGTCATTGGCTGGGTCAGGATAAGGTTCCTGGATGTGACACCACCATCCACACAATTAACAACAGGCCATGGGTGGTTGTCTTGTGTGTGTGTGTGCTTGATGTAACTGGCAGTTTGAGGACCCAGACTGGGAGTGCTGGCAGGGAGCATTAACCCTTCGCCTCCCGCTGCAGCCCCGGTCTAGATGGGAAGGTTTTTGCTTCTTTGCATTGGAAGGAAAGCTCCCATTCTTACCTGGGAAAGAGATTCTCTTCAAAGGCAGATTAAAAGCAAGCCTTCACTCCTTTTTGGATCTGGAATGCAGAAGGTTCTGGAAAGGCTAAATCTCCTGCTCCCAGTGTCTCAATTCAATTTAAGATGCCCTGCACCTATTATTTACTTTAAAAACAAACAAACAAACATAGTTGGTAAAGCATGAGGGTCATGGGTTCAAGCACCACTTTGGGCAAAAGGTTCATGCATTGCAGGGGGTTGGACTAGATGACCCTTGGTGTTCCCTTCCAACTCTATAATTCTATGATTGAATTGCTGCTTGTGTGAATGGTGTCCTGTCTAGTCTGGCCTTTTATCCCCTCCTTCCTGCTTTGTGTGAAGTTGGCATATATATATATATATATATATATATATATATATATATATATTCATATTCCAGAACCACTTAATGCTGGAAGAAGATTCTGATCTACCTCCTCAAGACGCACGTGAGGCTGCTCATTCTCTCTCTCTCTCTCTCTCTCTCTCTCTCTTTCTCTCTCTCTCTTAATAAATTATACAACAGGGCCCACAAAGAGGAGGAGGGAAGTCCAGGAGATTCTTCGGAATCTTGTTTGCATGTTGCATACGTAAAGCTTTAATCTGAAAAACCAAATAAATAAATGAAATATACTCGGCGTCAAGAGTGGATTTCATGCTCTTTATTCAGCTCATAGTGGTGAGGAGGAATGGAAGTTCCCCCAGAATGTCTGCTTTATATACATTATTAACACAATGGGCCCCACGTGATTGGCTAATTCCGGGATTCACCTGAAGGCCAATCAGGTTGCGGATTCCCTTCCATCTGGAGCTGGATTGGGTGGCTCCTGTGGACCAATCAGACTGCTGCATTCTGAATCCTATTGTTCTAGGACCAATCAGACTGCTGCATTCTGAATCCTATTGTTCTAGGACCAATCAGACTGCTGCCTTTTGGATCCTATTCAACTCAGTACATAACAACCAGGTTGACCCTCCCCCTTCCATTGCACACCAGTAGCCATGAGTAACTCAAGCAAGTGATCCAAGCTACATGCTACAAGGAGAAACGGAAAAAGCAAGAGGTCACCCTCTTGATGAGATGCGAGAAAATCTGCTTTGTGAGCCCAGATCCTGCCAAGGAACTTGGAGCTAGAAGATCAGAGATAGACCACTTGCCATGCATGTAGAAGGTCAACGATTTAATCTCTGGTATCTCAAGGGAGGGCCGGGAGGAGAGATTCCTGCTCGAAACCCTGGCAAGCCATTGCCAGTCAGCGAAGAAAACCACCGATGAGTTTGTATAAACTAGCAACTCCTTAAGTTCCCAGGAGAAAGAGGAGAGCACAAAATATGGTCTGAAGCTCAACATCAAAAAAACGAAGATCATGGCCACTGGGCCCATCACCTCCTGGCAAATAGAAGGGAGGCAGTGAGAGGTTTTACTTTCTTGGGCTCCATGATCACTGCAGATGGTGACAGCAGTCATGAAATTAAAAGACGCCTGCTTCTTGGGAGAAAAGCAATGACAAACCTAGACAGCATCTTAAAAAGCAGAGACATCACCTTGCCAACAAAGGTCCGTATAGTCAAAGCTATGGTTTTCCCAGTAGTGATGTATGGAAGTGAAAGCTGGACCATAAAGAAGGCTGATCGCTGAAGAATTGATGCTTTTGAATTATGGTGTTGGAGGAGACTCTTGAGAGTCCCATGGACTGCAAGAAGATCAAACCTGTCCATTCTGAAGGAAATCAGCCCTGAGCGCTCACTGGAAGGACAGATCCTGAAGCTGAGACTCCAATACTTTGGCCACCTCATGAGAAGAGAAGACTCCGTGGAAAAGACCCTGATGTTGGGAAAGATGGGGGGCACAAGGAGAAGGGGACGACAGAGGACGAGATGGTTGGACAGTGTTCTCGAAGCTACCAGCATGAGTTTGACCAAACTGCGGGAGGCAGTGGAAGACAGAAGTGCCTGGCGTACTCTGGTCCATGGGGTCACGAAGAGTCGGACACGACTAAACGACTAAACAACAACAACAAGTTCCTAGGCGCTCTGCAACTTGACCCCATGCACATTACTCCAGAAACCAGCAGGATTTACTCCCAGTTAAGTGTATCTTGGATTTTGCTTCGCAACAATAAGCATTTCAACTCTCAAACTTTCTGTATGATCTTGAGCAGCTTATTAGCACTCAGCTTCTGCCTCCGATTTCAAAAGAATATTGAGGAATCTGGCTGAAGCTTCCTAAGATCCCAGCCTTACAAGGATGGAGGCAATTCTGAATGGGGGTCAAGCTGTCTGGAAGCCTGTCAATCCTGGATATATGAAGGCAGCGATATAAGGGAAGTGCTCTGTCCGTGCTCAGAAACACTCTCTTCCAAGGGGTGGAAGATAAAGGAGATAAAATTCCGTCAAAAGAGGAGTGGCAAGTAAAAATGCTTGAATACATGGAACTAGCATACATGACGGAAAAGATCAGTGATCCACCAACCCAAAAGTTCAAAAGGGAATGGGAGATCTATAGACAATATTTAAAAGAACAGTGTCCCCATATAAAAACTTTAGAATGCTTTGAATAACTCTCAGAATTGAAAAAGGTATAAAGATCACAAACAAGATTTAATAAAGTTTATTGAAAAAATAGAGGCCAGTAATTAAGGAAACAAAGAACCCATATCAAGGAAGTCGGAAGTTGATGGCTGGAATTTTTGTGTGCATTTGTGATATATTGTTCTATTTCTTCTTCTTTTTTTGTAGGAGATGTATTGTGTTTCTTTTGTTTTCTTTTTCTAAGCTTCCGTTGTGTGTATATGTGTTGATTTTGCACCAATAAAGATTGAATTGCAAAAATAAAAACAAAAAATAGAAACACTCTCTTCTTTATACTACGTCACACTCTCCAGCGTTCGGCAAAGACAAATTTTGCAGCATGATTTTGGAGATCTGAGTGCAGCCTTCCGCTCAGTTATGCATGTACACTAAACATTTGAAGTGCAAATGCTACCCACCCCCCCCAAAAAAAAACCTGGGGAAAATAGTTTACCCCATCCATAATCCTTAACAAACTACACCTCCCAAGATTGGCAGGGGGTGGGCAGGGCGTGTGTACTTTAAATGTTTGGGGTGTTACTGGGTGACCCCATTGCTGGGCCAGTGCCTGATATACGTATAAGCTAAACAAGCTATACCTTAGGGCCCACACTCTTGGGGGCCCCAAAAAAATTTAAAGGAAAGAACACCTGGATGTACATTTCCAAAATATAAGATAAAAAACAAATAAAATAAAACTGACATACAGCAACAGTGTTTTGTGTTGTGTAGGCTCCTATGATGTAAGTAATGGGCCCCACCTGCTTGCCTGCTCCCTAAAATATCACTGGTTTGCTCATTTCTATATATTGGGTGCCTACATTCTGCATATGGGACACGGGTGGCGCTGTGGGTTAAACCACAGAGCCTAGGGCTTGCCGATCAGAAGGTCGGCGGTTCGAATCCCCGCAACAGGGTGAGCTCCCATTGCTCGGTCCCTGCTCCTGCCAACCTAGCAGTTCGAAAGCATGTCAAAGTGCAAGTAGATAAATAGGGAAGGTAAACGGCGTTTCCGTGCGCTGCTCTGGTTCGCCAGAAGCGGCTTAGTCATGCTGGCCACATGACCCGGAAGCTGTACGCCGGCTCCCTCGGCCAGTAAAGCAAGATGAGCGCCACAACCCCAGAGTCGGTCATGACTGGACCTAATGGTCAGGGGTCCCTTTACCTTTACCTTACATTCTGCATGTGCAAATGGCTTTAGATACCTATTAGGTCCATAAATTACCATATAGCATATATTCAGAAGAAAAACAGCGACAATTTGTTGTTGACAAAGGACAGCTGGACATATAAAGGGCCCCATTACCTTCAGGAGCTTAGGGCTTCATCACACCTAAATCTGGCCCTGCACTGCCCCCTAACCTCGCCTCTGCCTGACAGCGCTGCTTGCTCTGAAGCTATAAGGGCGCCAGAATGATCCAGAGCTCCAAGACTGGCAGCTAGACAGTGCCAGGCCCAGTCCAGAATCCAGAGAAGAGGACCTCTGCTGCAACCTCCACCCCCAAGGCTGCCCCCCCGGCCCTCAACCGTCTCTCCAATGCCTTATAAAACCAGAAATGAATGGTCACAAGAAGGAGCACACATCATTTCCCTGCAATAGGCACCTGTGGGTTTGAAGAGGCTTTGCGTGGGTTTGCTTTCCTCACAGAAAGAACCCTGAATTTTAATGGGGGGGGGGAGGTTGGTAAGCAGAGCAAGCACTTACCATACCCTCCAATATTTCTCCGATGAAAATAGACATCCTAAATAATAATCATCATAATCATAACAACAACAACGTTTTATGCGTTGGAAGCTACACAGAGTGGCGGCTTCCAACACATTATTTTATTATTTATTATTTATTTTATTTTATTTTATTTATACCCCACTGTCTGACTAGGTTGCCCCAGCCAGTCTGGGCGGCTTCCAACACATATAAAAACATAATTAAACATTTAAAAACTTCCCTATACAGAGCTGCCTTCAGGTGTCTTTTAAAGGCTGTCTTGTTACTTATGTCCTTGGCTCGGGGGTTCCATAACTCCATGCCCACCAACGTTTCTCGGATGATGAAAATAGAGATATCCTATGGAAAAATGGGACATTGGGGGATCAAATAAAAAAACTGGGGCGGCTTTTGTAAATCTGGCAGTCTCCCTGGAAAACGGGGACGTTTGGAGCATCTGCAAAAGGCGACTGTGGGTTTGAGGAGGTTTCTTTTTCCCAAGGAAAGCGCCCTGCATTTTTATTTTGGTTCCTTTTTTTTGCGTGAGCGCAGCAAGCACTTTCCCTTGCAAGAATCAGCCCTCCCCCGCGCGCCCGGCCCCCAAACTCGCGTGGAAACCTCGCCGCCAATTTACCGGTACTTTGTTTTTACTCTCTTTTTTGTTTATATTTGTGATCTTGTCTTTTTTCCTTTTTTTCTGTTTTTCTTTTGTTGTGTTATGTGTTATATCTGTTAGAAACTTATTTTTTTTTTTTTTTTTAAAGAAACCTCGCCGCTACTTTCCCGTCTAGGATGGGCGCGCAAAAGCATCGGCGCGCCAGCTTGGAGACGTAGCGGGTTGCGCGCGTGGAGAGTTGGACGGCGGCGCGTCCTGAGCAGCTTGGGGAGGGGCGCCGTCGGGCGAGTGTGGGGAGCTGCCGGCTGTCTACCTTGGAAGAGGGGCGGCGGTGGGCGGAGGAAGGCGCCGGAGGGCGGGCGGAGGAGAGGCGGGGAGGCGGCGGCGGCAGGACGGTGCCTGGAGGGGGCGGTGCCGCGGCTCCCGTCTCCGGAGCGCACGTAGCGGCCGCAGGGCGCACGGGCTCAGTCGGCAGGCGCTCCTTCTCCGTCCCGGGTGCCTCGGCTCGCCTCGCCGTCCGATGCTCATGCTGCGGGCTCCCGATCCGGGCTCGGGCGCCGGAGCGCTCGTGGCCCAGCCCGACGGGGCGGCGGACCCGGCCGGCTGCGGCGTGGACGACGAGGCTCTCCAAGCCGCGCGCCTTCGCGGCCGCAGGCTGTCCGGCCGCCGCGGCTCCAACTACAAGATCAGCCGCCGCCAGCTCGGCCGAGCTGGCGGCGCTCAGGGGCTTCGACGGCGCCGACGCGCCCCGACGGGAGCTGCAGGCGGCGGCGGCGGTAGGAGCTCTGGCCGGCGCGCCGCCGCCGCCGCTGCTGCCGCCGCCTCCCTCCTGCGCTCCTGCCGCGCCGGGATCCGCGGGCAGCGAGAGCCCCCGCGAGGCCGCGCCGTCGCAGCCGCCCACCGAGCGCGATCACTGGGAGCAGGAGGAGAACGAAGAGGCCGAGACGCGCGCCGTGGCCACGTCCCCCGACGGACGCTTCCTCAAGTTCGACATCGAGATCGGACGCGGCTCCTTCAAGACCGTCTACAAGGGGCTGGACACCGAGACCACCGTCGAGGTGGCCTGGTGCGAGCTGCAGGTTGGTCAGCAACCGGTGGGAAGGGGGGGGGTCCCGTTTTGCTGGGGGTCCCACTTTGGTTTCAGTCTTTACCTTCGAGGCTCAGCCTCTGGGATTTGCTGGCAGCTCGGAGCAGGGGAAGAGGCGAAGGAAGAAGAGCGCCTCTGAGCGCGTGCAGAGTGAATTCCCGCCAGCTGCAGCCGCGACTTCGCCAGTTAGGGTTTTGTTTTTGTTTTTGAACATTTTTTTTATTGGTTTTCACAACATTATAAGACAAACAAACATAAATCATAGCCTTATTGAAAATAACACTTGTTAACCTTGTTAAGGGACTTCCTCGCTTCCCCTTGGTTGAATTTCATTGCATGTCCTTTTAACGGTTTTCCAAATCACAGTTCTTATAAAATTTAACTTAAACTTTAACATCCTTAGGGTTTTGAAGGGCTTTGAGGCTCAGGGAGTGTCCGAGACGCAGCCCCTCTCTTTTGGGGAGCTCAAGTGTGAGGTAAAGGGTAAAGGTACCCCTGACCATTAGGTCCATTCGTGACCGACTCTGGGGTTGCGGCGCTCATCTCGCTTTATTGGCCGAGGGAGCCGGCGTACAGCTTCCGGGTCATGTGGCCAGCAGGACTAAGCCGCTTCTGGCGAACCAGAGCAGCGCACGGAAACACCGTTTACCTTCCCGCTGGAGCGGTACCTATTTATCTACTTGCACTTTGACGTGCTTTCGAACTGCTAGGTTGGCAGGAGCAGGGACCGAACAACAGGAGCTCACGCCGTCGCGGGGATTTGAACCGCTGACCTTCTGATCGGCAGGTCCTAGGCTCCGTGGTTTAACCCACAGCAGCACCCGCGTCCCTAGCTCAGGTGTAGGGAGAGAAAATAGTTGTGCCACAAGAGCACAACCTCTGGGAACCGCAGTTTACCTTTCTCCGAGCTACAATTCCCAGCACCCTTAACAAACGGCATTCCCCAGGATATTTTGGGGGAAAGAATGTGCTTTCAATGTGCAGTGTGAATGTGAAAGGTGTTGAATGTCAGGGTGTCTGAAGCTCTGAGACCCCTTGACCGGTGACTTAAATTTTTCTCACTTAAATCTTCCTCGCTTTCTTAATGTCAGCTGGCACAGCTCTGTTTAGGACTTGCTCTATTGTTCCACCATTGTTTTCTTTCTTTATGCCCCTTCTCTGGAGTCTGGTACTTGTGGTTCGTCGATTTATATGGGCTTAGTTCGTTCCCGTGGTTTCAGAGCAGAAAATTCTGCTCAATGATGGAAAAAGAGCTCTAGCTGTTAGGTGTGAAAGTCGCCAAAGTGAATCACTGCTTCGGTTGTTCATTCATTCCAGGAAACAGAATGCCAAGATTGGGTCGAAATTTTATATATAAATATATATACATAGAAAATGACAGGCACTGCATCCAGTAAGCGTATTTCTAAAAAGAGGAGTTCGATAAATTGGAAATTGGGGGGCGAGTGGTTGTAGGGAGAACCCTGTTAGAGACTTACATACTCTGTGGGACCAAGGTGAGAATTTCTGGCATCTTCTCATCTTGGTGGGGGGGTGGGAGAACCAGTGGAGCTCAGGTCCAGATGAGGTGATGGAGAGGAACAGGAGCACACACCCCCCTTGAAGAAAATCTGCCTGCTTGTCTGGTTATGAAAAAGGAGGGCAGGCGATATCGCAAAATTATAACGTGTCTTCTGCACAGCAAATTGTTGTATGGGCTTCTGTTATGCATCTCAGAGGGGAATTGCAGGTTTCTTTACTGGCTGCGGGGTACAGATGCTATTGCTGGGTCACAGACCCATGGGATGTAGCTGTCTGCCTGCTTTCGTTCTCTTCGCTGCTATTCTGGAAGACGAGAAGCCAACTTTGCCCTCTCCCTCCAGATGTGATGGAGCGGGAGGGGAGGGGTGTTGTCAAAGCCAAAGGGTCCAATGTTTAGTTCTTGCCTTCTCTTCCTCCAGAGGTGTAGTTCTCAAATCTACATGATCATTGGAAATGTACTCTGCATATGCTCAGAGGCACACCTGCGTCGTCACCTTTTTTTCAGAGCTGAGCCCAGATTTGGACTCTGGCTTTAGAGCTGAGGCCGGATGCAAGGCGATCCCTCTTTGAGATTAGAGTTGTTGCCGTTCCGTGATGATTTTGAGTGAGGGTGTTTCGTTGGCACAGCTTTCTTTGCTCAAGGACTGGCATGGGGAGACGGCAGCAACCTGGGATTTGCCACTGCATCAGAGCTGCAGGACTTGATGCTGGCATGGAGAGGAAGGGAAGGCAATGGAGCTGGCTGCCGCTTTTGTGCAGGCTGTGTTTGCCAGAGGGATTAATTTGGAAGAGTTCAATGTGACTTGCTTGGCACCGCAAAATCGATCATGTGCCATAAAGGTGTATGAGGGAGACAGAGTCTCCCGCCTCCCCCAAAGCTTTGGGAAATGTGTGTGTGTGTGTTTGTGTGTGGTTGGAACAGGTGCGAGGAAGGGCAGAATTTTTTATTGTGTTTCCAAAAATGGAAAAATTACACACCACCCCAGTTTAAAAAAAAAAAGTGTACAGACTGTTATGAAAGCTTTTCTCTAAGGATAGGTAGAACACGAGACCCACTCAGAGCTAGAGAAATCCTAGGAAGTTGTCTAGGCACTAGAACTTTTTGCGTTGTGCCTAAGAAGTTGAAATATTTTTCTAATGCTAATTTGAAACTGCCTTCCGCTTGATTGAATTTTCTGGGAAATTCAAACGTCTATGTACCAACCTAAGTTATCTGAACAGAAGATTTTTAAAAACATGCTCTGGCCAAGATTAGTTCTACTCCCGAGTAGACCTTTTGAAATTAGAAGGCACCGGTGCTATTTTTCTAGAAAAAAAGGCGCCAGAGCTCACCATGAAAGCCTCCCTTGTTCTCCTTGAGAGGTGGCCGGAACTGAGTTCCTGTGGGTTCTGGCTGGGAAAAAAATGCCCTGGAAGGCAGAAATAACTTGGGTATATTAAGTTCAACAGGTCCACTCTTGAGTAGAACAACCCTATATATTCAGAGTTGCTCAGCTGGTAGAGCAGGGGTCAGCAAACTTTTTCAGCAGGGGGCCAGTACACTGTCCCTCAGACCTTGTGGGGGGCCGGACTATATTTGGGGGGGACGACGAATTCCTATGCCCCACAAATAACCCAGAGATGCATTCTAAATAAAAGCACACATTCTACTCATGTAAAAACACACTGATTCCCAGACCGTCCACGGGCTGGATTGAGAAGGCGATTGGGCCGGATCCGGCCCCCGGGCCTTAGTTTGCCTACCCATGTGGTAGAACATGAGACTCGAGTTATGGGTTCGAGTCCCTTGTTGGGCAAAAGATTCCTGCGTTGTAGGGGGCTGGACTAGATGGCTCTTGTGGTCCCTTCCAACTTTGCAGTTCTGTGATTCTGTCCTTAAGAGCCCAGTAGAACAGTCACCCTCTACTGAACACTGTTTCCATCCCTCGGCCTTTCAGTGAGAACAAAATGTTATTTAAAATGAAGGCCCTCTCTTGCATTTATTAAACAGTCTAATCAGTCCTGCAGCCAAAGATCAGGCTGGTTAGCACGAATCAAGATGTAACATGCAGCCCTCTCAGCAATTCCCCACCCTCCCTCCTTGGTTCCCCCATTCATATTCTCCCACCCTCCAAAATTTTACCTGTCCAATTCCTGCCTCCCCCCTTCAGCTCAGTATTCCCTCTTTCCTTCAGACCTCTGTCTCCGCCCATTCTTCCCTCAAGTTCCTGCTCCTCATCCTGCTTCACCATTCTGGGCACCTTGCCCATTTCCTCTATACCATCTAGGACTCCTTCCCACTCCACCGCTTGCCGTTCAGTCTTTCTGCCTGCTTGGGACCAGTTCCCTGCTCTGGTCTTGCGAAAGGACATAGGGTCTCCTGTTTCCAGGTTCTGCGTGAGGTTTCTCCCAGCCGAAATGACTTTCCCCCTTCCCTCACAGAAGCAGCAATATCTGCTTGCAGTGCTTCTGCTGACACCCTTCCCTGACACCCTTCCCTATTAAATCATTTTTTATCTGACCTCCCATTATTTCTTCACAATGTAACCACTCATATCCCTTATTTAATATTTACTTTAATAGTGGCTGAATTTTTGAGTGCTGTCCATGTAGAAATACATTATAAAGAGATTTAAAGGTAAAGGGACCCCTGACCATTAGGTCCAGTCGTGACCGACTCTGGGATTGCGGCGCTCATCTCTCTTTATTGGCCAAGGGAGCCGGCGTACAGCTTCCCGGTCATGTGGCCAGCATGACTAAGCCGCTTCTGGCGAACCAGAGCAGCGCACGGAAACGCTGTTTACCTTCCTGCCGGAGTGGTACCTATTTATCTACTTCCACTTTGTGCTTTCAAACTGCTAGGTTGGCAGGAGCAGGGACCGAGCAACGGGAGCTCACCCCGTCGCAGGGATTCGAACCGCCGACCTTCCAATCCGCAAGTCCTAGGCTCTGTGGTTAACCCACAGCGCTACCCGCTTCCCATAAAGAGATTTAGTGGTTCTTAATTGATTGGTGATGTGGTAGTGTTGTATTATATTATTTATGCAAATTGATTTTCTCTGGAGTTAAAGATCTGGTTGGAACAAACCCTGTATTGCTGAGCTCGTATTTTGCACAATTTGAATATGGTGTATGTTTGATAATGTGTGGTTTGCTGTACCTAATACCTAATGCTGTGCTTAATAAAGGATATTTGATTAGAATGTTTGTGAACATTCCCTTCCAAACCAGTCCAAACCAGTAGCCAATGTGGGAAGAAGTAGGTGGGCACATTTTAGCCTATAAAATATACAAATATGAAGGAGTTGGTTGCGTCTTACGCATGTCTTCGTTTACTTAAGGTCATTATGAAAGGCCAAACATTATGTGTCATTGGTGCATTGAGTTAAAATAAAGGAAGGACAGCCGAGGCTGGCATTTTGGAAATTTATTAATGTTTAAGTTTCGCTCTTTTCGTTCCAAGAGTGGCTAGGGCTCGTTGCAGTTCACCGGGCCCTGACTACACTGATACGGTTCGCGTGTATGTGGTAGGAGAATATGAGCTTTATTTTGCCCGAAGTTTTCTTTTCTACAGACGTTTGCATTTTGCAGCCAAAAAAAGGGAAAGAAATAGAACTTTTCTCTGCAATGTAGCAAGTTTCAGAGGTGTGGCTAGGTTGATTTATTACACACACAAACTTGCATGCTCAACTTGCGGCACCTTGAAAGGCAAACAGATTTATTGTGGCGTGCGCTTTCAGAGCAGTGTGCTAGATTGAGGGCTGGATAAATTCAATCCAACTTTCCTCGTGAATCCTCGTTCAGCCATTCCGTGCGGTCTCCCTTTGAAGCTTGAAGAACGGCAACTTTCAGGTCAGCAGGCAGAGCACTCTGGAAGACCGGCTTCTGAATGCGATCGTTTTTTATTGATGTCCATTGATTGTTTTGCGAGGAAAAGATCAGCTTCCAGTGTTCAGCGTGCCAGCCATCACAACCTCTTGAGGGGGGTAGTTCCATAGTTCGTGTTGCATGAAGAAGGACTTTCTGAATATTCCAATGAATTCTAGACTTATGGTAAAGGTAAAGGGACCCCTGACCATTAGGTCCAGTCGTGACCGACTCTGGGGTTGCGGCGCTCATCTCGCTTTATTGGCCGAGGGAGCCAGCGTACAGGTCATGTGGCCAGCATGACTAAGCCACTTCTGGCGAACCAGAGCAGCGCACGGAAACACCGTTTACCTTCCTGCCGGAGTGGTACCTATTTATCTACTTGCACTTTGACGTGCTTTCGAACTGCTAGTTTGGCAGGAGCTGGGACCGAGCAACGGGAGCTCACCCCGTTGTGGGGATTCAAACCACCGGCCTTCTGATCGGCAAGTCCTAGGCTCTGTGGTTTAACCCACAGCGCCACCCGCGTCTCTTTCTAGACTTATGAGAGAGGGAGAAAAAAGTTTTCTATCCTGTTTCACCATGCTATGCATGTTGAAGCTTTTACTCGGTGGGCAGGGGTGTTCTCCACCCCCCTGATGATGTCGGTTGCCCTTTCCCAAACCTTTTCCAGCTCTGCACTCTCCTTTTTTAGTTGAGGCGACCAGAACCATACATAGTATTCCAAATGCAGTCGCACCATAGATTTTTATAACAGCGTTATAATATCCGCAGTTTTATTTTCAGCTCTTTTCCTCATGGTTCCCAACATGGAATTCACTCAAGGCCAGTTCAGAATCCATTAGTATATTTGTGAAATGAAGATATTTAATATTATGACGCTTGTTTTACTGAATTTTACTGCTCATCCGCTCAGTTTGGAAAGGTCTCTTTGAAGCGCCCCTCAGTCCCTTTTTGTTTTATCCACCCCGAACAATTTCATATCACCAGAAAACTTGGCTGCCTCACTGCTCACCCCGAACTCTAGGTCATGTGTGAACAAGTTTAAAAGAACAGGTTCCCAATACTGATCCTTCGAGGATTCTACTTTCTGCATTCTTCCGTCTGGAGAACTGCCAATTATTCCTGCCCTGTATCTCTTACTGTCGCTCTGACGCCGACCTGAAAGGCACTGTTTTCCAGTGGGTGGGGGACTTCAAAGGCTGAAATAGATGAACTGGAATTTACCAGTAAATTTGATTTTATTTACTTAGGACTCAATCAGGTCCAAGGTTTTCTCTCCCGCTACAGCGTTAAGTAAGCACAGTAAAGCTAGGAAGATTGTGTTATCACCAAGTACTGTCACCTTGAGTTGTCACTGCGCTTAACTTGTATACAGACTGTGCACCTGACATTTCTTCGTTTTGTATAAGCGCACAGACACACCCAACTGAAGATGACACTCGAAGGTGCCATAAGACTCTGTTGTTGTTTTTCTTTATTGTCACCGCAATGTCTCTGGGAACCTCCTAGTCCTCTAGCAGTCCAAATAAAGATGATACTTGAGGATTCTTAAGTCACTGGTGGCTGCTTAGACACGTTTCCTTCATCCTATCTGCTGTGGCTTCTTGGCCATGTCCGAAAAACCAAGAAGTCACCCTCTATTCTTTTTGTCCTACTGACTCGCGAGTGTGGCCACCCATCTTTGGCCTTTGCTCTCTGTTTATCCCCAAATTGCACCGAATCAGGTGTTGAGGCTACCTCTGGACTCATACATGTTGGGAAGTTTAACTCCTGAATAATCAGAATAATCCAAACAGGTGAAGGCAGCCGTCTTCAAAATTAGCCAGGCGCACTTTGCACCCATGCTTTCAACCACTTGTGACCAAGTGAAGATGACTGGGCACCAGAATGGTGCCTGATATCTCCACCATCTGGGGATCATTGGATCGGGACTGCTTTCACACACTTAACACCCCACCCTATAGAATTCTATCAGTTATATTTTATCTATACAATCGGGATGAATTTCGGGAACCGAAATGCGTTTTCTGTGCAGCCTGAGCAGGAACAGTCACCACTAAGGAAAAGAGCTCAGAATGGGCCAATATATATGTTGGCTGATCTGGATCAAGTGACTTTTCTTCTTTCAGTTCTCAAAACTCTTAAGCTAGCTCAAGATAGTCCTCCGAACTAGCCAGACATTTAACTGAGAATCAGTCACAGTCAGTCCATCGTTTGAAAAATAAGGCTTTTGAGCCGTTTGGCTCCAAAACGGCAACTAGACATTCTGTTTTGGCTGTTTTGGGACTACAGTTCCCATCATCCTTGACCACTGGTCCTGTTAGCTAGGGATGATGGGAGTTGTAGTCCCAAAACAGCTGGAGGGCCAAGTTTGGCCATGCCTGGTTTAAGGAGTCTTCCTGCACCCAGCTTATATATCTGAGTTTCTAACACAGGAAGGAAGGCTACTTAAGGTCACTTTGAGGGGTGAGTGGTGCTAGGTTTGGATAGGTTTTTTAAAATGTTGAGGTTTACTGTTGTAATATGGCTTCTCAGTGCAGGCACCGAATTCATTTGGAATTATAACCAAAAGCCTCTGTAGACAAACGGGACTAAATTGACATAGTGGTCATTTCCACCAAGTATTTTACATTGGTTAACAAGTTAAAAGCATCATCATCAACATGAGAAATAACCTGTTGTTCCCCCCGAAAATGCAACGCCAAAAAGCTTTTGCCAGACTCTTGTTTTGAACAGATGGAATCAAAGGTTCAACTGGGGAGATCTGGGGGCATCCCAGTCCAAGAGGGATTATGTATCTGTGGGGCAGCAGATTTAGTGAGTAGGGTTGCCCCACTATATTCTTGAATGCCAGCTTTATTCTGATTTTAGAGAACTCTTTCCAAAGAGCAGTTCAGTATGAGGGAATGACAGAAAAAATTAACTTTATGTTACAATGAACTGATCACAGCTTTTGCTGTATAGGCTTCCAGTCCTGGGAAAATATATTTGGAATCCATTTCAGTTCACTGCTATACAGATGCCACAGTTTCCCCTATCTGGTTTGTTTTTAACAAACACAGTGGTACCTCGGTTTACGAACTTAATCTGTTCCGGAAGCCCGTTCTTAAACCAAAACCATTCTTAAACCAAGGCATGCTTTCCCTAATGAGGCCTTCCACCAACGGTGCCCTTCCACCGTTCGGATTCCGTTCTTAGACCGAGGTAAAGTTCTCAAACCAAGACACTATTTCCAGTTTTGTGGAGATTGTAAACCAAATCGTTCTTAAACTGGACTGTTCTTAAACCAAGGTACCACTGTACTACAAAACTTTGTCCGTGTATGCTTTCTGCATTGCATCGGAAATGTGTGCCTTAAGTGGACACCTTCCATGTGGTTAGTTTGTTTTGTCTTAGAATCATAGAATTGTAGAGTTGGAAGGGACCAACTAGTCCAGTCCCCCCCTGCAAGGCAGAAATATTTTTACCCAATGTGGGGCTCAAACCTACAATCCTGAGATTAAACTCTGCCATCTTAAAAGGTAAAGGGACCCCTGACCATTAGGTCCAGTCATGTCTGACTCTGGGGTTGCAGCACTCATCTCGCTTTACTGGCAGAGGGAGCCGGCGTACAGCTTCCGGGTCATGTGGCCAGCATGACTGAGCTGCTTCTGGCGAACCAGAGCAGCGCACGGAAACACTGTATACCTTCCCGCTGGAGCGGTACCTATTTATCTACTTGGACTTGACGTGCTTTCGAACTGCTAGGTTGGCAGGAGTTGGGACCGAGCAACGGGAGCTCACCCCGTCGCGGGGATTCGAACCGCCACCTTCTGATCGGCAAGTCCTAGGCTCTGCCAGCTTAGCTTCAGGCTAATTCAGCCAATTCTTTTCTGCTTTTGAACACGAGATTTGCAGCCTGGCTTTGGGGTCATACGGCCCTGAATCTTCCTGGCGGCTGTGATTTACTGCTGTCCAAAGTGGACCTCAGCCCCCCTGAGGCATGTGGTCTCAGCAGGGTCCCAAGTCCTTATTTGCCAGGTTGAGGGCTGGAACTGAAAACTCGTATGACAGTTGTGGGTGGCTTGCCCTGTTTTCTGTGCTGATGTTCTGGGAGCTTTCTCTTTTTAGGGACGCGGGTGATGCTGTGGTCTAAGCCACTGAGCCTCTTGGGCTTGCCGATCAAAAGGTTGGCGGTTCGAATCCCCGCGACGGGGTGAGCTCCCGTTGCTCTGTCCCAGCCCCTGCCAACCTAGCAGTTTGAAAGCACGCCAGTGACAAACCTAGACAGCATTTTAAAAAGCAGAGATATCACCTTGCCAACAAAGGTCTGTATAGTTAAAGCTATGGTTTTCCCAGTAGTGATGTATGGAAGTGAGAGCTGGACCATAAAGAAGGCTGATCGCCAAAGAATTGATGCTTTTGAATTATGGTGCTGGAGGAGACTCTTGAGAGTCCCATGGACTGCAAGAAGATCAAACCTATCCATTCTTAAGGAAATCAGCCCTGAGTGCTCACTGGAAGGACAGATCGTGAAGCTGAGGCTCCAATACTTTGGCCACCACATGAGAAGAGAAGGCTCCCTGGAAAAGACCCTGATGTTGGGAAAGATGGAGGGCACAAGGAGAGGGGACGACAGAGGATGAGATGGTTGGACAGTGTTCTCGAAGCTACAAACATGAGTTTGACCAAACTGTGGGAGGCAGTGGAAGACAGGAGTGCCTGACATGCTCTGGTCCATGGGGTCACGAAGAGTCGGACACGACTAAACGACTAAACAACAAAAATGGCAGGAAAGTAAACGGCATTTCCATGCGCTCTGGTTTCCGTCACTGTGTCCCATTGCAGCAGAAGCGGTTTAGTCCTGCTGGCCACATGACCTGGAAAGCTGTCTGTGGGCAAACACTGGCTCCCTCGGCCTGAAAGCGAGATGAGCGCTGCAACCCCATAGTCGCCTTTGGCTGGACTTAACTGTCCAGGTGTCCTTTACCTTTACCTATTACCTGTTTCTCTTTTTGTTGCCCTAGGCCTGTTAGCCATCACTCTGGGGCAAAGTCTGGAGTACTGAATGGAATACTACCAGTAAACTGCATTCCCATGGGGCTGGTTCAGATTTCCTGCTCACCTAGCTCCATCCATTCCCAGAGGAGTAGTGCTTACCTCTGGGAATGCATGGAACTTTGGAAGACAGCATAAATGGGCTTAGTAACAGTCGGTGTTTTATTTACATATTTATTTAAAAGGTAGGTGCTGGTACCAGGCTCCAGCTAAACTCTGCACCCTATGGCCTGTGTTATAAATTTGCCAGGCACGTTTTGCTACTGGCATGGGTCCACTTGTGACTGCAAAGAGATTTCTGAGTTGGCGGCCTCAGTTTAAAAATCTCTGCCTTAAAACTGTTTCCCCTGTGTGTGTGTGTGTGTGTGTGTGTGTGTGTGTTTCTCCTTGCGTACAAGTGAATTGTTGGAAGAGCAAGCTACATCAAGCGACGCGGTTGAGATCATAGAATCATAGAATTTTAGCTCTGAAAGGGACTCTGAGAGTCGCCTAGTCCATTTGGCACCTAGCTTATAAACTGAGTTTCTAACACTGCCTGTGACTTTGAAACCCTTCCTTTGTCCTCTAATCTCAGACATACAACGAGAGGCTTTGGGGTAGATAGGAGGGGAGACACACACTCTGTTTATAATGGACAATTATGACTTCCAGGGACTTAAGGCTAAGCCCGATCCAGCCACTTGTTTGTTATTAGGCAATACAGGAATATTTCAAGTAAATGAATATATAATCCTGCAGTGGCGTAGCGTTTCTTCCTTCTCCAGTGACACTCTTCGATTTGCAGATGTTTTTCAGGAGGCCAACTAAAAATAAGGAACATTTATCAAGCTTTTCCAAGTCTCTCTCTCTCTCTTTTTTTAAGCAGTCCTTGTGCTGGGGATAAGCCTCTTTCACAAACACAGGATTTACTGTCACTTGTTCGCCTTTTAAAAAATAGCTCTGTCCTATTTTCTCTCGCAGTGGATCATTATGTTGCCTTTTAAAACATCTGCGGCCAGCAAACCACAAACCTGAGCTATTGGGACCCAGCCTCCCCATCCGAAAAGTTCTGCCCGGGTCTATTTCTGGTGTGCAGATTTAAATTTAAAGCATCGTTTTATTGCTGGCCTTCTTTTTGGGGGTGGGGGGTGGGGAAAGAGGTAGCGAATACCGTCTGGAGCTGTCTAACCAATATTTGCTGAGGACGACTATTTTTTGCATGTATTAGTGGGCACGGGAACCAGCGAACATTGGGTGCACCTCTGAGGGTCCCTAGAGAAAGGGGAACAGATTCGAGGCTCAGTGCTGGGGACCCATAATCCAGAGGCCTGAACAAATATTTCAAATGCATAAATGCAAGCCTTAATACTTCCAGGTACCACTCCCTCCTCAGAAGGCCTGGAATTATTTCCAGGCACCTGCGTAAGGTGGGCAGGTCTTTTTAGGCCTCAGTGACGGGTGCTGTGGTGAGGTGACAACGTCAGAGGGCGACTTGTCACCTGCCCCTGCAGCATAAGTTCACCTAATTAATTTCATAATTATTTTACAGCATAATTAATTTCATAATTATGTTGCAGCATAATTCATTTTGTAATTATTTTACAGCATAATTCATTTCGTAATTATTTTACAGCAGTGGTTTTCAAAGGGTGTGGCGGGAGAGGATGGCAAACGTGACTGTGAGATTTGAGGACAATCAATATTCTATTAAGGGAATTATTTGGGTTCATATGTAGCTGCATTGTTTTAGTCTTTCTGGGTCTCCCATGATCATATTATAAAGTAGCTGCGTTCTGTGTTATAAATCAAGCACTGCCAGGAGTGGTTTCTTTTTTTCTTTTTTTTTCTTTTTTGCTTTCCAATGTATTTCTTAGCAATAATAATAATAATAATAATAATAAAAATTGGTGTGGCGCGAACCAGTTTTTGTTCTGGAAGTGTGTCCCAGAGGGAAAAGTTAGACAGCCACTGAGTTATAGGCTCTGTACCTCAGAGGCTTGGAACGGATAACAATGCTTTAATTTAAAATAAGACAGAAATAAATGCCACACTCTTCTTATATGATACCTCTCCCCTGCTACTTGAGCTCAGTCGCCAAATAGCTGCCCCGGTTGTGGGTGGCCTCCCAGGAAATGGGAATTGCTGGCAAGGGACTCTGTGTCTTAGTTTCAGGGCTGATATCGCTTCCACCGCGAGGCTCCCGGTCTCTGCAGATGGGGTGCAAGCACTGGGGTTAAAACTAAAACTAAAAGAAGTTCCAGGCCTCAAGTTTGCTTTGAAGTTGGATCTTGGGGTCTGAAGACTCTCCTCCCCAATGAGTGTTTTCATGGGCTGGAAAGGGAGAGGCTATAGGGTTCTTTCATTTCTTTAAAAAATTAAATACAACACATAAAAAGGGGTTTGAAAAAGAAAGAAAGAAGGAAGGAAGGAAAAAACAAAAGGTATATATTACGAAAACAATTGTTAACAGTTAACATTATGTCCAAAAGACTGATAACTGCTGCATTAGAAAGATAAATGTAAATGATTAAGAAATTGCCGTAGAAGGCTTTCTGTAAAAGCGTTTGATCTATAATGCAGTAGAAAAAGGGTTTGAACAAAAACCCTGTGGAGATGAGAGTGGGAAGTCAATTTGTGGAGCTATTCAATCAAATGGCGAAATTTTAGAAACAGAATTAAAAAATTATAGTACGAAAACAAAGAAAGATAAATGTACAGCTCCATTTAGCCAATGGATCGAAGACCTTACTACGCTTGCCCATCTGCGAGTGGATTGCTCATAGGTGTAGACTTTGCGTGGACAAGTGAAATGGAATTTGGAACTGGTTTATGGAAAAAGCAGTAGGTTGTAAGTTGCAGGTGTTAACTGGGCTCAAACCTAACCCACAAGTGAATCCCAGTTAATCCCATTTATCGCCTTCTGAGTCTTTTTCGTCCTTGTGAAAACTGCAAGAACCCAGCTAGGGGCAGTGTGTGTGTGTGTGTGTGTGTGTGTGTGTGTTGGGGTGTCATTGAAGGAAGGCGTCTTTCTAGGCTTGGCACTCTCCCTCTTGTCTAATCCTGATTTATCTTGCTCTCTCCCTTCCTCTTAGAGCTTCGTCTATATCACATTACCCAGGGTTGCAGCAAAGGCCTTGGAACACCGTCAGCCAAGTGTCATTTCTCTGGGCAGCTGTTGTTTGCACCCAGTGCCCTAGCTGGACAGGGGGGCTCTGGGTTAAAATATATAGGGGCAGGCTGTGGTCCTTAGCTCTAGAGACAAGTATGCTGCCTGCCTTCCAGCACTCAGAAGGGCTTTTCAAGGAAGACAAGGAGAACAGGATGCTGCCTTATAGCAAGTGAGACCGGGACTCGAACCCAAGACCTTCTGGATGCAAAACAGACGCTCTGCCCCTCCGCTGTAGAGAGGCATGGAGTGAAGTGCCTGAAAAACAGAAATAACTGGATCCACTTTCTGACACAGGATATCTGTGAGAACGCTCTGCAAATTAAAAAAGTGCTGCTGTCCTCTAGGGCAGGGGTAGACAAACTAAGGCCTGGGGGCCGGTTGCGGCCCAATTGCCTTCTCAATCCGGCCCATGGACAGTCCGAGAATCAGTGTGTTTTTACACGAGTAGAATGTGTCCTTTTATTTAAAATGCATCTCTGGGTTATTTGTGGGGCATAGGAATTTGTTCATTTCCCCCCCAAAAATACCGTCCGGCCCACCACATGGTCTGAGGGACGGTGGACCGGCCCACGGCTGAAAAAGATTGCTGAATAATAATAATAATAATTTATTTATACCCCGCCCATCTGGCTGGGTTTCCCCAGCCACTCTGGGCGGCTTCCAACAAAATATTAAAATACAATAATGTCTCAAACATTAAAAGCTTCCCTAAACAGGGCTGCCTTCCGATGTCGTCTAAAAGTCTGGTAGTTGTTGTTCTCTTTGACATCTGGTGGGAGGGCGTTCCACAGGGAGGGTGCCACTACCGAGAAGGCCCTCTGCCTGGTTCCCTGTAACTTGGCTTCTCGTAGTGAGGGAACTGCCAGAAGGCCCTTGGCGCTGGACCTCAGTGTCCGGGTAGAACGATGGGGGTGGAGACGCTCCTTCAGATATACTGGACCAAGGCCGTTTAGGGCTTTAAAGGTCAGCACCAACACTGCTCTAGGGTGTAGGCTGGTTGTGGTCTAGTGGCCTGAATAGACCATTTTAGCCTAATGAACCCTACCTTGTCAAGGTGAGAGCTGGTAGATTATTACGGCTCCGTGTAAAGTCTGAACCATGGCTCAGGACAACCCTGGTTTTGAATCTTGCATCTCCAGTAAGCAGTCTTGGGCAAGTCACTCGCATTCCCTCCCTCCCTCCGTGGGTTGGATTCGAACCTTGGTCTCTCAGGTCTTAGTCCAGCACTAACCACTGTACCACACTGTCTCCTCTTTCTCCAGGCGGGGACACTTTCAGTTTCCTCTGTCTCCGTATTGTCCCTGTAGCATTCAGCGTGGAGAAGGATGGGGACAAACTTGGAATCAGGTGTCTCTGGCGCCTGTTAGTCTCCCCAGCTTCCACCCTACTGTTCCCAATGGGCACCAGTGTATGGTCTATTTTGGGGAAGAAGAAGCAAGCTAGGGACAGGCGTATTATGTCAGGTTGGTTCCCTGAGCAAATAAAAGTTGGAAGGGCCTAGCTCAACCTTGTGTGAAATGAGCCTTGGCCACATTGGTTGTCACAGCAACTTTGGAGTCCGGCTGGGATGCAGATGGAACAAAGAGGCAAGGCCCCCTGTTTCGCGGCGCAGAGGGTCCAATTTCAAGCAGCAGCGAGCTCAAGAGCCGAACAAAATCCATGTTGTACTCCTGTGTGGGCCACAAAACTCAGCAGGACTTGTAGAGAAGCGGTGGACGTCTTGACGGAAATACAGTGGTACCTCAGGTTACACTTCAGGTTACAGACTCCGCTAACCCAGAAATACTGTATTTTCTGGCGTATAAGACTACTTTTTAACCCAGGAAAATCTTCTCAAAAGTCGGGGGTCGTCTTATACACCGGCTACAGCAGCAGCTCCTGCAGCAGCTCCCCACCAAAGGACAAAACGACAACAAATTAAATTAGAGGACACCAAGCTCTCTAGATGAAGCAGAAATACGCTTGAAAATTGGCCCCAGAAGCCCCTGGCCACTGGGAAGTGGAGCGGATTTCCGAGCCGGACTGGAGACTGGTTTTTTAAATTTTTATTTGGTGTGCATTGGAAGAGGGCTAGTCTTATACGGCGAGTATATCCCAAACTCTGTATTTTAACTGGAAACGTTGGGGGTTGTCTTATACGCCCAGTCGTCTTATATGCCGGAAAATACTAGTACTTCGGGTTAAGAACTTTGCTTCAGGATGAGAACAGAAATTGTGCTCCGGCGGCGCGGCAGCAGCAGGAGGCCCCATTAGCTAAAGTGGTACCTCGGGTTAAGAACAGTTTCAGGTTAAGAACGGACCTCCAGAACGAATTAAGTTCTTAACCCGAGGTACCACTGTACAGAGAATCTCCAGGGCAAGGCGGAGCCTTACGCTGTCAGCACCCCAGGATAGGAGCCGATCAGGAGTGAGCTCTTCCAGGGGTGTGGGGTAGGAGTCCGGACGGATCCACACCTTCTTTCCAAGGGGCAAACTGCCACTAAAAGTGGACCGTCTAGACTTGCGAACCGTAAATCCCAGGAATCTGAATGACTTCAGAAAGCAATTAAGTGTTCCCTTTCCTGAAGATGTTAGGCTCTAAACTAATAGCTTCTGGCAACCCTGTCTGGCAGTGGGGTAGCAGCTGAAGAAGAGGAAGAAGCTTATTCGATGCCTTAGCGATTAGGGGACGGGGCTTCCAGGGTAGAGGGTATCGCTTCTAGGATGGCTTCTGTCTTCGATGGCTTTCCTACAGCTTTTCTTTTGCTTTTTATTTTGCATTCTTGATTATCTGTGCTCACGAAAGTGTCAGGGCGGTTCTGTGCAGATCCCACTTTCAAAACTGCTCTTACAAACGTCTTGGGGCAGACATACTGTCTCAGTTCCATTCAGTGCATGTCCTATAACTTATGTGGGACCACATAACACCGGTCCTGAGAGATCTGCATTGGCTCCCAGTATGTTTCCGAGCACAATTCAAAGTGTTGGTGCTGACCTTTAAAGCCCTAAACAGCCTCGGTCCTGTATATCTGAAGGAGCATCTCCACCCCCATCATTCAGCCCGGACACTGAGATCCAGCGCCGAGGGCCTTCTGGCGGTTCCCTCATTGTGAGAAGTGGAGTTACAGGCAACCAGACAGAGGGCCTTCTCGGTAGTGGCACCCGCCCTGTGGAACGCCCTCCCCTCAGATGTGAAGGAAATAAGCAGCTATTTTATCTTTAAAAAGGCAGCCCCATGGCCCAATAGCCTTCTAAATCTGGTCCACAGACGGTCTTGGAATCACCGTGTTTTTACATGAGTAGAATATGTCCTTTTATTTAAAATGCATCTCTGGGTTATTTGTGGGGCATAGGAATTAGTTCATTTCCCCCCAAAAAAATATAGTCCGGCCCCCTACAAGGTCTGAGGAAGAAGTTTGCTGACCCCTGCTCTAACCAACTGAGCTATCCTATAGCTTTTTATACCATAAATGTTCCAGAGTCATTTGTTACCCTAGTTTTGTGGCACTATAGCGCAGGAAGCATCACCAAGCCGCCAATAAAAGCAACATGGTGTGTTAACAGTCCAGTGTAAATCCACCACTAATACGCTGTCGTTGCATCAATTGCATGTTGCAGAAAACACCGACAAAAATGCCAGTCTGGTGGGGACCTTGAGGTGTTCTTAATCTACATGGATTGTGTGGATGCAGATTCAAAGTTTGATATAGCAAACTCTGGCACTTTTGGAAACACATATTTGCAAGCATTTACTTCTACCGTAAAAAGAGCCAGTTCACACATTCTGATAGATATGGCACTGCTCTAAAGATGGAAAGGCAGTACATGCAGTACTATCGCTTTGATCAGAATATTGCAGCTTCTTTAAAGGTAAAGGGACCCCTGACCATTAGGTCCAGTCATGACCGACTCTGGGGTTGCAGCGCTCATCTCGCTTTATTGGCCGAGGGAGCCGGCGTACAGCCTCCGGGTCATGTGGCAGCAGGACTAAGCCGCTTCTGGCGAACCAGAGCAGTGCATGGAAATGCTGTCTACCTTCCCGCCGGAGCAGTACCTATTTATCTACTTGAACTTTGACGTGCTTTTGAACTGCTAGGTTGGCAGGAGCAGGGACCGAGCAACGGGAGCTCACCCCGTTGCGGGGATTTGAACCGCCGACCTTCTGATCGGCAAGTCCTAGGCTCTGTGGTTTAACCCACAGCGCCACCCGCATCCCTTGCAGCTTCTTTAGCACACTGTAAAAGTATTTCACTCCATCTCCGTATATTCGCAGTTCGCCTTTTTATGCAGCTAGTTACAAAAATCCGATTTACCTAGCTGCTCCCCATAACGTTTCACTATCCTTTAGTGTAGTTGTGAATTTAATCCAGTTGAGCTGCTCCTAGATTTTCCTGATTGTATCCAATTTATTTGGTTTGTGGGCATTAGCAAACTGTGGCTCTTTCTGTGGCGCACCAGGCCTAAGAGGGTCTGCTGGAGCGCATCCAGAAACCGAGGAGCTGAGGCCCCTACGGTTCATAGAGACTGTAGTCAGGCTCCCCTTTCCTATTGCACTGTTTCGCTCCTGAACAGCTACCACTCCTCATGCAAGCTGCAGGGGCTCCTCTTCTTCCCGCCCCCCCTTGCTACAAATGTGCCTTCATTTATGAAGCTGTTCTGGCCCCGTGTTTCTTTCCCTCGCCTCTCCTGTGCTGCGGACAATGAAGCTTTCACAGGGGCTGACGGCACACAGTTGCATCTGTAGCAAAACTTCATAAACACCCCGAGTGTAAAAATACGAACCGCCTCCAGCTCCACCACAGAGGCCCGGGCCAATGAGGCCGTGAGGCGGTTCCCGCCGGCACATGGCGGCAGTGTGGCCTAGCAGGTGGGCGCCGCGCCACCGGAAAGAGACGCAGCCGAATCCCTGGCAGAGCGGCCGCTTTTAAAACACGTTCCGTCTGTCGTTCCCCCCGCCGTTTCTCTTCCAACTGAGCTCCCTTGAGGCGCAGAGAAGGGGTGGACCTGGGCTGCTGTGTTTGCCTCGGCAATTTTCGCTCTTTTCGCAGCCAGCTCCTGCGAGCCAAATGGCCCCCTCTGTTCCAGCTGCTTCTGGACGGAGCAGAGAGCTTGGTGCCGGCAGCAGTTCTGGCCCTTGCCCAACTGGGGTCCGATTCTGGCTCGGCAGGAGAGAAGGCTGGATCCTTGCCATTGCCCTTTGCTCGTTTCTGCAGCTCGTCTGCCTGTCTGCGCTGCCCCCCACTCTCAAATGTCCTCCCCACCCCCAACTTCAGGAGGAGGGCAGCCACGCCACATGAGGTAGCAATTAGAGGACATATTGTATGAGCAAAAAAGGGGGGGCTCCAGATGTTTGCCAGGGCAAAAAAACCCCTGTCCCAAACCTCACATCCTGCATATGGAGTGCCTCGCCAGAGTGGTGCATACTCTAGTTATCTCCCGCATGGACTACTGCAGTGCGCTCTACGTGGGGCTACCTTTGAAGGTGACCCGGAAACTACAACTAATCCAGAATGTGGCAGCTAGACTGGTGACTGGGAGCGGCCGCCAAGACCATATCACACCGGTCCTGAAAGACCTACATTGGCTCCCAGTACGTTTCCGAGCACAATTCAAAGTGTTGGTGCTGACCTTTAAAGCCCTAAATGGCCTCGGTCCAGTATACCTGAAGGAGCGTCTCCACCCCCATCATTCTACCCGGACACTGAGGTTCCCTCCCTGCAAGAAGTGAAGTTACAGGGAACCAGGCAGAGGGCCTTCTCAGTGGTGGCACCCACCCTGTGGAATGCCCTCCCATCAGATTTCAAGGAAATAAACAACTATCTGACTTTTAGAAGACATCTGAAGGCAGCCCTGTTTAGGGAGGTTTTTAATGTTTGATGTTTTATCGTGTTGTTAATATTCTGTTGTGAGCCGCCCAGAGTGGCTAGGGATGCCCAGCCAGATGGGCAGGGTATAAATATTATTATTATTATTATTATTATTATTATTATTATTATTATTTGGCACAGCTACTGGGGACCCCCCTTCTGCAGCTGCAAAATGAACCCAGGAGACCGGGCTCTGTGCGATTTCTTCCTTGTACCTGCCCCCCCCTTAACCTTGGTTCTGCCATTGTAGATCCGGACACAGAATGGCTATAGCTCCTTTAGGAAGCTGGCTGCTTCTGGTTCCGTGTATGTTTGCAGTGGCGGTGATGGAAAGGTGGTTCTGGGAAGGACTTTTTTTACGGTTCCGTTTGGCTCTCCGGCGTTGGAGAAAGGCTGCATTCATCCCGTTCGGCTGCTGACGTCCGTGGAGCAAAACGGTGATCAAAGAGATTAGGGCGATGTCTCCTTCCAGCTCCTCGGTCCAAAGCAGAGAACCTGGACGAATTGCAGCGGGGAGGGACTGAAATATCACGAGGTGATGAGATCTTCTAGACATCTCTCCCTGCTTTTTATGTTGGGAAATGCAAGTTTCCCCTCAGGGACCATCTACCTGGGACTTGCGAGAGGGACTAGTTCAAACCAGGCAGGATTGGTCTCGGCAACGTACTTTGCAGGATTTTCTGCGTGTGTCAGACGCAGGGCTCTCTTGGACTCCTGTGAAATGAAACGAGAACAGACCCCCCATCATTTTTTAGCTAGGCCAATATTACTCTGGGTCCACTTTTGCAGTAAAATGAGTTGGGAGAGTACCCTGCAAAAGAGAGGTACTGCTTTTGAATGCTCCCCTTCAGGGGAAAAAAATGTCCTCGCAAAAAGAAAAGTAGAGTGTCAAGGAAAAAGATTCTAACCTCCTCTTTTGGCTGCTACTCTGGTTTATCTATTTCTTGGAAGTTTTTAACTTGAAGCCTGAAATGCTGCAATGCATTCTAGCAATTTAGCATGTTGTTGGCATCTATCAGTTTGATTCCCTCCCTCTCTTTCTTTTTTCCTTTCTCCTCCTGTGGTGAGGCTGCATTTTAATGTTTTAATTGTTTTAACATTGCATTTTAATCTTGTTTTTTAAGTAGTATTTCAATCAACTTGTTTTTATTATTGGTTGTTAGCCGCCCTGAGCCCAGTCTTGGCTGGGGAGGGCGGGGTATAAAGAAAATTATTATTATTATTATTATTATTATTATTATTATCTGTCTCACCTCGGTTTTCTAAGCATCTGGGTATGCTTGTCCAGCAGGAAAAGAGTACAGTTGAAGGCGCCTGCTTGATGTCAATAGGCAGGGAGTTCCAAAGGTAGGCACTGCCCCAGCCACACTAAACCATCAAATGTGGAACGGGTATTAGGTGGCACCTGTAGTAGTGCCAATTCTGCCAATTGAAGTGGTGTGTAAATATAGTGGTGGATATATGAAAACCATATACAGTGGTACCTTGGTTCTCGAACGTAATTCGTCCCGGATGGCCGTTCGACTTCTGAAACGTTCAAAAACCGAGGCGCAAAGGGTTCAATTGAGAAAACTGAAAAACACACAGCGGAAGCCATTCGACTTCTGAGGCGCATTTGAAAACGGAAGCATTTACTTTCAGGTTTTTGGCATTCAAAAACTGAAATGTTCGGCTTCTGAGACGCTCAAAAACCAAGGTACCACTGTAGATAGATTTAATTCTATCCATGCTGATTTTGTTGTTGTTAGTGATCGTTTATGCTTTTAGCTGTTCTTATTTTATCTGTAAGCCGCCTGGAGTCCCTGTCAGAGGAAAAGGTGGGGTATAAAAATTAATATTAATCATAATAGCATTTATCAAGAATTAAAAATGTTCCTCACTCACAGAGTGTAGGTTTAGAAAAGTGCACAAAGGTGTATTCAGAGTGAAACTCTTCCATTCCCCGAGGGCTCCCCTTCCTCTGCAGGAATTGCCACTCATTGCCCGCTTCCCTGATAAAAATCACTATTCCCAGGAGATTTAACTGAACTCCCCATCTTTAAATTTCTACTCACTGGAGCCTGGTGCAGCCCCCCTCTGTGAGTTAAACACCCTCCTTTTTTAAATGAGATCCTCCTAATCGAATTAGCCACAGTAGAAGTTGGGGGAAGCCAGGATGGTTCAATAAAAATCTGGCAAGCTTGGGAAGGAGCCCATCTCTGTGAGCTTACCAGCTTCTTGGCGACGAATTAAGTTGGCAGGCAAGTTGAACAGCACAAGGCAGTCAAGAAAGTCACCTTGCCACTCTTTTTGATCTTACAAACCCCAACTTTTAACAGGAAGGGGTGGGAGCAGGTGGGGGGTGAACTTTAGAAGACATTGACACCTTAAATTGTATGTCACATGTCGAAATTAAAATGAGAGTTTTAAAGTTTGCTTACATTACAAAAACTCAGTTTGGCTTTTTTGTTTGTTTAGTTTTTATTTATACTTTTCAAGTCTAAACATTTCATTGATTTTACGATCAATTTAACATTTCAGAATTTGACTTCCCTCCCCCTCTTTCTGTGGTTCCTTTAATTTATTTTTTTATATACCTTCTGCATATCCAAATTCATTTCACTTGCTCATTTAATTATCTACTGCAAATATATACTCTCGTGAAACTGCAGGTTAGTACAATAATCCTGCCAATGTTTTCATCTGTTTACAATTTCTCTGTAAATATTCAACAAATCGTTTCCATTCTTTTATAAAAAGTTGGTTATCTTGATTTCTTACTATTCCAGTACATTTCACCATTTCTGCATATTCCATAAGTTTTTGTATCCATTCTTCCTCTGCTGGGACTTCTTCTTTCCATTTTTGGGCAATTAACATTCTTGCTGCTGTAGTAGCATACATAAATAAATTTCTATACAATTTTTTTTGTCAATACAATATTTTATTGGTTTTTTTTCCATATTGCATCACAATATAAATAAACCAAAGCCATCACCACATCCTCCCCATCCCCCATATATCTGTCAATCAAACCTAATATTCTCCCCCCCGCTTCCCTCCGCCCCCACTCAATTTCCTCCACATTCCGAGATTACATTTATCTTTGCATTTTACAACCTTGCCAAATCTTCTATATATTCTTATTATCTTTCCTTACTAATTTACCTTCCCTCAGATACTTTACATTTTAATCTAGGCATATTAGGATTTCTTTTTTTGAGCAATATTTTACCATATATTCATCAAAACATTCCCACTCCTTTTTAAATTTTTGATTCGATTGGTTTCTTATAATAGCCGTTAGTTTTGCCAGAGTTAAGTATTCATTTAGTTTACAGATCCATTCCCCCCTTATGGGTAGAGTTTGTGACTTCCACTTAGCAGCAATCACTACTGTACTTGCTTATAAGATCCCCCCCCCCCCGTGGTATCTCTTCCCCTATCAATCCATTATTATTGATATTTTCAACATCTTCTTTAATTCTTCATGTATTACTGTCCAAAATTTCTTAATTTCCTCCTTCTTAATTTCTGTACAATTTAGGTAGTTCTGTCCCTATAATTCCCAAAAGAAAAGCTTCTGGGTTGTTGTTTTTTAATAAAAGTTATTCTGAACATCCTTTTCGATTCATCGTATATCATTTCCCATTTCGTTTGCGTGACGTTGGCTGCCTCGGACGTTGGCCGTGCAGCTCTTAACGCTTCTGCCTTCTCCTTTCTCAGACGCGGAAGCTGTCCAAGATGGAGCGTCAGCGCTTCAGCGAGGAGGTGGAGATGCTGAAGGGGCTCCAGCACCCGAATATCGTCCGGTTCTACGACTCGTGGAAGTCTTCGGTGAAGGGGCAGGTCTGCATCGTCCTGGTCACGGAACTCATGACCTCAGGCACCCTCAAAACGTGAGCATGAAACTGGCTGGGTGGTGACTGTGGGAAGGCGTCAGTGGGGAGAGGACCATGGGGCCTCCGGGGCTTTTGGTCCCGAGATAGTGGGGACGCCCACCATTTCATTTCACGGGGCCTAGGACCCTCGTACCTGCGGGAACGCCTCTCCTGGTATGCCCCGTGGAGGATCTTTGTTGTTGTTGTTTAGTCATTTAGTCGTGTCCGACTCTTCGTGACCCCGTGGACCAGAGCACGCCAGGCACTCCTGTCTTCCACTGCCTCCTGCAGTTTGGTCAAACTCATGCTGGTAGCTTCGAGAACACTGTCCAACCATCTCGTCCTCTGTCGTCCCCTTCTCCTTGTGCCCTCCATCTTTCCCAACATCAGGGTCTTTTCCAGGGAGTCTTCTCTCTCATGAGGTGGCCAAAGTACTGGAGCCTCAGCTTCAGGATCTGTCCTTCCAGTGAGCACTCAGGGCTGATTTCCTTAAGAATGGATAGGTTTGATCTTCTTGCAGTCCATGGGACTCTCAAGAGTCTCCTCCAGCACCATAATTCAAAAGCATCAATTCTTTGGCAATCAGGCTTCTATATGGTCCAGCTCTCACTTCGTGGAGGACCTTAAGGTCCATAAATAGCAGTACAGTGGACGCTCGGGTTGCGAACGTGATCCGTGTGAGATGCACGTTCGGAACCCGCGTCTACACATGCGCGGGTTGCGATTCGGTCCTTCTATGCATGTGCAAAACGCGATTTAGTGCTTCTGCTCATGTGCGACCGCCGAAACCCGGAAGTAATCCGTTCTGGTACTTCTGGGTTTTGGCGGTCCACAACCCGAAAAAACACAACCTGAAGCATCTGTAACCCGAGGTATGACTGTACTCTAGTGGTCCCGGGCCCTAAGGAAGTCAGATTAGCCTCAACCAGGGCCAGGGCCTTTTTAACACTGGCTCCGGCCTGGTGGAATGCTCTGTCTCATGAGACCAGGGCCCTGTAGGATCTGATTTCTTTCCGCAGGGCCTGTAAGACAGAGTTGTTCTGCCTGGCCTTTGGCTTGGAGTCAGCCCAATCCCCTCCCCCTCTTTCCTTTTCCTTCTGTGATGGAACCCCTATTTGGGGACTTCCCTGACTTTTTTCTGGCCCACATAGGACCAGTCTGGATAGTTGGCCTTGGTGAAGATTTGACATCCCCCCACCCTGCCCAAAAAACAACAACAGTTTTTTATCTGGGCTTCCACTGAAATGAAGCTGCTTTTTAAGTTGTATTTTAATCCTTTTTTTAAGTTGTATTTTAATCAGTTTTTTTTATACTTGATGTTAGCCACTTTTTATAAAAGAATGGAGATGGTTTATTGAATATTTACAGATAAATTGCAAACAGATAAAAGCATTAGCAGGATTTTTGTAATAACCTGCAGTTTCACAAGAGTATATATTTAAAGTACATAAACAAGTGATCAAATTAAATGAATTTGGATATGTGTGTGTGTGTGTGTGTGTGTGTGTGTGTATATATATGTGTGTGTGTGTGTGTGTGTGTGTATATATGTGTGTGTGTATGTATGTATGTGTGTGTGTGTATATATATATATATATATATATATATATTTTCAGGAACTGCAGAAAGAGGGGGAAGGAAGTCAAGTTTTGAAATGTTAAAATTATGGAAATGCATAAACCTGAAAAGGATAAATAAAATTAAATTTAAAAAGAGATTGCAAGGTTTTGCTCAGAAGGTCCAGTCTTACACCGTTCCTAAAGGGTGGAGCCCACAGCTGATTCTTTAGGCGAGGTGGTTCCGAGTCTAATGGGGCTTCCTTTTTGTAGGTATCTGAAGCGCTTCAAGGAGATGAAGCTAAAAGTCCTCCAACGCTGGAGCAGACAGATCCTACGAGGTCTCCATTTCCTCCACACGCGGTCGCCTCCGATCATCCACCGCGACCTGAAGTGCGACAACGTCTTCATCACGGGCCCCACGGGCTCCGTCAAAATCGGGGACCTTGGTCTGGCCACACTCAAGCGAGCGTCATTTGCCAAGAGTGTCATAGGTACCTGAATGTTTCTGTCTCTGGGGGCCAGGTTTGGATAATGGGAATTAGAGCAGGCATGTATCCGGTAAAGAGATCAAAGACTGAATGGGGGGAAAGTTGGATGAACCAGCCAAAGACCATAAAGGTAAAGAGACCCCTGACCATTAGGTCCAGTCGTGACCAACTCTGGGGTTGCGACGCTCATCTCGCTTTATTGGCCGAGGGAGCCGGCGTACAGCTTCTGGGTCATGTGGCCAGCATGATTAAGCCGCTTCTGGCGAACCAGAGCAGCACACGGAAACGCCGTTTACCTTCCCGCTGGAGTGGTACCTATTTATCTACTTGCACTTGACGTGCTTTCAAACTGCTAGGTCGGCAGGAGCAGGGACCGAGCAACGGGAGCTCCCCCCGTCACGGGGATTCGAATCACCGACCTTCTGATCGGCAAGCCCTAGGCTCTGTGGTTTAACCCACAGCACCACCCGCGTCCTGCTAAAGACCATAGAATCATATAATTGTATAGTTGGAAGGGACCATTCTGCAATGCCAGGAATCTCAGCTAAAGCATCTATGACAGATGGCCATCTAACTTCTGCTTTAAAACCTCCCAGGAGATTCCCCAACCTCACGAGGGAGACTATTCCACTAACAAACAGCTCTTACTGTCTGAAATTTTTTTCCTGGTGTTAAGTCGGAATTTCTTTTCTTGGAGCTTGAAGCCCTTGGTTCGAGTGCTCCCTTCCAGAGCAAGAGAAAACAAGCTTGCTCCATCTTCCATGTGGCAGCCATTGAGATACTTGACAATGGCTGTCAAATATCCTCTCAGTCTCCTTTTCCAGGCTAAACATACCCTGCTCCTTCAATTGTTCCTCATAAAGCTTGGCTTCCACACCCTTGATCTTCTTGGTTGCCCTCCTCTGCACACGTTCCAGCTTGTCAACAACCTTCTGAAATTGTGGTGCCCCGAATTGGATGCAGTGTTCCAGGTGTGGTCTGACCAAGGCAGAATAGAGTGGAACTATTACTTGCCTTGAAATGAACACTATACAGTGGTACCTTGGCGTCAGGGAACTGACATCAGAGCAAGAGGTGAAGGGGAGGCTCCTAGATGATGCTGGCGAAGGACCCAGCAGCAGGGGGAGAAACAGCTCAGTAGAGGGGGAAGCAAATCAGCGCAACACCAGGGATAAGGGAGGGCAGATGGGGGAATCGGAGAGAGGGCTCCAGGACTCTTCACTGGACCTCAGTGAGGAGGGGACAGGTCCTCCGCTACCCACGCCCTCCCTGCGCAGAAGACTCCGCGCAGTGAGAGGAGGAGGAGACTGGGTGTCAAACAACTTTTATGTTGGAAGAGGTTCAAGAAACGCCCACTGACGGATTCTGCCAGCGACTGAGGCAGCCACGATGAGAAAGGGCTGTGCAGTCAGAAAGGTTTAACAAGGCAAATTAGCCTAGAGAGGCACCAGTTTACGCACGAGTAACTCATACTCATTACACTTGGGTTACATACACTTCAGGTTACATACGCTTCAGGTTACAGACTCCGCTAACCCAGAAATAGTACCTCGGGTTAAGAACTTTGCTTCAGGATGAGAACAGAAATCGTGCAGCGGGGGGGGGGGGGCATTAGCTAAAGTGGTACCCCAGGTTAAGAACAGTTTCAGGTTAAGAACAGACCTCCAGAACGAATTAAGTTCTTAACCCGAGGTACCACTGTACTTCCATTGATTCAGCCTAGAATAGCATTAGCTTTTTTTGCTGCTGCGTCACTCTGTTGACTCATGTTAAACTTGTGGTCCACCAAGACCAGTTAAAGTTAAAAACTCCGTAAGAGGCTCGGGATTGTTGTGACGCTTGCCAAGGATAGGAGTTGCACAGGTGAGGAGCAGACACCAAGGATACCTGCTCTGCCTGCTTTCACCAGGTGCACAGATGGCACGATGAGAAGTGTGTTCTGCTTGAATTGAGAAATAGTTGTGGAAGAGATGTGCCGTAGCTCAAGGTTAAAAAGGTAAAGGTACCCCTGACTGTTCGGTCCAGTCACGGACAACTCTGGGGTTGTGCGCTCATCTCGCTCTATAGGCCAAGGGAGCCGGTGTTTGTCCGCAGACAGTTTTTCCGGGTCATGTGGCCAGCATGACTAAGCCGCTTCTGGCGAACCAGAACAGCACATGGAAACGCTGTTTACCTTCCCGCTGGAGTGGTACCTACTTATCTATTTGCACTCTGACGTGCTTTCGAACTGCTAGGTGGACAGGAGCAGGGACCGAGCAACGGGAGCTCACCCCGTCGTGGGGATTCGAACTGCCGACCTTCCGATCGGCAAGTCCTAGGCTCTGTGGTTTAGACCGCAGTGCCACCTGTGTCAAGCTCAAGGTTATTAGATCCTTATTAGTCAGAACTGGAGATCTTCAGCGGAAGCTGGATGCGTAATGGGATGGCACCTATTTCACATTAAAGGGTTATCCTAAAATCATAGAATCCTGGAATTGTAAAGCTACAAGGGGACCCCAAGGGCCATCTAGTCCAACCCCCTGCAATGCAGGTATATTCCAGCCAATGTGGGTCTCGAACCCACAACCCTGAGATTGAGAGTCTCACGCTCTACTGGCTGAGCTAGTGGCTGAAGGTGGCTGAGCCTCAGATAAAACCCCTTCCTTCCTCTTCTCCCAGGAACCCCAGAATTCATGGCTCCAGAGATGTACGAGGAGAAATACGACGAAGCCGTGGATGTCTATGCCTTTGGCATGTGCATGCTGGAGATGGCCACCTCAGAATACCCCTACTCGGAATGCCAGAATGCGGCTCAGATCTATCGCAAGGTCACTTCGGTGAGAGCATAGCCTCTTGTTTTCTCAGGAAGTTAGGGCTGACCTCTCTCCCTTATGGGCTACACCCCTTGCTAGGTCCCCAGGCGTCTCCTCCTCCTCCTCCCAGGGAGAAAAGTAGAAGAGTTTGGATTTGATATCCCTCTTTATCACTACCTGAAGGAGTCTCAAAGCGGCTAACATTTTCCTTTCCCTTCCTCCCCCACAACAAACACCCTGTGAGGTGAGTGGGGCTGAGAGACTTCAGAGAAGTGTGACTAGCCCAAGGTCACCCAGCAGCTGCATGTGGAAGAGCGGGGAAGCGAACCCGGTTCACCAGATTACGAGTCCACCACTCTTAACCACTACACCACACTGGCTCTCACTCTCCTGCCCCCCCAAATATTTCACTATTAATAAACTTCTTCTTAACTGTATTTCAGTTCAACAATTACTTTGATAAAATACACATTTTGTTATGTGCAAATGGCTTGAGATACCTATTAGGTCCATAAATCACCATGTAGCATATATTCCACTCAAAAAACAGCAACAGTTTGTTGTTGACAAAGGACAGCTGGACATATAAAGGGCCCCATTACCTTCAGTAGCTTAGGGCCTCATCAAACCTAAATCCGGCCCTGACTGCCTCGCAGGGTTCTTCTACCACTCTTAACCACTACACCACACTGGAGAGAGAGAGCCAAGGAATCTGGAAAGTGTTTGATGCAACTTCGGGATTTAAGGAGGGAAGGTTGGGAATGGGTGGGCTTTTATGGCCAGGGAAAAGTGATCATTACGGAAGGCGGATCTCGTTTATGTTCTTAGCACAGAATCCTACCCACGTACAACAGCTGGGACAGAGCAGCCCAGGTTTGACTTCTGATCAAATGTTTTCTCCACGTTTGCAAACTTTTCTGCAACTCCAGAAAACTGGGTCCTCCACCAACCCCTGTTCTGCTTTTTTCCCCATTTCCTGGTATGTCCCACGGAGGACCTTACGGTCTTCAAACAAAAACATCTTGGAGGTCCCGGGCCACAGGGAGGTTAGGCTGGCTTCAACCAGAGCCAGGGCTTTTTCGGCTGTGGCCCCGATCTGGTGGAACACTCTGTCACAAGAGACTAGGGCCCTGCGGGACTTGACATCTTTCCACAGGGCCTGCAAGACAGAGCTGTTCCACCAGGCCTTTGGCCAAGGCAGAGTCTGACCCCCTCCTTTGGCAATCCTCACAGAACTCTAGCCCAATGGTTGCCATTAATTTGATTCTGAATTAATTTTAGAATGAATTGATTTTAGAATGCTGTGTTACCTTTATTGTTGTTAGCGCCCACTCTGCACAGTAGGTTTCAGCGCAGGGAGGGGAGGAGAAGGTTGGGGGTCAAGCGACTGTTATGCTGCGGGAGGTACAAGGACCGACCACCCCCAGATTCTTCTAGCGACTCAGCCAGACATGAACTTGCGACGCTCTTCACTGTAAATAGTTTGCACTAAGAATAAAGCCTGGAAAAGGAGTCTTGCCTGTTTGCTCTCGAGCAATCACACCACCATCTGCCGGGGGGGGGCTGGTAAAATTGTGGGGGGGACTGATGTCCCACCTCCTAGTTTTCTGGTTTCTTCCCCTCCCAGGTTTTCATATCCCTAACTTGCAAGCAAAATCTTTCTCCCAGGGGACAAGGGGCTTGGAAGCCTCATGATGCCCTGACTTCTGTCCACCCACTAACCTCCCCCAAAACCTCTGGACTCCCTGGCCCCGTCTGAACTGCCCTCCGTCCCTTTTATCACAGGGCATCAAGCCCAGCAGTTTTTACAACGTGAAGGTGCCTGAACTGAAGGAGATCATCGAGGGCTGCATCCGGATGAACAAATATGAAAGGTAGGGGAGATCTCCGCCGCTGGCCTGCTACCCTTGGTGGGTAAATGGAAATAGGGTCAGGGAAACCTGTTGCTTTCTGGGTTTGGTTGGGCTGCCTATCACCCCTGCCCAATGGTCAGGCCGGCCGAGGCTGATGGGAGTTGGAACCCAGCAACTATTCCCCGCCCCGATACAGGTTACAACCCAAATAATGTTTTTACTTTAAAGAAGTAATAATAATAATAATAATAATAATAATAATAATATATTATTTATACCCCATCCATCTGGCTGGGTTTCCCCAGCCACTCTGGGCAGCTTCCAGCAGAACACTAAAATACAATAACCTATTAAACATTAAAAGCTTCCCTAAACAGGGCTGCCTTCAGATGTCTTCTAAAAGTTTGGTAGTTGTTTTTCTCTTTGACATCTGGTGGGAGGGCGTTCCACAGGGCGGGTGCCACTACCGTGAAGGCCATCTGCCTGGTTCCCTGCAACTTGGCTTCTCGCAGCGAGGGAACCACCAGAAGGCCCTCAGCGCTGGACCTCAGTGTCCGGGCAGAAGGATGGGGGTGGAGACGCTCCTTCAGGTTCACTGGGCCGAGGCCGTTGAGGGCTTTAAAGGTCAGCACCAACACTTTGAATTGTGCTCAGAAACGTGCTGTACAGGGCTCTTCGTTTGCGAAAACTCCAGGACGCTTGGGCAAAGAACAATGGTCTGGGTTGTTGTGGGGTAGAAACTTGGAGACACATGTGGAAATGCAGAACACGTTGGAAGCCTCATCCCCAATCTGCAGAAAAGGGTGTGACACATACTTAAACATGTCACCTGTTATTTTAAACTGCACGTAAGAATGGCAGAAGTCTCTTGCTGGATTGGACGAGTCTGTGGGTCATGTAAGCAGTGCTCTTTTTCCGAGGGGAAAATAAAGCTGCCTGTACCACTCAGCCGCAAGTGGGCCAAGGGTGGGTACTCTGCACGTGCTCAGAGGCACGTTGCTCTTGCCCATCATTTCTTAGGCGCCGACGGACAGGCCAACCGTAAGTGACCTGCAGGTTTGGGGAGCGACTTTGGAAAGAATGCTGATTACAGGAGGGCTGGAGGCTCTTCATACGTACGAGGGCCTGCCGTTTTTGTTCTCATCCAGCCTTTGGTTGGACTCTGCTCACAGAGCAGCGTTTTCTGCTGCCCGCCTGCCCCTTCTGTGAGCGACATTCGCCGCTATGCTCTCCAGCGGGGAAAGGGGAGCCATGTGTACTTCCTCCTTGTTAGACAGCAACGTGAAGCACATCCGGAAAAGCAGAGCGCCGATCGGCTCCTCCGGAGCGTGCTTGCTCTGCCCTCAGCGGCAGTGATTTATTTTTTAAATACAGTGGTACCTTGGTACTTGAACAGCTCGGCTCCCGAACAAATCGACTCTTGAACACCGCAAACCCAGAAGTGTTCCAGTTTGCGAAGGTTTTCGGAAGCCGAAAGTCCAACGCGACTTCTGCTTGAGTGCCAGAGGCTCCTGCAGCCAATCGGAAGCCGTGCCTTTGTTTTCCAACGGTTTCGAGAGTCGAACGGACTCCCGGAACAGATTAAGTTCCGCAACCAAGGTCCCACTGTACCGCAGTATCACTGGAAATTCCATATATCAAATGCTAATGAGAACTTCAACATGCTGCTCAAGTCTTCAGGAGACTTTAGGATTTTTTAAAGAACAAACACATAAAATGGGAACTGTGCTCATGGACTAATCTTGAGGTCCAGCTCCGAGGGCCTTCTGGCGGTTCCCTCCCTGTGAGAAGTGAGGTTACAGGAACCAGGCAGAGGGCCTTCTCGGTGGTGGCACTCGCCCTGTGGAACGCCCTCCCATCAGATGTCAAGGAAATAAACAACTATCTGACTTTTAGAAGACATCTGAAGGCAGCCCTGTTTAGGGAAGCTTTTAATGTTTGATGTTGTATTGTGTTTTTAATATTCTTTTGGGAGCTGACCAGAGTGGCTGGAGAAACCCAGCCAGATGGGCAGGGTTTAAATATAAATAAATTATTATGGGCCACCCAACCCTTCAGCCTCTGCCTCTGCGCTATCTAAGCGTTCCCTTCGCCACCATCCTAATTCTGCGCCCTGCTTTAAATCCGCCTCGCCTCCCTCCCTCTCTTGCAGATACACCATCAAATATCTCCTGGACCACTCCTTCTTCCAAGAGGACACGGGAGTCCACGTGGAGCTGGCTGAAGAGGACGATGGCGTGAAGTCCAACCTGAAGCTGTGGCTGAGGATGGATGACACAAAGAAGCTACACGGGAAGTATAAGGACAACAACGCCCTGGAATTCCGATTTGAGCTCTACAAGGATGTGGCTGAGGAAGTGGCACAGGAGATGGTACGAGTCGCTGTTCTTCTCAGGGGTTGGGGAGGCTGGTCTGGGGAGTCCAGGAGTTAGAAGGGGCTCATGGGCAGGGAAGACGGGAGAGGACCGGAAGCATTGGGTGGGTTGCAAAAAGGAGAGGTGCCCTGGCTTCGGCCTACCTAGAAGTCACTGGGAACCGGCTCCTCAGTTACATTTTCTTCAGGATTCTACAGAGTTTGCCTCTCAGGCAATAGCTGCATAGTTACCTTGTACAGTGGTACCTCGGGTTACATACACTTCAGGTTATATACACTTCAGGTTACAGACTCCGCTAACCCAGAAATAGTACCTCGGGTTAAGAACTTTGCTTCAGGATGAGAACAGAAATCGTGTTCCGGCAGCAGTGGGAGACCCCATTAGCTAAAGTGGTGCTTCAGGTTAAGAACAGTTTCAGGTTAAGAACGGACCTCTGGAACGAATTAAGTACTTAACCTGAGGTACCACTGTATAAGCGCACAACATCATTATGGAATCTTTCATTAGAGGAAAGTGAGTTCATGGCCCATACGCCATGGAGGTACAGTGGTACCTCAGTTTTCGAACGTAATCCATTCTGGAAGGCCGTTTGACTTCTGAAACGTTCGAAAACAGAAGCATGCATTTCTGGAAGCATTTACGTCCGGAAAACTCAAAACGGAACCTGCTTGGCACGTTCGGCTTCCGAAAAGCGTTCGAAAACCAAAGCAGTTACTTCTGGGCTTTTGATGTTCGAAAGCCGAAACGTTCTACTTCCGAGACGTTTGAAAACCGAGGTACCACTGTAAGTGTATTCCTGGGGCTCGAGGTAGATTAGGACAATGAAATATTAATACAGTGGTACCTCGGGTTAAGAACTTAATTCGTTCCAGAGGTCTGTTCTTAACCTGAAGCACCACTTTAGCTAATGGGGCCTGCTGCTGCTGCCGTGCCGCCGCTGTTTCTGTTCTCATCCTGAAGCAAAGTTCTTAACCCGTTGTACTATTTCTGGGTAAGTGGAGTTTGTAACCTGAAGCGTCGGTAACCCTAGGTACCACTGTATAGCATTACAGTGGTACCTCGGGTTACGTACGCTTCAGGTTACATACGCTTCAGCTTACAGACTCCACTAACCCAGAAAGAGTACCTTGGGTACCTCGGGTTAAGAACTGTGCTTCAGGATGAAAACAGAACTTGTGCTCCGGCGGCGCGGCAGCAGCGGGAAGCCCCATTAAGCTAAAGTGGTGCTTCAGGTTAAGAACAGTTTCAGGTTAAGAACGGACCTCCGGAACGAATTAAGTACCTAACCTGAGGTACCACTGTACTACTAATAATTTAATATGGCTTTTCTTTAGGGAGTGGGAAGCACAGTTGTCTCACAGCTAGGGCATTAGAAAATGGCATCAAATGAGCTCCTAGATACATTGCATAAGTTCCTTTTGCAAGGGCTGTGGTCACTCTCACACCGTAACTTTAAAGCATATTCATACCACTTTGAACAGTCATGGCTTCCCCCACAAAGAATCCTGGGCACTGTCGTACATTGGGGATGCTGAGATTTGTTCAAAGCAACAATCCCTAGCCCCCTTCGCACAAATGACAGTTCCCAGAATTCTTTGGGGGAAAGTGCGTTTGTGCCAGAATTCGAACTCTTGTTTCCTCCAGCTCCTTCACTTCTGTCCCTGCCTGCTCCTACTCCCCGCTCCCGCAGGTGGTCTTGGGCTTTGTGTGCGAGGCCGACTACAAGCTGGTGGCCAAAGCGGTGCGCGAGCGAGTCCTGGCCATCAAGCGCCAGCGCGAGAAGGCCAAGCGAGCCCAGGAGGAGCAGAGGCGGCACGAACAGGCTCCGGACATCCTTCATCTGCTGGACCTAGACTCTCCGCCCCCTCTCAGCCCTGCCCAGCCCTCGGCACCCACCACGCCCGGATCCGGGGATTCTGCACTCGGCCCAACTTTCCCCCCTGAGCCGGAAGAACCAGAGGTCGACCAGCACCAGACTTTCCGATATCAGCATGGCTATTCCTCAGCCACATGTAAGCTCCCTCGCTCCATCACCCAAGGGACTCTGTAGGCGACTATTACATACGAGAGCATACACGGCGGGTGGTGCTGTGGTCTAAACCACTGAGCCTCTTGGGCTTGCTGATCGGAAGGTCGGCCGTTCGAATCCCTGCGATGGAGTAATAATAATAATAATTTATTATTTATACCCCGCCCATCTGGCTGGGTTTCCCCAGCCACTCTGGGCGGCTTCCAACACAACAGTAAAATACAGTAATGCCTCAAACATTAAAAGCTTCCCTAAACAGATGTCTTCTAAAAGTCTGGTAGTTGTTGTTCTCTTTGACATCTGGTGGGGGGGCGTTTAGAGGAAGGCATTTAGAGGAGTGAGCGCCCATTGCTCTGTCCCAGCTCCTGCCAACCTAGCAGTTCGAAAGCATGCCAGTGCAAGTAGATAAATAGGTACCACTCTGGCTGGAAGGTAAACAGCGTTTTCGTGCGCTCTGGTTTCTGTCACGGTGTCCCATTGCGCCAGAAGCGGTTTAGTCCTGCTGGCCACATGACCCGGAAAGCTGTCTGTGGACAAACGGCGGCTCTCTCGGCCTGAAAGCGAGATGAGCGCCGCAACCCCATAGTCGCCTTTGACTGGACTTAACCGTCCAGGGTCCTTTGCCTTTGTCCTTTACGAGAGAGTACCAGCATGGTGTAAGTGGTTAGAACAGCAAAATTAATTCGGTGTCACCTCAGCTTGCCGTTTCTGAAAGCTAACCCCTCAACATTGATATGAGGAAATGTGGAGGGCAGATATTACATTTACCACTTGTTATGCCGTTAAGGAAAATTGTTTGAAAATGCTACACAGATGGTATTTGACACCCTGCCAGTTGGGCTAAGATGTGTAGAACAGTCTCAAATAAGTGTTGGAATCCTATGCAGATGGAAGGTTCCTTTTTCCCTACCTGATGGACATGCAAAAAAATATATAATGAACTAAAAAAAAAAAAGATGTTCAGAATAGATTTAACCGCAAAGCCAGAAGCATTTCTTCTGGGAATATGTGAAACAGAGATCCCAAAAAAAGTTGGTAAAATTGTTTTTGTATGCCACCACGGCAGCCAGAGTACTCTACGCACAAAAATGGAAAACACCAGAAATCCCAACAAAGGAGGAATGGGTACTCAAGCTACTGGGGTGCTCAGAAGTGGCAGAACTCACAGCTAAAATAAGAAATCAGAAAGACAAAATATTTGTGGAAGAATGGAGACCCTTTTCAGTCTATATAAGAACGCAATATGGCCAAATAAAATTTCAAACAGGTTTGGACTAACGAGCAATGGCAAGACAATAGAAAAGATTGTAATACGTGATTTAGGTAAATAGATAAGCTTTAAGAGGCTCGACAGGCAGCGGGGAAGAGAGAGAATTAGACTATCACAGATGTAAGGATGGAAAGTCGCTGGGACAAATAAATAGATTTGGATGTCAATTGTGTGTTACATGATCTGAATGTAAATCAATGTAAAATAATAAACATATATGGGACAAAGTTCCCAGTGAACTTGTAGGGCTCCCGAGTTAGAAGCCAGGCCCGGTCTTTCGTTTCGCAGTCACCCTTTTTCTTTCTCATTTCCAACCCCCAGCTGATTGTGAGACGGACGGATACCTGAGCTCCTCTGGATTTGTGGATTTGTCGGACTTGCCACAGAGCTGCTCCAGCCCCCCAGTCGCCCCTGAGCATTCCTTCGCTTCGGTGAGTGGCAGTGCTGACCCTTGGCATGGGCAGCCGTGGTGCCCCTGTGCGCTATGAACTAGGGAGGTGTTGAATTGTCACGGCAACCTGCCTTCAACGGTGGTTTTTATATCCCCAGACCATTGCTGTGAGCGTGAATTCCATCAGCGACTTCCCTTCCCCTGGGGACAGGTAAGGACATGTCGGATTGCTATGGGGAGATAATTTGCTACAGGGTTTAGGTTGCTGGGAACATGAGGAGATACAGTGGTACCTCTGGTTATGAACTTAATAATAATAATAAGAATAATAATTTAATATTTATACCCCACCCATCTGGCTGAGTTTCCCCAGCCACTCTGGGCGGCTTCCAATCAAGTGTTAAAAACAATACAGCATTAAATATTAAAAACTTCCCTAAACAGGGCTGCCTTCTGATGTCTTTTAAAGATAAGATAGCTACTTATTTCCTTCACATCTGAAGGGAGGGCGTTCCACAGGGCGGGCGCCACTACCGAGAAGGCCCTCTGTCTAGTTCCCTGTAACCTCACTTCTCACAATGAGGGAACTGCCAGAAGGCCCTCGGAGCTGGAACTCAGTGTCCGGACTGAACGATGGGGGTGGAGACGCTCCTTCAGGTATACAGGACTAAGGCCATTTAGGGCTTTAAAGGTCAGCACCAACATTTTGAATTGTGCTTGGAAACATACTGGGAGCCAATGCAGATCTCTCAGGACCGGTGTTATGTGGTCCTGGCGGCCACTCCCAGTCACCAGTCTAGCTGCCGCATTCTGGATTAATTGCAGTTTCTGGGTCACCTTCAAAGGTAACCCCACGTAGAGCGCATTGCAATAGTCCAAGCAGGAGATAACTGAACCTGAAACCATTCTTAACCTGAAACCGTTCTTAACCCGAGGTACCACTTTAGTTAATGGGGCCTCCCGCTGCCGCTGCACCACCGGCGCACAATTTCTGTTCTCATCCTGAGGTACAGTTCTTAACCCGAGGTACTACTTCCAGGTTAGTGGCGTCTGTAACCCGAGGTGTTTGTAACCCGAGGTGTTTGTAACCCAAGGTACCACTGTACCTGCTTCTCTCACATTCCTCATCCCAAGCCTTGCTGTTAAGCTTGTGGGGTGGTGTCAGAGGCATAGTGTGAGGAGGGCAGAGGGGCCATGGGCCCGGGCGCATGATTTTGAGGGAGTTGAATCTAGGTGGCTCCATCACAGAGGCCATAGCCGCAGGGAGGCAAGCTGCCATTGGGATGATGGTGCCTCCTTCTCCTCATAACTGGTGAAGGATGCCCACACATGCCCTTGCCACAGATTCACCCGAGGGATTCAGAGGGGCAGTAAGCCGAGGTGCATTTCATCGCGTGTGCCCAGATCAGTCACATTTGCTCATGTTTCACTTCCTGTTTTGGTTTCCCACGACGCAGCTACACGTCCGATGTGGCGTCTGGCTTGAGCGATGGTTACGAGGGTATCTCTGCGAGCGAGCGCCGAGCAAAGCCCCTGGCCAAGAAGGGGTCTGGAAGACTGCTGCGCCGCCGTGCCCGATCTCGCCTACGCATCACAAATGTGAGCGCTGCCCGCATTGCGACAGGCTTGGGTGCTATGTGTCCTGATCGGTGGGATATTTGTGTGTGGTTCTGAACTCCCATCTCCATTGTGCTAATATATATCCTGTGGTTCTCAGCTGGTTAGGTTTCCCGACTGACTGATAGTGGGCTGGATCCAGACTTAGTTGTGCTCTGAGTAGACCCACTGGAATTCAAGCCCCATAGATTGCATTGGGCCTGCTCTTGACATGACTAAGCATGGATTCAACCCTGTATTTTTCCCCCCAGAGTGAGACAGTCGGAGCTCACATGAATTACTGGTGTTCGAAGGAAAGGCTACCATTAATGTTTTCATTTTGCAGGGGGGACAACAGAAAAAAGGAACCCTTTGAAAACCATATGAAAACACAAAGCGCCTTGTCCTCCCCCTTCCTTTCCGGCCGTTGTGAGGGAAACCCCGCCAGATGGGCGGGGTATAAATAATAAATTATTATTATTATTATTACTATTATTATTTCCAAGCTTCAGAATTCAAATACCTTCAAAGAGCCAAACCCAGTCATTTCGGCAGCTGATTAATTGCAGCCCGTTATCATATATTATTTCAGGAGCGCCTCCTGATTAATGCCAATATTCCAAATTAATGAGGAACCAGTCACCAATCATTGCCAGAGACAGAGGCCTGTCCATGGCAGAGACACATTCCCAGGTCGCACCCGCTCTTGTCTTTCAAGTTGGCAGACACGAGCTTAAGCGGCACAGTGGGATGCAGTGAGCTCCCCAGAACCCCCTGAGGAGCAATTGCCAGGAATTTTACCTCATAAATCCTGACTTTCCCCTGCCTAAACCTCCCCACTGCCCCAGAGGGCAGCGGAGAGCTACCGCCATTAATCGTGACGTCAGGAGGAAACCCTGTTGACCTTGATTTTAAATGAGCTGTGTCACTTGAGTGTGATTCTAATCGTTCAGTGAGTGCTGTGGTATCTTCAAGCCGAAAGGCAAATTATTGGGCTAGCTTTGAGTACAAACTGCTGTGTGGGCACCAGTTCATTGCTCTCCCAGCTTCCCAGCCAGGGGCGAACGAAGGCGTTGTGACACCCGGGGCGGGGTGTCGCTACATAGGGCGCATGTGTGGCGTTGCTATGTACGGCGCATTTGCTGTATGTAGCGACGTCGCACATGAGCTGTATATAGCGGTTTGCCGGCACTCTAGCACCATACATACGGTGCCAGGATCCTCTGCTTGTGGCTGCAGCCGTGAACGGATGATCCTCTACATGCGGCTGTAGCCACGACGGAGGGATCCCACTGCTGTTTGTACGACGCTCGAGTGGCTCCAGCGGCAAACCGCTATGTACAGCGCATGTGCAGCGGCGTTACATACAGCGCATGTGTGTGACACCGCACATGCGCTGTACATAGTGGTTTGCCGCCAGTGCCCAGATCCTCTGCTCGCTGCTGCAGCCGCAAACGTAGGATTCTCCACATGCGGCTGCAGCAGCGCAATGGCTGCTTGCGCCGCCACTGTGGGGTGAGCCCCCGCAGGACACCTTCTTGTCACCCCCCCCCCGACATGGCATAAACTTACATCATGCAAGAGAGTGTATTCAGAAAGGACTCATTCAGGTGTACTACATGCCAGGAAACGAAATTCCTGCAGATCTGTTGTCTAAGGTTGTTAACAGAGAACAACTTAAGGTTTATGTACAGAGGTTGCAGTTGGGTTGAACCACAGGTACTACAGGTTACATGGAAAGGGGGAGGATGTTAGGATATAGTTCCGTTCCACCTTAAAAGGGAACAGGCATGGCTGTGTCACATGCCTGTTTACTTCCAGCACTTGCTGGGAACGTCCGTTTGTATATTGCTTTTGCATTGCTGCTGTTTTGCTGGACACGAAGGGAAGCAGACATGTTTCCTTTGTTCCTGAACTATGCTGAATAAATGCTGTAAATAAGCTTGCACATCTCTCTGTCCGCCACTTCTGCTGTGAGAAGATTTATTCACTCTGCTGATAGAGCGTGCACGGGTCTCTAAAGATATCTGAGGCTCGTGTCGCTGATTGATGCTGTTCCAAGGGAGACCGGTGATCGTCTGGCTGCCGGCCGGTGACTGGAACCAGCTGGGGGCCTGCCCGATGCCCCCGTCTCCCCAGGAGTATCCCAACAGTCACCTGGGGCGCACTGCCCCCCTTCACCCCCGTTGCGATGCCACTGTTCCCAGCGCCACCACTGTGGGAACAGGAAGCTGAATTAAATGGGGTATTGGCCTGATCCAATAAGTCTTTTCTTATGTGGCTTCTTCAAATCTAGTGTATTTGCTTTTAGACTCTTAAAATCAAGTGGCAGTTCAGACAAGTGCTTTCGTTCCTACGTAAGGAGAGGCTTCTGGATCAGGCCAATGGCCCAGCCAATTTGTATCCTGTACTCACAGTGGCCACCCAGAGGTTCGTGGGAAAACCCTCACGCAGGACCTCAGCACAAGAGCACACGCCTTTCCTGTGGTTTTCAGCTACTGGGCTTCGGAAGTATTTGCTGCCTCCGAAACATAACTGGCCACCCGGCAGGCATAATTCATCTGCAAATGAAAGCCAGAACTGGTCAGAAATGTCATATTTCAGTCTGTTCATCCAGTGGACTTGAGGAAAGGGGCACTCACCATTTCGTCCTTTCCCCTGCAAGGTTCTAGGTCAGGGGTCCCCAAACTAAGGCCCAAGGGACTCGTTTATCTGGCCCAGCGCTGCTCTGCGTGGCTCCCCACTTCCGGGTCGGAGGAGCACCGGAAATAGCTTGTTCGCATGCGTAAGCATTATTTGCGCATGCGCAAGCATTATTTCCGGTGCACATCTGGGTCGGAGGAGGCCTGGGCACATGCGCACAAGCTATTTCCGGTGCTCCTCCGACCCGGAAGTGCGCCAGAAATAGCGTGTGCACACACGTATGGGCACGCGCTCCCCTCCCTCTGGCCCGCCGCGCGATCGGCACTGGAGACACCGGTTTGCTGACCCCTGTTCTAGGTGCTTGGATAGTCTCAAGAGTCTCCATGTGGGTAGTGTTGTTGTTTAATTTGCAACCTTCCATGTGTGCAGATGCCAGTCCAGAATGACCGGGTGGTTGAGTGCCAGCTGCAAACGTACAACAACAAGATGGTGACCTTCAAATTTGACTTGGATGGAGACAGCCCAGAGGAGATTGCAGCTGTCATGGTGAGGACGCAGGGTTTTCACGCTGCGGGAAGATTTTGACGTTCTCAATCCTGACTCTGACTCCTCTCTTCCTTTGTGTCTCCGTCTTCTTCAGGTTGCCAAAGAATTCATCCTGAAATCTGAACAGGAGGGGTTCATCCGGAGAATCCGTGATATTATCCAGCGTGTGGGGACCCTCCTGAGCAAAGACCTGGGGGCTCTGGGCAGCCCTGAAACGGGGAGCCTGTCCCCAATTTTGGCTGCTGATGGACTCTCGGTGAGTGCCAGACCTATGGAAGTCGGGGGAATTTAGGCAGCCTCTTGGATGTTTCAGCCCTGATCTCCCCCTCTGGTTTCATGAAACCAGAATGAGGTCCAGCAAACCGTTTAGACGCACAGATGTGCTTTGTGAGTTGTTTAAAATGGACTTACAGGTGTCTTTCCCACTTGCCCATTTTGAATTTTATTGTTATTCATGTTTTTATACTGTATTTTATGCTGCATTTATAATTAAGTGTTTTAAATTTGTTGTTAGCCGCCCTGAGCCCGGTTTTTGAACCGGGAAGGGCAGGGTATAAATAAAAATTTATTATTATTATTTATTAGGTAAAGGTAAAGGGACCCCTGACCATTAGGTCCAGTCGTGACCGACTCTGGGGTTGCGGCGCTCATCTCGCTTTATTGGCCGAGGGAGCCGGAGTACAGCTTCCGGGTCACGTGGCCAGCAAGACTAAGCTGCTTCTGGCGAACCAGAGCAGCGCACGGAAACGTCATTTACATTCACGCTGGAGCGGTACCTTTGTCTACTTGCACTTTGATGTGCTTTCAAACTGCTTGGTTGGCAGGAGCAGGGACTGAGCAACGGGAGCTCACCCCGTCGTGGGGAATTGAACCGCTGACCTGATTGGCAAGTCCTAGGCTCTGTGGTTTTAACCCACAGCGCCACCCGCGTCCCCCTATTATTATTATTTATTATTCCCTGTCAAATTGAGTAAAGATCCCTTCCGACATCATCAACCTTCCCACAGCTTCTGGCAGCTTTTTCCTTGTTTCCTCCTCTCTCAGAGGAGGTGGCTCTTTTCCCAAGGTGGCTGTTTCCGCAGAGACAGGGCGGGTTGGACGAGGGTCCAAGCCCTCCTGAATGCCACACCTTGAGCAGAAATACCTTCCGTTTAATCCCAAATTTATGGTGGTTGGTTTGTGAAAAGGTAAAGGCACTCTGCACATGGTCCGAAGTATGCTTGTTTTATTACTTTACACATTTCAGGCCTAATTTCAGAGTAATCCCTGCCGGCAAACTAGCCCTATGTGCCTTTTCTTTCATCCATATGATGTTTTGGATTTCTCCTGGGCCCAACGAAAACATTTTATTTTTTAATTCTGTGTCATTGTAGGGTAAGCTGCCTCCACAAGGCCTCTCGCGCTCAATCTCTTCATCCTCATCTCTTAGCGGTATGTAACCCAAAACCTTTTGTACCCCAGATTAGCACACCTGTGCCCTTTTCTTAACCAGGGCTGATCTCTCAAGTTACCGTATTTTTCGCTCTGCAGGACGCACTTTTTCCCCTCCAAAAATGAAGGGGAAATGTGTGTGCGTCCTATGGAGCGAATGCAGGCTTTCGCTGAAGCCTGGAGAGCGAGAGGGGTCGGTGCGCACCGACCCTCTCGCTCTCCAGGCTTCAGGAAGCTATCCGCAAGCCTTCAATAAACGTTCAATAAACATTCTCCAATCTTCTCTAAACATATGTTTTTCTTGTTCTCTTATTCTATATGTTAAATCTGCAAGCTGTGCATATTCTGTCTACTTGAGCTGCTATTCTTCTTTGGTTGGGACCTCGCTGATTTTCCATTTTGGGGCTGACAAAACACGGGCCGCAGTGGTAGCATGCAAAAATAACCTTTTTTGACACCTGGGAATTTCAGTCTGAATTATCCCCAACAGAAAGGACTCTGGGGTTTTTTAGGAAAGCACTTTTAAACATTTTTAAAAATTCATTATAGATCATTCCCAATACAATGGTACCTCGGGTTACAGATGCTTCAGGTTACAGACTCCGCTAACCCAGAAATAGTACCTTGGGTTAAGAACTTTGCTTCAGGATGAGAACAGAAATGACGCAGAGGCAGCAGGAGGCCCCATTAGCTAAAGTGGTGCTTCAGGTTTCAAGTTAAGAACCTCCAGAACGAATTAAGTTCTTAACCCGAGGTACCACTGTACCCTTTTATGAGTCCACCACATATGAGAGAACGTTCCCTCAACCTCTTTGCTCCTTGTTTCAGATTTTGGTTGCTCCAGCCCTGGGCAGTCGGTCACGTCCCCCGTCCAAGCTTCTCTGGTAGACCCCGTCTCTGAGAACGAGTCCTTCAGCTCCAGGGCTCCCCCTCCAAGTACCCAGAACTTTGGGCTGCCTTTGCTTTCAGCAGTACCCACAGGTAAAACCAATCTGTTTCCAGCTTCCTGCATTCATAGAAATGCCCAGGCAAGTGTCAGCCTGGGAGCCAAATCACTCCTGCTTTCCCATGCGACATCAGTCCAGTTCCTTTGAACTGTGGAACACGGGTTGGATATCTAAGTATTTAGCAAGGAAATGGGATGGCCCGTTGCAAACAGAGGGTTTGTTGTTGTTTTTTGTTGTTGTTTTTTTAAAATGATATTTATTGAGATTTCAAAAACAAAAAATTACATAAAAGACAATGAAAAATATAGAAAAAAAGAAAAAGAGAAAAAACATACAAAATGCAAAGTATAGAAAAAAATATATAGAAAAAACACTTAGAAACAAATTTATCCTTCCATATCTTACATTTCATTTCCTTGCTTTCCTGACCTCCTCACACCTCCCTTTTTTGTATTCCGGTTCAATTGGTTAATTCAGCAATTCCTTTCCCTCTTTGTTTTTGTCTTAGTCCTTTAACTTAATATATTATAGCTTTAAATTCTCACCTATTAACCAGCCATTTTTTCATACACCTTTATGGCATTGCCGCTAGAACCACTTAATTTCATTCTGACATCATACTAACATTCATTAATTTTACAATATTTCTGTAAATAGTCTTTAAATTTCTTCCAATCTTCTTCCACCGACTCTTCACCCTGCAAACAGAGGGTTTGGAGTGTAGATGGGTGTGGGTGTGAATCCTGAACAAATACACCGAATCGGACACGCTTTCATATAGGAGTGTGTGGGTTTTTAAAAAGGTTTTATGGGTTTGGAGAAACGTGTAGGCCGATTCTGGCGAAATATCCAATCTTCTGTAGGAGACAGCTGTATATCATCCATAATTTTATTAAGAGAATTTTAATAATTAAGCAGTCCATCCATCTCCTTTCTGTATATAGTTTTAGTTCCATTACTGTTTTAACTACAGTCGTACCTTGGAAGTCAAATGGAATCCGTTCCGGAAGTCCGTTCGACTCCCAAAATATTCGGAAACCAAAGCATGGCTTCTGATTGGCTGCAGGAAGCTCTTGCAGCCAATCAGAAGCTGTGGAAGCCTCGCCGGACATTTGGCTACAGAAAATAGTTTGAAAGCTGGAACACTCACTTCCGGGTTTCGGTCATTCGGGAGCCGATTTTTTACGGGAGCCAAGGTGTTTGAGATCCAAGGTACGACTGTATTTCTTAATGATTGTTTTCTTCCCCCTGCGTTTTTGGAGATTCTTGCTTTTATCCGTAAGCTGCCTTGAATCCCACCATCAGGGAAAAGGCAGGGTAGAAAGAAACATAAAATGATGATGATGATGATTTATAAATACAGTGGTACCTTTTGGGGTGGGGGGGAGATCAGTTTCAGGTTAAGAATGGACCTCCAGAACGAATTAAGTTCTTAACCTGAGGTACCACTGTAAATAAAAACAAAGGCATCTCGCTTGGCCGCCCTGCCAACAAGGGCTTTGTGTTCTTCAATGATGATGTTTCCTTGCATCTCCTGCTCACCTGCCAAATCTGCCTTCCTCCTTACAGGTGTCCCCTGCGTGCCGGCACAGACCTGGCCGCCGTACCACATGCTGCCGCCAGCTCCTGCTACGCCTCCGTACCTCTTCCCTGTCCCCCAGCCCATCGCCCCGCTGAGCCCCCTCCTCCCCACACTGTCCCTCCCCCCACCGCCCGCCCCGCCAGTCGTCCCCGCCGTACAGCCTCCCGCCGCCCCGCTCTGGACCCCTTCCACGTCCCCGCTGCTCTCTCTCGCCAACGTCTTCTCCCTGGCGGTGATGAGCGTGGCTCAGTCCCTTCTTCCTGCCGTGACCGCGGCTTCCGCCCAGGCAGGACCTCTCTACACCTCGCCGGTCTCGCAGTCACCGGTGCTCTGCCCGCCTAGCCCAGCTCCCGCGCGATTCGTCTACCCTGAGGTCATGGTTCCTCCTGCCAAGCCGGCCCAGCTAGTCAATGGCGCATTGGGGATGCCAGCACCTCCAGGCTCTCTGCCGTCCCTGAGTACGCCAACCACCAGCAGGCCTGACGATGGCATGGTGAGTGTGCAGATGTGCGTGCTTCCTCCCGCCCCCCACACTTGTGCATGACCGCGTGCGCATGCAGTGCTGGGAAATAAAGAAATGGAACTATCTCAGGAAGTAGCATGGTTTACAACACCGTAATATATCCCCCAGGGTGGTGCTGTGGGTTAAACCACAGAGCCTAGGACTTGCCGATCAGAAGGTCGGTGGTTCGAATCCCCGTGACGGGGTGAGCTCCTGTTGCTCGGTCCCTGCTCCTGCCAAGCTAGCAGTTCGAAAGCATGTCAAAGTGCAAGTAGATCAATAGGTACCGCTCCGGCAGGAAGGTAAACGGCGTTTCTGTGCGCTGCTCTGGTTCGCCAGAAGCGACTTAGTCATGCTGGCCACATGACCCGGAAGCTGTACGCCAGCTCCCTTGGCCAATAAAGCAAGATGAGTGCCGCAACCCCAGAGTCGGTCACGACTGGACCTAATGGTCAGGGGTACTTTTAATGTAGCCCTCAGGCAGAAGATATAGAAGCATGATTAGTTGCACCAACAGGGTAAAGAACAGCTGCTATTCGTGGGCTGTTAGGCTGCTGAATGAAAAGATAACAACAGGGCAACGGACTTTTGGGTTGGGTGGGTGTGCGTCAGTAAACGAGGGGAATTAAGACTAAGAGAGCTGAGTGGGGGGTGCTCGTGTAATCTCACTATATACAAGTTGTACAAGTGACAATAAAAAATTTCAAATGTACCGCCAACTAAACTTCGCAATACAGTGGTACCTTGGTTCTCAAACTTAAACCGTTCTGGAAGTCCGTTCCAAAACCAAAGCGTTACAAAACCAAGGCGCGCTTTCCCATAGAAAGTAACGCAAAACGGGTTAATCCATTCCGGACGATTAACAGCAACCCCTCAAACAGCCATTTAACATGAATTTTACTATCTAACGAGACCATGGATCCATAAAATGAAAGCAATAAACAATGTACTGCAGCCACACAATCAATCAGTAGCCGAACTGGGTTCCACACAGTCACAAAAAAGAGCCGCAAAAACGCAAAATAAATAGCAAAAACAGACAGACCTCAGCTTAACACCCAAATCGGAAGTGTGGCGCTCAAAACGGAAGCGTAACACTCAAAACGGAGCTCGTTCGGCTTCTGAAAAAAGTTCACAAACTGGAACACGATGCAGGGGAAACTGTGAAGCCAGCTTATGCCTCTGCTGATATAGTTCCATCGTTATTTCAAACGTCGTGATACAGCAGTATATCGCAATATTTAGCTGGTGATATATAGCTGAGATGTGGGTGGCGCTGTGGGTTAAACCACAATGCCTTGGACCTGCCGATCAGAAGGTTGGCGGTTCGAATCCCCGTGACGGGGTGAGCTCCTGTTGCTCGGTCCTTGCTCCTGCCAACCTAGCAGTTCGAAAGCACGTCAAAGTGCAAGTAGATAAATAGGTACCTCTCCAGCGGGAAGGTAAACGGCGTTTCCATTCGCTGCTCTGGTTTGCCAGAAGCGGCTTAGTCATGCCGGCCACATGACCCGGAAGCTGTACGCTGGCTCCCTCGGCCAGTAAAGCGAGATGAGTGCCGCAACCCCAGAGTCGGTCAGGACTGGACCTAATGGTCAGGGGTCCCTTTACCTTTTACTATATCATGAAATTGAAAACCAGCCATCACCCAGCTCCTTTATGTCGTTCCACCGTTATTTCAAACATTGTGATATAGCGGTATATCGCAATATTTAGCTGACGACATATTGTGAAGTTGAAAACCAGCCATCACCCAGCCCTACTGTTCCCCTTTACGTAGTTCCATCGTTATTTCAAACGTCGTGATATATCACAATATTTAGCTGACGATATATCGTGAAGGTGAAAACCAGGTATCACCCTAAGCAGATTAGTTGTCCCAGGGTGTGGGTGCTAAATGTGGGTGTCCAGGAGGCAGGGAACTAACATTAGGTCCAGCGAATGGGGTGGAAATGGGGAGGTTCGGTACTGACCCCTCACATATACAAAACTTTCTCTCTCTCTCTACAGGTGCCTCCTGCGTCCTCGTGGTCTGGGTCACTGCTCAGTGCGCCAGATTCTTCCACCTCCAAGCTGCCGCCACCTCGGCTCTCGCCCATCAATGAAGGTGTGGAGTGTTTGGGGGCCGGAGATAAATCTTTGCGGCTGTGGCAATAGGGCGCGCAACTGTTTGGGGCAGCGGCGGGGCTTGGGAAAGCAGCTGCCTTCAGCGCAGAGTTCCACCTCCAGTCCTGGAAGCGTATTCTCTGTGCTCAAGAAAACACAAACTAGGAATGGAGAGACCTCTCACTGTGGCGGCCTTTTCACCTTTGCAAAGCTAAGCAGGGTCCGCCGTGGTTTCAAATGGGATGGGGGACAGCGTGTTGAGATCCCTGCATTGCAGGGGGGTTGGGATAGATGACACCCAGGGTCCCTTCTGATTCTGTGATTCTCGCTTGGCAACTGCAGCCGCGCTCCTTTGGAATAAGAGGAACGAGCGCTCAGATTTATGGCTTCAGGGCTTTTACGTTATTAAGCTTTATAAGTCTCACCTTTATTAATAAGAGTTTTCAGCATATGAAACATTAAAAGCCAAACTAATCTAAAAAGCAATAATACAAAACAATACAAAGAAAAGAGGAAAAGTAAATAACAGTAATAACAAAACAATAATAGCAAGAATCACAATAAAACACAAAATTAAATATATATATGCCTCTATTTTACCTTGATCTTCAAAACCACATACAAAGAAGTGAGTCTTCCCATCTCTCACCTGGGAGAGTTTTCCCGCTTCAACAAGCTGAGGAAAACCCACTCTGGTTTCTCTGTAACACAGATTCCCTTCATTTTCTACCCATGACCTTTCTGCATATATCTTCATTTATCCTGAATATAAACCTTCAGAAATCAAAACGTATATGTAAGAAGCAATAGAGAGCTATCAAGAATTCACAATCATAAAGAAAACAGAGAGGGGGAGGGGGAAAAACAAAGTAAGAAAAGATTAAAAGGGTAAAGAGGTTTCCGCTTCTCTATTCTCAGGGCAGTTAACAAAATAAAATCAAGAAATAAAAGCACAAAATACATAATAAAAATAACAACAACAACCCAATAGCCACCCCCCCCCAAAAAAACACATTATAAAAGGGCATAGGATGTCAAACAGATCAACCAAAGGCCTGGTTAAAAAGGAACGTTTTTGCCTGGCACTTAAAGGTGTATAATGAACGTGCCAGGCGAACTTCCCTGGGGAGAGCATTCCACAAACAGGGAGCCACTGCAGAGAAGGCCCCGTTCTTGTGTTGCTGCCCTCCGCACCTCTCGAGGAGGAGACACACAATTAGTACCAACATTATTAAAGAATTTAAGCACCGGTTGTTCTTTTTCCAAGAACCCCTTTATATTGGGGGACGCCTGAGGCTTCTCCCCATCCTCATTGTTAACCAAAGGTAAAGGGACCCCTGACCATTAGGTCCAGTCGTGGCCGACTCTGGGGTTGCGGCACTCATCTCGCTTTATTGGCCGAGGGAGCCGGCATACAGCTTCCGGGTCATGTGGCCAGCATGACTAAGCCGCTTCTGGCAAACCAGAGCAGCGCACGGAAACGCCGTTTACCTTCACACCGGAGCGGTACCTATTTATCTACTTGCACCTTGACGTGCTTTCGAACTGCTAGGTTGGCAGGAGCAGGGACCGAGCAGCGGGAGCTCACCCCGTCGCGAGGATTCGAACCACCGACCTTCTGATCGGCAAGTCCTAGGCTCTGTGGTTTAACCCACAGCGCCACCCGCGTCCCTTATTGTTATTGTTAACCTGCCCGCCCACTTTCCCCCCGCTGACAGAGCCCAAGCCCCAGATCCTGGGCCGTTTCCAAGTGACCCCCACCCGGGATGTGCTCCCCGAGAACCCCCCAAGGGGCGACAGCACCAGCTCTTCCAGCACCACGGAGTTGGACAGCGGGTCTCCGGGTGGGACGCCGGTGCAGGACGCTGAGGAGGGCACCACCCCTGTGGCGGAAGCGGAAGGGGAAGGGGAGGCTCAGCCCAGCACCCCCGTTTGGATGAGCTGCTCTCACAGCCTCTCGTACCCGAGCAGCGACGACTCGGACAGCCCTGAGGACGACGAGGTCTGGGACGAGCTGCAGGCCTTGCGCCAGAAGTGAGTGTGGGGTTCGTTGGGGGATGGAGGTCCCTTTCTCCCCGCCACCCCACCCCTCCGTGACCCAACGCCCGCTCTTTCCTTCTCAGGCACCTCTCTGAGGTCGAAGTTCTCCAGGCCCGGCAGAAGAAGGAGATTGAGGCGCTGTACGCCCGCCTGGGCAAGGTGCCGCCCGCCGGGATTGTGTCCCCCGCCGACATGCTATCCAGCCGCCAGCGCCGCTTCTCCAAGGGAAACCCCTTTGCGCGCCGCAGCAGCCTGCAGCGGGTGGACTTGGCGCAACCTCAGGGTAAGCTGCCTCCGCGCCGCCGGGCCACATTGGCAAGTGCCAACTGGAGGAGGTGGCTATGTGGCTCTCTGTTCTGAAGCTGGTGTGTGCTTTCTGGGTTTTCTCTGATTCATTGTTGTTGTTTAGTCGTGTCCGACTCGTCGTGACCCCATGGACCAGAGCACGCCAGGCACTCCTGTCTTCCACTGCCTCCCGCAGTTTGGTCAAACTCATGCTGGTAGCTTCGAGAACACTGTCCAGCCATCTCTTCCTCTGTCGTCCCCTTCTCCTTGTGCCCTCCATCTTTCCCAACATCAGGGTCTTTTCCAGGGAGCCTTCTCTTCTCATGAGGTGGCCAAAGTACTGGAGCCTGAGCTTCACGATCTGTCCTTCCAGTGAGCACTCAGGGCTGATTTCCTTCAGAATGGAAAGGTTTGATCATGCAGTCCATGGGTCTCTCAAGAGTCTCCTCCCGCACCATAATTCAAAAGCATCCATTCTTCGGCGATCAGCCTTCTTTACGGTCCAGCTCTCCCTTCCATACATCACTACTGGGAAAACCATAGCTTTAACTATACGGACCTTTGTCGGCAAGGTGATGTCTCTGCTTTTTAAGATGCTGTCTAGGTTTATCATCGCTTTTCTCCCAAGATTTGATTCATTAGTCCAGACTATTTTATTAAGGCAGCTTTCAGAGCCGGCCCAGCCAAGAGGCAACATGAGGCGACTGCCTCAGGCAGCAGGATCTGTTAGGCAGCAAATCCGGCCTCCGAAGAATGCATCACCCAGTTCCTCTGCTAGGTGCCCCCTTGAAGGCAAGATATGTTGCCTTTGCAACAGCCTATCAGCAAATAGGAGGCACTGCTGGTCTCCTTCCATTCCTGGGGAGGAAATGGCGGGGGCTGCCCGCTGGGGTCCCTTGGGCACTGCACGCAACTTGGCGCGATTCAGAGCAGGCCCCTTTCCCCCACAACAGCCTTTGATGCCCATTTCAACCATCGGGTTGAGGATGATTCGGTACCCCACTTGTTCCCAGTAGAGATCTTCACCCACTGTCAGGGACTGGCTGGATTAGAAGAGTGGTGGGAACCACACACCCAAGAGCCCCCAGAAGAAGGGCACAGAAGACGACGACTTCGGTCTCAGATCCCGGTGGTGGGACACTGAAGAGCAGTCAGCGGAAGGGACAAGCTGGGAGGTGCTAGAAGCAGGGGGTTTGAGCAATCAAGGGGGATGAGGAGAAGCAGGGTCTTCCAGGACTAGGGTTAGAGCAAACTTTTTCAGCAGGGGGCCAGTCCACTGTCCCTCAGACCTTGTGAGGGGCCAGACTATATTTTGGGGGGAAAATAAATGATTTCCTATGCCCCACAAATAACCCAGAGATGCATTTTAAATAAAAGGACACATTCTACTCATGTAAAAACACCAGGCAGGCCCCACAAATAACCCAGAGATGCATTTTAAATAAAAGGACACATTCTACTCATGTAAAAACACGCCGATTTCCGGACTGTCCGCGGGCTGGATTTAGAAGGCGATTGGTCCGAATCCAGCCCCTGGGCCTTAGGTTGCCTACCCATGGTAACCTAAGTCACAGTGGGAGTACAGGCTTAGACCGAAAGGAGTCAGAGTTTGGCCCTGCTACACAGCAGCAAACAGTCCCAGCCGCCTCTGTGCTTGGTAGAAAGGCGTTTTGGCACTGCTGGTATTGTGAACAAACCCCGTACATCTCTTGACAAGGAGGCTGAAATGTATGCCATTATTTATCAATTCTCGCTTCCCACAAATTACCTTTCCTCTCCACCGAACTATGCGATTTGTCACTGGGCTTTTCACTACACTCCCCTGCGTTGTAACTTTGCCGAAATACAAGTAGTTTAAATCTTTTTTCTGCTTTTTACCCTATCCCCATTTTCCTCAGTTGTGCCCATGTTGAGAATGTAGGCTTCTTGGGGCAGGGACCTGCCAATCCCCTTCTTCACCAAGAACCACGTGCATAGATAGCGATAAGTGTTGATCTTGCGCAACTCTGCATTTTCCTTATCCCTTCCACCCGCCCCCTTCCATACTAATGGTATCATGAAGGAGCTCAAACCTCTTTGTAATAGTCCCTTTCCCTCGCTCTTGTTGCCCCCGCAGGGATCATGAGGAGGAATTCTGTAAGCGGTGGGAGCACCAACACTTCCCAGGAGCAGCGACAGAGCAAAGGTGTGACGTTCGCCAGTGATATTGGATGCATGGTGAGTCGTGACCCTGGGGTGGAGGGTGAGAGAGTACTGGACCTCGGGCCACGCTCCAGAGGATTTAGATAGACGGACAGACACATGGGCGTTCACACACATCTTTAAATATTTATTCAAAAGTGAAGAGGGTTAAACAAACCCTTTGGAGGGAACAAGTCCCACATCAAGGTGTGTTCTATGGCAAAGGTTCATTTTACTCCCCCTGTCTTAAGGCAGAAACCCCCAGTGTGTGTGGTATTGGTGGTAATTGTTGTTTAGTCATGTCCGACTCTTCGTGACCCCATGGACCAGAGCACGCCAGGCACTCCTGTCTTCCACTGCCTCCCGCAGTTTGGTCAAACTCATGCTGGTAGCTTCGAGAACACTGTCCAACCATCCCATCCTCTGTTGTCCCCTTCTCCTTGTGCCCTCCATCTTTTCCAACATCAGGGTCTTTTCCAGGGAGTCTTCTCTTCTCATGAGGAGGCCAAAGCATTGGAGCCTCAGCTTCAGGATCTGTCCTTCCAGTGAGCACTCAGGGCTGATTTCCTCCAGAATGGATAGGTTTGATCTTCTTGCAGTCCATGGGACTCTCAAGAGTCTCCTCCAGCACCATAATTCAAAAGCATCCATTCTTCGGTGATCAGCCTTCTTTAGGGTCCAGCTCTCACTTCCATACATCACTACTGGTGGTATCTCGGCACGAAGTGAGATTCGAGCTTTATATAGTCTGAATGCCCATTGTTCAAGGACTTAAAAACTGTCGCTGTGTGTTTGTGCTCCTTTGTAACAGCAGCTTGGTGGCCGTATCTGTGTTCAGTTCCTAAACCTTGAAGTTAGAAGGATTATACACAGCAATGATATTCACAGTCTGCATACACACCGTAGATTTAAGGCACACCCCAAAGAAGAACCCTGGGAGCTGGAGTTTACCCATTGCACCCAGCCGCAATTCCCAGCACTGTTAGCAAACTACAGCTTCCGGGTGCCTTTGGGGGAAGAGAAATGTTCTTAAAAATGCTTGATGATTCCCAGCCCTGCTATCCAAGCTCTGCTTTTAATTGGAGATACTAGGGATTGAAGCCAAGGCCTTGTACATCCAAAGGACATGTTTACCACTGAACTACCGTATTTTTCGCTCTATAGGATGCACTTTTTTCCCTCCAAAAATTAAGGGGAAATGTGTGTGCGTCCTATAGAGCGAATGCAGGCTGCGTGGCTAAGCCCAAAGCCGGAACAGGGCGACGGAGCGCTCCGTCTCACTCTTCTAGCTTGGGGTTAGCTGCACAAAGCCTCTGCAGGCTGCAACGCTTCCCCCCACCGCCAGCCCCACAAGCTCGGGGGGCAGCGGGAAGGTGGTGTGCTGCCTTTGCGCTGTTCCCCGACCTGGTCTTTGAGGCTGGCGGTGGGGGAAGCAGTGCTTCCCCCCGCCAGCCCCAAAGAGCAGGTCGAAAGGAACCCAAAGCCTCCGGAGCCCAGTGGGAACTCCTGCTGGGCTCCGGAGGCTTCGGGTGAACGCACCTTGAACGCACAGAATGCACCTTGTTTTAGAGGGGGAGAACAAGAAAAATTCTCCCCCTCCTATGGTCCGGTACGTCCTATAGAGCGAAAAATACGGTACATCTCCCTGTCTCTTTTCCACCTATTTCCTTTTGTTCCTACAGTAGCAGCCGTGGACACATTTTGGACTACCTCAGCCTGCTGCCCACCATCAAGAGGACGGGAGCAGGTGGCAAAGGGTCCTGTGCAGCCTTTGCCTTACACTCCAACATCAAGGCCAGCAGCCATCGACGTAGGAAAGTTCCCCTGGCGGAACGAACAGACAAGCTGCCTCTGAGCAACGTACAGAAGCCAAGCGAGCAGCCCAACACTACAGACTTTTCCTCCACACAAGACTTTGTGTCTGCAGAGAGAAGCCAAGCCCCGGTTGTTTGGGGATGCGTTTTTGTGGGGAAGCCTGAGCTGGCAAGCCTTTCCCGCTGCTTCTGCCTCGCAAAGCAGCATCACTGTAAACGGAATCAGGATGTCGCCTGTTCCGTATGTGCTATGGGATGGGGTCTGCACACATGGACGGCGTAGGGTGTGCGCGCACCCAAGGCCGGGTCTAACTTAAGCAAGCGTCGCTTGATCCTCTGTGCCTTGCATGGCTCAATTCACAAAGCCACCCCAAGGCCAAAGCGCTTAGAAAACTTTAAGGAGCTGCCTTACGAGAGGAAACTTGCAGAATTTGTGCCTCAGTGTTAAAGGGATTGGGGGGGGGCGCCTCTCTTTCTTGCTTCCCTTAGCCTTAGCCCCCCGCTCAGCTCCTGCCTCCAACAGCAGTGGCACTACGTGTCACTAGTTCATGGCGTGTCTTTGCACTTTTTTACAAAAAAAAACCAAACCAAAACCCTGACCCTGATTGGGGCAATGAACTGCTTGGGCTCATCCTTTTCCTTGCATGGGAACCTGCACTTTGGAATGAAACACTGATGCTTTCTGTTTTGTGTATGATTTTTTTTTTTTTTATCACACACACACACTTTCATTTTGGAAGCGAAACAGATAATGCATCTGTGTTTTTCGGTGATTAATAAATAAAAGCAACCTCAAACTCCCACCAAGCAACACCCGGGACGTGAGGAAATTTTGCCTGTTATACTCAGCACTCAGGACTGCTCTCCCCTTGAAGGACAGACAACACACACCCTGCCAGGAAAGTAAACTCAAGCAGAACCAAAGTCAGTAAGCCAATATGCATGCAGCTGGGAGCTTTCCAAGTTCCCTGATCCTTCCCACCCCCAATTACACTCGGAGCACACAATTGTGTTGTCAATACTGTACCGTCCTTCTAACTGCATATTCTACAGATGTCATGCACCACCCCACAAACCAAAAATGAGTTCTGGAGACATCACATTCGGAATACATGAGGGGCGGAGGAGGTGGGAATGAGCTCCTGCAAACAACCCTCTCACAATCTGGGGTACAGGAAAGTTTTAACGGATTCATAACGGCAGAGATCACCATGGTAGGCTGGTGGTCGACCTGCTAATTTCAACAGGTGTTCTCTGAGCGGCACATAAGTTGAACACTGCCCATAGCTGCCCCAGCACGTTTTGCTGCTCTGGCGGTTGTGCACAAGTCTTTGGCTGCACACTGTGTACAGGGAATTGTAAAACTGTAGAGTTGGAAAGGACCACGACAGACATCTAGGCCACCCCTGTGCAATACAGGAATCTTTTGCCCAACACAGGGCTTGAACCCTGGGGCTAAGAGTTGCACGCTCTACTGACGGGGGGTGGGACTGAAAGGGTGCTAATATAAAGAGAAATTTAGTAGTCATCCTCAGCCTCACCGGACCCACAAATGCAAAATCTGTGGTGGATTGGAACTCCCATCCAAGAAAACAGAAGGCATATACTGGAGATGTAAAGCTGTTGACTGCTTTTCTTAAAGGAGCCACAGTAAGGGTTAATTCTCCAAGCTACGGTAAATATAATGGACACTGAGAAGAATAAGACATTTGTGTGGTTGAATACAAATCCCTCCACTTAAAATACAGATGGATTCTCTTTAAACATCTGCTTAACTCCACTGGAAGAAAAAGTAGGTATGTAAATCTGCAGTATTAATCCCATAAGCATGTAGGGTAGCTGTAACTTAAGTTTACCCAAGACTTTTGGAATGAAGTTCGCAATTGTTCTTGGAAACATCTTTTGTTTTTGGTTTTTGGGGCAGGTGGGGTGAGTTATTCATGCAAGTAAACTTCAGCCAATAGGCAAGTTCAAAAAGAGAACAAGTTTAAATGGAGATTAGCTCAGTTTATGCTCTTAAAACAAAACACAGGTGTACCTTGAAGGACAGGTAATAAAGATCGCAAGAAAGAATTCTGCAAAATAGAACCTTGGTATATCTTCATATCTTTACCAGGCATCAGCTGCAGAGCTGCTATCTTCAAGAATGCCTCTGGTGTTGTTTTTTTTGCAAAATCTCCAGAAAACAAGTAGTTTTAACCTATTTCTTAGGGAAATTGCAAAAAAAAAACCCCCATCACTTCCGATACGGGCTGCCCTATGCCCAGGTTTCCCCGGACATTTCAGCCACTTTCAGAAAATTCCGCCCGGATACCATTTCAAAGGACAAATCCCAGCTATGACATATGGCAGCCCTATGAACGGCCCCAAATTATTCAGGGTGGCGAAAAACGAAATGGATTTCAAGGCACTCCAAAAGAAAATCTTCAAACTGAGTGAATGGGCAACAAATTGGCAAACGAAGTCCAATATAAACTGCTGCACACCGCAGCAAAAGATAAATATCATAATTTCACATATACACATGATGTTTCTGCTGACTGACTGACCAGGAAAGGAATCCTGGGGTCAGGGAGGTTAGCTCAATGAAAACAAAACCAGGGTGCAGCAGCTGTGAAAAAGGCAAATTCCATAGTGTGGATCACTAGGAAAAGACTCTAAAGCCAAAACTGTTAATTCCTTTATACAAACACAAGGTGCAGCCACATTTGCAATACCGTGTACCTTTCTGGTAGCCAGTGCAGAAAAATGCAACCAAAATTATCAGGGAGCTGGAGCACCTCCACAAGGGAAGGTGACAAAATTTGGGTTTTAGTTCAGGAAATAAAGGCAGGTAAGGAGTCACAGTAGTTCATAAAATTATACGACTGGGAGAAAATGCAGAGGTTTCTCATAATCAGGGGTCAGCAAACTTTTTTAGCAGGGGGCCAGTCCACTGTCCCTCAGACCTTGTGGGGGGCCGGACTGTATTTTGAAAGAACAACAAATTCCTATGCCCCACAAATAACCCAGAGATGCATTTTAAATAAAAGGACACATTCTACTCATGTAAAAACACGCTGATTCCCAGACTGTCCACGGGCCGGATTTAGAAGGTGACTGGGCCGGATCCGGCCCCCAGGTCTTAGGTTGCCTACCCATGCTCATAATGCTAAAACTGGTGGTCATCTGAAGAGCTGAATGGCGAGACATTAAGGACAGGCAAAAGGGAGGACTTCACATAGCACTGGTTTTTCTAATTTGCTGCCGCAAGTGGTGACGGACACTGGATGAAGGTATCAAGGGGATTATTTCCGAGTAGCCACATATACCATTCTTCTGGGCAGAACATGCTTACAGCTTACATTTAAAGTTACGGCAGGTGGCTTAATTTGCAAATGCCAGATTTGTTGGTGCACGGGTGAACTTTTAATTGCGCTGTTCTCTTAAACAAGGGATTTCTGATCCCTGAATTCCATTATGTGCATTTAGTTGCACACCCTGAATTCAATTATCGGTATTTTAAAAAGAAACCAAGAAATTAATGGAACGAGATGAGCTCCCTCCAAAGAGCAGTGGGAGAAGGCAGCACTTAATTTCATGGCCACATTTTATTAATATTGTAGAGGCTTCCATTAACAAAACCAACAAGTGATAGGGAGAACAAACAGATTGAGCAGAGGTTAGTGGTGGGGCAACGGAGGTTTGGCACTTCATAAATGCACCTAGAAAAGACTGATATTCGTTTCGTATCAATGAGTTCAGTTGTCTTGGGAAGCTAGTGTTCATAAGTTAACATAACAATGTTAGTAGGTTAAGATACCTTTGCTCTATCCTGTTCTAATCTGTTCCAGCGCTGAAATTACTGTTGCATCTTTTATGTGGAGGGAGCAAGACTCTTAAATCTTGCGTTGTGGAAGCCTGGACCGCAGACAATACAGTCCAGCTTCAGCTAAATGGAAAATTCCCTTCCCTCCCTTAAGCCTCTTAAAGAGAATTGTGCATCTGACAATTGCCTTGTCTGGCTCCAAGCCAGCCACTGCTTTAATGATTTACTAGCCCCAAATACTACTTAGGAGAGACAATAACAGCAACAACACAGCTGTGAAAGCAGCACACACAGAATACGATGCCCTGGAACAGAGCTGGTCAGAGTTCATAACAGTTGTTCCTGGTTGATAGGACAAGCCAAGCTGATTATTCTATTGGAAAACGAACTCTCAGCATACATGCTGGGAGGAGGTACAGAGATCTTTCCTGAGGACCATACTTTTTTAAATTTCATAAGCAGGAAAGGTTCACTTAATGTCCGTAAAATGTAGCACTGTGTCAAGGTCACTTTTCCAAGTCTCTGGAACCCACCCCTGCAACCATGCTTTGAATAAGAGCCTGCAGGTCCTATTAAGACCTGAACTATTTTCACTTCTGAACGTCAGTGGTTTTGTTGCGGACCTACGAAACTAGCTGAAACTGACATGTGACCAGCACAATACAGTGGAACCTTGGGTTACATACACTTCAGGTTACATACACTTCAGGTTACAGACTCTGCTAACCAAGAAATAGAACCTCGGGTTAAGAACTTTGCTTCAGGATGAGAACAGAAATCGTGCTCTGGCGGACTGGCGGTAGCAGGAGGCCCCATTAGCTAAAGTGGTGCTTCAGGTTAAGAACAGTTTCAGGTTAAGAACGGACCTCCAGAACGGATTAAGTACTTAACCCAAGGTACCACTGTACTCACCTATCAAATCTTTTAAACTGCTTATTTCATCCTATGTAACAGTACATAGTCCTGACTGTGCTACCCTGAAAAGAAGAAATAAGCAGCTGCTTATAAGCATAATCCACATAACAGATTTATTGTTCTTTCACATTAAATACAGTATCTGAAATTGTTAGGCTTTGACATATTACGCATGGCAAAGAGTTTATAAACAGATGACGAAGCCAGTTCTCTATGAGCAGCAGGGGGCTTCGATGCCCCAGCTCACTGTGCCAACGCATCCTCAGCTGGCAGCACAGATGGCATCCTGTCCCTGTGCTTCTCAAAGTAGAAGTACTCTGTCATCCTCATTCCGCTGAAGCCTTTGCTCTTCGGGCCTGCATGACTTCGGCATCCCGTTCTAGCTCATCCAAGAAGCGTTCTTGGGAGATGGAATGAATGGTGTAGGCATCTGTGCGCAGACAGCTCAGGAAAACAATTTACAAATTGGTTGACCACAAACTTGACATGAGCCAACAGTGTGACGCGGCAGCTAAAAAAGCCAATGCAATTCTGGGCTGCATCAATAGGAGTATAGCATCTAGATCAAGGGAAGTAATAGTGCCACTGAATTCTGCTCTGGTCAGACCTCACCTGGAGTACTGTGTCCAGTTCTGGGCACCACAGTTCAAGAAGGACACTGACAAACTGGAACGTGTCCAGAGGAGGAGCAACCAAAATGGTCAAAGGCCTGGAAACGATGCCTTATGAGGAACGGCTAAGGGAGCTGGGCATGTTTAGCCTGGAGAAGAGGAGGTTAAGGGGTGATATGATAGCCATGTTCAAATATATAAAAGGATGTCACACAGAGGAGGGAGAAAGGTTGTTTTCTGCTGCTCCAGAGAAGCGGACATGGAGCAATGGATTCAAACTACAAGAAGATTCCACCTAAACATTAGGAAGAACTTCCTGACAGTAAGAGCTGTTCGACAGTGGAATTTGCTGCCAAGGAGTGTGGTGGAGTCTCCTTCTTTGGAGGTCTTTAAGCAGAGGCTTGACAACCATATGTCAGGAGTGCTCTGATGGTGTTTCCTGCTTGGCAGGGGGTTGGACTCGATGGCCCTTGTGGTCTCTTCCAACTCTATGATTCTATGAAATACTGTTTGTGACAGCCAGGTAAGTCGCTGCACACTGCCACCCTGCTCTTGGGACACCCAGCTCCCTTCCAGCCCTGAACCCGATACCAAGGGCGAGGAAAGAGAAAGGGCATTTGCCCTTCAACTGAGCCAAACCTTACAAGTCAGAAGACGTGCTTTCACAGCACAGGGCGGCGCTGGTCTCAATGAGGAAAGAACAGATCCAAAATGGTTGGAGTGAGTCACTTCCACTAGCACTAAAACTAGTCTCCTTTATGCAAACAATGCTGGCAGGGAAAATGGGTTTGGGAGGGGGTGTCCCCCAAGATATTGAGGAAGAGAGGAGTTTTGCAGTATGCAGCAAAATCTGCTTCTGCTACCAAGAAGGTTGCTGGTGCATAAGGCAGCCTTGGCTGGAAGGGAGGCTGAAGGAAAGCATCAAATCAATCTTTATTATGGTCCAGAGACCCAACAAATCATTACAAAGCAATGCACAATTCATACAGCCTACCTCCAGGTTAAACAAGCATTTTGTTCAAAAGATAGGGATCATTGGTTCTTGCAACCACCAATAAAAACTTTGCCACTGCTAATGTTCTAGCGTTTGTCCAGTCTTCCAATAGGAACCTGACATAGTGAGCCTCTGATTTTCCCGGGAAAGGTACCAGCAAGGGTAATATCAGTTCAGCCCTGGCTTGCTCATATTTTGCACAGTGCAACAAAATATGTTTTATGGAATTGATGTCTTGAGCACGCGAGCAAAGTCTGTCCTGGTAGGGAACTACTCTCAACCTGCCAGAAGGAAAACAAGCAACCTACACCTTGCTTGGGGGAGGTGGGAATTGGCCTACTAGGAGGAGGCATGGCCTTTCCAAAGTGCTCAGTCTCTTCTGCATCGGAAGCAATTGTGGAGGTTTGCACCAGGTTGGAAATTGGTGTCAGAAGTCAAGCTGCACACATGCACACCCCACATCAGAGGGTTCTCTGGGGCCAAATTGTCCTGCCTTCCAAATGAATCTTTCAGCCCAAACGCAGCCCCCTCAGATCTCAACCCTTCTCTGCCCCAAATGGAGAGCCACCCAGATTTCGAGGAAAGACCCTCACCTGGACCCGAGAGGGGGAAAGCAGGGCCAAATGTCTCCACCATGCCCTGTGTTCTCCCTTCTCCTCCCTGCACTTTCTTCAACGGTATGATGATGATTTGTGTGAGTTCTGCATTGAACCCTGGGTGTACTGGTTTGTTTTATAGAATCACAGAATTTTAGAGTCAGAAGGAACTCTTCCTTGATTTTATTTTGTATTTTTATGCCATGAATCACCCCGACCTCTTCGGATGAAGGGCGGTATACAAATTCAATACATAAAGAGAGTAACTTGTGTGTTTTTTGTCTAAAAAGCCTTTTTAGGACATTTGCATAGCTAAGCAGGGTCCCGTATGGTTCCAAATTGGATAGGGGGTGGCTTGTTGAGATTCCTGCATCGCAGGGGCTTTGACTAAATGACCCTTGGGGGGGGTCCCACTCCAACTTTTCATTTTTATGATTCTATAAAGCAAACTGATACACCCCCTATCAGGGACGTGGGTGGTGCTGTGGGTTAAACCACAGAGCCTAGGACCTGCCGATCAGAAGGTCGGCTGTTCGAATCCCCACGATGGGGTGAGCTCCCGTTGCTCGGTCCCTGCTCCTGCCAAGCTAGCATTTCGAAAGCACATCAAAGTGCAAGTAGATAAATAGGTACCGCTCCGGCGGGAAGGTAAACGGTGTTTCCGTGCGCTGCTCTGGTTCGCCAGAAGCGGCTTAGTCCTGCTGGCCACATGACCCGGAAGCTGTACGCCGGCTCCCTCGGCCAGTAAAGCGAGATGAGCCCCGCAACCCCAGAGTCGGCCACAACTGGCCCTAATGGTCAGGGGTCCCTTTACCTTTACCTTACACCCCCTATCATCGCCCAAGGCTCAATGCAGAACCCACGCAAACTAACAACAACTTCTCCTTCAGGTTTGGCTGGGATGCTCCAAGCCAGGGGTCAGCAATTTTTTTCAGCAGGTCCCTCAGACCTTGTGGGGGGCCGGACTATATTTTGAAAAAAAGAACAAATTCCTATGCCCCACAAATAACCCAACACAAAGATTCACAAAATGTTTAGGGGTCCCCATAAAAAGGGGACTGGCAATAAACACCCCCTTTCACAGACTTCATTTAAAAGATGCAATGAAGGCGCCAGGCGAGCGACTCGCCTTTTCTCTCTCTCCACAGGAACCCGTATCCAGACAGGCGGGATGAAAAGAGCGCACCTGAGCATGTGCAGAGTTGCTTTCCCCCCCCCGCCCCGCCCGACTCGCAAGGCCGCCCACCCTCCCGCTCCCCTTCCGTCCAGAGAGGGATACAAATTCCTACGACCACCGCGCCGATGCCGAGCGCCGTGAGGGCGTTGCGGGCCCTCAGGCCGCGCCGGGCCGCGTCCACCGCGGGGCTCGAGGCCAACCCGCCAGGGGCCCCGGCGCGGTGCAGCTCCCACTGCCGCCGGACGCTCGAGGTTGGGCCGCGCGGGGGTCCCGCTCCTCCAGGCCCCGACGGAGACGGCGGCGGCGGCGGCGACGACATCTTCCCCACCCGCTCCGGATCAATGGGAAGGGCCTGCTGGGCGCGCCCTCACGGGGACGGCTGAGGCGGGGCGGCCATCTTTGTTGAGGGCCCACGGCGCGCTCCAAGGAAAGCGGCGGCCATTTTAAGCGGGGAACCGAGCGGCGGTCCCGCTCCCGCCATCTTTGACGAGGGCGGGCGCGGGCTCTGGGCGGCTTTGGACACGCGTGTGCGCGCGTGTGTGGATTGGTGTGCGTGTCTGGGGACGGTTAATTTCGGAGGAGCGACTGTGTGGTGTTGCGGGGGGGAACCTATTCCTGAGAAACGAAATAGGAGAGATTATGTATATAATTACATTAGTACAGTACTATATTATTATTATTGTTATTATTATTATTGCTATTATTTATTATTGCATTTATATGCCACCTTTATCTTCCTAGGAAGCTCAAGGTGGCGTACATGGTTCTCCTCCTCCCCGTTTCATCCTCACAACAACCTTGAGGAGGAGGAGAAAAGGGGGATTATTGGCTTTTTAAAAAAATTTATTACTATATATAGTTAGTGTGTGTGTGTATATATATATATATATATATATATATGCATAGTGAATTTTATGTTGCAAACCACCCTGAGACTTCCGGGTATGGGGCAGTATACAAATTTAAGGAACAATAACATAATATTTATGCTATTTAATTTATTTATTTAATTTATTTATTTAATTTAAATTTAAGGAATAATAACATAATAGATTAGGCTAAGAGACGGTGACATGGGCATAGCCAGGGTCTTTGTTAGGGGTGGGGCATGCTTTTGTTGTGGGCCAGGCTTTTGTTAGAGGGGGCAGAACCTCAGGTTTTTAATGATTGGGGGCGACAGCTGCCCCTCTGTCCCCCCCCTGGTTACATCCATGAATGGTGACTGGCTCAAGGTCACCCAGTGAGTGTGGATTCGAACCCTTGTCTCCCAGGCCATAGTCCAACACTAACGCCAACGCCACATTGGGTCTCTGGAGATGGCAGCTGGGCGGCGCGTGGCGGCAACCAACCTCCCCAGTCCTATATCTAGTCGTGTTCATTTGGAAGGGAGTCCCTGCCGGCCAGCCAGCCTTTGGGGTGGTGGCTCAGTGGACTTGTGTCAGTAGGATTAAAACAGATCCTCTAGAAATGGCATTTTTTTTTACGTAAGCCACCTTTCTCACACACACACTCGCACACCATCTGGTTCGTTCATTGATTTTGTTGATTTTGTTAGTCGCTTTTGTCTTGCCTGAGGTAACCCAAAGCCTGTTTTGCAAACAGACAAAAAAACAAAACAAAACCCTGCACGTAGATACATTAAAACCAAGAGGAAAACAAAATACATTACAAATGTCCCGATGTATTTTGTGGCTACAAATAGTTAAAGACCTGGTTATAGAGGAATGTTTTCGCTTAATGCCTAAATGCAGTGCTTTTTGGGGGGGGGGATGCGTGAACTATAAAATGGTGATTTTCTTGAGTCAAAATGAGAGTACCCCTAAACTTTTTTTTAAAGAAAAAAATCACTGCCTAAAAGTATATAATACCTGAAGAGAGTATTCCACAAATTGGGGAGCCACCGCAAAAAGGCCCCGCAAAAAAGTTCTCATGCTGCCCCGCAAAAAAGTTCTCATGCTGCCACCCTCCGGATCTTGTGTGGAGGGGTGGGCCATTAACCTGTTCAAGCAGGATATTCCTATGTTTGTGTCTTGGACCATGAGAGTGCTAGAAAGCAGTTTTTTTATGGTTCAGTCAACAGAAACATGTATTTTATGGCTAGGTGGTGGTGAAACTCCCAGATCATTCCCTTTCACCTCTTAGTTGCTTCACTTTCTGCTCTGCTACTCGGGTGCAGATCTGAGCGCTGAAAATCACATAGAGCTGAAAGAGGAAGTGGGGAAAAGGCACTTCTCTTCCAACTTCTTCTTTCAACTTTCCAGAGGAGAAACGGTACCCACCAAAGTCAGCACCTGATGAAGGGAAACTGTGATGGGTGGGTCAGAGGTTTTGTGGGCATCAGGGGGAAGGCCTTCTGGGTGCCATTGTGCCCATAAGCACCACATTGGCAAACTTCAGCCAACATGCGTATAGCATTGGGTCCCACTGAACAGTGGGCCGTAACATCTGAGTAAATATGCATAGGATTGTGTTTTTAGTGTGGAAGACAATTCAAGATTTCCTCTCCTGGTTTCATAGCAAAATGTAGCTGCTTGCCCTATATTGTTTTCAGTCTTAAGTATTTAACTAGTAGATTGCAACATGAAGTTCCAGAACCCTTTATTTCGAGAGAGGCAATAAAAAGGCATGGGCAGAGAAGGGAGAGGGGAAATACAACAATTCTAGAGAAAGTAAGGAAATTATACAAATTAAAATGGTGGGTGTTGAACTGCTCTTTCCTCCTTGACAGAACTCTTCCAATGGGCTCACCCACAAAGGTGGCGTCCAGGTACCATTCTTCGGAGCCTGTCTTTGGAGCAGTGGCTGGCGGAGTTATCCAAGATGCTTTGCTCCACATGGCCAGGGAGAATGAGCAGCACCTGAGAGAGCTGTGCGAAGAGGCAGGTTGCTTTAAAGAGACACAGATCGTGGGTGAGAACTGAGCTTGGCAAATTCAGTAGGCTGACATGCCAAAAGACCCTGCAGCTATGATTCTGAGGATTCCCCACCTCTCACCCTTTATTTATTTTTTTGACAGAATTTGTGTTTCTTCTATCCGAAAAATGGAGCCTGACTGAATCGGCAAGATACCAAGCCATAGAAATATTTGAAAGGTAGTGATTTGTTCTGCCCACCTTGAGAGAAGATAACATTTTACATATTCTTCACCTTTGAGGTGTAGCTTTAGGACAACCATGTTATCATCTCCGAGTGATAACTTGACCTTTACATGCTCCCCTTATATATTTTTTTAAAAATATGGCTACCACAGGTATTAATTTAGACCACTTGGGCAAAAAAAATGAGAGGCACAAATACAAGATGGGTGACACCTGGCTTGAGAGCAGTACATGTGAAAAGGATCTAGGAGTCTTGGTTGACCACAAACTTGACATGAGCCAACAGTGTGACGCGGCAGCTAAAAAGCCAATGCAATTCTGGGCTGCATCAATAGGAGTATAGCATCTAGATCAAGGGAAGTAATAGTGCCACTGTATTCTGCTCTGGTCAGACCTCACCTGGAGTACTGTGTCCAGTTCTGGGCACCACAGTTCAAGAAGGACACTGACAAACTGGAACGTGTCCAGAGGAGGGCAACCAAAATGGTCAAAGGCCTGGAAACGATGCCTTATGAGGAACAGCTAAGGAAGCTGGGCATGTTTAGCCTGGAGAAGAGGAGGTTAAGGGGTGATATGATAGCCATGTTCAAATATATAAAAGGATGTCACATAGAGGAGGGAGAAAGGTTGTTTTCTGCTGCTCCAGAGAAGCGGACACGGAGCAATGGATCCAAACTACAAGAAAGAAGATTCCACCTAAACATTAGGAAGAACTTCCTGACAGTAAGAGCTGTTTGACAGTGGAATTTGCTGCCAAGGAGTGTGGTGGAGTCTCCTTCTTTGGAGGTCTTGAAGCAGAGGCTTGACAACCATATGTCAGGAGTGCTCTGGTGGTGTTTCCTGCTTGGCAGGGGGTTGGACTCGATGGCCCTTGTGGTCTCTTCCAACTCTATGATTCTATGATTCTAGGAGTGAAGAGCCTCAAGCCCAGGGTCCAAATACTCCCCCTTTTTTCTCAGGACTCTGCCCAAGGCTTTACACCCCTGCCCAGCCACACTCCTTTTGCCCAGGCTCTGTCTTGCAGCTCAGCAAGGCCAAGCAGGCTGTACAGACTCTGCTTGCAAATAATAATGTAAGAAACACCTTCCATTAATCATAAATGCAAGAGTTTAAGGGGAAGGCAACTGCAGTATGTCACAACTTCCTTCCTCGTTGTGCTGCTGGCTAGTCACATCAGGCCCACCAAGCCTCTGCACTGTTTTTTTCTGCTTGTAGTGACTGCCAAGGGGCCCATCCTGGTGGGCAAACACTTTCTGTTTAGAGGACGTGTTTGTAGGGCAATTCACCGCTCCTGGGACAGTAGAGCAAGAGTACAGTGGTACCTCTGGTTACATACTTAATTCATTCCGGAGGTCCGTTCTTAACCTGAAACTGTTCTTAACCTGAAGCACCACTTTAGCTAATGGGGCCTCTCACTGCCACGGCGGCGCCGGAGCACGATTTGTGTTCTCATCCTGAAGCAAAGTTCTTAACCCAAGGTACTATTTCTGGGTTAGCGGAGTGTGTAACCTGAAGCGTATGTAACCCGAGACACCACTGCAGAGGGCTTTTCACGCCGTTTCACACATAGTCTGTCACTGCCAGGTATCTGCATCAAGCAAGCACCTTGCAATTTCCCTTTCAGGACTCCTCAAGCTGCTTTAACTCCGTGACAGATCTAAGCAAGCACTTTTGATTCTAGGGTGTTGTAGAGAGCAAGGTTTACAGGTACTGCCAGCCTTGCTTCATCTTTGTATAACCATATTTTTTATCCTTGTACTTTCTTAGGTTCATGCTTACACTCATTAAAGAGGCTTCTCATCTCACGAGAGCAAAGGAGGAAGACAGCAAGTGGGTATCAGTGAAACAGCAGATTGAGGGCACATATGTCCTGCGTCTGGTCTCTTGCATCCAACTTGCCAGCAAGCTCTCCTTCCATTATAGTGTAAGAAGATTCAAGAAGTGCCCTTACATATTTTGACATAATCTTTGCTCTCTTTATGCACCATCCCAGAGCCATTATCTGTGGGAGGGAATGTTAAGACCAGTATTTTTTATATTATTTTTTTGGAGCAATGTTACAGTAATGTCTGCCCAATAAATGAAAATGGGGGCTATTGCTTGCAAAGCCAGATGTACTCTGCAAGTAAAGGTAAAGGTGAAGGGACCCTTGACCATTAGGTCCAGTCGTGACCGACTCTGGGATTGCGGCGCTCATCTCACTTTATTGGCCGAGGGAGCTGGTGTACAGCTTCTAGGTCATGTGGCCAGCATGACTAAGCCGCTTCTTGTGAACCACAGCTGCACATGGAAACACTGTTTACCTTCCCGCCGGAGTGGTACCTATTTATCTACTTGCACTTTGACGTGCTTTCGAACTGCTAGGTGGGCAGGAGCAGGGACCGAGTAACTGGAGCTCACCCTGTCGTGGGGATTCGAACCGCCGACCTTCTGATCGGCAAGTCCTAGGCTCTGTGGTTTAACCCACAGCACCACCAGCGTCTGCAAGTAGCTATATTAAAAATGGCTAATAGCTATATAGCATTATGAGGCTTTCACAATTATCAACTTGTAGCTGAAGTGGGCGGGACACCTTTTATATTATTGGAAAAAAACAATATGAACAGAGTTTGGGGAAGGTTTTCTTTACATGTTTATAGAGAGTTGCATGTATTTTTAAAACATGGGGTCTTGTTTTAAGAACTGCAACCAAAGTTCTGCTCATAGAACAAGGTCTCCTGCCTCCCCCGCCCCTCTGCAGCTCCCTTTGCAGCCCCCATAGCTTGAAATGTCAATTTAATTCAAAGTGTGTGTTGCAATAAATAGACAACAGAACTCCTTTAGCACCCGATCGTGGTAGACAGAAGCAAAACAAGGTTGGCATTTTGAGAGTAATGGTCACATTTCTGTCTTCGTACAGATAGTGAATAACAACGTGGTTCTGAGGTTTCTGAAGTCTTTGGGCTTCTCCTATACCACAGAAGAACTACTGGAATCTGAACTGGCCATTTTGAAGGCTCTGCATTTCCAAATCAATTTTCCAGCCCCTTTTGCTTATGTTGAAATGCTGCTGGAGGTTTTAGGTAAGGGTCAAGAACAAGACATAACATTGGGCAAGCTTTAGCTAAGGAGGTAAAAATAAGTCACAGCCCCCACTCGTCTTCTTTGAGCAGCAAGCAGCTCTAGGGAACCCTTAACAGGGCATTTTTTCTGGTGTACAGAGCAGTGGAAGAATAAGGGTATGTCTCGAAATCTATTCGCTTTAGCTTCTTCTGGCATATTGGGCTCCTTGTTTCAGGGAAATGAATACTTGGATCAACTTGCAGTGTTCCCATTCTGCAGCAAGTCCCATTCTGAACATCTCTGCTTTAAAGGAGATGCTGTTAATCAGAAGGAGGGGAAAAGACAATTTTTTGCTGCAACAGAATAACTGTACCTTGTGAATTTGTTGCTAGATCTAGCCTGAACACACATTCAGTTTGTTCCCCTTGCTACCTTTCCCTTGTAAGCTATTTCAGAGAGAGCAGTACCTTTTGGCTTTAAGTTTTTGGGGAAAGTGTACAAAAATTAAGGCGCTGAAACCGAGGCAACAAATCATACAATAGTTTGGCCACATAAGGAAGAAGGGTGTGGTGAACTAGAAGGGAGGTCCACTCATCTACCCTAAATTGCCCAAAGGGATAGTCAAGACATATGTTTGTAGATTCTGGTTCCAGACAGAAACCTAACTGCAGCTTCTGCTGCCTTCTGTTATTCCTCATGATTAGGGTACAATGGCTACATGCTGCCCACAAAACAGCTGCTTAAAATGTGCAGACATTTGCTGGCTTTAACGTACCTCTTGCGGAGCAGCGTTTATGACACCTTGCTGAAGACCTCAATTAAAAACTCCTCTCCGAATGAGCTCCAGCTGTAAGTTCTGGGAAGTGACAAGCTAGAAATGAATTCATTCTGGTAAGGGGGGAGCTTTTGGGGGGGGGCAGAACCTCAGATTTTTATTGATGGGGGGGACAGCTGCCCCCCTTGGCTACACCAATGGCTGGTGACTGGCCCAAGGCACTTCCAGACTCCACTGTGTCTGTTGAAGCAGCACAAAGAGCAGAGAGCGCTTTAGAGACCAAGAAAGTCTGAGTCACTTTTCCAGGCAGCACACCTTAACAGAGGCCTGTTTGTAAGCAACGCACATGGGATGGAGCCTGACTTCACAAAATTTGGCAACAGCACAGCATGCACAGCTCTCGATGTCTATTGTAAGGTATCCTTCAAATACAGTGTGGGAATTAGCAGGGATGGGAAGGCTGGTATTTTCTAACCCAGGCTAAAAATGTCCTATTTGGATATGTTGCTGAAAGGAGACATAGTTCAGCTGTAGACAGCGGATGAGCAATGTTCTATTCTTACAGCTCCAGAAGTAGAAAAAAGCCTTGTGAAAGTGCCACACACACACACACACACGCACAAAGGTTAAAGGGAAACAGAGAACACCACTCGGTACAGCTGTGGCTTAAAAAAAGGGGAAAAATCTGCATCACCATTAAGGGCGGCTTGCACAATAAAAAGTATCAATGTGGTTGAAATGGACCATCAGGCAATAGCAGCTAGAGCCCCAGCATTACACAAGTCCCTTAGAATGACTGGAGAACTGTATCATATTTTTTTACAGAAACCTTTCAAAAGAGTTATTCCAGAGCGAGTTTCAAACTACTTCATACAAGGAATTAGTCTGAAAACGGCATGTGATGGTCCTCTGTTGCAAGATACACTGCACTCTGGATCTTTTATTGTCTCCCTTTATATAAAAAAAGCTACATTTTTAGGGCCTTTTCTACGCAATTGGTTCTAAAAATGTCTCGTTGGATATAAGTGTTTTTCCTCAACAGAAACACTTTTGTTGCAAGAATAATGCATTTTCATAGCACCTGTAACACATTACATTGCGGCCGAGAAAATACACCCACTCTGCTGGTGTGGCTTATGGGATGTGGCTGCATAAGTGGTGTGGGCATATACTGAATATTGCCTAGGACAGAGGTTTTCAACCTTTTTGAATCCACAGCTCCCTTGGCCAACTGCATTCTTTCTGCGGCACCCCTGTGGGGCTCAGGAGCCCAGTTATGTCACTCCTTGCCTGCAGAGCTGCCACCCTCTCAGCCTTTTTCGAACACCCTCCCTTGTGGAGTGTTCCCTTAGCCTCCTCTCCTCGGGAGTCCTCTGGGCAGCCCCTGGGCTGCCACCCATGGTCTCTGAGCTGCCCCAAAGGGAGGTGCCTCCTCACACTGCCCCACAGGGGCCTGGGACTTGTCTGTCCATTCCCAATAGCAAGGGCTGGCAGACTCGCTGGCTGGGCTCCCTTGCCCGCTTGCTTGCTTACTCCGAGGCCGCCTCAGCTCCTGGCACCCAGCACCCCTTGACCAGCCCCAGAGGCACCATTCACCTGTGGATCTTGTAGCCAGGGCTGCTGCAAGAAACAACTGCGCAAGCCTTTTGGAAGCAGAGATGTGAGAGGGCATCAGAAGGAGGGAGGGAAGGAAATGAGGACCGAGGCTAGCGTTGCCCGTGGCACCCTTGACCATCGTTCAAGGCACCCCAGGGTGCCACAGCACACTGGTTGAAAACCACTGAAACGATACATCCTTCTATACCGTTCCGTGACCTTTTGAAAAACTCCGTTTTAGACTTCTATAAGCACATCCCTGCTATACTACTCAAGCAAAAAATAACTCATGTACTCAGTTAACAAAAGAAATGTATGAAAAGCAATAGAAATTTGCCCTTTCTCTTCCCCCTGCCTGCCTCCCCCGGCCCTGCAGCATTGCCTACCATGTCCTGATCTATTTACTTCTTAAAATCTAAAAAGAGATTCTCTCCCGCCCCCTCCAACACTGGTGGACTTATCTCCAGTGGCAGAGTGTCTGTGAACTTTTATATTTTTTTAGGAAGGAATGAAAACACCAAAGAGGTTTACTGTTCTCGCATTATGTGCAGACAGGATGTGGTAATATTGCCACTGGCTCAGTCACATGCAAGGATACCATAAAGCGACTTCTTTGTGTGTGTTTTTAGCTTGTGGATAGACACACATTCTCCTTTTTAGATGGCGGTAGCTCCCCCCCCCCAAGGGACATGGGTGGCGCTGTGGGCTAAACCACAGAGCCTAGGACTTGCCGATCAGAAGGTTGGCAGTTCGAATCCCCACAACGGGGTGAGCTCCCGTTGCTCGGTCCCTGCTCCTGCCAACCTAGCAGTTCAAAAGCACGTCAAAGTGCAAGTAGATAAATAGGTACCGCTCCAGCAGGAAGGTAAATGGCGTTTCCATGCGTTGCTCTGGTTCGCCAGAAGTGGCTTAGTCATGCTGGCCACATGACCCGGAAGCTGTTTGCGGACAAACGCTGGCTCCCTCGGCCAATAAAGCGAGATGAGTGCCACAACCCCAGAGTTGGTCACAACTGGACCTAATGGTCAGGGGTCCCTTTACTAGCCCCCCCACACACACCTAAAAAAAAATCAAAAAAATCTTCTGGTGCCATGTTTCTTTGTAAGGAAATAATTCCTCCTTTTAGACTTTGGTGTGGATTTCTGACATTCCCAATAACCTAGAACAGGGTGGTCTAACTTTTCATACCAAGTGGGCCACAAGAGTGCTTTGACAGGGAACCCATGGGCCACACACTGCCTTGTCACACAGGGTAGGAGAGTGAGGCCAAAACGTTATGCCCCTCGCCAGCCCTCACGCTGCCTTCCCAAAGCCGGGCGAGATGCTGGGCTTGGGGAAGGAGGCCGGAGGACTCTAAGACTCTTGTCAAGAGCCCTCACACCTCCTTCCCAAAGCCCAGTGCCTCTGCGGGGAGGGGCGTCAAATGTTGCCGAGGGCAGCCCCAAAAAAGGTCTCAGGCTGGGGCTGGTGGAGTGGCAGTACAACGCAGCTTCTCCAGCCCGACGAGTCTTGCTGCTATTAGTGGCGTGCAATGCCACACCTTGTCTTACCTTCTTGCTTCAACTGGATAGGGCGAAGTTTCTGCCAGTGAAAGAAGATCTCATGCTATTGGCTGTCGGAGTCATTGGGGCAAGCACTTTCCTCCTGAATCCCGAGGGCTTGAATCAGGTACTTACACTTTTCTGGCTTAGCCACAAAACAACCACGGGGCTACAAGGTGTGGGAACCCAGGGGTGATGGAGTGGATTCCACTCTTTTCCATACACCCCCGACCCTTGCCAACTTCCTTGCCAGGTATCCATGCACTGTCTTAACGTCGCCCTATTTCTTTTGAAAGGTTACGGAATACCTCAGCGACACCACAGGCATCGGTCGGCAAGACATTATTGAGGCAGTCTACGCAATTCTGAAGCACAGCGTGGGCGACGACTAATTTCTTCCACCTTCATCCCCTGCCCTCCAAACAGCATGCTGCCACACTTCATTTGGGGCTCTCAAAGAGATGGTTGTGCTCCAAAGAAACAAGGCAACCAGTTATATTTAAATGTTAATGCTTACCTCACAGGCTTTTGTCCTGTTACCGTAACCTTTTGAGAAGGCCTGGGGCGGGCACTTAAAGTGGACACTTAAAAGGGGCCTTAGGCCTACAACCATTGATGCCTTGCACAGTTACAACACTGGTGAAGAAGCATAACTCCTGAGGGCAGACACGGAGATGTATGTGCTTCCGCAACAGGAGAAGAATGTTTCTTCTTCCAGGCCTCCCTGGAAGGCAGAAGTCTCAGTGTAAGTGGATGAACTCATTCACAAGGGAAGAAGAAACATTAAATGCATCTATGGCAGCTCATGATAAATAAGGATGCTGTGTTCTTCCGGAATACAAACGGCTTTTATTTATTCTTGCATTTCCTAGGGCATCTTAGTGTAGCAACCAAACTGCAATTCTAATAACGTTATAGCTTAGTAGAGTCACTCCTCCAGCCTGAAAGCTGTTAAGAGCTCTTCAAGCAGGTCTCTTTTTACTGCCGTACGTGGGCCCCCCCTAACTATCCAGGACCCGGTTTGCTTCTTTCCCCAAAAGCAGCAGCAGGCTGTGCCGCAACAGAAATCCAACCATGCTGTCGAGCCGTTTTGCTTCATATTACCCGACAATGACATTTTAAGACAAAAGTGCTTTGCAGTTTTTTGGTCTTGTAAGGTGATGATGTACTGATATCACAGGCCAAGTCCTGTTTTGGGTATCTTTGAAACAAACTACAGACACGTTACGGGATGGAGTCCTCCTCTCTTACAAGAGTCATTTGTTGTAGAACTGGGAAGAGACCCAGGCTAGACCCCACTTCAGGTTTGTCAGCATGAACTTGAGTGCTTTTGTCCACTGCTCCTCCGAGTTAAACTGAGTCTTTATGGAGTAGGACCCGCCGCTGCCACCTGTGTCTTCAATCTTGCCCTTCTCCACATCCATTCTGCAGTGGAGAAACAGATTCTTGTCAGGCTCCAAAACTGTAACTCCTGGCAGCTGGCACCATCGCAAACCTCGAGTTTGTCAACAGAGCAAGCCCCCTGCTTTTCTGCAATACTGTTAATTTACTAATTGTAAAATGCACGGGTGATGTCAAGGCTCCTGCTGAAACAACAGCCCTGCCCTCCCCTTTTTTACCACAGCACTTAAAACCTTCCTTTTTATTTCAAATAAAGGTCACCCAAGCAGGCTTGGCTAGAATGCAAAAGTGGGCAACGCAGCAGGACACCTGCCCTTGTCAATCTAAACAGAGATGCATTTGGTTTAGAGGATTCCCACAGCCTGGTAGACAATACTCTAAGGATGTTGCAGGTGGTGAAAGTGGCTATGAGAACAAAGTGGGGAGCTCTAAAGCAGGGTTAAGTAGGCAGAATGGAGTATGGTTGCAGCATACAACAGTGGTTAGAAGGCGTTGCCCCTGCCATAACGCCTCTTTTTAACAACACAGGAACCCAGCTTCACAGGCCTTCATAAGTGAACAGCCATTGCAAGTTGATGAGACAAGACAAAAATGTTTTACTACTTCTATATTGCAAGCTGGTGTAGTCATAACTTGAGGCTGTGCAAAATTACTGGCCTGGCAAGTCCCAGAAAGGTTGTGAACAAAACAAGCAAAAGCCAAACCTAACAGAGCAAAAAAATGATCCAGGTGGGCTGCTGCTAGACTTTGCCCAAATTGCCTTGCAAAAAATACGGTCAGCATCCTTTTAAGACCAAACAAATTATCACACTAGAGGACACTAAAGGACCATCTGCTCCAACGCTGTTTCTAGCAACGGCTACATTGAATACTCAAGGCCCTCCAGATATTTGTCGGACTACATTTCCCAGAATTCCTGACCATTGCCCATTACTGGCTGTGGAGCTGATGGGAGTTGGGAGCCCAGCAACACTGGGAGGTTCTCCATCCCCAAGCTAGGGCAACTCACAGCTCTGATGCCTCTAAACGTGATGGCTCTGTTGTCCACCAACACATTCATGGACAATTGTTGCCACATTCCATTTTTAATGCCCTATGCCAAATGCTAATCACTAAACAGCCTGTGTCAGTGAAATCCTTAAGTTAATTGTGCTAGCATGAATGCATACATACATTCATTTTGTCCCAGATCTCTCACTAGTCAGTTTCAGTAGATAACTATTGTCAGAGAAACCCATGTCTTTCTATCCATTTTTCTGATGCAGTGATTTTTTTATTACCTGTAAGGCAAACAGAAGCGGGTCTCGCCCTTTTCCACTTCCTCTTTGAACTGTTGCACACAATCCAGGAATGCCACCATGGCATGGTCAAACTTGTTGTCCCAGAAAAACCGCAATCCTCCTGAACAGTAAAGGGGCAGCTCCTTGAAGACACAAATGCTTGCACCAGAAACAAAGGGAATTACTCTGCAGCTGCCCCAAGACCTTTAGGGGGTGGCTTTGTTTTTCCAGGAAATTGGGGGCACACCATCCTTGGTTCAATTGCACTATATACCCCACGGGACGGGGACGCAGGTGGCGCTGTGGTCTAAACCACAGAGCCTTGGACTTGCCGATCAGAAGGCCAGTGATTCGAATCCCCACGACGGGGTGAGCTCCCGTTGCTCGGTCCCTGCTCCTGCCAACCTAGCAGTTCGAAAGCACGTCAAAGTGCAAGTAGATAAATAGGTACCGCTCCAGCAGGAAGGTAAACGGACTTTCCATGCGCTGCTCTGGTTCGCCAGAAGCGGCTTAGTCATGCTGGCCACATGACCCGGAAGCTGTACGCCGGCTCCCTCGGCCCATAGAGCGAGATGAGCGCCACAACCCCAGAGTCAGTCACAACTGGACCTAATGGTCAGGGGTCCCTTTACTTTTACCCGACGGGAAGGTAGCCAGTCTCAGTGTCATTCTGCCACGATTGTTTCCTTAACCAAGTTTTAGGGCAACAAGAACCAACAAGCGAGAGAAGTGCTTTACTCTAGTGGGGAGCAGCTGTTACCTTTTACGAGTTTCATATTCAGTAATATTATTTTAGAGAAAAATATTCCAGAATCGCAAAGAGCTTCTCTGACATTCTCAAATGCAGATAAAGAGCAGGGCCTGCTCCCTCAAGGGAGCCACATACTGAATTTGGGGAAATAAAATGTACGAGTTTCTTTTCAATTATTTCAACCCAATCCTATATCAAAGTAAGTCGCATTAAGTTTTGCTTAGGGGACCCTTGCTCATTATTTCAGCCATGTGTTATGGTGCATAGAGGTGCACCCCCTCAAAAAAAGCTCCCTTTTCCTGGAAGCTCACTAGAGTTGAATTAAGTTGATTGTATAGATTAAAGAATTAAATTGAAAATTGAAATCTGTGCTTCTGAGGTTTGATGCAATTGCATAGAAATCCTCCACAGAAACAATGAGAAGAAAGAAATGTAAAAGAAACAGAGTCAGGTGTACTCCCAAGCTGAAAATAGAGGAGTCATCCATGAAAATAGCTGTGTGTCTACAAACTTGTGATTTAGAGATCACTACAAACTCCTGCCCACCTAACAGTTCAAAAGCACATCAGAGTGCAAGTAGATAAATAGGTACCACCCCGGCGGGAAGGTAAACACCTTTTCTGTGCGCTGCTCTGGTTCGCCAGAAGCGGCTTAGTCCTGGTGGCCACATGACCCAGAAGCTGTACGCCGGCTCCCTCGGCCAATAAAGCGAGATGAGCGTCGCAACCCCAGAGTCGTCCACGACTGGACCTAATGGTCAGGGGTCCCTTTACCTTTACCAACACAATAAACCAAACTAGTTACCTTTCCTCAAGCCCTTTGAATATTCTCCATGTGATTTATTTTTAACGAAAACAAACTGCACTCGGAAAACCTATCAACCAAGTAATTTTGTGTGAAAATAGAATTTTGGCCCAATTTTCAACATCCACCTTATTGACGGCTAAACCACGGGATATAAAATTCGGAAACCTTGATTTTCAAATTCAGCACCATTTCCCCCTGTTAACGCCTTGTTTCCACCAATGCTCCCTGAAATGCTTTCGCTGGATTTCTAGAGGCCTCTGGGTTTCTGACCGGTGTATCCTGAGCCTTAACTGACAGGACACTCTAGAAGACCAAAACACTGATGTGCTTTAAGACTGTATGGAGCCCAACCTCTTACCTTGGATTTGTCTGTGAGAGACTCTAAATAAGAGTGGTTCCCGTATGGGATAAGGCGGTACCTGCAAGGAAAAAAGGAAAGTTGCATTGAGAATCCTTTTGATTCCAAGGTGTGGTATTACTCATCTAAGTAATAGGTATATTGGACGGGATGTGGGTGGCGCTGTGGGTTAAACCACAGAGCCTAGGACTTGCCAATCAGAAGGTCGGCGTTTCAAATCCCCGCGACGGGGTGAGCTCCCATTGCTGGGTCCCTGCTCCTGCCAACCTAACAGTTCGAAAGAACGTCAAAGTGCAAGTAGATAAATAGGTACCGCTCCAGCGGGAAGGTAAACGGCGTTTCCGTGCGCTGCTCTGGTTCGCCAGAAGCGGCTTAGTCATGCTGGCCACATGACCTGGAAGCTGTATGCCGGCTCCCTCGGCCAATAAAGTGAGATGAGCGCCGCAACCCCAGAGTCAGTCACGACTGGACCTAATGTTCAGGGGTCCCTTTACCTTTAATAGGTTTATTAGACTGATTGCTCCTATAGGCTTAATGGCCAAGAAGAGTGTGGGGGACGGGGAGGATGCCAGTATTTCTGCTCCCACCTTTGAAAGGTCAGGCCCATCTTGTTGGCAAGGGCATGGAGAAGCAGCACAGTCTGCCCCCAGGCTGCGTTGATCTCATTCCACTCCACGGGGACACTTGGAAGCCGGCCGAGGCGGAAGTTGTTTATGGTGCCAAACTGTCCACTGTGCCTACAAGCAAGAGGGAGAGTTCATCAGTCAAGCCCTCGGAGGGCCAAGAAAAGGCTTAGTGCAGTGATGGCCAAACTTGGCCCTCCAGCTGTTTGGGGACTACAGTTCCCATCAATCCTGACCACTGGTCCTGTTAGCAAGGGATGATGGGAGTTGTAGTCCCAAAACAGCTGGAGGGCCAAGTTTGGCCATCGCTGGCTTAGTGTGAGTGCAGTTATTTCCCAGGCAGCTTTTCAGGCGCACCCAGTTATCTAGGAACCCAGTAGAACCTAACCCCACCCCCCATAACCAGGACCCTTAACATTGGTGGAACAGTCTATTCCACCTGCAGAATACTGTATTTTTCGCTCTATAAGACACACTTTTTCCCTCCTAAAATGTACGGGGAAATTTGTGTGCGTCTTATGGAGCGAATGCAGGCTGCGCAGCTATCCCAGAAGCCAGAAAAGCAAGAGGGATCGTTGCTTTCGCTGCGCAGCGATCCCCCTTGCTGTTCTGGCTTCTGGGATAGCCGCGTGAAGCCTCCTCAGGGCAGCTGGAGGAACGTTCCCCCTGCCCTGAAGAGGCTTTGCACAGTGAAAACAGCGATCCCTCTTGCTGTTCTGGCTTCTCGGATTCAGAATATTTTTTTTCTTGTTTTCCTCCTCCAAAAACTAGGTGCGTCTTATGGTCTGGTGCGTCTTATAGAGCGAAAAATACGGTGCAGTGGTACCTCGGGTTACAGATTCTTAACCTGAGGTACCACTGTACTTAATTCGTTCCGGAGGTCCGTTCTTAACCTGAAACTGTTCTTTTTTTTTTTTTTTAATGATATTTATTAAAGTTTCAGAAAAGATTACAAAAAGAAAAAAAAGAAAAAAAAGGAAAAAAGAAAATACAAAATACAGAAAAATAAGAACAATTAAAAACAAATCAATCTTTCCATGTCTTGTCTTTCATTTACTTGTTTCCCTGACCTCCTCACACCTCCCTTTTTTGTATTCCAGTTCAGTTAGTTAATTCAGCAAATCCTTTCCCTCTTTGTTTTTATCTTAATCCTTTATCTTAATATATTATAACTTTAGATTCTCACCTGTTAACAATCCATTTTTACATACTCCTTTGTAACATTGCTGCTAAAACCACTTAACTTCATTCCGACATCATTCTAACATTCATTAATTTTGCAGTATTTCTGTAAATAGTCTTTCAATTTCTTCCAGTCTTCTTCCACCAACTCTTCTCCCTGGTCTCGGATTCTGCCAGTCATTTCCGCCAATTCCATATAGTCCATCACCTTCATCTGCCATTCTTCCAGGGTGGGTAGATCTTGTGTCTTCCAATACTTTGCAATAAGTATTCTTGCTGCTGTTGTAGCATACATAAAGAAAGTTCTATCCTTCTTTAACACCAATTGGCCAACCATGCCCAGGAGAAAGGCCTCTGGTTTCTTCAGAAAGGTATATTTAAATACCTTTTTCATTTCATTATAGATCATCTCCCAGAAAGCCTTAATCCTTGGGCACGTCCACCAAAGGTGAAAGAATGTACCTTCAGTTTCTTTACATTTCCAACATTTATTATCGGGCAAATGATAAAATTTTGCAAGCTTGACTGGTGTCATGTACCACCTGTATATCATTTTCATAATATTCTCTCTTAAGGCATTACATGCCGTAAACTTCATACCTGTGGTCCATAACTGTTCCTAGTCAGCAAACATAATGTTATGTCCAACATCTTGTGCCCATTTAATCATAGCAGATTTCACTGTTTCATCCTGAGTATTCCATTTCAACAGCAAGTTATACATCTTTGACAAAATCTTGGTTTTGGGATCTAACAGTTCTGTTTCTAATTTTGATTTTTCCACCTGGAAGCCAATTTTCTTGTCCAAATTATATGCCTCCATTATCTGATAATAATGAAGCCAATCTCACACTTTATTTTTTAGTTTTTCAAAACTCTGCAATTTCAATTTGTCTCCCTCTTGTTCCAAAATTTCCCAATATTTCGGCCATTTGGCCTCCATATTGAGCTTCTTCTGAGCCTTCGCTTCCATCGGTGACAACCACCTTGGAGTTTTATTTTCAAGTAGGTCCTTATATCTTATCCAGACATTAAACAGTGCTTTCCTGACAATATGATTCTTAAATGCTTTGTGTGCTTTGACCTTATCGTACCACAAATATGCATGCCATCCAAATACATTATTAAAGCCTTCTAAATCCAAAATGTCTGTGTTTTCAAGAAGCAGCCATTCTTTCAACCAGCAAAAAGCTGCTGATTCATAATAAAGTTTAAAGTATGGCAGGGCAAATCCACCTCTTTCCTTTGCATCCGTTAGTATTTTAAATTTTATTCTGGGCTTCTTGCCCTGCCAGACAAATCTAGAAATATCTCTCTGCCACTTCTTGAAGCAATCCATTTTATCCAAAATTTGCAATGTTTGAAACAGAAACAGCATTCTAGGCAATACATTCATTTTTATCGCAGCAATACGGCCTAGCAGTGAAAGCTTCAAATTTGACCAGATTTCTAAATCTTTTTTCACTTCAGTCCAGCATTTTTCATAATTGTCTTTAAAACCTGAAACTGTTCTTAACCTGAAGCACCACTTTAGCTAATGGGGCCTCCCGCTGCTGCCGCACCATTTCTGTTTTCATCGTGAAGCAAAGTTCTGAACCCGAGGTACTATTTCTGGGTTAGCGGAGTCTGTAACCTGAAGCGTATGTAATTCAAGGTACCACTGTACTGGAGAAACTCTTCTTGGTTGGGCAAAATTAAGGTTACTGAATATTTTTAATGACACCAACGTCAAAGGACTGTATACACGATATTGGCAGCAGAAATAGTAACTGCTCCAAATACAGTGGTGCCCCGCAAGACGAATGCCTCGCAAGACGGAAAACTCGCTAGACGGAAGAGTTTTCCGTTTTGGAGGTGCTTCGCAAAACGAAGCTCCTATGGGCTTGCTTCGCAAGACGAAAATGTCTTGCGAGTTCCTGCGGTTTTTTTCCCCTCCCCCCCCCCTTTTCTAAGCCGTTAAGCCGCTTATCTGCTTATCCGATAAGCTGATAAGCCGCTAAAAGCCGCTAAAAGCCGCTAATAGCGCTAATCCGCTAATCCGTCAATGGGCTTGCTTCGCAAGACGAAAAAACCGCTAGACGAAGAGACTCACAGAACGGATTCTTTTCGTCTTGCGAGGCACCACTGTACTGAATTGGGCACTTGGAACCACACACTCTGGAATATGGATATAATTGATAAAAATATGAATAATTTAAGATTCTGACAAGGACCACAACCTCCAGACACTTTTTACATTATTTGGAATTCTCTGATTATATATACAGTAGAACCATCATTTTCGAGATGAATTTCATCACAAGCCTGGCAAATCTGGAACTAAATAAGGTTGTGGAATATTCTCCTCAGGGAGGTTCAGCTGGCAACTTACAATAACATAATAATAATTCATTATTTATACCCGACCATCTGGCTGGGTTTCCCCAGGCAATCTGGGCAGCTCCCAACCGAATATTAAAAACACAATACAGCATTAAACAATAAAAAACTTCCCTAAACAGGGCTGCCTTCAGATGTCAACTTTATTATACAGCTTCAGACGCCACGCAAAAATGTTCTTCTTTAACCAGGCCTTTGGCCGATTGACATCCGATGCCCTTTTAAAATGTGTTGGGGAGGGGGCGATTATTGGGTTTTTCTTGTTTTTATTTGTATTATGTATTCTGTGTTTTTATATTGTCATTTTGTGTTGTGAACTGCCCTGAGACTGCAGATATAGGGCCGTATACAAGTTTAATTAATAATAACAACTACAGTGGTACCTCAGGTTACATACGCTTCAGGTTACATATGCTTCAGGTTACAGACTCCGCTAACCCAAAAATAGTACCTGGGGTTAAGAACTTTGCTTCAGGATGAGAACAGAAATCGTGCTCCGGCGGCGCGGCGGCAGAGGGAGGCCCTATTAGCTAAAGTGGTACCTCAGGTTAAGAACAGTTTCAAGTTAAGAACGGACCTCCGGAACGAATTAAGTACTTAACCCGAGGTACCACGGTACTACTACTTTTGATAATGCTGACAGTCTTTATTGGGGCCTTGTTGTTTTGACCCATATGCAACTGTACCCATTCTACGTGCCTATTCTAGCTTTGTTTTTCACATCTTAATTTCCGTCAGTTGTTGTATATTTTTAAAATATATTGTTTCGATTTTATTTTTTATATATTTTATTTTGACAAAGTAACAATCGCAAACAAATAAGAATAAAAACGCGCACCCCGCCAACGGGACCGTTCCATTGTAGCTATCCAACCTCCCAAAATTTCAACACCTCTTGCGATGGGTTTGAGCCCTTTCCGTTTTAACACTGCAAATTCTACAGACTTTGCTATCACTGTCCTCTCCGTTTTATAAAATGAAATAAAAGAAAACTTTACCAAAAGTAAATAAATATATCCAGAAACAACGAGTCCCCCGCCAAGCCTCTCTCATTCACTATAGCTATTGATATCTGCCAGCAGCAGCTACTCGGAAAGCAAAAAAACCCACCAAAACAGACAGCCTGGTTAACTGCGACCATGGATGGAAGCATCTGGCCCGGCATCTGCAAGGAGTTTTAAGACCTGTCGCTCTCTCTCTCTCTCTAACGCTAACCAGAAAACCTTCTGGATCCTGCATGGCCAAATAAGGCCTTCTCTCCCCACCCCAATTCTGCTACGGCTGCTCCATCGCATTCCCCCAGTCTAACCAGCCTCCTGGCCTTACCAGATATGGAAGGTGGCATTAAAGACGTTGGTTTTCTTCAGTTTGTCCAACTGCATCTGGGCATAGCGCATTTGATTATCCACACTTTTCAGTTCGTCATCCAGCTCCAGCTGTTGCCGCTTGAATTCGCTGTACTCTTTCTGGTACCTGCGGGGGGTGGGGGGGGGCATTAGGGAGACAAGGTTACACTCACCTGTGAACCAGGACACAGCGCCCCTCCCCTAAATATGGTGCGAAATGAAATTGGACCAGCGGCATGCAGGAAAACAAGATCTCTGTTCTCAGGAGGGAGGGGAGAATAAGGTTTAATCGGAATGAGATGAGGTTAAAATAAGGTTATCCGATTTTTCCCAAAGAATCCGGGGACCCTTTTTTTTTTTTTTTGAAATGAGAAAAAAAAATTATTTAAAAAAGTTTTTATTTTGTTTTTTTTTAAAAGAAGTGCCATATTTTTCGCCCCATAAGACACACCTAGTTTTTAGAGGGGGGATGCAAGGAAAAAAATATGCTTTAAAGGGAGTGCTGAGCAGAGCCTGGGATGCACCCCAAGCTCTGCTCAGGGCTCCCTTTCATGAGCCGCGTGGAGCGTGTGTGTGGCGCTTGCAGGCTTTTCCCCGAGGAGCAAGAAGGGCAGCCCGTCACTGACCAGGTGCCCTTCTCCCTTCTGGGGAAAATACCCCAAGAGCTCCACACGTCTCTTTAAAGGGAGCGCGGCTCTTCGGGGCTTTTCCGGGAGGTGGGGGGACTGACGGGCTGCCCTCTGTCCCTTCCCCCACCTCCTGGAAAAGCCAGCAAGAGCCACGCTCCCTTTAAAGAGCCGCATGGAAAGCCTCTTGGGGGCTTTTCCCCGAGGGAGAAGGGACTGGTGGGCTGCCCTTCTCTCTCCTTGGGGAAAAGCCCCCAAGAGGCTCCACACGGATCTTTAAAGGGAGCGCTAAGCAGAGCCTCCCGCCTGCATCCGCTCCATAAAACACACACACATTTCTCCTTACTTTTTAGGAGGGAAAAAGTGTGTCTTATGGAGCGAAAAATACGGTAATATCTTCTCTTCTGTGGGCAGTTGGCCGGGTGGCTGGGCGCTCTTATTCCCAGCTCGATTTGGGTTGCGCGCGGGGGGGGGGGTCAGCGGTTCCCCCAGTTGACGTGCCAGGTGTCCCCGGTTCCCCCTTGGCAGTGGCAGCCTCAGCAGCCCGGAGCCAGCCTGGTAGCGCAGTTGGCTCTGGCTGGCTTCAGGAGCTGCTCACTGCCGTGGTGCCCGCCATTTTGCCTCGCCAGAAGTCCCCATATGATGCGTCTTGTGCTGTTGAACCAATCACACAACATTCATTCCCTACTAATAAATCTACAACACTTAAAATATAAATCCGGGGACATTAAATGAAATCTGGGGACATTCTGGGGACGGATTTTGTCCGGGGACAGAGTTGTAAAACCGGGGACTGTCCCCGGGAAGCAGGGACATCTGGTAACCATAGGTTAAAAGGCAGGGATCGCATGTGGCTGGAGGGAGGGGATTTCTGGTCCAGTGCATTGCAAAACTCCTGCCCCCCCCCCAAAAAAAACAACAAAGATTTTTGACAAGCTGTTACAGTTAAATGAAAAGGTGGGCAGGGTTCGAATTATGAGCAGCAGAATGAAAAGAAGGATAAGTGAAGTAGTGCAGAATTGTGCTTCACGTTGAAAGAAAATTATGTGAAAATGATGTATTGATGGCAGGGTGAGCTCCCGTTGCTCGGTCCCTGCTACTGCCAACCTAGCAGTTCAAAAGCACATCAAAGTGCAAGTAAGCTGCTTCTGGCAAAACCAGAGCAGCGCACGGAAACACTGTTTACCTTCCCACTGGAGAGGTACCTATTATTCTACTTGCACTTTGACGTGCTTTCGAACTGCTAGGTTGGCAGGAGCAGGGACAGAGCAACGGGAGCTCACCCCGTCGCGGGGATTCGAACCGCCGACCTTCTGATCGGCAAGCCCAAAAGGCTCAGCGGTTTAGACCACAGCGCCACCCGCGACCCGAACCTTACTATAGCAAAGCCTCAAAATGGAGTCGCCTGATGGGTAAGAGGCTAAAACTCATATGGAATGCAATAGAGCCAGCATAAGGCCTGAAGTAAAGAGATAAGGAAGGGGGGAAAGAGGGAGTTTAGCAGAGATGCAGAGAAAGGGCTCCCACAAAAGATATTCAAGAAGAGGGGAGATACTTCTTGCATACGTGGTCTGGACGGAAGTGGGGATGGGAAGCAATGGAAAGAGGTGGACATAGATGTGGGGCTCAACAACAGGTTTAGCCAGGAAGAGGCAAGCCTTAACGGTTGCAAGAGCTGAATACTCACTCAGCTTCCTCGTGATCCAGCCTCTCCGCCTCAGCCCTGACCTTCTCAAAGTCTTCAGCCATTGTTTTCCGCTTTTGCTCCACCCCTTCCAGCTCCTCTATCAGCCTCTCCTCCTCAAGAGCAAACTCCTTCAGCTCCAGCTGCAACTTCTCCTTATCGTCTTCGTTCATCTGCTCCAGGATTTCCAGGCATCTCCTGCAGACAACCCCAAGGCAGAAGCGATTTAGGGGGAGGCAAGTAGAGACATCACCTTGCCAACAAAGGTCCGTATAGTAAAAGCAATGGTTTTCCCAGTAGTGATGTATGGAAGTGAGAGCTGGACCATAAAGAAGGCTGATCGCCAAAGAATTGATGCTTTTGAATTATGGTGCTGGAGGAGACTCTTGAGAGTCCCATGGACTGCAAGAAGATCAAACCTATCCATTCTGAAGGAAATCAGCCCTGAGTGCTCACTGGAAGGACGGATCCTGAAGCTGAGACTCCATACTTTGGCCACCTCATGAGAAGAGAAGACTCCCTGGAAAAGACCCTGATGTTGGGAAAGATGGAGGGCACAAGGAGAAGGGGACGACAGAGGACGAGATGGTTGGATAGTGTTCTCGAAGCTACCAGCATGAGTTTGAGCAGACTGCGGGAGGCAGTGGAAGACAGAAGTGCCTGGCGTGCTCTGGTCCATGGGGTCACGAAGAGTCAGACACGACTAAACGACTAAACAGCAACAACAACAAGGAACTAGGCAGAGAACTGCAGTGGGGAGTTGAAGAAGGAAGTGGGAGGATAAGTCTGTGGGTTGGTCGAGTTGTGTGGTGAGAGAGTGAGAGGAATTGTTAGGTGGAGTCAGATAGATAGTTGGAATAATCAGTTTAAAGTTGTTAGGAACGTATATGACAGTTAAGGAACTAAGATTAAGAAACTGCCAAGAAAAATTAACTGAAACCATAAGCTTGTTCATGCCTATAAATAAACTTGATTATTTGTTAATGTCTGGACTCCGTGTGTACCCATGAGAAACAGGTTGGTGGCAGCGAAGAAAGTAATCACAGTGGTGGCACAGGGTCAATAGACCGTCAAACGTCCGGGGACCCTGTGTGATCGCCACACTTTTGTGGACGTTTGATGGTCTATTGACCCTGTGCCACCACTGTGATTGCTTTCTTCGCTGCCACCAACCCGTTTCTCACGAGCCCACATGGAGTCCAGACAGTTGTTAACAGTAACAAATAATCAAGTTTATTTTATAGGCATGTACAAGCTTAAGGTGTCAGTTAATTTTTCTTAGCAGTTTCTTAATCTTAGTTCCTTAACTGTCCTGTGCGTTCCTAACAACTCCAAACTGTTTACAGTGGTGCCTCGCAAGACGAAAAGAATCCGTTCCGCGAGTCTCTTCGTCTTGCGGGTTTTTTCGTCTTGCGAAGCAAGCCCATTAGAGGTTTAGCGGCTTAGCGCTACAGTATTAGCGGCTTAGCCGGCTTAAAGATCAGCTGATAAGCGGCTTAAAGATCAGCTGATAAGCGGCTTAACGATCAGCTGATAAGCGGCTTAGCATCAGCTGTTAAGCGGCTTAAAGATCAGCTGATAAGCGGCTTAGCATCAGCTGTTAAGCGGCTTAATGTGCAGTGGTTAAGCGGCTTAGCATCAGCTGTAAGCGGCTTAAAGATCAGCTGATAAGCGGCTTAGCCATCAGCTGATAAGCGGTTTAGCGGCTTGGGAAAAGGGGGGGGAGGGAAAAAACCCCGCAGGAACTCGCAAGACATTTTCGTCTTGCGAAGCAAGCACATAGGAAATTCGTTTTGCGAAGCACCTCCAAAACGGAAAACCCTTTCGTCTAGCGGGTTTTCCGTCTTGCGAGGCATTCGTCTTGCGGGGCACCACTGTATTCCAACTATCTGACTCCACCTAACAATTCCTCTCACTCCCTCACAACACAACTTGACCAACCCACAGACTTATCCTCCCTCTTCCTTCTTCAACTCCCAACTCCCACAAAACCAAGGCAGAACCAGTTCCGTGTCGTTATCTCCACGGTCATCATGGATGTTTATCTGATTCCTTTTAAAAGGGAAGCCGAGACTCGCAAGACAGGGCTGTGAAATGCACATACAGTGGTACCTTGGTTCTCAAACTTAATAATAATAATAATAATAATAATAATTTATTATTTATACTCAACCCATCTGGCTGAGTTTCCCCAGCCACTCTGGGCAGCTCCCAATTGAGTGTTAAAAACAATACAGCATTAAATATTAAAAACTTCCCTAAACAGGGCTGCCTTCAGATGTCTTTTAAAAATAGATGAAGTTGATGGACTATATGGAATTGGCGGAAACGACTGGCAGAAATCCGAGAACAGGGAGAAGAGTCGGTGGAAGAAGACTGGAAAAAGTTTAAGACTATTTATAGAAATATTGTTAAAATAATGAATGTTAGAAAAATGTTGGAATGAAGTTATACGGCTTCAGTAGAAATGCTATAAGGAATTAGGTATAAATAGATTAATAGAGTATTAAAGGGAAATATAAGATTAGAATATGTTAAGATAATTATAGAAGAGAAAACAGAGGAAGATGGAAAGGAATTGCTGAAACAATTAATAGAAGTGGAATACAAAAAGGGAGGTGTGAGGAGGTCGTGGAAATAAGGGAATGAAAGTTAAGATATCGAAATTGTTTTGTGTTTTAAATGGTTTGCGTCTTGTATTGTTAATCTTATGTTCTTTCTTTTCTTTTTTCTTTTTCTTTTCCTTTTTTGTTTTTCTGTTTTATTGTGTTTAAATGGTTGGAAAAATCAATAAATATTATTTTAAAAAACAACAACAACAGATGTCTTTTGAAAATAGGATAGCTGCTTATTTCCCTGACATCTGATGGGAGGGCGTTCCACAGGGCGGGCGCCACTACCGAGAAGGCCCTTTGCCTGGTTCCCTGTAAGCTCACTTCTCGCAATGAGGGAACCACCAGAAGGCCCTCGGCGCTGGATCTCAGTGTCCGGGCTGAACGATGGGGATGGAGATGCTCCTTCAGGTCCGTTCGACTCCCAAAACGGTTCCAAAACCAAGGCGCGGCTTCTGACTGGCTGCAGGAGCTTCCTGCACTCAATCGGAAGCCGCGTTGGACGTTCGGCTTCTGAAAAACGTTTGCAAATCAGAACGGTCACTTCCAGGTTTGTGGCATTCAGGAGCCAAGTCACTTGGGAACCAAGGTACCACTGTACTGTCTCCTTCAGTGGAAATGACTTGGGGGAACAGAAGCAAAGTTCCTCCGCTGCAAGGAACATTGTATAGAGTGGCTGTCTTGCAGCATCCCTGAACTTTCATTCTCACTCACTTGTAGTTCTGACATTCATTCTCTGTGATGTTGAGCTGCGTGTCCAACTGGTCCAGAAGGGTATCAGTGCATTCTTCACAAAGAGGGTGATCCACATCTGTCTGACCAGACATGATGTCAAACAGGTCCCCTGTAACCTAGAAAAGAGGAGATCACTTTTAACAAGAAAATTTGGGGGAGGGGGAACCCATCGAGCAAAGCTAGTATGTTGTGTTATAATATACACACGAGGGCGGTTCATAAAAAAACATTTTTTTAAAGACATGCCTGCTCCAAAGGTCTTATTTTAATACACTAGGGATTATATAGCTATATCTGAAATTTCATGCATATCAGTTAATATCTTGACCCCGCTCCACTGAATTGAATTTCAGCCTTCACAACATACAAAAACGGCCAAGTAAGCAGCTGTTTTTGTGGAGGAGGGTCAGACACACAAGTATTTGGGCTACATTTGATTACATTTAGACTATGGCATTATTGAGAGACAAAGACAGAGACAGAGACAGACAGAGAGAGAGAGAGAGAGAAGCTGGTCACAAGACTAGGAGTAATATAACCTGGAGAGACCTAAAGCTAGAAATTGATGAAAAGCCATTTTATACTTTTTGACAAAAGAAGACGGTTGGGTCATGTACTAAAAAATGGCATCTCAGTTGAAAGCGATTTGAAAGAGATGAGTCTTCGAAGCCCATCTGGAAGCCAGGACCAATGGAGAGAAGCCATATACAGTGGTCCCTCAGTTTAAGAACAGTCCGGTTTAAGAACGATTTGGTTTACAAACTCTGCAAAACCGGAAATAGTGTCTTGGTTTGAGAACTTTGCCTCGGTTTAAGAACGGAATCCGAACGGTGGAAGGGCACTGGTGGCGGGAGGCCTCATTAGGGAAAGCGCGCCTCGGTTTAAGAACGGACTTCCGGAATGGATTAAGTTCGTAAACCGAGGTACCACAGTATCTCTTGGGAGGAAGATTCGCAAATGAGGATCCACCGCAGCGTGGGCTTGGTGAAGAGAACTGAATTAGCGGTAGCTGAATTATGTACTTCAATATGCCCAAATATCTCCAGGGTTTCCCTAAAGATGTATAGCACACACAAGGGTAAGGGACAACTTGCCTTGAGCCTTCTGCTGAGGTTTTCCATCGTGCCTCCATCAGAGGCCTCCCCAATGAGTGTGAAGCTGTTGGCACTTTCTGTTGACATCATCCTGGAAGAAACAGGGTGGTTTCGCTACGACGTGCATTCCCACAGATGTTTACCCAAAACTCAAGAGGTGCTAAGTTACTGTAATTCACCCTTGAGCCCATGTTCCTCTGTAATTTTTAAACAAACAGGTCTTGCTTCTGTGTTCAATGAGTGAGTGAATGCAGAGGAACTCTTTGCTCAACGTTTAAGCACATAACAATCTTTAGTTTGCGGCCTCAAGCTATTAGAGAGAAGACTGTCCAATATATATTTTATCCCCCACCTCTCAACCCTGCAAGTCTTTGGGTCTGCCCAACCCCCAGGAATCCCTTGGGATCAGTGTTTGAAACTCCCATTGTTCTGGACGCATTTTGCGACAGCAAATTTCATTAGTGCGAGCAGTTTCTCAGCTCTGGGCGAAGTACCGTGCTTAAGATTTCAGATTAAAACTGCAGAGTGGAAGGAAAGGAGGACCTTTTTCTGCCTCCCCACTTCCAGCTACTCTCTGAAGCCTGGAGAAGGGACCCTCTTAAGAATATTAGGGGGGTGGGCAGGGGAAGGACTAGACCATGTGGAAAATGAACATAATATTTTAGCTGCAGTTCATTCATTTTCAGCTTTGTATTCTTGTTATTAAAAAAGCATGCCTAGACATTCTGTTGTTGCGCCCATAATCTAGGATTAAGCTGCTATTTTGCTCCTAGCTTTCATATCTCAGTTTCTAACACTGCTTGGGATCATCTTGAGGGAACTGCAGATTTCTGCCCCAAATCTGTCCATTAGGAGACTAGATTCAGGTAGGTAGCTGTGTTGGTCTGACACAGTCAAAATAAATTAAAAAATTAAAAAATGGCCCAGTAGCACCTTAGAGACCAACTAAGATTGTTCTTAAAAGGCAGAGACATCACCTTGCCAACAAAGGTCTGTATAGTTAAAGCCATGGTTTCCCCAGTAGTGATGTATGGAAGTGAGAGCTGGACCATAAAGAAGGCTGATCGCCAAAGAATTGATGCTTTTGAATTATGGTGCTGGAGGAGACTCTTGAGAGTCCCATGGACTGCAAGAAGATCAAACCTATCCATTCTGAAGGAAATCAGCCCTGAGTGCTCACTGGAAGGACAGATCATGGAGCTGAGGCTCCAATACTTTGGCCACCTCATGAGAAGAGAAGACTCCCTGGAAAAGACCCTGATGCTGGGAAAGATGGAGGGCACAAGGAGAAGGGGATGACAGAGGATGAGATGGTTGGACAGTGTTTTCGAAGCTACGAACATGAGTTTGACCAAACTGCGGGAGGCAGTGGAAGACAGGAGTGCCTGGCATGCTCTGGTCCATGGGGTCACGAAGAGTCGGACACGACTAAATGACTAAACAACAAGATTGTTCTAAGTATAAGCTTTCGTGTGCATGCACACGTCTTCAGATGCATACTTCTTGCATGCACGCGAAAGCTTATACCCAAAACAATCTTAGTTGGTCTCTAAGGTGCTACTGGACAATTTTTTAATTTATTTATTTCATAAGGAGACTGTTTTCCTTCTGCAGCTTGACCATTTTACACAAGCCTGGAGTAAATGCTTTGTAAGCAAGTTTGACAGTGTACTTGCTCTCATCTTGTGGAAATTCATGGTCAGAACTTCTTTCCTTGGAAGCAGTTGATAGTAGGATGGAACTGGCTCACAGTATGAGCAGAGGGGGAAGCAACCAGAGGTCAACTTGCTCTTTGAATCCTTCCAACCTTATAAGCTCAACTCAAGTTCCAGAGTTCCATCTCAGCTTATAACAGGGCAATTTGAGGCTGATAAAAGTATTGGAGCATACAGAGAGATACAACTGAAAATGACGGCCAGTACGGTGGGCCCTCTGGAAATGAATTTAATTTATTCCGGGGGTCCGTGCACACCCTGAAAAATTTGTACCCAGAGGCGCCCTTCTGCGCACGTGCACGGTGCGATTGAGCGCTTCTGCGCATGCAGAGAAACCCAGAAGTATTCACTTCTGTGTTTGCCACATTTGCAACCCAAGGATTACGTTATCCGAAGGTAACGTAACCCAAGGGTCCACTGTATTTAAGTGCAGGAGGGTAACAGGGACTGAAAAGCACTTTCCTTTCAAAAAGTGTTCAAAATTCACCAGGCACATTTTGCACCTGGCTATCGGCCACTCATGACCAAGTGAAGATGCGTGAGCACCAGGATAGTGCCTGACATCTCCACCATCTGGGGATCATTAATACCCCACCCTGCATAATTCTATCGGTTATATTTTATCTGCACAATCAGAACGAATTTCTGGAACCAAAATGCGTTTTTTGTGCAGCCTGAGCAGGAGCAGTCACCATTAAGGAAAAGAGGTCAGAATAGGATCCACTGTCCCTGGATCAAGTGATTTTTCTTCTTTAAGTTCTCAAAGCTCTTAACCTAGCTCATGGTTGTCATCTGAACTAGCTAGGTGTTTAACTGAGGATCAATCACAGTCGGTCCATCACTTTAAAAATAAAGACTTCTTACCCCCAAATGGCAACTAGACATTCTGTTTTGGCGACTGCAACCTTGGTTGAAGGAGCCATTTGGCGCCTAGCTTATATATCTGAGCTTCTAACCCTGCTTTTAAAGCCTACAAGCAGGGCACAGAACCTAGGGCCCTGCGGGACTTGACATCTTTCCACAGGACCTGCAAGACAGAGATGTTCCGCCTGGCCTTTGGTTTGGACTCAGTCTGACCCTTATGTTTCCCTACCCTTATGGTTTTGATCTATAGGCTACTTTTAAAATGAGGCTGCATTTTAAATTGCATTTTAACCTGTATTTTAAATTGGTTCCCCCCCGCCCCATTATGTTTTTATTGTAATTTTACTGGTGTTAGCCGCCCTGAGCCCGGCTCTGGCTGGGAAGGGCGGGGTATAAATAAAATTTATTTTTATTTTTATTTTTATTATCCTGCTTCAGAGCTGTATGTGTACATACCGTATTTTTCGCTCTATAAGACACACCAGACCATAAGACGCACCTAGTTTTTGGAGGAGGAAAACAAGAAAAAAAATATTCTGAATCTCAGAAGCCAGAATAGCAAGAGGGATCGCTGCACAGTGAAAGCAGCAATCCCTCTTGCTGTTCTGGCTTCTGGGATAGCTGCGCAGCCTGCACTCGCTCCATAAGACGCACACACATTTCCCCTTACTTTTTAGGAGGGAAAAAGTGAGTCTTATAGAGCAAAAAATACAGTATACATATACACATGAGGACCCCAGAGGGTCTGAAAATGCAGTAGTCCCAACAAGGCTAGTCTGCTGCACTGTTGGGGCACTTGCAACCTCTGAAAGAGGGCATTTTCAGGGCGCGAACAGAACTCCTAGTCAATACCTGGCTGGGGGGATGAATCTTCGGGACACACCATCCTGGCGGTTTTCAACAAATTCCTGAGAAAGAAAGTCAGCGTCAGTCCACACCCAACAGAGAGCATCATCCACATCTAGTGCCCACTAGAAAGCTAGTCAAAATGCCCGTGGCACATTCTTCCAGCCACGGCCAGAAGCGCTGCAAGATGCCTGCATGAATCGCACCAGCCCATCAACCGTTTTACTGGCCTACCCACTTACATGATGTGGCTGCATCACAAGGCAAGCTAAGAAGCAGGTGTGATGAATAAACATTTGCAACTTTATTTACAGAGTTCCAGTCAGAATTTGCAACAAGTGTTTTCCATAGTGTTTTCCCCTATTTCCCCTAACATAATGCCACAATGTAGGGTTGCATATGTTTTGTTTAAACTAAAGCAAAAGCTCTGGAGAACTGATTTAGATGACTTGATACATTCCCTAGTTCATCTTGTTTTCTTAATCTTGCAAAAAAAACCACAACGCCCCCCCTGCAATCTTTCCCTTTAACTGACTAAACTTCATTCTTTATAACATTGTTGCTGCACGGGTGTATTGAAGCTACTGCATGGAACTGTACTAAAAGCTGGTAGTCTTTTTAAATTAATAAAAATTGTGCTCTAATCATTGTAATGTGACTTTTGTGGTTATGTCAAATAAAGTTTGCCATGCCTGGTAAAAACAAACAAACAAACAAAAACTTTATTTACAGAGAACAAGAAATATAATTAGTAATAACAGAACATTATGTATTCACAGCAGAATGTAACATTTGGTGTAATAAACCAGAAATGTAAGTTGGGGGAAGTCAACAGGGAGGGGAAAACTAGAATATGATGTTAAATACTGAATATTTGTTATGAGAAAAGAAAATCAATAAAAATTATTTTTTTAAAGAAAGAAGAAGCAGGTCTGATAAGGGATGTTTCCTTCTTGGCAGATAATTTATTAGGAGCTGGTGGCAAACTGCATAGCTTCTTTATAAGGGAGTCAGACCCAAATTCCTTACCTCTGTAAGTCCAGTCTCTTCCTCATGGGTGTCTCCAAGTTTTGCCGGCGCAGTAGTAAGTAGAGGAGCTAGACGGAAAACAAATGAAATAATTGCCAAGGGTAAACCTTTCCTAATGTGTGGGGCTCCTGTGTATGTGAGGCGTAATGAACCTCTGGCCCTCCAGATGTTGCTAAACTACAACTCCCCTCATTCCTGGCCATTGACCAAACTTGCTTAGGCTGATGGGAGATGTAGTTCAGTAACACCTAGAGGGACAAAAGTTCCCCACACCAGGTATATGGGAACAAGCTGTAAGGGTTTAGAAGCAAGAGAAGAGTACACTATACTAGAGATGGGGGGGTGGGAAATGGGGGGGAAACAGTTTTTTCCCATTTTCCCCCAAAGCCGTTTTTTTCTGGAAAAATTGAAGAAAAAGAAAGGTGTGTGGAATATTGAAACTATATCAAACTGTTTTTTTCCAATTTTTCCGGGGAAAACAGCTTTGGGGGAAAACGGGGGGGGCTGTTCCCCCCCCCAATTTTTCAGGGCTTTTTCCAGGCCTTCCCATCTCTACACTACACATGCAGTTACTTCCAAATTCTTGACAATGATAACAGTAATATATATTTATATTCCACTCTTCTACTAAAAATACCTAGAGCAGCAAACAAACAGTCATAACATGTGGAATAATAAATAAAAGTGCAGGTATTTTATATATCTCCCAATAGAAAAATGCAGACAACCTTTAGAAGAAACAAACCACAAAGCTAGCAACAGCAAGAGTAAAAAAATGTTCTGAATTAAAATGAGGAGGAATAAACCTAGATACTATGTAGTAGAAGCCTAATGAAACCAAAGCTTCTTCCATTTCTGGCAAAAGATTCACAAAGAGAAAGCCTGATGGAGGCCAACTGGAAGGGTGATCCAGTAGTTGCAAGCCCCGAGTCCTGCATTCACCTGCCAAATCTCCCAAGACCGAACTAATGACAACAGGTTCTGCAGTCAGTGATGGGGATTTTCCAGGGGGAAATCTTATGCAAAATAGTATTTGAAAAATCAGTTTGCATTAAAAAAAATTTTTGATGCCCTACAGAGTGATTCAGTTCAGCAGGTTTATTTTACTTGCGTTTAGTAAGCCTGCACTAAGCTCGCCTTATACTGTGGTGTCCGAAACAGAAAAATTTATGCAGAGAAATAAAGCACTGGGAAATGTTGCGTTCCACATCAGTGCCTGCAGCTCAGGCACAGAAAGCATGCCTTAAAACAGGGGTCAGCAAACTTTTTCAGCAGGGGGGTTGGTCCACTGTCCCTCAGACCTTGTGGGGGGGCCAGACTATATTTTGAAAAGAAAAAAAATGAACAAATTCCTATGCCCCACAAATAACCCAGAGATACATTTTAAATAAAAGCACACATTCTACCCATGTTAAAACACGCTGATTCCTGGACCGTCCAGGGCCGGATTTAGAAGACGATTGGGCCAGATCCGGCCCCCGGGCCTTAGTTTGCCCACCCATGAACTAGAGCCGGGGGTCAGCAAATTTTTTCAGCAGGGGGCCGGTCCACTGTCCCTCAGACCTTGTGGGGGGCCAGACTATATTTTGGAGGGGGGGGGAAATGAACGAATTCCTAAGCCCCCACACAACCCAGAGATGCATTTTAAATAAAAGCACACATTCTACTCATGAAAAAACACGCTGATTCCTGGATCATCCGCGGGCCGGATTGAGAAGGTGATTGGGCCAGATCCGGCCCCCGGGCCTTAGTTTGGCAACGCTTGCCTTAAAATAAAGCTCAGCTTGGTTGGCATCTGTGGCCTGTACTCCCCGCTGTCTTTCTTCACGGTTCCTTTCCTTACCTGTCAGTTCTTGGATGGTGACTTTATCAAGGACCTTGAAAGACGTGTCCAGTTTAAGGGGCTGGCTGCAGCGCTGGCAAACAAAGCTGACCTGTGTGGTACAGGCAGGTGACTTTGACCCATCCATTCCTGCGAGGAGAACAATGATCTCAGATTGTGCTTCCAGCACTGCCTAGGTGGGCACACATTTATAAACAAATACCTTATAGTTCAGGTGAGACATTTCAGGTGTAACCAGCTGAGGCACAATTCAGGACTCTGAATAAGGTAGATGCCTCAATATTAATCACTTTAAGCAGGGCTGGATTTAGGTTTGATGAGGCCCTAAGCTACTGAAGGTAAAGGTAAAGGGACCCCTGACTGTTAAGTCCAGTCACGGGCGACTCTGGGGTTGGGGCGCTCATCTCGCTTTACTGGCCGAGGGAGCCGGCGTACAGCTTCCGGGCCATGTGGCCAGCATGACTAAGCCGCTTCTGGCGAACCAGAGCAGCGCACGGAAACGCCATTTACCTTCCCGCCAGAGTGGTAATTATTCATCTATTTGCACGTCAACGTGCTTTCAAACTGCCAGGTTGGCAGGAGCTGGGACCGAACAATGGGAGCTCACCCCGTCGCAGGGATTTGAACCGCCGACCTTCTGATCGGCAAGTCCTAGGCTCAGTGGTTTAGACCACAGCACCACCTGTCTACTGAAGGTAATGGGGCCCTTTATATGTCCAGATTGTTGTTTTTGTCCATGGAGTTTTCTTGGCAGGGATTCTGGAGTAGCTTGCCAGTTCCTGCTCCCATGGACTGCAAGAAGATCAAACCTATCCATTCTGGAGGAAATCAGCCCTGAGTGCTCACTGGAAGGACAGATCCTGAAGCTGAGGTTCCAATACTTTGGCCACCTCATGAGAAGAGAAGACTCCCTGGAAAAGACCCTGATGTTGGGAAAGGTGGAGGGCACAAGGAAAAGGGGACAACAGAGGACAAGATGGTTGGACAGTGTTCTCGAACTCTACCAGCATGAGTTTGACCAAACTGTCACTGATTTTTGTGTTGAATATAAGCTATATGGTAATTTATGGACCTAACAGGTATCTAAAGCCATTTGCACATAACAAAATCTGTATTTTATCAAAGTAATTGTTGAACTGAAATACAATTAAGAAGAAGTATCCAAGTTTTTTCCCCTTTAAATTTTTGGGGGGCCTCCAAGAGAGCGGGGCCCTAAGCCATAACTTGTTTAGCTTATACATAAATCCGGCACTGACCTTAAGGAAACTGGAGTTGTCACCGTTTTAGCAGTTAAAAACAAACTAAGCCAGACCAGTAAAGCTCCACTATTAACAGCCAAAAATGACGGGTTTACTACACAATCCTAAACATATTTACTACTTATAAGTTCCACTCAATTCAGGGGAATCTACTCCCTGAACAAATATGCAGAGGAACAGAGCAGCAGTAAGTTGTGTTTACTATTCTCTCACAGACCAGGGTGTTGCTTAAGAGCGAAATATAGTGGAGTGGATTGGCTGTGGCCACAATTCACAGAATCGTAGAATTGTAGAGCTGAAAGGGACCCCGAGGGTCATCTAGCCCAACCCCCTGCAGTGCAGTTACTCGGGAGATAAGCCCTCTTGAATTCAATGGAGCGGTGCTGCCCTTATAATGCTACGAGCGGATCAGGAATGAATGCCCAGCCAGTTCCTAAATACTGTACCTGTGCTGGAATTAGGGCACTGCAGGCGATTCACCTGCATGGGGCGCTGAGCCAAATGGGGACAAAATATAACAACAACAACAACAACAAAACAATACTAATACCTTCTATATTTACACAGGTACCTAATGAGATCCTGGAAATTCTGGATGTATGGCAATCCTATTGGTTGTGTTTCTTATAATTGATTTCAGTGCTTTTATACTGTTTTCATAGGTTGCTTTGGGTCGTCTTCGTGAGGAAAGCAACATAATAATAATAACAACAACAACAACAATAATAATAATATTAATAATGTGCCTCCTATATTTACACAGGTATATAATGAGATCCATTAAAAAAGCAACTGTGCCGAAAGGAATTATGTCTTGTGAAACTATGGGACCAATTTCAGGTGCCCCTCAAGCGTGTTTCATAGGATTTCCAAGGCGCATTTAATTGTATTTCATTTTAAGGCATTTTTACTTATTTTTTGCATTTAATTTTAAAGGAGCTCCCTTCCCCGGGCAGCCGGTTGGCGAGCGATACTCACTTCCCTCGAGCAACGAGAATTGCTGGACCAGCCCCGCTTTCCTTGGACCTGGAGTCCCTTCTTTCTTTTCTTTCCTTCCCTCCTTCTTTCTTTCCTTCCTTCTTTCCTGGCGCGGCTCGTCTTCCCACCCGACTCCCTTCGGATCAGGTCTTTGCAAAAAGCTTTCTCTTCCGGGGAAGGCGGAGGCGCCGGACCGACGTCACGGGGAGGATTGCAGGGCAAAAATAAATATATATATATATATATAAGCCAGTAATTAAAAACCGCAAGCGCCGCCCCCTCCGTCGTCTCCATGGCAACCCCGGGGCCCGGGCGCCTCGTGCGCGCGCTTGCAGCGCTTGCAGCCCGCGGTGCTTTGCAGGGCGCCGTGCGCCGCTCGCGCGCAATTTGAATTGCGCCTGAAGTTTGGTTCAAAAGGCCAAGCGTGGCCCGCTAGTTATTACCCGCTTCTTCCACCCCACGCATATCTAGGTTGTGAATTTAGGAGGAAGGACGGTGTACAAATTTAATAGGGAATAATCATAATTGCAAATTTTGGGGGTGGGAGTGGGGGAAGAGAGCTGTGTTGCTGACCAAGAATGGTGTCTTGCCACAACCCTGCACTGTGGTCCACTGTTGCTCTTCCCGTGTTTTAAGGCTGTGAAGCAATAGCGAATAATGCAAATGATAATATAATAATAATAATTTATTATTTAAACCCCACCCATCTGGCTGGGTTTCCCCAGCCACTCTGGGCGCCTCCCAACTGAACATTAAAAACACAGTATAGCATTAAACATTAAAAACATCCCTAAACAAGGCTGCCTTCAGATAAGAATCTGATGATGATAATAATCTGATAATTTTAATACTCTGATAATCTTAATAATCTGATAATAATCTTAATAATAATCTTAATAATAATCTGATAATAATCTTAATAATAATCTTATGGTAAAATAGAAGGCTCTGGGACCGATTTGACCACTCATTACGGGCAGATTTAGAAAAACTGGCTAGAGATGTCCACTTTTGAAGCTGCATTTAATGAAGAGGGGTTCATTTTTTCTCTAGCTGTCATTAAAAATATTTACCTGTTGTGGTTCATAGCAAACATAATCGGCACTTTTATGAACTTCAAAGCTCTAGGAGGTAGTGCCTGTGTTAGGTATTTTGTTTTTATACTGTAAACTACCCTGTGATCTTCAGATGAAAGATGGAATGTAAATTTAATTAATAATAATGTTGTGGTCATTAGGTCATTAGATATCATGGGAGGTTGAGCTACCCTATGCTTCCATATTTTGGGGAATAAGACCAACTGACTATAATGGGGCTTACTTCCAAGTAAACAAGCACAGGATTGAACTGTGAGACTGGCAAATCACTCTTTAATAAAGGTCACAAGAAGTGTCATCTTTTCAGTCTTTATTGAGGAAATACAGTATCAAATTCACAGAAAAAATGCTCCAGGTAAACAAGTAAACAGCCCCTTTCTTTTTCTAATGAATTCATCCTGGCAATGTGTGTGTGTGTGTGTGTGTGTGTGTGTGTGTGTGTGTGTATGCTCGCTCCGTGGTTTATGTGGGGTTTTGCAGTCAAATATGTGATTTTGGCTGCAAACCCCTTATTCATATGCTTTTAACTTTTGTATGATTTAAAGCAGGGCAGTAATTTTTTCTCCATTTTGCTGTTTTTATTTTTTCATAAACCAGTTTGAGGATTTTTATTTTTACAATCAAGTGGTGTGCAATTTTTGTTAAATAAATAAATAAAATAGATAGTATGCCTTTTCATTACGATTCCCACCTAATGTCCCAACTCTGGGCAAATATATTTTAAGATCACTGAATGCAAGCTGTGGTTACATTTAGCAACCAGAGTAGCTGATCACGTATCAGTACAAAACGCTGCGGTGGAAATTACGGTAACCACCCACACTTTTTGCCGGTGGCCGTTAGGGTTTCCTAACCAGGCCAGTACAAGTGCACAGGAGAACATGTGCAGAGGGCGACCGAGATGATAAAGGGTCTGGAAACCCAGCCTTAGGAGGAACAATTGAAGGAGCTGGGTATGTTTATCCTTGATAAGAGGAGAGTAACAGGAGATACGATAGCCCTCTTCAAATATCTCAAGGGCTGTCCCATGGAGGATGGAGCAAGCTTGTTTTCTCCTCCTCTGGAGGGCAGGACTCGAATCAAGGGCTTCAAGCTCCAAAAAGGGAGATTCCGACTAAACATCAGGAATAACTTTCTGGCAGTAAGAGCAGTTAAACAGTGGAAGACTCCCACAAGAGGTGGTGGACTCTCTTTCATTGGAGGTTTTTAAGCAGAGGTTAGACGGCCATCTGTCATGGATGCTTTAGCTGAATTCCTGCATTGCAGGGGGTTGGACTGGATGACCCTCAGGGTCCCTCCCAACTCTGCATTTCTAGGATTTTAAGATGCCTAAAAATCAAGTAGGCGCATTTAAAAATAAATAAATAATTTTTTAGTGCATTCATTACAGGGAACCAGGCAGAGGGCCTTCTTGGTAGTGGCGCCCGCCCTGTGGAACACCCTCCCATCAGATGTCAAGGAAATAATCCGACTTTTAGAAGACATCTGAAGGCAGCCCTGTTTAGGGAAGTTTTTAATGTTTGAAGTTTTATTCTGTTTTCAATGTTCTGTTGAAAACTGCACAGAGTGGCTGGAGAAACCCAGCCAGGTGGGTGGGGTATAAATAAAAGATTATTATTATCATCATCATGATTATCATTATTAACATTATTATAAAAATAAATAATTTAGCATGTTGTAGTGGAGGGAGCAGTGACGGCCCTCCATCAGGCGACAGATGCCAAAGCAGGCTAGGGAGTGTTCACACAAAGCTCTTCTGATTCCAAGTACTCATGATCAGCGGTGCTATTGGAGCAGGACTTCTGGGGCAGAAATCCAAGACTGGAAGAAATTTAAAGACTATTTACAGAAGTATTGTAAAATTAATGAATCTTAGAAGGATGTTGGATAGAAACTAAGTGGTTTCCAGCTGTAATGCTTTAAGAGATATGAAAAAAGGTTTATAAATGGGTAAAAGCTTAATGGTAAGGATTTGCTGAACTAACAACTGAACTGGAATACAAAAAAGGGAGGTATGAGGAGGTCCGGGGAAATAAGTGTAAGGAAGATATGTTATGGAAAATTAATGTGTTTTTAACTGTTTTTATTTTGGTTTGTTTCTTTTTATTTTTCATTGCTTTGTTATATTTTAATAAGGGTTTTTTTTTATTCTTCTTGCTGTATTTTGTATTTTTTTGTATTTTTACTTTTTGTTTTTGTGTAATTCTTGTATTTTTTTGAAATTTTAATAAATATCATTAAAAAAAAAACAGAAATCCAGGGTCCCCAAAGGACCATCCAAAGATGATTATTATTATATTTTAACATTTTAATATATTATTATTATTATTATTATTATTATTATTATTATTATTATTATTATCTGATATATTACTATATTATTATTATTATTATTATTACAGTATTAGCTTTTAATCACTCCGGAACCATTTATCGCGGGATCAGTTTCCCTGCGCGCTCATTCCCGTTTCTTGGTAACTCCTCTCAGGCTCCGCCCACGCCTCTCGGAAGCCGCTTGTCCAGCTCGTGCGTCAGTTACCCCGGATGAGGCGGGAGAGCGGAAGACAAAAGACACGAGCCGCGTGGGGGGGGGGGGAGCGAATCACGTGGGAAGCTGAAGGCGCGCGCGGCGGTTGGCGAAGCGGCGTCGGCGAGGCGTTATGCCGTCATTTCCGGCCGCGGCCAAGAAGCCGGTGGTGGTTTGCTCGGGTGGCGGCGGCGGCGGCGCGTTCGCGGAACGAAAACGAGACGGACCCGGCTAGAGGGATAGCGGTTCCCCCGCCCTGCCATGGCCTCCCTGCTCAAGGTGGATCCGGAAGTGAAGATCAAGGTACGGAGGGAAGCGGGGCCGGAGAGGGGCGGGAAGGAGGCGAGAGCGGCTGAGTTGCTTCGCGGGGCGGGCGTGCCCCGGAGCATGTGCAGAGCGCCGGCCTCCGGAAGGAGGAGGGAGGGGTTTTCCCCGGGGCGCTTCAGCCGCGGCTCCTCTCCGCTTACGGGGAGAGCGGGCCGGTTGCCATGGAGGGCTGAGGCCCTGCTGGCCCAGCGCCCTTGGGGGGGGTCTGTCCCGGGCCCGTCAGACCCCGCACCCCGCTTAGCCAAGACACAACGGGCCTGGCTCGCCACCTTGCCACTTAAAGAGGGAGGCGGTAGGAACCCTTAGCCGCGCGCCTTAAGATTTTCGGATTGGATCCCTGCCTCTTGGGAAGTTGGCATGATCACACCGAGTCTTCTTGCACGATTGCAAGGGAACCGGGTGTGGGTTAAACCACAGAGCCTAGGACTTGCCGATCACAAGGTCGGCGGTTCGAATCCCTGCGACGGGGTGAGCTCCCGTTGCTCGGTCCCTGCTCCTGCCAATCTAGCAGTTTGAAAGCACACCGGTGCAAGTAGATAAATAGGTACCGCTCGGGCGGGAAGGTAAACGGCGTTTCCGTGCGCTGCTCTGGTTCGCCAGAAGCGGCTTAGTCATGCTGGCCACATGACCCGGAAGCTGGACGCTGGCTCCCTCGGCCAATAATGCGAGATGAGCGCCGCAACCCCAGAGTCAGTCAAGACTGGACCTAATGGTCAGGGGTCCCTTTACCTTTAAGGGACCTGGGGGGGTCATCTAGGCCAGCCCCCCTGAAATGCAGGGATATTTCGCCCAACGTGGCCCTCGAACCCACGACCTTGGGATTAAGAGTGGCTGGAGAAACCCAGACAGATGAACGGGTATAAATAAATTATTATTACTTGTTGGGTCTCTGGACCATAATAAAGATTGATGATGATATCAAATTAGTATTACAGTGGTACCTCAGGTTAAGAAATTAATTCATTCCGGAGGTCCGTTCTTAACCTGAAACTGTTCTTAACCTGAAGCACCACTTTTAGCTAATGGGGCCTTGCACTGCCGCTGCACGATTTCTGTTCTCATCCTGAAGCAAAGTTCTTAACCCAAGGTACTACTTCTGGGTTAGTGGAGTCTGTAACCTGAAGCGTATGTAACCCGAGGTACCACTGTATTATTATTAGAGTCGTGTTCTACCGATGGTGCATCTTTTCTGCCCCAGCTGCTGATCATTGGAACTACACTGCCTCTGGCCACAGGGGATGCTCTCTGCTTGATTCTGACAGGCCAAGGGCACCTGCCGTTGCTGCATCCTGCAATGGTGGCTTCTTTAGGCTGCTTGGATGTTACTGTTTTTTACCTGCCCTGCGGAGGGTGGGTTTATTCAGATCAAAGGGATTTGAGGAAAAAGTCTCCATTTAAGTCAAACTTCCAAGTTTATAGTAACTCGTATATTTCCCAAGCAAGCAATGCATTCTGGCTGGTAAAGCACACCTGTTTGCATCTAAATTTATTATATCGTCCAGGAACGTGCTATACACCTCAGATCATTCACCCAATATGACTTTTGCCCTGGCGAGATTTTATCAGCCTAGAAGAGTAATTGCCAAATTAAGGATTTCTGTGTGAAGTTAAGGAATGATAAGCAAGGCTGTGTTTTGGAAGCTCAGTACTGTACTCAGAACTGTGAGTTGGCATGTAGCAGCTGGTCAGAATAGATAGAAATTAGATGGCCGTGCCACTTGACAGCATGCTTATTCAACATTTGAAGAATAATATATACAAAAATATATACAATGCATGACCTATTGTGCAATATTTATAATGTTTCACTTAAGAGGTCACATAGTGTTCCTCAGGATTCATTTTTCATGTATAATAATAAAAAATCAGGCTTTAGCTCAGATCAGTTTGATAGAGCGTACTAGATCCAGTTTCATGGGTATTTTTAATGGTTATGTTCCACTTAGGATTTCATTTGAACCCCAGCTATTTTTAACAGTTTTTTTAAAGAAAATGTTTTATTTAAAAATTTAAGAGCCATTTCTTGTCCTGAATTGAGAGCCTATCAATTTTCTCTATTTTTTTCTCTTCTACCCAGCCTTAAAGTTAAGTTTCAGACTGGTAGCATGTAGGAAATAGTTCTGGCTCCGTTGCATTTTATATATGTATTACTATTCACCTGTCAATTTTCTGTTGCGGTAATGGGCTTTTTTTGCGCAAACTTTCTTGTAGTTTAAAGTGCAGACTTTCTTATAATCGGTCTGGATAGAAGTCTTGCGTGGTCCTTTTTTGCTGCTTTGTGTTTGGGAGAGCTTCCCATTTTAAAAATTAGTTTGCCCATTCACCTATTTTTAGGTAGCTGTTAAATTGTTTACTGCTTATTTTATTTAATGTATTTATACCTTGGTCTTCAGCTGACAATAAATCTTGCAAAGATCAGGGAGGGAAAACAGGCCTTGCCTGCAGGCTTTCAACTTAAACACAGCACAAGATTGGGAGGGGAGAAGGTAAAAAAGCAAACTCATGCACTAGTTCTTAATTATAAAGCTCAACAGCTTTTAATTCAACAGATCATGGAGCTGGGTCTAAACATAATGGAGAAACTGCTGCTTCCTCCCCCTCTGACATCAGTGGTGGCAGTTGGTAGTTACAGCAGGATGGTGCTGAGGCAAAGCTGCGGCGAAGCATATTTTTTTTTGAGGGGGGGGAGTATCAGAGTGCTGCCCCCTCTTCTTCTGGTGGCCTCAAGGATGGCAGCTGGCTATTGAAAACAGTGCTTTTCAGGAATAGGGCACCTGTATTCAGATGCATATTTGGAGGTGTGTCTGTTTTGCTTTCTGATCCTGCAAGTGATCATCATGCTCTGATCTCCTACATTGGATTGAAGTAAAAAGCCATCCATGCGAGGGGTCAGGGATGGGAACTCTGTCTTTCCCTGGACCCTCTTTAGTCCCTTTGCCCCCCCCATACGCTCGTTAATATTTGAAACCAAGATAGTGTTGTGTATTATTTTTAAAAAGCAGGAGATGAAACAGAAGAAAATGGAGAAGCAAAACTGTTTCTTCCCTAGTCTTCACTTGATCTCTGTTATTGCTAACAGATCATGGGTAAAAAAGAGGGTGGTAGAGTAGAAACATCTCTGCTAGACCCTATATTCTTGCACAAAAGTAGTTGGGGAGGATTTCTTCTGGCCGCCGCTACCATCCCAACCTACCTGAGCAAAGGGTGGCATACTTCCCTCTGCTGCCAGGGAATACAGTGGTACCTCGGGTTACAGACGCTTCAGGTTACAGATGCTTCAGGTTACAGACTCCGCTAACCCAGAAATAGTACCTCGGGTTAAGAACTTTGCTTCAGGATGAGAACAGAAATCGTGCTCCGGTGGCGTGGTGGCAGAGTTAGCTAAAGTGGTGCTTCAGGTTAAGAACAGTTTCAGGTTGAGAACGGACCTCCAGAATGAATTAAGTACTTAACCCGAGGTACCGCTGTATTTGCATCAGCAGAGGAAAGTATGGTTGTCACATCCCTTGAGCTGTTTCAGAGGAAGGAGCCTCAAATACTTTTTCTAAAGAAGATGAAGAGTGACAAGTATGAGGGGAAGAGTTGTCCTGAGAGGTCATTAGTAGGAGGGTTTTGGAATTGTGAGGAGGGAGAAAGGGGGAGCAACTCTTGCCCCATTTATCTCCTAGCACATAATCAGATTTAATTTTTCATTATCATCAAAACCCAAATACAAAGCTCTTCAACTACAGAACAGTAAAACATTAAAGCAATTGTGAAACTAGCAAGAGTCAGCAGTAAAATCTTTACACCCAGTACAGTGTTAAAACAGGCCAGATGCCTAACTTGCCCCAAAGCTGCCTTGAGTAAAAATACGTTCTTAACTTGTCCACTGAAAGACACGTGATGGGGGACAGTGAGTGCTGCAAAATTGGTGGCTCCAAGTAATCCTGAAAGTGAAGGCTGCTTTCTGTCTAAGTAACAGACCATGTGGAAATATGATGCAAGCCTTGCTATGCAAATATATGACTTTGCAACCCACATGTAGGAGGCAAAGTATTGCTTCTCGTGACGCTTTATGTGCTCTTCTTAAGTAAAAGGGATTTATATTCTTTGGAGAAAAAACAAAACTGTGCTACAGCCTTGAGGCTGAATCTATCCATTTCTGATAACATCCAGTGGGCAGAGGGACCACTTCTACTTTGAGGCAGTGGTGGTTGTTGTTTTTAATGCATATTTGCCATAGGTGAGGCCTAGATCCAGTGTATGGAGGAAAAATAACATTGGCTGACCCATATGCTAGCATAAAGAAGTAGAGTAGACTGCTATAATTTGGAGGCTGTTTTGAAGGGAACATAGGAGATGGCCCCCTCATCTGCTGTAACTTCTTATACTGACACATCAGCAGATCTAATGATTGATCAGAGGTAGGGCTGAGCATTTGTCTGGTTTTCAACATTGTGATATATCACCAGCTAAACATCACAATACAGTGGTACCCCAGTTCTCAAACGTCTCCGTTGACTAACATTTCAGAACTTGGAACGCCTAAAACCTGGAAGTACATGCTTCCATTTTCGAACACGCCCCAGAAGCATAGCTGTCAACTTTTCCCTTTTCTTGCGAGGAATCCTATTTGGAATAAGGGAATTTCCCTTTAAAAAAGGGAAAAGTTGACAGCTATGCTCAGCTTCCACTGCGTGTTTCTCAATTTTCTCAATGAAATTTGCAGCCCGCCCTTTGCACCTCAGTTTTCGAATGTTTCGGAACTCGGAACTGTCTTCCGGAACAGATTATGTTCAAGAACCGAGGTACCACTGTGTACCGATATATCACAATGTCTGAAATAAGGATGGAACAATGTAGGGTAATGTCCTGGCAACTGCCACAATTAGGGTTGCAGAACTGACACATTTTTACTTGATTTTAACATATTGTTACACCTGTACAGAGCAACAGGGGTGGCAGGAAACATGAGAGAAGAAAACCTCACAGTTTTCCCCATGTCACAATTTTTTACATAGCTCACGGACCAATCGTGATATATCGCAGTGTCAGATGTTAAGAAACCATTACCGCAATGTGGGTTTCAAACCAATTATTTATCGGCATCAGAGGGATATGTGTAGAAGAGAGCTCCAGTACTGGCATAGCTTAATGGAGCCATCTTTGCAAGAATTAGCTATGTCAGTTGTTCAGGCATGAGACATATTCTGTAGGCACTGCGTATGTACAACTCAGATAAAAACAAGGAAGGATGGAAGAAGGCAGGTAATTTTAGCCACTGGCTGGAGATGGCAAGGCTATGTTCTCTTGTGGATAGTCTTGTGGGGGCTGCATGCCAGGCAGGGCTTGCTGAAAGAGGGGAAGACCGAAGGCATAGGCATGTCCCATTCAAACAAATCCAGGCATGCCATCTAGCTGTGACAAGGACCAATGATCTGACTTAGTATGGCCAGCTTCATCTGTTTATATGCACATGGGCCAAAAACACTCACTTTGGCAACTTGTTGCTCTGGCCTTATGCGGTGACTGTTGGCAACAATACTGCGCTGAGTTTGAAAAAGGAGCTAAAGAATGGGTTGGTGCAGGATAGGAAAAGAGATTGTGGATTCTCTAGTCGCAGCACCAAACTTCTAGATGGCCAGGAAGTAAAGGTTTTTCCAACCCCGTAATCCCCAGAATCAGCGGGGTCTGTAAAAAACTTGGAACACGGCTAAATAATTTCAGAAAAATGCTTTCAGGTGGTACATAACTTTTTGTGCCCTGGGCTGTTGATTCTAAGCAAATTGTGGACCCCTGAGGCCCACAGTGGGTTTGATCCCCATATGGGCCCCCTACATAATACTGCATTGCAAGGGTTTGGACTAGATGGCCCTCAGACATCATTCCCAACTCTACAGTTCTTTGATTCTATGAGAATATTGTGCTACTGTACAGAACACAGCTCCATGTATGCTTGGGTCACTGTTTTACCCAGTTTGGACTCTGTTCTAAACTGCTTCTCTTCTCTCCTGTAGGTAGACTCTTTCAGGGAGCGGATCACAGGTGAAGTAAGTGTCATGATTCCTTCCCGCCACCTGCCCTTAATGCTTAAGGGTCTGGATGTTTCTGTTGCTGGAACATCTTGCTGGAGACCCTTTGATGACTCTTAAGAGAACTTCAGCTAGTCAATTAGAAAGCTTGTCTGTAGCTCTGTTCTGGCCCCCGCAGTATCCAAGGCTCATGGCTTTTGCCTTTGGAAGTGGTTCTACTGGTTCATACAGAGGGTTAATTTGGGGTTAATTTCTGATCTGCCCATTTGCAGATAATCTCAGTATTAATTCATGCATCACAGCTGGCTTTTCTTTGTCCTTCAGGCTGAGGATCTGGTGGCAAGTTTTTTCCCAAAGAAGCTTTTAGAACTCGATGCGTTCCTTAAGGTAAGAGTTGCAAGCCCAGTGCCTCTCACCTGGTTTTTCTTGTCCAGTAAGTGGCTTTTGACTATAGCAGACTGAATTATTATTATTGTTATTGTTATTATTATAATATACCACCCTATACCTGGGGGGGGGTCTCAGGGCGGGTTTGGTGTTGGATTCAAGTTTGGTTGGTTCTGTTTAGGAATGTGTTAAGCAATTTAACATTATGCTTCGGCTATTCTCCTTTCCTAGGATCCCATTCTGAACATTCACGATCTCACCCAAATCCACTCAGATATGAACCTTCCTGTTCCAGACCCAATCCTACTCACAAACAGTCATGATGGACTGGATGGGGTAAGGTGGTTCACTTTACCTGGGTTTAATATTTGAGACGTTGATCAAAACTGCATAATGCTCACATTTACTGAGAGGGTCTGGACAGAGATAAAGCTGTCTGGGAACTAGAAGCAAAAGCAGATAGTTGCTTGTGTCAGGACCCGTGTCTTCCTCTCCATATTCTGTGTATGCAGAATAGAATTTCCTGCCCTTTTGGCATGAGTTAACCTCCTATAGAAGAATCAAAGAAAGCCATGCACATGACAAATTTCTCAAAAGTTGAAGTTTTATTTATAAATCGTCGGAATTTCAAGACAATTTAGGTACTTGTGTTTCATTTTTGCTTGTTTGACTGAGATGGCAAGTCAGGAACGTGATTCTTATACGTTCAATTAAACTTATTTAATTAGTTAAGGATGCAAATGGTATATACTTACACCAAATACACCTATTATTTTCTCTTCCTCTTTGCCTTCTTTGGGTCCTTTCTTTTTCCATACCCTCCTTTTGTAATTTCCTTTACCTATTTCTCTTTTTCTCCTACAGTTTTAGTTATTTGGATAAACGCGCTTCTTTAGATTTTATGATTTGATACAATACATCCCCCCCCCCCCCCCGCAAATAACTTTGTACATATTTGCTTTCTTTCTGTAAAAAATAATAACGTCCTCTTTGTTTTTTCAGCCCAATATGAAGAAGAGAAAGCTGGAAGACCGTGATGAAACCTTCCAGGGTGAGTTCCTAAACTTCTACTGCTAAATTCATGGCATCTGATTGCTGTCAATGCTGGTTTGGGAGCTTGTGTTTGTCTTACGAAACTTGTCCAATTGAGTGAACACTCTGAGCATACGGGGTTGGGAAAATCCAGAAACCTTAAACTTTTATATTGGTGCCAAGGAATTAAAGTATTAATTCACTGATGTAATTGTGGCCTGCTCCTTGACCATAAATTTGTCCCTGATGCAGCTGCTTCGTACACAATTGACTCCTAGGAATTTGAAATGATCCCTTGAAATACTCCAGCTTTTCTCTACTTTACTGCAGGATGGCTGGATCCTTATGTTGTTTGAATATTACAGTGGTACATTTGGTTCTCAAAATTAATCCATTCTGGAAGTCCGTTCCAAAACCAAAGCGTTCCAAAACTGAGGCACGCTTTCCCATAGAAAGTAATGCAAAACGCATTAATCCTTTCCAGACTTTTAAAAACAACCCCTAAAACAGCAATTTAACATGAATTTTACTATCTAATGAGACTATTGATCCATAAAATGAAAGCAATAATTAATGTACTATACTATAAAATAAATAAGACAGTATTGTAGATGCTAAAAATTAAAATTATTATTTTTTCTTACCTGCACTGATGATAGTCATTGCTTTTATCCCTTTCTGCAGTCACACAATCAATCAATCAATCAATCAATCAGTAGCTGAACTCGATTCCACACAGTCACAAAAACAAATTAACCGAAAAAGCCTCAAAAACAAAAACGCAAAATAAATAGCAAAAACAAAAATGCCAGACTTAATCTGTTTGACTTCCGAGATGTTTGAAATCCCAGGCGCAGCTTCTGATTGTTGCAGGTGCCCCAGAAACGTTCAGCTTCTGAAAAATGTTCGAAAACTGGAACACTTACTTACAGGTTTTTGGCATTTGAGAACCCAGGCGTTTGAGAACCATGACGTTTGAGAACCAAGGTACCACTGTACTGCCAAGATGTTGTATGGTTGAAATTCATTTGCAATTAATTGGGAAAGCCACAGTTGCATTATTTGTGGCCTGGCTTACGCTGTCAGTCTTCTAATTCACAACATGAAGTTTCAAAGAACAGAAACGGAGCGTAGGGATCCCAGGTTTGAGAGTTCAAAGCCACTATTTTTGAAATTAACTAAAAAGATAGTGCCCCCCCACAAATAAATCACTGGAATTCAATTCCTATGTCATTAAATGGTCAAAATCAATAATATCTAAGCAGCAGCTAATTTTAATAGCTATGTGGAAGAGGACATTTGAGCAGGTGCAACTTTTCAGATCCTGCAGTTCTGTGTGATGATAAATTCCGCCTGCTGAAATTCCCTACTGCACAACTTTTTAAAGATATATGGCTCCTGCAAAGGTTGTTACCTCCTATATTAATGTGGTGGTGTTGTTGGTGTGTGGTTTTTGTTTGTTTGTTTGTTTTTTTATTATTATTTTACAAATATAAATTTATAACATTCCAAACACATATGCATATATAGAGATAACTCTGAATCTCGAGACTTCCCCCTATCCCCTCCATGGGTCCTATTGTCAACATTTACAACTGCATATTATTCCATATTCTATATTTTAAATCAATCCACATTATCCATAGTATTTGTTACATTACAAGTGGGTTTCAAATCCTGCCAATGTTTCCATCTGCTTGCAGTGGTCTCTTAGATAAATTATATTTTTTCCCCATTCTTTTTAAAAGTTTTTGTCCTGAGTTAATGTGTTTGGTTCGTGAGTTAATGTGTTTAAAACGCTTGCATAATAATAATAATAATAATAATAATTTTTATTTATACCCTCCCCTCCCCATCCAAGGCTGGGCTCAGAGCAGCTAACAAGCAGTAATAAAAACGAGCTGAACGAATACAACATTAAAATATTGAAACATTAAAATGTTAAAATGCAGCCTCATCACAGGAGGAGAAAGCAAAAGGAAAGAGGGGGAGGGAATCAAATTGGCTCCAAGCCAAAGGCCAGGCAGAACAACTCTGTCTTACAGGCCCTGCGGAAAGAAATCAGATCCTGCAGCGCCCTGGTCTCATGAGGCAGAGCGTTCCACCAAGTCGGGGCCAGTGTTGAAAAGGCCCTGGCTCTGGTTGAAGCTAATCTGACTTCCTTAGGGCCCGGGACCACTAGGGTGTTGCTATTTATGGACATTGGAAGTAGGAATAGACTGATCCAGAGTGGGTAAACACTCTGCCTGCATAAAACCCCACGGGTATCCTGGAACATAGGAAGTTGCCTTACACCGAGCCAGACCATTGGTCCCTCTTGCTCAATATTGCCTACACTGACTGGCAGCAGCTCTCCAGGGTTTCAGACAGGGATCTCTCCCAGCCCTACCGGGAGAGACCAGGGGTTGAACCGGCAAAGCTGTTGCTCTGCCACTGAGCTTATGGCCCTTCCTGACCTGCTGAGCGGCAAGCACATTCATGCGCACCCATGCTCACGCTCCATGGAATAAGTGGCAAATCTTTTCTCGTGGCACCAGGTACCAAAGTCTTTGTCATGCCTAATGGGATGCTGAAAAGCAACCAGCAGCTGGTGGACATCATTGAGAAGGTGAAACCTGAGATCCGGCTGCTCATTGAGAAATGCAACACGGTGAGTGCTGGGCTGCCTTTTCCTTTTTTTTTTAAAAAAAATAATATTTATTACTTTCCAACAATTTAGACATTACATAGAAAAAGAAAATATACAATACAATACAAAAACGATACCTAACACTAAACTAACAAAAACAATTTAAACTAAGAAAACAAAACAAAAACAATTGAAAACACATCAAATAGTTTCAGTCTTTCATTCACTTATTTCCATGACCTCCTCACACCTCCCTTTTTGTATTCCACTTCTATTAGTTATTTCAGCAATTCCTTTCCATCTTCCTCTGCTTTCTATCCTATAATTATCTTAACACATTTTGACCTTATTTTTCCCTTTAATTCTCTATTAATCTATTTATACTTAATTCCTTATAACATTTCTACTAAAGCCATATAACTTCATTCCAACATTTTTCTAACATTCATTGATTTTACAATATTTCTGTAAATAGTCTTTAAACTTTTTCCAATCTTCTTCCACCTTTTCCTTCCTCTTTGGGCTCGGATGCTTTTCAGATCTGTTTCCTGTGGTGGTACTCTGAACAGCAGGGATAAAATCAAACATGCTTTTTTTCAGTTAACTCCTCAGAGAGAACGAGGTGGCTAATCATGCATATCAGCAAGGATGTGGGGTCACAGATCTGGCCTCTGCTTGCATGTTACTGTGGCAAACCTGGTATGAAGTTTGCTTAGTCTTGCTGAGGTGCCTAGACTTCAGATGAGAAACTGGTGCCTTGTGTGACTGAATCCTTCTCTGAATCCCAGCATGGTGTAGTGGTTAAGAGCGGTGGACTTGTAATCTGGTGAACAGGGTTTGATTCCCCACTCCACATGCAGCTGCTGGGTGACCTTCTCTGAAGTCTCTCAGCCTCACTCACCTCACAGAGTGTTTGTTGTGGGGGAGGAAGGGAAAGGAGATTGTTAGCCACTTTGAGACTCCTTAAGACAGCGGTTCTCAACCTGTGGGACCCCAGATGTTGTTGGACTACAACTCCCATCATCCCTGAACTCTGGCCTTGCTAGCTAGGGGTGGTGGGAGTTGTAGTTCAGCAACATCTGGGGACCCACAGGTTGAGGAAGGCTGCCGTAAGGGGAGTGAAAGGCGGGATATCAAGTCCAAACTCTTTTTCTTCTTCATACCAGCATATACAGTGGTGCCCTGCAAGACGAATGCCTCACAAGATGAAAAACCCGCTAGACGAAAGGGTTTTCCGTTTTTCGATGCGCTTCGCAAGACGAATTTCCCTATGGGCTTGCTTCGCTAGACGAAAAAGTCTTGCGAGTCTTGCGATTTTTTTCACTCCCCCCCCCTTTTTCTAAGCCGCTAAGCCGCTAATAGCCTTTTAGCCGCTAAGCCGCTAAGCCTTTAATAGCCGCTAAACTGCTAAACCGCTAATAGCACTAAGCCGCTAAGCCGCTAATAGGGTTGCTTCGCAAGACGAAAAAACCGCTAGACGAAGAGACTCGCGGAACGGATTATTTTCGTCTTGCGAGGCAACACTGTATTTTTATTTTATGATTTAAAAGCATTTCATAGACCACTTTTTTCTTTCTTTAAAAAAAACCTAAATAGTATTCAAAAACACTGTAAAAACAGTGAACAGCATTATAACAAATGAAAAGCAGAAATAACAGGGTGAGATCTTATGGATCAAGGAAAGACCAGGCAGAAAGATATATCTTTGCATGGCCTGGATAGCTCAGTTGGTTAGAGATTGGGACTGATAACGCCAAGGTTGCAGGTTCGATCCTCATATGGCACAGCCTTGCTGGGGGTTGGACTAGATGATCCGTAGGATCCCTTCCAACTACAGTTTTATGATTCTAAGACATCTGAATCAATTAATAGACCATGCGTTACATATGATAAAAGGAAGTGCATTCCACCGTGCAGTGGAAACAGCAGAAAACGCCCTTTTTCAGGTTGCTGTCCTGAGATAGTCTGCAGAATGTGATGCCGCTTTAAATTCCCCCCTAGAGCTAGGTGATCTTACAGGTCTATACAGGTCTTTCCGGTAACCTGGTCCTAAGTTGTTCAGCGGTTCTATATGTTGGTAACAAGATTTTGGACGTGGTCTGGTAGCCAACTGGAGCCAGTGCAGTTCCATCAGCCCAGGTGTAATATGTACACATTGAGGTGTTCCACTCAGCAACTTAGCCACAGCCTTCTTGGCCATGGAAATCTAGCATACCGGGAAGCAAGTTAGCTTAGAATTCTCTCTGTCTCTGTGATCTGTTGGTTTTCTGTGCATGGGAATGTTTTGTTTGTATGGAGGAGCGTTCAGCCATGTGACAACACTCCCTTCTGTGGTCTAAAGACCCCTAGGTTTGGGTTTACCATCTCAGTGAAAAGTGGGCCAGTGTTGGGTTTGAATGCAGGAGACTAGATTTCAAATCCTTGTTTGGTTTTGGAGTTTTAATTGTTCTGCAGCAAGTGTTTTTAGGGACGCGAGTGGCGCTGTGGGTTAAACCACAGAGCCTAGGACTTGCTGATCAGAAGGTCGGTGGTTCGAATCCCCACAATAGGGTGAGCTGCCATTGCTCGGTCCCTGCTCCTGCCAACCTAGCAGTTTGAAATCACATCAGAGTGCAAGTAGATAAATAGGTACCGCTCCGGCGGGAAGGTAAACGGCGTTTCCGTGCGCTGCTCTGGTTCGCCAGAAGCGGCTTAGTCATGCTGGCCACATGATCCGGAAGCTGTACGCCGGCTCCCTCGGCCAATAAAGCGAGATGAGCGCCACAACCCCAGAGTCGGTCACGACTGGACCGAATGGTCAGGGGTCCCTTTACCTTCACCTTTAAGTGTTTTTAACACTTGATTGGAAACCGCCCAGAGTGGCCGGGGAAGCTCAGCCAGATGGGCGGGGTATAAATAATAAATTATTATTATTAGTCTCTCTGTCTCGGCCTGAACTGCCTGGCGCAGATGCTGCAGGTAGAACAGTCTGCCAGCCGTTTTCAGTGTATACAGCTAAGCAGTGGCACCTATTTAATATGGCATATTCTGCCCTGCAGGTCAAAATGTGGGTGCAGCTGCTGATTCCCAGGATAGAGGACGGCAACAACTTTGGCGTTTCTATTCAGGTAGGTCAGCAGTTGGGGGGCGGGGGCAGAATCCTGAGGAACTGTCCCTTTCTGGGGTGGTGAGCACAATCAGAATTTCAGGAACCAAAGTGCTTTTTCTGAGCAGGAGCAGTCACCATTAAGAAAAAGCGGTAGGAAAAGGGGAATATATATTTGGACTGCCTCTGGATCAAGGCACTTTTCTTCTTTTAAGTTCTCAGCATCCTTAACCTAGCTCAAGGTTGTCATCTGAAGTAGCCATACATTTAGCAGTCACAGTCAGTCCATCATTTGAAAAATAAGACTTTAGAGCCATCTTACCCAAAAATGGCAACTAGACCACGGGTAGGCAAAACTAAGGCCCGAGGGCCGGATGCAGCCCAATCGCCTTCTCAATCCGGCCTGCGGACGGTCCAGGAATCGGCGTGCTTTTACATGAGTAGAATGTCTCCTTTTATTTAAAATGCATCTCTGGGTTATTTGTGGGGCATAGGAATTCGTTCATTTTTTTTCTTCTTTTGGAAATATAGTCCGGCCCTCCACAAGGTCTGAGGGACAGTGGGCCGGCCCCCTGCTAGAAATGTTTGCTGAACCCTGAACTAGACAATTCCATTTTGGTGACTGTAACCTTGGTTTAAGGAGCCATTTGGCACCTAGCTTATAGATCTGAGTTTCTAACATTTTTGGCCAAGGCTGATTGGGTGGCTCTTTCTGCCTTGCTGGGGCTCAGGCCTCCAGTTCATGGCAGAGACTCATCAGCATGACCGGTTAAGATATTGGTTGGCTACGTCCAGGTCTGAGTACACCTGAAAATTCTCTCAAATGTTTCTTTGTTGGCTCCTTCCTTTGCAGGAAGAGACTGTGGCAGAGCTCCGAACTGTGGAGAGTGAAGCAGCTTCATATTTGGACCAGATCTCTAGGTGGGTGCCTTTTCACGGCTTGGCGCAGAGTGCCTTCAGAGGCTGGCTTTTGTTGCAGAGGGGTCTTTCCCTCTGTAGTGTAAGCTGTTTGGGCACCCCCTTGCTAACCGTTGAACCACCTCTCTTGCTTCCTTTTCAGATACTACATCACACGGGCAAAGCTGGTTTCTAAAATAGCTAAATATCCCCATGTGGTAAGTGCAGGTATTAAGGTGATAGCTGAACTTTTAATAATAGCATTAGAGAAGTGGCTAAAAGGCTTCCTGACTGAACCCTTGGGGAATATTGTTGTCGTGAGGGTCTGCTTCGAATTAAATTCTGGAGCACGTCGGTCTCGGCTTCTGTTTCTGTGGGTTTTGCGTAGGCCTGTTGTCTCTTCCGACCAGTTCTTGATTGTCAACATCCTTTTGGGTTGGGGTTGGAGTCTAGGTATACTGATGGTAGTGACTGAGAAGACCCCGAGAAAATGGCAGCTTTGCAGGTGACTCTCGGCTGGGAGATGGAATGAGACAGCAAGTCCACTTAGTGCAAAGCAATTCTGGCTAAATAACTGTCTCTGTAGGAGGATTACCGTCGCACGGTGACTGAGATGGATGAGAAGGAATACATCAGCCTGCGGCTCATCATTTCGGAGCTCAGAAATCAATATGTAAGTCCAGTCTTGAAGGCGATTCATAACACCTCCTTGTGCACAAACCCTATTAAGGTGCTTGAGGGGCCAGTTGAGCCAGTTTTGCAGAGGGCTGGTCTCTCAACCAGTTATTAATTGCCAAGGCCTCTTAGGGTAGATGGGACGCGGGTGGCGCTGTGGGTTAAACCACAGAGCCTAGGACTTGCCGATCAGAAGGTCGGCGGTTCAAATCCCCGCGATGGGGTGAGCTCCCGTTGCCAGGTCCCTGCTCCTGACAACCTAGCAGTTCGAAAGCACGTCAAAGTGCAAGTGGATAAATACCGTATTTTTCGCTCTATAGGATGAACCCGACCATAGGACGCACCTAGTTTTTAGAGGAGGAAAACAAGAAAAAAAATATTCTGAGTCAAATGTTGTGTAAACTACTGTATTTAATAAACAACCGGTATATCAGAATCATATTACAACCATGTAAAGTGAACAGCGGTCAACAATGGCATTAAGAACCATCATCACTGTCAGTAACAAATGAAGAGAGACTTTAAGGTTTGAGTACTCTTCTAGTCTTCTGTGAACCCCAAGAACTCATCACTGCTGGAGTCAGAATTTATGAAGCTCAGTTGCTCACAATCACTGACATCACTTTCTTTGCTAGCTTCATGTAAAATACCATCTTCGTTGCCCGCTGCTCGCAAACATTCCCTTTACTTGAATTACAGTCAAGAAACAGCTGAGCAGAGCCTCTCTATCTTTAAAGAGCCGCACTGAGCGAGCGTGTCTGCTGCTGGCTTTTCTTGTTTTCCTCCTCTAAAAACTAGGTGCGTCTTATGGTCGGGTGCGTCTTACAGAGCATTGCCGAGGCCTCTTAGGGTAGATGGGCCCCTTCTTCCTGGAGTATGCGGTATGGCATCACTTGTCTAGGTAATAGCGAGCTCTGCCTTTTTAGCCTGGGTGTGTGTGTGCAAAAAATTCGTTTGCAAGCCGGATCCTCCCTGAGCCAAGAAGAAACCAACCCCTGTCTCCTCTCCCGCCAGGTGACTCTCCACGACATGATCCTAAAGAACATTGAGAAGATCAAGCGACCCCGGAGCAGCAACGCCGAGACCCTCTACTGAGCTGTCGACAATCTGAACTCATGAACTGTTCAGTAGGCTCAAGGCAGCCCTTTTGCCTCAGTTTATGTGACTATCAAGATGGGGAATCTGGCTGGAAACAGTCCTCACCACACTTTTAGTTAAAAAAAAAAAAATCTAAAGAAACTCTCCTAGCTCTTTCTGGTTGGTTTTTATTTGGGTCTCGGGATTTGCCCCCCACCCACCCCCATCTCTTGACATCCGAAAGGTATGGGGCAGAGCTGCTCTTCCTGCGTGGGTGGGAACAGGAAAGCGGCCAACCTTCCCCAGGCAACCATCCCTGTGCCAGCAGTCCTGAATGACCCTGTTCTGTAGCAGCCGGGAGGAACCCTTCCCTTCTAGGTAGCGTATCTTTGAACTGGTCGAGAGCAGCGTCAAGTTCTGCTGGACCAGTTCAGTCTTCCCATTGAAAAATGCATTTGGGGGGAATCGAGTGCCCTTTTCATCTCACATGGCTGTCCATGCCCACTGTCCAATCACGCAGATTCTGATGCCACTGTGTTGAGTTTTCCCTTCCTGCCCCCCCTCCCCCCGTTGATTCGTTGTTCTGAATCTACAGTAATCTATTCCGGATTACGTACTGCACTTAAGCAGCTCTCTTCTCAACACAGCACTCCTTTTGCCTGGCAGGTAAACCCAGTGGAACCCTTGAGTGCAGTGGGCGTTCTCTGGATTTCGGGCTGGGGCAGCGCTGGATAGACAGACAGTTAGCCCTGCAGAATCGGCTTGCCTGATACTGGCACGGCCGAGCGAGTGCTGAAGGACCGGAGAATTTCCCCGTCTTCGTTCTTCTTCTCTCCCACCCGAATATAACAAGCCTAGCGGTTGTTCCTGGAGGGGCCCTTTCTGACCTTCAAGAAACCCCAGGAAAGCGTGTCTAGGTTTTGGCCCTTTGCTGCGTGAACGAATCCCGCTGGGATTCTTTGGTTTTGCTCTTTTCTAGTCTTCAAGCGAGCAGGTAGGGGGCACCAACTAATAGGAGTGCTTCAGTTTCCCTTGAGATCTACTCTTAGTCTTTATATTCCTCTTGTGCCGTAGTATTGTGAGTGGTGTTAGATATGTAAAAACAGTGGCAGCGTGAATGCCGTTTATCGGCCCCTCTCCCTTCCCTTGGTTGCTATTTTTATTTTTAAAGAAATCTCTGCCAGCCTCCTAAGAGCACAGGAAGCTCATCTTCCCTGTGCCCTTTGCAGATGCCTTTGTTATTGTCATTTGTAGCTGGGCAAACCTTAGTCTTCCCTGGAGTGCAGACTCTTGCGACAGCTGCCGTTGTAGCTGCATCCCGAGAGTAGTCCTCTCCTGCGTTTCTTTGTATCGGCTGCTTTGTTGGATTGTTCATATTTCCTTGCCACATTGAACGTATGTACAACTTTTACTATGTTGACAAATTAAAAGTAATAGGTACTTTGAATTCATCCTCGGCAGTCACCGTGTGTACGAGCAACCGGGGTCACTGCGTGATGCACAGTTGGTCTTGCACCCCATCTGGCCTCCGCCTGTTTGGATTTTGTTCGGTAGCAGCAATCTGTCATGATGTTGAGTTGAAATTGAATATTCCCTCTCACGTTCTCCTCTGGAAATATGGGATATTGGTGGGTTAAGGAGCCCTAAGGGTCATTGGTTAAGGCCCCAGCTTCTGCTCCTGTCAGTATTAATACTTAGTACTACATCACCAAGTTTATCTTTGCTGCTCCTGGCGCTGAAATCTGCTCATTGTGACGTTCTGCTTAGGGCACCTATTGTAGCATCAAGCCGTGGTCCAACGGGCTTCGAGGCAGAACTAACATTAACTAGCTCAAGGTGAGTTGTGGGTTGATCTCTGCTCAAAGTGGCCGCCTGTACTTGACTTTTGCCTAAAGTGAGTTGAGCAAAGTGACAAATAGGCTACGGGTGTTGCAGAGCTGTGCATCTCTGAATTGCCTGTCAGATTTTGTGGAGAGCAGTGTGTCTCCATAATATCAATCCCTTCAGTTGTTGCCCATTCGCCCAGAGGGTTCAAATCCTGCCTTTTTGGGCGCTTGCTCTGCCCCTGCAGCTTGAGAGCTGACGTGCTGCTCAGATCTCTGGGAGCCAGAGTTCTAGGCCATGAATTGCTATATTCACCCCGATGTAACAACACAACTTCCTACCTCTTAACCTGGTGGGAGAAATCGGGCTGAGTTCTTATTATGAAAGTTTTCCTTTGTGCTGAGAATTCTGCAGTACTTCCTACTCTGTATTAGCCCTCTGCCCAGACAAGCAAGTGAGCTTAGATAGAAGGTGTTTGCACCTTGTGTGTGTCACGTAGACTGCCCTAGTGGATTCACTATTTTTGTGCAGCGTTGCAAATGTGTGTGCCTCCGAAACCCATTGGAAGCGCACCGTTCAGTGTATTTACTGCACTGTGAACTCTGGAGTTTGCATAATTAACACTCTCTTTTTTAAAAACAAAATCACCTCCTTATCTGTGTCCACAGTTCGCCATCTTCTTAGACCTCCCTGTTCAATAAGAGACCTGGCACAAGATGACAAAATGAGTACAGCGGCACATATTGCCCTGAGATCCACATTCCATTGTGGCTACCCAAGGTTCCAGCTGGGATGAGATGGTTTGAGTAAAGGGTAAGGATCAGTCGGGACTGTGTCAGTCCTGGGCCTCAGCTGCACAGGAACAATCTCAGTACAGTGGTACCTCGGGTTAAGAACTTAATTTGTTCCGGAGGTCTGTTCTTTACCTGAAACTGTTCTTAACCTGAAGCACCACTTTAGCTAATGGGGCCTCCCGCGCCGCCGGAGCACGATTTCTGTTCTCATCCTGAAGCAAAGTTCTTAACCTGAGGTACTATTTCTGGGATAGCGGAGTCTGTAACCTGAAGCGTATGTAACCTGAAGTGTATGTAGCCCAAGGTACCACTGTACCTGTCCTTGAAGCTGCTGTTCTGTAACAGGAACATAACCTTGTGCTGCCCTGGAAGTGAAACGAATACCCAACTCACCTCTGAGAGTGCCTCCTACTTGTCAATGGACTTGCTGATGATGGTTCCACTATGTACGAGAGCGTGAAGTCCAAATATTCCAGATCTATAAGAAGAGAGGTGGTCTGGATGGGGGGGACGACCCTCGTTAAACAAGTCAATATACTTGAAATAATGCCATATAAAAAAGCAAGCATAGTGGCGTCAGCAGCAGCAACAAAATCTTCCTGAATCTGCTGCTGTGTGAAAACCACTCAGTACAAACATTCAGCTTTTCCATGGCCCTTTTGTCTTGGTCGGCCTCTGTTGCTTTTGAAAGGAGGATTCGCTTCTGATGTACCATACTGAAACTGAGAAGCATCATTCCTGCTTTGTTTCTTTGAACGCAATGAAGGGGAAGGGAAATGGCAAATAACAAAGAGGACTGGAGGCTGGGGTCTTGTCATGGAGGTGTGTTTCATGAATGGCTCTCTCAACCAGGGATGGGAACCTCTGTGGTCTTCAGATGATGCTCAGTTCAGAATCCCCTCAGCCCCAGCCATCATCGCCAGTGGTCAGAGATGGTGGGATTTGTAGTCCCCAGCAGCATGCGAAAAGTCACATGCTCCTTATTCCTGCTGCAAACCTTTCCTGGACCTAAGGAAACTGGAGAGCCCCTTAGCACTGACCTAGGATTATTGTTCTAGGTAACTGGACTGATTGCGTCTGAGAGCAAAAACCAGTTGGGCTTTACTGATGACACCCAAAGTGATTGTGGCCAGTTTGCAGGTGGAAGAATGGCAGGTCATCAAAGACAACAAGGCCTTGTTCTAGTCCATGGTGGCTTATGCTACAATGGATCTGTTAATCTTCAAGGTGCCGCAAAGTTCTGTTTTGCAGCAAGAGACTTAACACAGCTACAGATATACATATATGCTCATCCGTTATACATCAGCTGCCTTTGGTAAGAAAGTAACTTGCTTTTCTCTGTAAGCAAGGGTAAGGCATGGTTAATGTTCGCACTGATGGTTGCGATGGATGAAAACTCAAAACTTGGGTTTGAATTTGGATGGCTGCAAAACTGCTGAGTGCATAATTCAGATTACCAACCCCCTGTTCCTTCAGATGGGACCATCAAGTTGCATTTAGTTGACCTGTACAATGGCATGGGTTGTATTCTCCAAATCATTGTTTTTACATGTGAGCCAGGGGCAAATTGAAACGTTCAGGTCTGCTGCGTAGGATCTTTGCTGAAAAACCACAGCATTGTGGTTAGTCCCTTTGTAACTTTTTTGTTCGAAATTCCTGCCTGCAGTTCTCCTGGAATTCTTAGAACTGTAAAGTTGGTTTTTCAACTTTTTTGCCTTATTGTCAAAGGATCTACCAACAAGTAGATCTGCTGGTGAGATTACACATTAACAGGCACACAATGTGGTGACAGGCCTTTTCTCGGTACCATATCAAAAGGCAGGTTGAATTCCATCCTGGCACTTTTGCAGCAGAAAATAGTGTGGTTTGGCTTGGCTTTTTCAAGTATGTATTTCACAAACCAAGTGTTTTATTTTTAACATGGCCAACATTAAAGTCAGTTTGTTCGATTTAGGGTTAACCTAAGTTCGCGATCAATGCTCAGATAACTTGGGTACTGCTACCATAGTTTCCCACTAATGTCCCGAAAAAAGAATTACAAGCAAGTAAACAATGCAATGCACTGTGGGTTAAACCACAGAGCCTAGGACTTGCTGATCAGAAGGTTGGCGGTTCAAATCCCACCGATGGGGTGAGCTCCCGTTGCTTGGTCCCTGCTCCTGCCAACCTAGCAGTTCGAAAGCACGTCAAAGTGCAAGTAGATAAATAGGTACCACTCCGGCGGGAAGGTAAACGCCGTTTCCATGCACTGCTCTGGTTTGCCAGAAGGGGCTTAGTCATGCTGGCCACATGACCAGGAAGCTGTACGCCGGCTCCCTCGGCCAATAAAGTGAGATGAGCGCCGCAACCCCAGAGTTGGCCACGACTGGACCTAATGGTCAGGGGTCCCTTTACCTTTTACGTTAAACAATGCAATAATAAATCTTAGCTATCCTTGCTTGCTACTCCCTATTTCTCACCTAGTCTTCACTTCCTGAGAGCTTCTTTTCCTTAACATGCCAGGCTCTTCCTAAAGGATTGCCTAGGTTACTATCTACTCCCTCTCTAACAAATTCATATTCTGCATAGCAGAAACTCAGTATTTATACAGATGTCCTGTTTCACATAAACTTGGCACACAGCAGTGCTTCCAGTACTTTGATGGCATTCCTCCCTGGTAGGATGTTGTATTCTGTTTTGTTTTGGCTTCCCAGCCCATCTTCCCTGTCATTTGTTATATAGTAATCTTCATCTTCCTTACCAAGAAGTTCCTTGATGACCTTTTTGATACCAGAATTTGTATTTAAAAGAGTATGGACAACTTCCCTTCTTCCACATGTTCACCAAGAGTAGGTCTCTTGGCTCACCATAAACACTTTGGCATTGTTTTCTATCTGCCTGTAGTGTGGTGTTTTTAGCTTCATCTTGCCATCCATTTCCTTGAAGTCTGGTAACCCGGTGCGAATGTTTTTGTTGCTGTTGAAGCATGACCAGTTGGTAGCGTATGATGTGGCTCCATAACTGGAAAAATCCTGTACTTTTCTGTTTCCTTTTAACTGTGGAGGCACATAGAGATGCTTTGAGTGCACTGTGCACGTTTTCACATACAAATTAATTAGGAGAATTTGACATAAAAGTTTGAAATCGATAGTCTTACCTGAATTATTTTATTTAAGCACATTTGCATGCAGTTGCAAGTTTGGCCTAAATTCTGCATCTTCAGAGAAAGCTCTGAAGGAGTGCTCATTCTTGTCTCTCTTCTCCCCTTTGTCTACTAAGATGTTCCTGTCTATGTGCCTGTACAGTTTCAAGCCTATTTTTGGCCTATTTAAGCAAGGAGCAGGGACGCGGGTGGCGCTGTGGGTTAAACCACAGAGCCTAGGACTTGCCGATCAAAAGGTCGGTGGTTCGAATCCCCGCTACGGGGTGAGCTCCCGTTGCTCAGGTCCCTGCTCCTGCCAACCTAGCAGTTCGAAAGCACGTCAAAGTGCAAGTAGATAAATAGGTACCACTCCGGCGGGAAGGTAAACGGAGTTTCCGTGCGCTGCTCTGGTTCGCCAGAAGCGGCTTAGTCATGCTGGCCACATGCCGGCTCCCTCGGCCAATAAAGCAAGATGAGCGCCACAACCCCAGTCGGCCATGACTGGACCTAATGGTCAGGGGTCCCTTTACCTTTATGCTTCTGAAAACCAGTTGCTGCAAACTGCAAAAGTATTTCTGTGCCCTGGCCCTGTTTGCAGGTTTCCCAAAGTCATTGGTTGGCCTCTGTGAGAACAAGATGCTGGACTAGATGGGCCATTGGCCTGATCCAACAGGTCATCATCATCATCATCATTATTATTATTATTATTATTATTTCATTTGTTGTATTACGCACCCTTCGCCAGCGGATGCCAGGGTCGGTTGCAACAATTACATTCAGAGCGTCCAGCAGTAGGGCTGGGCGATACCTGGTTTTCAACATCATGCTATATCGCCAGCTAAACATTGTGATAGGGACGCGGGTGGCCCTGTGGGTTAAACCACAGAGCCTAGGACTTGCCGATCAGAATGTCGGCGGTTAAAATCCCCGCGACGGGGTGAGCTCCCGTTGCTCAGGTCCCTGCTCCTGCCAACCTAGCAGTTTGAAAGCACGTCAAAGTGCAAGTAGATAAATAGGTACCGCTCCGGCGGGAAGGTAAACGGTGTTTCCGTGTGCTGCTCTGGTTCGCCAGAAGCGGCTTAGTCCTGCTGGCCACATGACCCGGAAGCTGTACGCCGGCTCCCTCGGCCTATAGAGCGAGATGAGCACCACAACCCCAGAGTCGGTCATGACTGGACCTAATGGTCAGGGGTCCCTTTACCTTTACCTTAAACATTGTGATATGTTGATATATCACGTCAGAAACAAGGATGGAGCTATGTAGAGACATGGGCTGGCTTCACGGCTTTTCCGGCATCATGATTTTTGTGTAGCACAAATATACACACAAATCACGATTCAAAGTACAGTGGCACCTCGGGTTAAGAACTTAATTCATTCTGGAGGTCCATTCTTAACCTGAAACTGTTCTTAACCTGAGGTATCATTTTAGCTAATGGGGCCTCCCGCTGCTGCCTCACCGCCAGAGCACGATTTCTGTTCTCATCCTGAAGCAAAGTTCTTCACCCGAGGTACTATTTCTGGGTTAGTGGAGTCTGTAACCTGAAATGTCTGTAACCCGAGGTACCACTGTATATTGCCAGGTCAACAGTTATGAAACCGATATCGCAATACGGACTTCAAACCGGTTTATAATAATAATTTATTATTTATACCCTGCCCATCTGGCTGAGTTTCCCCAGCCACTCTGGGCAGCTTCCAACAGAACACTAAAATACAATAACCTATTAAACTTTAAAAGCCTCCCTAAACCGGGCTGCCTTCAGATGTCTTCTAAAAATTTGGTGGTTATTTTTCTCTTTGACATCTGGTGGGAGGGCGTTCCACAGGGCAGGTGCCACTACTGAGAAGGCCCTCTGCCTGGTTCCCTGTAACTTGGCTTCTTGTAGCGAGGGAACCGCCAGAAGGCCCTCGGAGCTGGACCTCAGGTTAGGGACGATATATTGCCCAGCTGTAGTGGTCAGGCTATAGCATCCTAAGAAAGGGACAAGAAAGCTGTATAAGATGCCACCCCAACCAATCTACAGCCCCCTCCCACTTTCCTTTCTCCTTTTAGGTTTTTCCTGCAGCCACAGATAATAGTTGCTCTTCCACAGGAGTCTGCAGAAGCTCAGTATGCTAGGATGCTGAATTCCGCATCGAGAAAATGACGCTGTGCAGTTGAAAGCTCGGTAGGTGCTGGAAGGAATGACTTCTTTTTTTTAAAGATATTTATTAAGATTTTCAATGTTTTACAAAACACACACAAAAAGAAAAAAAAACAGGAAAAAATACAAAGTAAAAATATTTAAAAACAATTCTTTCCTTCCATTACTTGACCTTCATTTGCTTATTTCCAGGACCTCCTCACACCTCCTCTGTGTTTTCAAGAAGCAGCCATTCTTTCAACCAGCAGAATGCTGCTGATTCATAATAGAGTTTAAGGTCTGGCAGGGCAAATCCACCTCTATCCTTTGCATCGGTTAGTATTTTAAATTTTATTCTAGGATTTTTGCCCTGCAAGACAAATTTTGAAATATCTCTCTGCCACCTCTTGAAACAGTCCATTTTATCCACAATTTGCAATGATTGAAAGAGAAATAACATTCTTGGCAATACATTCATCTTTATAACAGCAATTCGACCTAGTAAGGAAAGCTTCAAGTTTGACCATATCTCTAAATCCTTTTTCACCTCTGACCAACATTTCTCATAATTGTCTTTAAATAAGTTTAAATTCTTAGCAGAATGACTTCAGGTCGTGCAACGCAAGGTCTGCCCTCTTCAAAGTCTGCTAAGTTCTCGTGCTGCTGACCAGAAAGCTGAGCAAACGGAGCTTGCTTCGTGCTAGCCGTGTTACGGTCAGTAATCTGGCACAGCGCATGAGGCTGCCTTCACCTTTTCAACTGGTGTAGAATGAAGCTTCCTGTTTACAGATGGGCACGCCGAGAGCATGAAACACCGCCAGTTTGGGTCTCGATACAGGGCTGCCTCTAGCATTCTAGCTGCTGGTTTCAGTTCATTCTCCGCATCCCGTACAGACCAGGGGACTTGGACCTTCTCAGTATGTGCCCCATCACAATCCGTCAGTGGAGAGCAAGCTTTCTCTCAGGGAGCCCTCTGTACAGCTTGGGGACGCGGGTGGCGCTGTGGTCTAAACCGCTGAGCCTCTTGGGCTTGCCGATCAGAAGGTCGGCGGTTCGAATCCCCGCGACAAGGTGAGCTCCCATTGCTCTGCCCCAGCTCCTGCCAACCTAGCAGGTCGAAAGCATACCAGTGCAAGTAGATAAATAGGTACCGCTGTGGCGGGAAGGTAAATGGCGTTTCCATGCGCTCTGGCTTCCGTCATGGTGTTCCATTGCACCAGAAGTGGCTTAGTCATGCTGGCCACATGACCCGCAAACCTGTCTGGACAAACACCAGCTCCCTTGGCCTGAAAGCGAGATGAGCGCCACAACCCTGCCTTTAACTGGACTTCGAATCCACATGATGGTGTGAGCTCCCATTGCTCTGTCCCAGCTTCTGCCAACCTAGCAGTCTGAAAGCACACCAGTGCAAGTAGATAAATAGGTACCGCTGCGGCGGGAAGGTAAATGGCGTTTCCATGCACTCTGGCTTCCGTCATGGTGTTCCATTGCACCAGAAGCAGTTTAGTTATGCTGGCCACATGACCCGGAAAGCTGTCTGTGGACAAACGCTGGCTCCCTCGGCCTGAAAGTGAGATGAGCGCCACAACCCCACCTTTGACTGGACTTAACCGTCCAGGGGCCCTTTTTATAGCTTGGGGACAAGAGCTTCACTTGGTAGCAGCTCCTTAGCTATGGCTGTAAGACATAGAATGGGAAACTCGATCCCGGGCACTCCAGACGTCTGCATCTTGGCCTCAGGCCTGTTCCCTCCCCAACCCCCAACCCTGGCTATATTCCCCACCAGCCCTGCTTCACCCTTTCCTTGAAGGGGCTTTTGGTCTGACTGGAACCCTTCCTTGAACTCTTAATACTTGTTTGCCTCTCTTGAGGATAGAGAAGTCTTTGTGATTACGTGTGGAAAGTAGGTAGCTGTACAATTGCAAAATTTTAATTAGTTACTCTGCCCGCTTTTGCCCGTTGCTGGCATGTGGCCCTGGGAAGGTTGCACAGAAAGGATTATGGCCCTCAGGGTGAAAAAGGCACACCACCCCCGGTGCTCTTAAGTGACCTAGTAAAGCCTCTGCCAAAATTACCTTGCATAGCTCTCTGTTTGGGAGGGGAAAGTTGTAATTTTCTAGCGTCTTGTTATTGAAACAAATACAGTGGGACCTCAGGTTAAGAACTTAATTCGTTCTGGAGGTCTGTTCTTAACCTGAAACTCTTCTTAGCCTGAAGCACCACTTTAGCTAATGGGGCCTCCTGCTGCCGCTGCGCCGCCGGAGCGCGATTTCTGTTCTCATCCTGAAGCAAAGTTCTTAACCCGAGGTAATATTTCTGGGTAAGCGGAGTCTGTAACCTGAAGCATATGTAACCTGAAGCGTATGTAACCCGAGGTACCACTGTATATGTAAGCGTGTTTGTTAATGATTAAATGTTACCTCCCTCAAGACTTTAGAACAGAGGGTTTCCCAAACTTGGGTGTCTGGCTGTTTTTGGACTACGATTCCCATCATCCCTGACCACTGGTCCTGCTAGCTAGGGGTGATGGGAGTTGTAGTCCAAAAAAAGCCAGAGTCCCAAGTTTGGGAAGCCCTGCTTTAGGGATTGGGGTGGTTCGAATCTGCTAGTAATGAAGAGACCCAATGATGCCTTTTTCCAGTATTATTGCTGCTGCTGTTAATACATTGTGCCTGTATCCGTCCTAAATGGTTCTCCTTCCCGCCAACCCTGTGAGGTTGTTTCGGCTAAGAGGCAATAGATGGAGTTCCGATGCAGGTACATTCCAGAGAAAAATAAATGTTATGTTTCCAGCTTTGATGATATTAATAATAGTAGTAGTAGTAGTAGTAGTAGTAATAATAATAATAATAACCAGGACAGACTTTGCTCGTGTGCTCAAGACATCGATTCCATAAAACATATTTTGTTGCATTGTGCAAAATATGAGCAGGCCAGGGCTGAACTGATACTACCCTTGCTGGTACCTTTCCCGGGAAAATCAGAGGCTCACTATGTCAGGTTCCTACTGGAAGACCGGACAAATGCTAGAACGTTAGCAGTGGCAAAGTTTTTATCGGTGGCTGCCAGAATAAATGAGCCCTATATTCTAAACAAAATGCTTGTTTAACCTGGAGGTAGGCTGTATGAATTGTGTATTGATTTGTAATGATTTGTTGGGTCTCTGGACCATAATAAAGATTGATTGATTGATAATAATAATTTAATTATTCCCTGCCCATCTGGCTGGGTTTCCCCAGCCACTCTGGGCAGCTCCCAACAGAACATTAAAAATACGATAAAACATCGAACATTAAAAACTTCCCTATACAGGGCTGCCTTCAGATGTCTTCTAAAAGTCAGATCGTTGTTTATTTCCTTGACATCTGATGGGAGGGCGTTCCACAGGGCAGGCACCACTACCAAGAAGGCCCTCTGCCTGGTTCCCTGTAACCTCACTTCTCACTGTGAGGGAACCGCCAGAAGGCCCTCGGCGCTGGACCTCCGTGTCCAGGCTGAACGATGGGGATGGAGACCCTCCTTCAGGTATACTGGACCGAGGCTGTTTAGGGCTTTAAAGGTCAGCCCCAACACTTTGAACTGTGCTTGGAAATGTACTGGGAGCCATTGTAGGTCTTTCAAGACCGCTCTTATTTGGTCACGGCGGCCACTCCCAGTCGCCTGTCTAGCTGCCGCATTCTGGATTAGTTGTAGTTTCCGGGTCACCTTCAAAGGTAGCCCCACGTAGAGCGCATTGCAGTAGTCCAAGCGGGAGATAACCAGAGCATGCACCACTCTGGCAAGACAGTCCGCGGGCAGGGAGGGTCTCAGCCTGCGTACCAGATGGAGCTGATAAACAGCTGCCCTGGACACAGAATTGACCTGCGCCTCCATGGACAGCTGTGAGTTCAAAATGACTCCCAGGCTGCGCACCTGGTCCTTCAGGGGCACAGTTACCCCATTCAGGACCAGGGACTCCCCCACACCTGACCACCCCCTGTCCCCCCCAGTACCAGCCTGCATACCAGATGGAGCTGGTAGACAGCCGCCCTGGACACAGAATTGATGGTTGACTGCTTGGGATCGGAGGACTTTGACCTGTAGGATTTAAATTACCTTGTTCATGAGCCGCCTTTTGGCAGACCTTTGTTGGCTTTGGAAAGAGGATTAGATGAGTTTGTGGAAGATCAGGCTATCAGTGACTTGGAGACGCAATGGCTGTGTTCTACCTTCACTATTGGAGGCAAGGCTGCCTTGGGGTAGCGGTTGCAGGGGAGCTTGAGTGCACTTGGGCCCTTTGGTCTGATCCATTGGGTCTGATCCATTGTCACCAGTTGGGCCCTTTGGTCTGATGCATCGGGAAAAGCAGTAGGCTGCTGCCATGGTGGAGCTGAGCCACCTTCAGCTGAGCCACCGCTGCACATGGCAACAGGAGAAGGGATGGAGGCAACGTAGGAGGGCTTTTGTTGTAAACAAAAATCGACCTTTTCCCTTATGGGGTATCCAAGAGCCCATATAGAGTCCTTACATAGGTTCCCTATTGGTAGGAGAGAATAACAGAGGCCAACCAGAGAATATTGAGAAGCAAAGCAGCTAGTAAGCTTGATCTTTATTGATCTGTTGCAACAGGGTGCTCCCCTCACCCGCAGGAGAGAGGAGGAACCCCGAAAAATGGTGCGCAAGGCCTTATAAAGACTTTTGAAATTGCCAACCCGTAGATCAAGACCACCCCCAGAAACATCATACATACATCACAGAAGGGGTGTAACCTAAGACCACCCCTCAGATACATCATACCTACATCACAAAAAAGGTGGTCTAAAACAGAAATTTGAATGTTGTTTTTCTCCTGTCACTGTTTATTTCCTGTCTGGCAGGTTACTTGATTGGGTTGCCTGGGAAGCCTGGCCAGTCTTTTGTAATGATAAATACTTAGTTCCTTGGCCATGTCACAGGCTCACACCCTATTCAAACACAGACATACCTTTAAGACAGGATTTGTGAGGAAAGAGACAATGGGGAGGTTTCCCACTTCAGTTTAGGAATCAAAATGGTTCCAGGTTGGTCTTCCTGTGCTGATCTATGTACGTGCTTGGTTGGTACACTTATGAACATTACCATATATCTAAGACCATAAAATTCCTATCACAATATTGAACCCGTTCCCCATGTCCTGCAATGCAGCAATGCAGGGGAGTGGCGCAACCTCAATGAACCATCTGCTGCTGCGGAAAAGAAACCCCTGCAAACTGTTCCATAGTATCTGAACCAAGAACCAAGAAAGAAAAGGCAGGTGCATATTACAGGTGTACAAGAAAATGACTATTAGCAAGGAGAGAGAGGCTTAACTGTACTAGCCAAAGGCCATGACCAAACCATACAGACACTATCAAAGGAATATATATATATATATATATATATATATATATATATTCTGTATTTGGCAGGGGAAATGGCGCTTCAGAAGGAAATCTGTAAACTCCAACATTTTAGCTATTTTTTAATTTTTTCCTTCAATTTTTTTTATTACCGTATTTCCCCCCCCCCATAGGACGCACTTTTCCCCCTCCAAAAATGAAGGGGAAATCTGTGTGCGTCCTATGGGGCGAATACAGGCTTTCGCTGAAGCCTGGAGAGTGAGAGGGGTCGGTGCGCACCGACCCCTCTCGCTCTCCAGGCTTCAGGAAGCTATCAGCAAGCCTGGGGAGCCCGCGGGAGTTCCCACAGGGCTCCCTAGGCTGCGGATAGCAGCCTGCTGCACGGGGCACGCTGAAGCAGAGCGCCCCGCACTTCGGGCAGACATCGGCCAGCCCCACAAGCTCGGGAGACAGTGGGGAGGTGCAGCCCCGCCATCCCGCTGTTCCCTGACCTGGTTTGGAGGATGCCAGGATTCCAGGATGCCAGGATCCAAATTTAAAAATGGAAAGGGTAATGCCGGTGGTCAACAAAAGAGGTTTAAAGACTCTCTCAAGGCAAATCGTAAAAAATGTAGTTTCCCAACAACTGGGAAACACTGGCCTGCAAGCGCCCCAATTAGAGAACAGCCTTTGCCAAAGGTGTCGTGGGCTTTGAAGACACTCGAACTCGAGATGAAAGGGACAAACGTGCTAAGAGGAAGGCACACTTGGCAAACCCTCACCGTGATCAACTCCTGCCCAGAGATCTATGTCCCCACTGTGGAAGGACGTGTGGATCCAGAATTGGCCTCCACAGTCATGGACTCACTGTTAAGACAGTGTTCATGGAAGACAATCTTACTCGGCTACAAGTGATCGCCAAAGGAGTTAATCAAAAACTGTTTTATGAACCACCACTGTTAATTATGTAATTATCACAGTCTCCTTTCTGACCTCACTGTTTATAGCCACCACCATGCGTCACTCAGAATAACGCTTCATGCCTCTGTGATGAAGTGGGCAGTGGTCCACAGACTCTTACGCCATCCTAAATGGGCTAGTCTTTCAGGTGCCACACGACTCCTGGTTGTTGCAATTGCCTGACTGCACCACTTAACAGAATTTACTGGGAAGAGGAGTGGCAGCGGTCAAGGATGGAACAGGGGCACATGGGGCCATCTGGTGCGGATGATGGCCGGCCTCTGGAAGGAGACAGAAAGGGCACATTCACGGCAGGAGCAAGGCTTCAGGAAACCAACATTGGGAACAGGCTGGAAGCGGGCATGGAAATTCCCACACAGAGCTTCTCCTGGCTGGGCGTGTTTATGTTTTTCTTTCCTCAGCCAGGCCAGGCACAGAGAGAGGCGCAAACAGTTTGAAGCCTCTTCGCTGTTGCAGTTTCAAATTCCAGTTTAGGGGCACTTAGGGTTCCCTCTTTTTTTCCTAGAAATGCCGGTAAAAGAAGTGGGATGCTCCACACATGGGGAAAATTCTACCAAACCAAAGCCGCTCCGATTCCTGTGGCTTTCATCCTGAGGAAAAGGATGAAGCCCTGTGAAATATACTCGGAGTCAAGAGTGGATTTCATGCTCTTTATCCAGCTCATAGTGGTGGGGAGGAATGGAAGTTCCCCCAGAATATCTGCTTTATATACATTATTAACACAATGGGCCCTACGTGATTGGCTAATTCCGGGATTCACCTGTAGGCCAATCAGGTTGCGGATTCCCTTCCACCTGGAGCTGGATTGGGTGGCTCCTGTGGACCAATCAGACTGCTGCATTATAGACCCTATTGTTCTAGGACCAATCAGACTGCTGCATTCTGAATCCTATTGTTCTAGGACCAATCAGACTGCTGCCTTTTGGATCCTATTCAACTCAGTACATAACACTATGGGAATGCAGGTGTGCACACCTAGGCCTCAAGAAGGTCGAGAGAGGTCCGTCACCATGATGATGCTTGCTGCTCACCCCTTTCTCCTTTTGTAAAGCAGGACATCCTTTCTCCTCATGATCTGATATTCCTTGTGAAATGCAGAGAGGGAGAGGGACCTTGCATTCTTCACATGAGTGTCTGCTTGGCAGAAATGTACCCTTTTCTTTTAATGGCTCAGGATGCAACACTTTTTATTCAAGCCTGGTGTTTATTATAGCATCTTGCAAGGAAAAGCCCGATCAAGGGCATGCTTTATTACTGTGTTAGTGTTTGTGACGGTGTTTCTGTTTTTTAAACCTCAGTTTTATATTTGCATTTGTTTGCTGTCCTAAACCCACTCCCTTGGGGGAATAAGGCCTATTAAACGTTCTGGGACTCTTTCGTAAGCTTGCGCTCGGGTCATGCCACCATTACCTGCCTTGGATCTCGTAAATGAGTGAGAGGCAGGATATCAGTGTTTTGATGAGCAAACACACTTGCACTCTGAGCATTAAGAGGCTACATTGGGAAGGAAGAGGGGACCAGCTGCTTAGTGTACAAAACATGGCGAACCTGCCAGACCTGCAAGTATCTGATGACCCTGGCTTTGCAGACTCCCTAGGAAGCTGGCAGGACTCCACGAGCAGCCAGGAGTGAGTGGCGTGTGATTTGCCTAGTGAGTCACCGTCTGCTGTGAATCCCTGGGATACCTCTGCCTCTAGATGAGCATCTCTGCAAGACAAGTTGAAACCCGGGGCCATCTGCCTCTTGCTGACCCTCTGCAAGCCCCTCCCTCTGTCTCTGCCTCACCTCTGTCTCCACGCTCTGTTAATCCAGCTGGTCAGAGTTCAAAGGAGCTGCTTAGAGCTGCGACCGCCACTGCCGGGCTCCATCAATGCTTTGCAGCTTCCACGGCTGCTGCAGAGATGAACGGCAAAGCTCTTCTCTTCATGCTCCTCCTGGCCTTGGTTGTGATTTTTGCCTTGGTTTGCGTCTTGTTGAGCAGAGGCGAAAATGCCACCTGGTGCGGTTACCAGTCGCAGAGCTTCCCAGAGCATCTTCACAGCGACTGCAGCCAGGTGTTTGCAGATCTGTCGCAGGAGGAAATGGCCCGTGTGGCGCTGTACCTGAAATCCAACCTTGGGGCAAGCTTGGAAGATGCTTCGCAGGCAAAACCCTCTGACAACTGCATTTATTCCATTGACTTGCAGTTGCCACCCAAAGCGGAGTCCCTCGCATTCCTGGATCACGGAGGAATCCGCCCTCCTAGGCAGGCTCTGGCTGTGGTGTATTTTGGAAACCAGCCCACTCCAAACATTACCGAGTATGTGGTGGGACCTCTCCCAGAGCCGACCTATCACTTGGATGTGACTGTGCAGAAATATGGAGGGCCGCTGCCGTATTATCGCAGGCCCCCACTGGATGCCGAATACAAGCAGATGGCCCGCTTTCTGCATGGGGTGGCTTTCCCCACAGCTCCGAGTTTCATGCAGCAGGTCTTGGACTACGACGGGACCAACCTCGCCGCCATGACCACCTCTCCGCGGGGACTGAAGTCCGGAGATCGCTCAACTTGGCTCGTCCTGTTCCAGAACGTCACTGGCTACTTCTTACACCCAGTTGGGCTGGAGGTGCTTCTGGATCACAGCAGTCTGGACCTCTCCCTCTGGGCCGTGAAGAAAGTGTTTTACGGCGGCCACTATTTCCAGGACTTGGCAGAGCTGGAGAGAGAATTTGCTGAGGGACGTCTGCAAGTGGAGAAGGTGCAGAAGGTCCCGGCTGAAGGAGGTTTTGCTTCGTTGAAGCCTAAGGTTTCCCCCGCCGGGCCGGGCCCTGTGAATTACGAGCCTCAGGGGCCACGTTACAGCGTGAGGAGCAATCAAGTCCTTTCCTCCTTCTGGAGTTTTGCCTTCAGGATGGATGTGAGCAGGGGACCACGTCTCTTTGACATCCGGTTCAAAGGCCAAAGGGTCGCCTATGAGCTCAGTGTGCAGGACACCATGTCGGTCTACGGGTCCAACAGCCCTGGGGGGATGTCGATCCGCTACATGGACGGGAGCTTTGGCATTGGGAGGCTCACCTTCCCCTTGGTTCGAGGTGTCGACTGTCCTTATTCCGCGACCTACCTTGACGTCCGCTCCCTAGCTCAAGCGGAAAGGCCCCTGGTCACCCGCGACGCCCTGTGTGTGTTTGAGCAGGACCTGGGCGCTCCGCTCCGGCGCCATTACTCCCACCTCCGTTCCGTCTTCTACGGGGGGCTGCCTGCCACCGCGCTGGTCTTCCGCTCGGTTTCGAGCATAGGCAACTACGACTACATCTGGGATTTCGTCTTCCACCCCAACGGGGCCATTGAAAGCAAAGTCCGAGCCTCCGGTTACATCAGCTCATCTTTCCTCTACGGCGACGGGCTAGATTACGGGAACCGAGTTGGGGACCACACTCTGGGGAACATACACACCCACTTTGTCGGCTACAAGGTGGACCTGGACGTTGGTGGTAAGTGTGTGCATTTTTTCACCTTCACACACCTGGAGCAGTCTCTGTGTCTTGCTGCAATGTCCCGTTCTTGCTGTGGGAAAGTTCTTGGTCTATGATGGAGGCTCGAATGGATCACCCTGGGATAGCTCAGCCGGTAGAGCATCAGACTCTTAATCTCAGAGTCGTGGGTTCAAAGCCCACATTGGGCAAAAGATCCCTGCATTGAGGGGGTTGGACTAGATGTCCCTTGGGGTCCCTTCCAACTCCTACTGCCGTTTGCACCTAGTAGGAGAAGACCAAGACTGCTACTCAAAAGGAGAGCACTGACTAAGCAATTCAGCCTCCCTCTCTTAATTTTAGTCTTAATACAGTGGTACCTCGGGTTACATACACTTCAGGTAACATACGCTTCAGGTTACAGACTCCGCTAACCTAGAAATAGTACCTCCGGTTAAAAACTTTGCTTCAGGATGAGAACAGAAATCATGCTCCAGCGGCGCGGCAGCAGCAGGAGGCCCCATTAGCTAAAGTGGTGCTTCAGGTTAAGAACAGTTTCAGGTTAAGAATGGACCTCTGGAACGAATTAAGTACATAACCAGAGGTACCACTGTATTAGTTTTCCTTGGGCTTGCCTGTCAGCGAACTCTCTGTCCTTTCCGACAAATGCATCAATGAACCACGGAGAACTCAATAATGTCTCTGTCCCTTGCAGTGAATCTGCCAGGAGTGGGGATGCAGGGTGGAGGGGAAAGGCACTGGTATATTTTCCTGTTCTGCCAAGATACTGGCTCGTGCATATGCTAGAAAGATTGTCCAAAGTCCTCGCCCCAACCCAACTTCCAGAGGTGGCCTCTTGGTGTTTATTTTGCGAGGCTAAGATAATAGACCCGGTGGCCTGTGCTATTGAACTATCAGCTGTGCTGCAGATCAGCTGCCCAGGGGCACAGCCCTCCCGTCTTCTGAAGCAGGCTTCCTTATCATCTCTCCCTTATGGATGAAGGACGTGAACACTGCAGGTGTTGTTGCTTTGTAGGCAGTGCCACCTAGTGACTAGTGAGCCAGGGTTCCTGTTGCAGATTTACAAATGAATGGATTCCTTTTGAGGCAGGAGATACACTTCCAAGCATAGCTGTCAACCGTCCCTTATTTGGCGGGAAAGTCCCTTATCCTAGTGCTGTGTCCTGCTGCTGTCCCTTATTGATGATGTCCCTTAAATTTCCCGGGTTTCAAAGGAAGCAGCTCCTCTCCCTCCCTCCCTGCCGGCCAGGGAGGAGGGAGGCTCCAACTGGGTTGCTTGGCTGCGTTGCTCACCCAATAAGGAGTCTAAGAACGACTGGGGGGTGGAGCTTGCATGCCTTGTGCCGATCAAATCGGCCGCGTTGCCTGGGGACTCGCCTTTGCTCAGCGCTTCCCAGCGGAGAGGTGACGGTGGTTTCCCTTGCTGCATCCCCTTTGCCGGGTTGCTGCGCTGTGGGAACCACCGCTTGAGGCTTTGTTTGGCTGCTGGCTGGGCTTTCTGCCTTTGGCTCAGAGGGGCTCAGAAGTTGAACATACCTGTGCTCTGAAAATCCCTTATTTTGGCTGCTGGTCCCTTATTTTCAAATCTGTAAGTTGACAGCTATGCTTCCGAGTGGCCTTGATGACTTGCCTCGGCCTCCTCAGAAGTAAGCCCTATTGAATGCAAAGGGATTGGGTCCCATACAAATGTGGTCCTCCCTGCCTGTGCCCCTTTGCTCACTTGCACTTGCCCCAAGGCCAGGCGCAGGCCTGGGGAGAATCAGTGCTTAGAAATCCCTGGTAGTGATGGGGCAGGGAAAGGCCTCAGCCGAAAGCCAGAAGGCAGGAATAGGATGGTAGTTGTGTACTTCCTGAGTGGCTGCTTGCTGCTGCCTGGAGCTCCCTCTTTTCAGCTGCCCAGTTCCTTGCCCTGCTGGGCCACTGTCCTCAGCACCTCTGGGAATGAAGAGCACTGGGATCAGGGCCATAAGCGCCACGAATGAGTGAGCTGGGGATGGAAGAAGGCAGCAGCAGAAAGAGGTTGAGGCGGAGAGGGATGGGGTTTGTGTTGTGGGTACCACTGAGGAGGTGGTGAGTGAAAAGCAGAGAGGATCCGAGACAAATAAACAAAGGTTTTATGCCAAACACACCTTACAGGGGAAAGCATCGTGGTATTGTATCAGAAAACCTTTTCGCGTTACTCCCGGTTAGGAGAAAAGCGATTTTTGCTCCAGGATATCTTATGTGATGGGACGCAGGTGGTGCTGTGGGTTAAACCACAGAGCCTAGGACTTGCCGATCAGAAGGTTGGCGGTTCGAATCCCCGCAACAAGGTGAGCGCCCGTTGCTCGGTCCCTGCTCCTCCCAACCTAGCAGTTCGAAAGCACGTCAAAGTGCAAGTAGATAAATAGGTACCACTCCGGCGGGAAGGTAAACGGACTTTCCATGCGCTGCTCTGGTTTGCCAGAAGCGGCTTAGTCATGCTGGCCACATGACTCGGAATCTGTACGCCGGCTCCCTCGGCCAATAAAGCGAGATGAGCGCTGCAACCCCAGAGTCGGCCACGACTGGACCTAATGGTCAGGGGTCCCTTTACCTATCTTATATGAACACTGCAGCAGAGATGTCGATGTGGTTCGTACCTGGAAAAGGCAGGAAAAGGCAGGCCAAAAGCTGATTTTTGAGGCGGTGAGGATAGGTCCTAGGTTTCCGTGGCAGCGTGTCTGCAAAGCAAAAAGCATGGGGACTTCGTGAAAAGTCAAGCAGAGCTCAGCTGAAGGGTAAAGGATTGTGGGGAACATGCAGTGATCGTTCCAAATGAATTCAGAATGAGCTATAGACTTGAGATAAAGACAGATCAGTATGGAGTCCAATGATGCTGTGAGCAGGACATCCTGTACTTAAAGGATAAACAGATTCCTTTCCAGCTTTTCCTGGGAAATTTCCAGCAATGGACATTCAACCATCTCCACAATCAACTTGTTTTCAGTGCAGAAGCGTTCGTAAGAATGAAGGTGTTCCATAAGATATTAACTGATGCAAAGGAAAGAGGTGGATTTGCCCTGCCAGACTTTAAACTTTATTATGAATCAGCAGCTTTTTGCTGGTTGAAAGAATGGCTACTTCTTGAAAATACAGACATTTTGGATTTAGAAGGTTTTAACAACGTATTTGGATGGCATGCATATTTATGGTATGATAAGGTCAAAGCACATAAAGCATTAAAAATCATATTGTCAGGAAAGCACTGTTTAATGTTTGGATAAGATACAAGGATTTATTGGAAAATAAAACCCCAAGGTGGTTGTCACCGATGGAAGCGAAAGCTCTGAAAAGGCTCAATATGGAGGCCAAATGGCCGAAATATTGGGAAATTTTGGAACAAGAAGGAGACAAATTGAAATTGCAGAGTTTCGAGAAACTAAAAACAAAGTGAGAGATTGGCTTCATTATTATCAGATAATGGAGGCATATAATTTGGATAAGAAAATTGGCTTCCAGGTGGAAAAATCAAAACTAGAAACAGAACTGTTAGAACCCAAAACTAAGAATTTGTCAAGAATGTATAACTTGCTGTTGAAATGGAATACTCAGGATGAAACGGTGAAATCTGCTATGATTAAATGGGCACAAGATGTTGGACATAATATTATGTTTGCTGACTGGGAACAGTTATGGACCACAGGTATGAAGTTTACGGTATGTAATGCCCTAAGAGAGAATATTATGAAAATGATATACAGGTGGTACATGACCCCAGTCAAGCTTGCAAAAATCTATCATTTGCCCGACAATAAATGCTGGAAATGTAAAGAAACTGAAGGTACATTCTTTCACCTTTGGTGGACGTGCCCAAGGATTAAGGCTTTCTGGGAAATGATATATAATGAACTGAAAAAGGTATTTAAATATACCTTCTTGAAGAAACCAGAGGCCTTTCTTCTGGGCATTGTCGGCCAATTGGTGCCAAAGAAGGACAGAACTTTTTTTATGTATGCTACAACAGCAGCAAGAATACTCATTGCAAAGTATTGGAAGACACAAGATCTACCCACTCTGGAAGAATGGCAGATGAAGGTGATGGACTATATGGAATTGGCAGAAATGACTGGCAGAATCCGAGACCAGGGAGAAGAGTCGGTGGAAGAAGATTGGAAGAAATTTAAAGACTATTTACAGAAATATTGTAAAATTAATGAATGATAGAATGATGTTGGATAGTAATTAAGCGGTTTCCACCTGTAATGCTCTAAGAGAATATGAAAAAAAAGGGTTATAAATGGGTTAAAATCTAATGGTAAGGATTTGCTGAACCAATAAATTGAAGTGGAATACAAAAAAGGGAGGTACGAGGAGGTCTGGGAAACAAGCTAAAGGAAAATAAGTAATAGAAAATATGTGTGTTTTTAACTATTTTTATTTTGTTTTTTTGTTTTTCATTTTCACTGTAATATTTCAAAAAACCTTAATAAATATCTTATTAAAAAAAAAAAGAAGGTGTCCCCCCCCCCCCCAAGTGTTCAACTTACCGGTAAGCCTAATTTCCAGTACTTCGTAACATTATATTTTAACTTGTCCATATAGTAGAAGGCAGTTCAGTGGATCTGTTCCCCCTCCTCGCCCCCATTTTTCCTGTGATACTTTTGCAGAATGTGTGTGAAGCAGCCAGGATTTGCACTACAGTGATACCTCGGGTTAAGTACTTAATTCGTTCTGGAGGTCCGTTCTTAACCTGAAACGGTTCTTAACCTGAAGCACCACTTTAGCTAATGGATCCTCCTGCTACCGCTGCGCCACCGGAGCCCGATTTCTGTTCTCATCCTGAAGCAAAGTTCTTAACCTGAGGTACTGTTTCTGGGTTAGCGGAGTCTGTAACCTGAAGCGTATGTAACCCGAGGTACCACTGTACTTGAAGCCTCTCTGCAAAGGTATCTAAGGATTTGGAATTTAGTCGTGCCAGTCAGATGTCGCCCAGCTCCATTTATCATTTCCATCCCAGTTAAGTGAGGCTCTGGAAGAGCAGAACCAGTATCTGGAATCAGTAATGGGCTGCTGGTCAAGAAACAAACGCAATCCTGATAGGTGCTGTAGTTAGATACAGGCTCAGAGATAATAGTTTTCAGCCTGTTCTAGATGTGGTTGCCATCCCCCTCAAGCTGAGATCATACCCTCCAACATTTCTCTGATGAAAACAGGGCATTCTGTTCTACGTCAGGAAGCATCTCCCGCCTTTGATCCTGGCGCACACATGTGCGTCATATGCACACCTACATTGGTCGCTTTGAGCCTGTTACAACTTCTCCACCGAGCCTACCTCACAGGGTTGTTGTAAAGGAAAAAAATGTGTGAGGGAAGGGAATGTGTGCAGCACCTTCCACAGATGATTGGAATGGGGGAAAAGTTAACGGTACGATGCTTTGAGTTCCTGTCAGGGAAAAAGGCAGGAATAATAATAATAATTTAAAAAAAAAAAACTGGGAATGATCAGGAACATACCAGAGAGTAAATTCTATTGAACTTAGTGGGACTTAAAAGGTAAAGGTACCCCTGAGCATTAAGTCCAGTCACGGACAACTCTGGGGTTGCGCGTTCATCTCGCTCTATAGGCCAAGGGAGCCGGCGTTTGTCCGCAGACAGCTTCCGGGTCATGTGGCCAGCATGACTAAGCCGCTTCTGGTGAACCAGAGCAGCACACGGAAACGCCGTTTACCTTCCTGCCGCAGTGGTACCTATTTATCTACTTGCACTGGTGTGCTTTCGAACTGCTAGGTTAGCAGGAGCTGGGACAGAGCAACGGGAGCTCACTCCGTCGTGGGGATTCAAACCACCGACCTTCTGATGCGCCAAACCCACATCCCATTAGTGGGACTTAGTTCTGAGTAAAAATAATTAGGATTGCAGTATAAGGCTGTAGTTTACACCTTACCTGGGAGTAAGCACCACAGAATACAGTGAGACTTACTCCTGAGCAGACAGTGTAAGGCTCCTTCTACAATAACGGAATAAAGACTCCCTGTGTTTCCCAAGAAATGACTGGCTGCTGAAACATTCCAGTTGAAGAATTCAAAGTGGCTTGTTGATCTTTTCCTTCAGAATTATAGGAAGGATTTCGTATGTCACCGTTTCCTTCATTTGGGCAGGGATTTTATTTTCAGTGCGAACAGGACTTGCATTTTGCACCACTTTAAGTTGCTCTCTGAAGGAAAAAAGGAAAACTAGGACATTCCGGGATCAAATAAAAAACCAGGGCGGCTTCTGTAATTCCGGGGCTGTCCCTAGAAAATTGGGGCGCTTGGAGGGTCTGTATTGGTGACCCCATAGATGTGGTTCATGGATGAACATCGTTCAGCCGCTAATATCTTGCACCACCAATATTTTCCAACCCGCAATTGCTGGAAATTGCAGATCAATGGGTAGGTCCACTCATAGACCTCAACCAGCTTGGGACAGGAGACTGTTTTTACAATGTTTGAGTTCAAAAAAGGCCTCGCATTGCAGCTGGGAGCATCCTGAGGCTCTTTGACTGCAGTCTCCCAGCCAGCCGCCCCTCCTCAAAGGCGCCATGTTGACATCTAGGCCCCACCAAGTTGGGGGGCTAGACTCTGGAGGATATATTGTTTTGTTCTTGTCCAGGGCAGGGGCGATTGGGAGGGGGGGAACCTTGTACCATTGTTCTAGGAATGAGGTAAGGTTCCCAAATTGCAGCCTTCCTGCTGGTTGTTTCCTGGAAAGCTGCCCTGAGGACAAAAGGCCCCGAGAGGTGCTGAGGGCCCCTTGCTCAGGAAATAACAGGCTACGTCAATTCTAAGGAGAAGCCTTTGAACTTTCATTGGCTGAGTACTCCCACACCAAACGCACGCCTGACGCATCCGGGAAACCAGGGCCGGCTCAGTCATTAGGCGGTGTGAGGAAACCGCCTCAGGTGGCAGAAGTCCCTGAGGCGGCTTCCTTGCATGCGCTGGAATCGGTGCTAATTTAGGGCGAGATCTCCCAAAAATCAGCTCCCGTGACGCACCCTTTATCTGTGTGCTGGCCTGGTGTTTTTCAAACTTTTCATCCTTTAAATAGTTGACCTCCACTCAACCCACCACGGCACAAACTCCTTTGAAATCTTCCTTTCCCAGCATGAGGTGGGCCTGCTGCGCTTTGAGAAAAGGAAAGCCAAGAACCTCTTCAAAAAAAACAAAAGAAAAAACTAGTCCTTCAGTCTGTTGGATCCTTGCCTTAATTGCATTTCCATGTTTTGCAGTTCATTCCGCTTTTTCATCTAGAGCTGGCTTTAACTATGATCACAGATCTCTGAATCGTTTCCAGTTTTGTTCGCCGGCTCCTTACATTGTGGTGCCTCAAATCTGAACACAATAGCTATTGCTCAGCTGAAGTGTTCAGAAACCGTGGATGCTTGTACCTCCCCATCCTCAAATTCCCAGTTTCTAACTGTCTTTTTTGTGTGTATGTATGTTTTTTTTAAAATATATTAACTAATTTCCCCCCAGAGGTTCCTTTCTTGGACCCATTGTTAGACTTTGATGTATTTTGCTGTCTTGAACTGAATGAGGCCTGTCTTCTGTCTCAGGGCTGACAGCCAAATGTGGTTCTCAGGACCTCTTTATTCAGCGCTTACATACCCTCCAACATTTAAGGAAGGGCTCCTGCTTTTTCCATTCAAACTGTTTCCTGCATCGACCTTAATTTATGCCTTGATCCAAGCTGCAAATCTAGGCCCCTGAACATGTTTTTAACTAATGATATGTTTCAACACTGAAGACCAGCATGGCTGACTCACTTAAACCAGCTGCCAGTAATTCAGGTTATCTCCTGGTCTGTGCACAGGTCCAGCTTTAACTCCTGCAGTTTTTCTTCCACTGGTCCCCAGAGTGTGAACAAGCCGAAAACGAACACCTCTACCTCTGAGTCTGGACTTCCAAAATAGACTGTGCTTTCCCAAGCTCCAACTGCTGCTGTGAATTCGCCTCCTGCCCAGTGGCATAATGTGGGTTGCCAGGGCTGCGGGAGGGAAACAGACAGAGTACACATGCTCATTCAACTGCCTAACAGCGTCCATGTTCACCCAGGAGAGATTGTAGCTGCAGAGATAAGAAAATAAGAGTCATTCCGTTGTCTGGAGAGATAGCTTCCTTCTTTTTTTGTTGGGACTTCTTGTGATTTCCAGTTCTTAGCTAACAAAATTCTTGCCGCAGTTGTGGCATACAAAAACAATTTAACATCTTTCTTGGGCAATTCCAAACCTATTATTCCAAGAAGAAAGGCCTCTGGTTTCTTAATAAATGTATATTTCAACATTTTTTTCAATTCATTATAAATCTTCTCCCAGAAGTCTTTCACCTTGGGTCATGTCCACCACATATGATAGAAAGTTCCCTCCTTTTCTTTACATTTCCAACATAAATTATCACTGTTATGGTAAATCTTTGTTAATTTTACAGGAGTCAAATACCATCTATACATCATCTTCATAATATTTTCTTTTAACACCGTACATGCAGTGAACTTGACCCCTTGGGGAGATCACTTCCTGGCTCGCATGGAGAAACCATTTTGAACAGAAGCAGCACCAGGTGTTCGGCCAATTTTGCACCCCTAACAATTTTGCACCCGGGGCAACTACCCCTATGCCCCACCACCACCACGCTACATCACTGCCCCTGCCCATTAACTTTTCCCATTTCATACTGCTTCCCCACACACCTAGACACATAAAGCATCACGACTCTGCAAGTAACTGCAAAATTCCTAGTGCTCCATTCAGGGCAGGGCCAGATTCCAACTCAACAGAATGAGTTTGGCTTACCACATTCTGAAGCCGTATATATTACCATCTCAAGAGGAGGGTTCCTGGAAGACCATTGCATCCAGAATCTAAAATTGCCTGATTGCAACACCAAAAACCTTCCAGTCCCAGCCTAAAAGCTGTTCATCCATCTTGTTGACCTCCCCAGGCACTCTGCAACTTGACTTCTGTGTTTACTTCTTCAACCCATAGCAGTTGCTGACCAGCACATCTGTCATCTACACACCCCCAGGCTTATCTCAAGGTTTTCCGCAAAGGGCAGCTGCAGTTTGGTTGAACTTTCTTGGTGTCCTGCACGGCATGGCTTCCTGTCACCTGGTAATGTGTTCTGATTTTGTTAGGAGGGCTACTGCTATTTTCTGGGATTCTGTTCCGTCACATCAGCACACCCATTTCACCCAAATGGGAACAAAACTGGCAAGTGGTTCAAAGGAAGAAGAATAAGAATTTGGATTTAATATCCCACTTTATCACTACCTGAAGGAGTCTCAAAGCGGCTAACATTCTCCTTTCCCTTCCTCCCCCACAAGAAACACTCTGTGAGGTGAGTGGGGCTGAGAGACTTCAGAGAAGTGTGACTGGCCCAAGGTCACCCAGCAGCTGCATGTGGAGGAGCGGGGAATCGAACCCAGTTCACCAGATTACGAGTCCACTGCTCTTAACCACTACACCACACTGGCTCTCACCCATCTCCTCCATGTAAGTAAAGCCCAGGACCTACAGCCTACCCAGACTGCTGTGTTATTTTGGGTGCATGTAGAAATATGTTGTTGATGTATTAATAGTGCATTTGGCATTGATTTATACTGGGCTGTCCCATACCCTCCAACATTTCTCCAATGAAAATAGGGACGTCCCATTCCATAATGATTTACTATTTATACTCTACACATCTGACTGAGGGGCCCCAGCCACTCTGGACAGCTTCCAACATATATTAAAACATAATAAAACATTAAACATTTATTTTTTAAAAATTCCCTATACAGTATAGGATTGCCTTCTGACGGCTCGGTGGGTCAGATAATTCCATACCCTCCAACATTTCTCCAATGAAAATAGGGACATCCTAAGGAGAAGTGGGACATTCTGGGATCAAATCAGTAACCGGGACGGCTTCTCTAAATCAGGGACATCCCTGGAAAATAGGGACATTTGGAAGGCCTGCTGTCTACACATAATCCACTTGTATTGGTTCTGATATGCTTCTCCAATGTTCACACATTATTGCATCCCTACATTAACTTTAGGGACGCGGGTGGCGCTGTGGTCTAAACCACAGGGCCTTGGCCTTGCCGACCTGAAGGTTGGCGGTTCGAATCCCCGTGACGGGGTGAGCTCCCGTTGCTCAGTCCCAGTTCCTGCCAACCTAGCAGTTTGAAAGCACGTCAAAGTGCAAGTAGATAAATAGGTACTGCTCCGACGGGAGGGTAAATGGCATTTCCGTGTGCTGCTCTGGTTCGCCAGAAGCGGCTTAGTCATGCTCGCCATATGACCCAGAAGCTGTACACCGGCTCCCTCGGCCAATAAAGCGAGATGAGCGCCGCAACCCCAGAGTCGGCCACAACTGGACCTAATGGTCAGGGGTCCCTTTACCTTTACCTTTACATTAACTTTACCCATTCCGTTGTCCATGTTCCTGCCATTCTCTTTCCCCCTCTTTATGAGCTACTTACGCCATGATGCCATGCCAACATATTTTCATTTGTGTACTTTTGTTAACACTCATGCTCATTTGCAGACATCCCCCCTCAGGAATAGTAGTACACAGCACCAACAGGAAATGTGGGCTTTGTAAAAAGGGACAAGCTTCTCCCCCTTCTTTTTCCCTAAGTGTACGTTAGTTGTAAAGGTAAAAAGGACCCCTGAACAGTTAAGTCCAGTCAAAGGTGACTATGGGGTTGTGGCGCTCATCTCGCTTTCAGGCCAAGGGAGCTGGCGTTTGTCCACAGACAGCTTTCTGGGTCATTTGGCCAGCATGACTAAACTGCTTCTGGCACAACAGGACACCATGATGGAAGCCAGAGCGCACAGAAATGCCGTTTACCTTCCCGCTGCAGTGGTACCTATTTATCCACTTGCACTGGCGTGCTTTCGACCTGCTAGGTTGGCAGGATCTGGGACAGAGCAACGGGAGCTCACCCTGTTGTGGGATTCGAACTGCCGACCTTCCAATCGGCAAGCCCAAGAGGCTCAGTGGTTTAGACCACAATGCCACCCGCATCCTAGTTGTGTTGTGACACAATACCGCTATATTTTCATTTTTACACATATGTAAGTTTTGATGTTCAGGCTGAGATTGCTGGGCTAATCTATCCCTTATGTCCACACAAAACCCCACAGGAATGGCAGGGTCTTGACACCAAGAGGAAGAATGTAGAGGACACATTTCAGCACATTGCCAAGGTGCTCTTGCACTAACCACCCCAAATTTTTAGCGGGCACAAATCATATTAAAAGTGCAATCATGTTTAACTGCCCCCAATAGCATCGTGCACGCAATTCATGACATCTGGAAGGAGCCTTGGGTTCAAATTCCAGGTGGAATTTCATTCTTCGCTGCTCTCCTCTTCTTTTAAATAACTGAACGAGACACACAAACACACATACACACCCTCCCTGCTGCTGAAGCGAAGGCTGGTTTCCAAGAGTATGAAAATCAAGCCCATTAATATGTCTGGGCGGGAAGAAATTAGGACCTCTGAACTAGAATAACCAACATAACAGTCAGTTCTAGGAACTTCCCATAATGGGAGTGACGAGGTGATCTGCCATGCTCTCTATGAAGGCACCCTCAGGCCAGTGGAACAGTGGCAGACTGACTGCCACAAAGAGTCCCCAGAAGTCTCACTCTCTGGTGTTCAGATCTCCGACTGCGTAATAGATCTACTCTGTGATGAACCAGCTGTTCTGATAGGGTGGTCCTTGTTTTTTTGTTACGTACTTCAGGCCTCTTCCTTTTGGCCTCTACCTAATCATCTAGCATTTCCTGGATTGAGTCATTTTTCCAGCTGCGTTGACCCAGCAGCCAAATGAGCGGTCACTGGGACGGACTTGGTGAGAGCAACCGGACGGGGCTTTGAAGCATTCCTTTGCCGCGATGAGCCCGAAAGCCCTGCTCGTTCTCCTGCTACTCGCTCTGGTTACCATTTTTGCCTTGGTGTGCGTGTTGCTGACCAGGAGGGAGACCCTTGTTCACTCTCCTGCAGGGTCTCAGGATTCCCTGAGCGGAAAGCACAATGACCAGAGCCTGGTATTTGCTGACCTGTCCACAGAAGAGATGGCTGTGGTGCTGAAGTATCTGCAGTCTCACCTGGGGCTACCCCTGGTGGATGCTTATCACGCCAACTCTTCTGATAATTGTGTTTACTACTTGGATGTGGAGGTGCCCCGCAAGGAGCAGGTGCTGAAATTCCTTGATCATGGAGGGCCAAAGCCTGTTCGACAGGCACTGGCTGTGGTGTACTTTGGAAACCAGGCAGAACCAAACATCACAGAGTACGTGGTGGGCCCGCTCCCGGCGCCAACATATCATCGGGATGTGACGGCGGAGAAATATAGAGGCAAGTTATCTTACCACGGCCGAACTGTGATGGGGAACGAATACGAACAAATTGGGAAATTCCTACTGGGAGGAAAGCTGCTTGAAGCTGCCACTTTCTTCGAACAGGTGTTTGGTCACAACGGGAGCGACTTTGCGGCCCTCACCTCAGCCCCTCGGGGGTTCCAGTCTGGAGATCGCGCCACCTGGTTTACCCTGTTCCAGAACATCAAGGGCTTCTTCCTGCATCCGGTGGGATTTGAGCTGTTGCTAAACCACAGCAGCCTCAACATCTCTCACTGGAGTGTGCCAAAAGTGTTTTATAACGGTCAGTATTACGATGGTTTGCAGGAGCTGGAAAAGGAATTCAAAGCGAATCGCGTGAAAGTGGCCAAAGTCGAGAGAGTCTCCTCCGACGGGGGGTTTGCTTCGATCGACCGAAAGGTCCCCTCTCTGGGATCTGGTCCTTTGCACTATGAGTCCTGCGGACCACGCTATAGTGTAAGGAACAACCAGGTCATTTCCCCATCCTGGAGTTTTGCTTTCAGGATGGACGTGAACAGAGGACCCAGTGTCTACGACGTCCGATTTAAGGGCCAAAGGATTGTCTACCAACTCAGTGTGCAGGACGCCATGTCTGTCTACGGTTCCAACTGCCCTGGTGGGATGTCCACCCGATATATGGATGTCAATTTTGCCATGGGGAGGTATTCTTATTCCCTCGTCCGCGGAGTTGATTGCCCTTACTCTGCCACTTACCTTGACGCCGCTTATTTAATTGAGACCGTGACTCCAGAGGTGCAGAAGAACTCCATCTGCGTTTTTGAGCAGAATGTGGAAGCTCCCTTCCGGCGACATTACTCCAACCTTCAGTCTCTCTACTACGGGGGGTTGCCTGCCTCTGCGCTGGTCTTTCGTTCTGTATCTACTATGGGGAACTATGACTACGTCTGGGACTTCATTTTCCATCCAAACGGTGCTATTGAAAGCAAAGTCAGAGCCAGTGGGTATATAACATCATCTTTCCTCTATGGTGATGGGCTGGACTATGGCAACAGAGTGGCAGACCACACACTTGGAACGATCCACACTCATTTCATCAACTACAAAGTGGACTTGGATGTGGGAGGTAAGGTCTACTTTGATCACGGCACTTTTGCTCTGTCTTCTGCCCTTGTTGACAGCTCTGCTTCTTGCCGCTGGGTGCTTTCTCACTATTCCCACCCCACAACCCAGGGGTGCCAGGGGGCCGCAATTTCCACCCTGGGTCGGGTTTGTTGCAACAAAGCACTGTTTCCGTTCTGCTGCAGTTCAGCTTCCGCTGAAACCTTAGCTGTTCATCTTGCTATCTGCTATGGCCAAAACACATGTAGTTAAAGGGAAGATGAAAAAAGGGTTTATTATGTAATATGTAAAAATCTAAAAGTACAATATCTTTATGATTGTTGATTAGGATATTTAAAAGAGGGGAGGGAACTGCTGAACAAAATATGTGAACTGGAATACAAAAAAGGGAGGTGCGAGGAGGTCGAGGAAACAAGTAAATGAAGGATAAGACATAGAAAGACTAATTTGTTTGTTTAACTGTTTTTATTTTGTATTCTGTATTTTTCTATTTTTACATCTTTTTTCTTTTTTATCTGCTTTTCTTTTTCCCCCCGCTTATTTTTGTAATATGTTGAAACTTTAATAAATATCTTTTTTAAAAAAAACAACACATGCAGTTAATTAAGTAATTAATTGCACAGTTAATCTCAATGCATTGAGGGAAATGTCAAAACCATGCAGGAAATAACCACTTGTGTAATATCTGCAGGCTGGGGAAAAAAATAATGATAGTAAATGCCACTTGTATTTGCTTGCACAGTTTCCATTACTGACCTCGGACAAACATGCAGATTGGGTGAATTTCTGTTCCCCTTTCTGATGGAATTTGCTGACATTCCTACTAGATCTCCGTGAACTGAGTGGCAAAGTTTCTGCCAGGAGAGGGCACCATTGGAGCAACCACATCTATATACTGCTTCATTGCCCTTTGTGATAGGAACAACCTGTGTCTGGATTTCCAGAATCCATCTAAAATATTGTTTTTGACTGTGTTTCCATGGGACTCTTGGGTTTGATTAGCACCTTGCAGGGGTTCAAGGGCATTTTACAAGCTCCCACTCATGCTCTCTTGTTCCAGTCACTCACCCTCCCTCACTGTAAAGCTTAGATTTTAAGTCTGCAGTTATTCTAGTTTATTTTTTTTTTGCTCTTGCTGAGCTTGTAATCCATACATGATGATAAATCCAACACATTAGGCTTGTCTCTCCACTGTTTCTGCAAGCCTATCATAATAATAAAGAATGATTTTATTATTTAAACCCTTCCCATCTGGCTGGGCAGCTTCCAGCACATATTTTTTTTTAAAAAAGATGTCAAACATTAAAATCTTCCTGAGACAGGGCTGCCTTCAGATGTCTTCTAAAAGTTGTGTGGTTCTTTACCTCCTTGACATCTGATGAGAGGGCATTCCACAGGGAGGGTGCCACTACCGAGAAGGCCCTCTCTGCCTAGTTCCCCGTAGCTTCATGTCTCACAGTGAGGGAACCTCCAGAAGGCCCTCAGAGCTGGATCTCAACTATAAGTGTGGAAATGCTCCTTCAGGTATACAGGGCCAAACCTGTTTAGAGCTTTAAAGGTCAGCACCAACACTTTGAATTGTCCTTTGAAATGTCCTGGGAGCCAGTGAAGATCCTTTAGGACCGGTGTTATATGGTTCTGGCAGTTGCTCTCAGTCGCCAGTCTAGCTGCTGCATTCTGGATTAGTTGTAGCTTCTGGGTCACCTTCAAAGGTAGCCCCACGTAGAGCGCATTGCAGTAGTCCAAGCGGGAGATAACCAGAGCATGCACCACTCTGGCCAGACAGTCTGCGGGCAGGTAGGGTCTCTGCCGAATTGCTCCACCAGTATGGACATATACGAAGGATCTTGAGAATATAATTTTTCACTACCGTTCTATCCTCGCCATCCCTCTTTCTAGGTGTTCAGAATTCCTTGCTAGCCAACGACATGACTTTTGAAAAAGTGAAGGTCCCTTGGAGCCCTGAACATGAGATCAACCGGATGAAACTGGTGAAGAAAGTCTTAGACACGGAAGACAAGGCTGCCTTTCGCTTACATGATGACATGCCAAGATACATCTATTTTGCATCCGAAAGCAAGAACAAATGGGGCCATAATCGTGGCTATCGGATCCAGCCCATCAGCTTTTTTGGGGACCACCTTCCAGAGACGGATCCAATGGAGAGAGCTATCAGTTGGGGAAGGTAGTGATTGCGTCTTATGTGACATCACAGTCCCATCATCCAGTAATTCTCTTCCTCTCTTTTCCCCTTGGTTCCTCCATCTTTTCTCAAACCACAGAAAGTCCAACTTTCTCTGGAATAGCATCACAATCTCCACAAATGTGGCTTTTAGCACTATTCTTTTGTTGTTTTAGGGACGCGGGTGGCGCTGTGGATGAAACCACAGAGCCTAGGACTTGCCGATCAGAAGTTCGGCAGTTAGAATCCCCGTGACTGGGTGAGCTCCTGTTGCTCGGTCCCTGCTCCTGCCAACCTAGTAGTTCAAAAGCACGTCAAAGTGCAAGTAGATAAATAGGTACCGCTCCGGCGGGAAGGTAAATGGCATTTCCATGCGCTGCTCTGGTTCGCAAGAAGCAGCTTAGTCATGCTGGCCACATGACCCGGAAGCTGTACGCCGGCTCCCTCGGCCAGTAAAGCAAGATGAGCACTGCAACCCCAGAGTCGGCCATGACTGGACCTAATGGTCAGGGGTCCCTTTACCTTTGCTTTTGTTGTTTTAGGGCTTTGACATGGGCAATGACATAACTCGGAAAATAAACCTATCGTAGCTCAGCACACATTTTTTTATTCCCTTCGCAACTTGTGTCATTTTATGACATTTTCTGGTCACTGTCATCAACCATGTTGCTAAAAGGATGCTGACCAGAAATATATTTTAGATAGACAGGCAGGCAGGCAGCCTTTATAACATCATTAAGCCTTTGTAGAAGTATCTGTAGTGGCACCTCAGTTTTCAAACGTAATCCGTTCTGGAAGACCATTCGAGTTCCGAAACGTTAAAAAACCGAAAACTCAGTATAGAAGCCTCAAAACGGAAGCCTCAAAACAGAAAACTCAATGTGGAGTTTCATATTTGACTTCCAAGGCGCATTCAAAAACCAAAGCATTTACTTCCAGGTTTACAGCATTCGAAAACCAAAATGTTTGTCACCAGAGATGTTCGAAAACTGAGGTACCACTGTATATATTTCATTTAAAATGTATTTGCCGGGAAAGTGTTTAGCACTCATTAAAATTCTGATTTATTTATTTTTTAAAAAATTAGGATCATAAATTGGCACCCAGCCACACAAAGGCTATAGTGGTTTCAAGTTTCAAATGGCCCACTCGCAGCACACAAAACCCCTGATAGTGTGGGAAATCAATTGCATTTCCGCTTTGGAAGAGCAGTAAGGGGCCGCCTCACCTGTCGGCAAGCACCCCATGTCCCAATTTCAGGAGAGCATCCACTATCTTGTCAGCTGCGGCCGGCCACGAGCAAAGACAAAGCGCCATAGCGTGATGCTGGGCCTCATCTGTAGGAAAATGGGGATACCGTTCAGTTTCAGCGACGCTTCATTTTGTTTTCTGTTGTTGTTGCTGTTGCTGCTGCTGCTTTTTCGTTGCTACTCTGCTTCTCAGGTATAAGCTGGCTGTCACCAAGCGCAAAGAGGAAGAACCATATAGCACCAGCATCTATAACCAGAATGACCCCTGGACTCCTTCAGTTGCCTTTGCTGACTTCATAGACAATGAGACGATTGTCAACGAGGTGAGTTAACACTCTCTGCCGAAGCTTCTGGTGATCTGTACAACCTCCATGGAATTGGGCAGGATGCGGACTCAAACCAGAAACTAGATGCTCGACAAATCTGTTACACACCTGTTTCCCTTATCATATGACCCTCGGTTGCTATTAGCTTGTCAAGCAGGATATAAAGGGGAATAGGTTTCAGTGCATCTTTCACACGTCTTCGAAGTGGAAACACACATTTGAAGCAAATCGGGGGGGTTTCTGAACCTGTGTTTGCTAGTTCACATAGACGGAGGGATTGGAGGCAGCATTTGCAGGAGAGAATCAACAGCTGGTATGCTTGAACCTACCCTACTGCGAACCACTGAGCATCTTGGGCTTGCCGACTGGAAGGTCGGTGGTTCGAATCCCACGACAGGGTGAGCTCCAGTTGCTCTGTCCCAGCTCCTGCCAACCTAGCAGGTCGAAAGCGTGCCAGTGCAAGTAGATAAATAGGTACCACTGCAGCGGGAAGGTAAATGGCATTTCCATGCGCTCTGGTTTCCGTCACGGTGTCCCGTTGCGCCAGAAGCGGCTTAGTCATGTTGGCCACATGACCCGGAAAGCTGTCTGTGGACAAACGCCAGCTCCCTCGGCCTGAAAGTGAGATGAGCGCCGCAACCCCATAGTCGCTTTTGACTGCACTTAACTGTCCAGGGGTCCTTTACCTTTTTACCTTTACCTTACTGCCAATACCTCCCAATATATTAGCTGGATTTTCCCCCTTTTCTGATTCCAAGACTGGATAAAAAAATTGACTGGGGGAGAACTAGTGTTCTCAGAAGATTTAACGACTCCCCACGCTGCCTGCTAATGAATACCTCATTGCCTCCTCATTAAAACTGCATCAGCAAACGCAGGATTAGAAACCGCCATAAGGCTTTTTGTCTTGTGTGGAATGCAAAAAATTGTGAGTTGGAGCAATGTTTTCCATGTGTCGCGCTCATCCTCCTAAGCACAGTTACCATCTCTTAGGAAAGAAATGATTAATGTGCGGCTAATAATAATGTTTTTGGTGTGTCGTCTTGATGTTAACGTTCATTGAACTCTCACATAAATGGAAGAACAGGCCGCTTGACCGTTCTCTGTGGGATTTGAGACGTGAGCCCAGCCAAATCAATCCCAGCCAAACAGCGGAATGTTCTAGAATTCTTGGCCTGGAATTCTCAGATGCATTTCTGTCAAAGGATATGACTGTAAACAGCAAGCGCTTTCCCTCCTGTGGTTGTTCTTGAAGTTTGAAAGCTGCCCGGAAAGTCGGGAGAACGGATTTGCTGGCTGTGTGGCCCAAATCCATTTAACTCGCCAAATTTCTTGGCGCTGGTAAGTGCGTACCCTCCATCGTTTATCCAATGAAAATAGAGACATCCTATTCAACAATAAGGGACGTGGGCGGCACTGTGGGTTAAACCACAGAGCCTAGGGCTTGCCGATCAGAAGGTCAGCTGTTCGAATCCCCGCGACAGGGTGAGCTCGGTCCCTGCTCCTGTCCACCTAGCAGTTCAAAAGCACTTCAAAGTGCAAGTAGATAAATAGGTACCACTCCAGCGGGAAGGTAAACAGCGTTTCCATGCGCTGCTCTGGTTCGCCAGAAGCGGCTTAGTCATGCTGGCCACATGACCCGGAAGCTGTACGCCGGCTCCCTCAGCCAATAAAGCGAGATGAGCGTCGCAACCCCAGAGTCGGCCACGACTGGACCTAATGGTCAGGGGTGCCTTCACCTTTTTATTCAACAACAGCAACAACAAATTTATTATTTCTACCCCACCCACCTGACTGGGCTGCCCCAGCCACTCTGAGCGGCTTCCAACATTCATAAAAACATAATAAAACCTTAACCATTTAAAAACTTCCCTATATGTACAGGGCTGCCTCCAGATGTCTTCTAAAGGTTGCTTAGTTACTTATCTCCTGGGCTTGGGGGTCACATAACTCCAACATTTTTCCTATGGAAACAGGGGCGTCCAAGGAAAAGCAGGACATTCTGGGATCAAATCAGAAAACCAAGATGGCTTCTGTAAATCCGGGACTGTCCCTGGAAAATTGAGACACCTGGAGGGTCTGTCATGTTGCCATGGCCCTTCAATCCAGCGGTGGTGAGGGGCAAAGTCAGAGGCTGCAGGGGCTCTAGATAGGGAGATCATTGCACCTGAGGGTGATGGACAGGAATCTCCATAGGGGAAGCTCCTAGACAGAGAAGCCTGCTAGGAGCCACCAGCACCTATAGATTCTGTGTTTTCTGTATTGTGATTTTTTGTTGTGAACCACCCTGAGATCTATGTGTACAGGGCAGTATACCAGTTTTGTGGGTTGTAACATCACAGAAAGCAGTCAAATACAACATTTCCTGTTTGCCCAGAGTGGACACACAGGGGGATGTTGCTCCAGCCAGGAGGACTTCCTGTGACACCTGGCCTGGAGAGTCCTCCCTCAGCGTATGACCAGGTCAATGGGCGTGACCCTGGCAGACCCCATAAAAGGGCTGGTCATGCAGCCATCTTTCTATGGACCCTTCTCTTGATGCTGCTCTCTTGATGTTCTTTTGCTGTCTGCTGGCTCTCAGCCAGCAGCACATGGGCTCAATCCCAATATGGGATGAATCCCCACTCTCTTCTGTAACTACAAGCTAAAGCCTGCCTTCAGGATCATACTGTGAACTGAATGTAAGTACAGTGGTACCTCGGGTTAAGTACTTGATTCGTTCCGGAGGTCCGTTCTTAACCTGAAACTGTTCTTAACCTGAAGCACCGCTTTAGCTAATGGGGCCTCCCGCTGCTGCCGTGCCGCCGGAGCACAATTTCTGTTCTCATCCTGAAGCAAAGTTCTTAACCCGAGGTACTATTTCTGGGTTAGCGGAGTCTGTAACCTGAAGCGTATGTAACCTGAAGCGTATGTAACCCGAGGTTCCACTGTAAACTTCTTATTACTGGATTGGCCCAAATATAAGCCACACTCTCCCCCACCCCCCCACCCCAATTCTGACCATGAAAAGTAAAGTGTGGCTTAAATTCACAACCGTACCAAAATTGGCATTTACAATATCGCTTCTTCTACAATTGCCATTTACGGGTGTGAGTGCCTGCAGAATTTTAAGGGAGCGGCTTATATTCGGGTATTGTCTTTTTTCCCTTGAATTTTAAAGGTGCGGCTTATTTTCAGGAGCAGCTTATATACGGGCCAATACGGTACTTTTAAAAGAAGACTGTTGTGCCTTGACTCTTTTTAAGAGGGAACAAAGGGGAGTTACCAGGAACAAATCCAATCTGGACAAGCCAGACTGGATTGCTTAACTCAAGAGATTCTACCAACTAGCTTCCTGCAATATACAGGTAATGTGCTCTGCTACCAGCTCACTAGCATGAACGAGGAAGTATAATATTTACCGTATTTTTCACACATAAGACGCACCTAGTTTTTAGAGGAGGAAAACAAAGGAAAAAATATTCTGAATGAAACAGTGGATGCATGATTTTTGTGGTTCATGCTGTGGCCACAGACATGTGATCTGATGGTGAATTTGGGGTGACCCAATGCAAAAATCCTGAGGATCCATGTGGATCCGCGCTTTGTAACCACATTTTTGCACCATTGCGGCCCCACGCAGCAGTGGGTGCCTGGTTTTTTTGGTGCAGGCTGTAGCCATGGACATGTGATCTGATGGTGAATTTGGGGTGACCCAATGTAAAAATCCTGAGGATCCATGGGCTTTTACCTCCCCCCTCCTAGGGAGCCTCCGCTAGCCTCCCTTATCTCTCTTCTGATCCTACTGATCAGCTGTTTCCTTTCAACACTCCCTTCCCTCTTGTTTGCCTTAGTGTTTTTTCCTTAGCTGGAGCAGTTTTTTTGCTCCTCCTTTTCTTCTAATTTCTCTCCTTATTGCTTTAGTCTTCCTGTTTCCCCTCTTTGCAAGTTTGCTGTCTTCACCTCCCTGCTCCCAGGCAGCCTCCTTTATCTCTAGCGTCCCTTATCTCTCTCCCCGCTCTGCAAACGATCAGCGGCTTTGTTTCAACACCCCCTTCCCTCTTTCAAAAAAAAAAAAAAAAGCATGATCTGCTTTTTGCCCCTGGGCAATTTGGCTCCAGGGACCTCACATTCGTTCCATAAGACACAAAGACATTTCCCGTTACTTTTTAGGAAGAAAAAAGTGTGTCTTATGGAGTGAAAAATATGGTAATCAATATATCCTCTCCTACCATCCACAACAGGGGGCACGGGTGGCGCTGTGGGTTAAACCACAGAGCCTAGGGCTTGCCGATCAGAAGGTCGGCGGTTTGAATCCCCACGACGGGGTGAGCTCCCATTGCTTGGCCCCTGCTCCTGCCAAACTAGCTGTTCAAAAGCACGTCAAAGTGCAAGTAGATAAATAGGTACCACTATGGTGGGAAGGTAAATGGCGTTTCCGTGCACTGCTCTGGTTCGCCAGAAGCGGCTTAGTCATGCTGGCCACATGACCCGGAAGCTGTATGCCAGCTCCCTCGGGCAGTAAAGCGAGATGAGCGCCGCAACCCCAGAGTCAGCCACGACTGGACCTAATGGTCAGGGGTCCCTTTACCTTTTACCTTACCATCCACAACAAATTTCAACAACAACAACAGAGGCAGAATCTGGAGCCTCATGGGTCCAGTCTCCTGAAGCCTCTGACTGCCCATCGGGGCAGGGAGCACACCAGGAGGGAGGCTGTGGGATAAAGGGCAACTGTGCGTCTTCAGGTCAGAGACCTTTAGGGCTCTGGGAATTTGTATGCAAGAGATCAAGGAAGTGAGCCAAGAGGAAGCTCTCTGGCTCGCGCCTCAGTTTAAATGGGGCCCAGCCACGCCCCCCAGCCAGCGGATTGGCTGGCAGACGAATGACACAGCTGGGAACCTCCGGGGGACGCGGGACTTCGTCCCCGCCCCCGGAGGGGAGTGGGTGGCCATGTGGTCCACCGCAACTCCTCCCCACTGGGAAGTGGAGTAGATTTCCCACGGCGGTTTCTGTGTTTTGAGATCTTCCCAATAGGCATCTTGTGACATTTCCTTCCAGATTTTCTCCCTCTCTCAGCAATCTCATCCCATCTTTGGCTTCCTGAGTTGAAAGTATTTGATCCTGCAAGCTTAACTTGGTCAGTTTGGGTTGTGCCTTGAGCCTTCAATTAAATTATGGCGTGAGCAGACCAACGCCTGCTTCTACAATGGGACTTTCATACCACACATGCCCCAAACCATCCCTGAATCTCTTCCAGACAGTTGGGAGAACAGATTTTGGGGCAAGCAGAGGGGAGATAATGTCCTGTTGCCCATGGAAAAATCATTGTGCTGGTGAAATGTTCATCTTAGGCTCTGCATCGAATTCCTCCCTTTTGTTTTTATTTACAAACCTACACGTTGAGCAGATTATTGTGGGAGTACAAGCAGGCAAGCAGCCACCACAAAATCCCAGTTCATCCCTCACAAAATAGAAGCCATTTGTCAAAAGCTGCTTTCACAAATTGGCTCCAGACATAGAGTCTACCCCACTCCCAGGTTACGGGTGCATGTCAGACAGTTGGAGCAAAGAATTTTCCGGCTTTTGCTAATAATTGCTCATTGATCCACATCAGCTATTTTCCATCCACCACCAGTCTGCCCCCAAACTTCAGAGATCTGTCTTTGAACCCATGAACGCATGTTGAAAAATGTCTTCTTTTGAGTTTCAGCATAGACTGAGTTCACATGTTTAAAACACTCTTTATAGCACTTTAACAGCCAGAGCTCTCCCCACCAAAGAATCCTAGGAACTGTAGTTTGCTAAGGATTCTGGGAACTGTAGTTCTGTGAGGGGTAAGCTACAGTTCCCAGCATTCTTTGGGGGAAGCCATTGCAGCGGAAGTGGCGTAAATGTGCCCTCAGCTGTATCAACATTTTGGAGGTCCCAGGTCGCAAGGTGGTTAGATTGGTCTCAACTAGGGCCAGGGCCTTTTCAGTACTGGCCCCGACTTGGTGGAATGCTCTGTCACAAGACACTAGGGCCCTGCAGGACTTGACATCTTTTCGCAGGGCCTGCAAGACAGAGCTGTTCCGCCTGGCCTTTGGTTTGGACTCAGTCTGACCCTTATGTTTCCCTCCCCTTATGGTTTTGCTCTATGGGCTACTTTTAAAATGAGGCTGCATTTTAAATTGCATTTTAACCTGTATTTTAAATTGGTTTTTCCCCCCTATTATGTTTTTACTGTAATTTTACTGGTGTTAGCCGCCCTGAGCCCGGCTCTGGTCAGGGAGGGTTGGTTATAAATAAAATTTATTATGATTTATTACAGTGGTACCTCGGGTTAAGTACTTAATTCGTTCCGGAGGTCCGTTCTTAACCTGAAACGGTTCTTAACCTGAAGAACCACTTTAGCTAATGGATCCTCCTCCTACCGCCGCGCCACCGGAGCACGATTTCTGTTCTCATCCTGAAGCAAAGTTCTTAACTCGAGGTACTATTTCTGGGTTAGCGGAGTCTGTAACCTGAAGCGTATGTAAACCGAGGTAAAGGTAAAGGGACCCCTGACCATTAGGTCCAGTCGTGACCGACTCTGGGGTTGTGGCGCTCATCTCGCTTTATTGGCCGAGGGAGCTGGCGTACGGCTTCCGGGTCATGTGGCCAGCATAACTAAGCCGCTTCTGGCGAACCAGAGCAGCGCACGGAAACACCGTTTACCTTCCCGCAGGTGTGGTACCTATTTATCTACTTGCACTTTGACGTACTTTCGAACTGCTAGGTTGGCAAGAGCAAGGACCCAGCAACGGGAGCTCACCCCGTTGCGGGGATTCGAACCGCCGACCTTCTGATCGGCAAGCCCTAGGCTCTGTGCTTTAACCCACAGCGCCGCCCGAGGTACCACTGTATTATTATCATGTATGTGTGACTGCCCTGCATCACTGCTGCACCCTTTCCTCTTAGCAGATGTCATGAGCCAATGTTTTTGTCCTCCCCAGGACCTGGTTGCCTGGATTACCACGGGCTTCTTGCACATACCACACGCGGAGGACGTCCCCAACACAGTGACGCTTGGGAATGCAGTTGGCTTCCTCCTGAGGCCCTACAACTATTTTGATGACGATCCCTCCATCTACTCCCCGGATGGTGTTTTCTTCACCAGCGAACAGGACCCGACTTCCTGTGACGTCAACCACCTTGCATGCCTGCCGAAAACAGCGGCATGCTTACCCAACCTCCCGCCTTTCACTTACGAGGGCTTCCAAAACCTGACAAGGCTCTGAGAAGCTCTTGACTTTGGGTGGGAGGTTGGCAGAGGGATCCGTGTGGACAGCTCAGCGTGAAATATTATGTAACTAGAGCAGTTCCTCCTAAGCAATTATCTCCCTGTCTATTATCTTTCAACCCAAATCTTAATCCTTGCTTGCGTGTATTGGACAAGTTTGGACAAATTATATTTGCACTCCCAGACACATTGCTCAACTGAAATTTACTTTTTTCACCAGTCACCTAAACGCTCGTGTATCTTTTTCCTTCCGGAGATCTCAATAAGCGTAATTACCTCCTGGACTGGCTGACTTTTAACAGCAATTCTCCCTCCAAAAGGAACTCCGTAGGCTGCAATTCCAGAAACTGGATTGGCGATTTTTAACAAAGAAGTCTTGGCACCTTCACCAAACTGAAATTCCTGTAGTTACACTGAGGTAAATCAGGGGTGGTTTTGCAGTGAAGATCTGCTTATTTGCTTTCTTACTAGCAATCTGGGACTGCCCATGAATCGAAAGGTAGTCAAAGACCCAGTATTCCGGGAGAAATTGGCCTGTCTCCTTTAACCATGATATGAGCCTGACTTCATGTCATGACTTTACAGATTGCTTTACAGTATTCTTGCACAGTTGCTATTCTCTCCCATCCAGCCCAGAGGATTTAGGTGAGACACCCATCTTTAAGGTAAAATAAAAGAATTCAGAGCACAAGTCTTCTGTAATTTCAGTAATATTTTCCTTTGTTAAAAAAAAATGAAATTGAGAGAGGGGGTGTGTGGAAGCGGGGTTTTTTTTTTTTAAAAAAATATTGTTTCAGTGGGTTGGGTAATCAGCACTATCGACAGCCAGCTTTTGCTATAACTTGCAAAAACTTCTCTCTTTTTAGCTCAACCCTAGAGGGAGAGAAAACCATGTCTTTACCTGCAAGAGATGAGAGCACTTCGAAACTGGTACCACTGCCCTACAAATCACCAGGACACAAGTGGGGGAGGGGGAGGGAGAAGGCATAACCTCAAAATAATGTTGCCATGCGCAGGAAACTTTAATGCAAGGTGTAAAATATCCAGTGTTTTTCAGCCAGAGTCATGCTGCTGCTGCTGCTGCGATGCTCCAAAAAAATGCCTCATTTTCCCCTGAAGGTGTAACCTGAAACACAACAAGCATTTTAAACCTTGCGTTAAAGTTTCCTATTCACCGTTTTGAGGTTCTGCCTCCTTTTTTGATCACTTGCAGTCAGTCTATTTTTCTAGAAAAAGAGGTAGCAGAACTCACCATGAATGGCTCTCCCTCTTTCTCTTAGAATGACAATGGCACCCACCATAGAGTCCCAGCTGAAAAAAAAGCCCTGCTTGCAGTTGCAAATTCCTTAAGTGGAACCATAGCTGTGCCCTCACGGTAAAATGGCTTCCTGAGGGTGAGGGGTGTTTCTCTGTTCATGTTTTTGCTTCATTTGATGAAGCCCAGCCACTGGTATGTTTTGACACCTCAGCAGGGTAAGATGAAGGTTCTTGGCAGACACTGTGAACTAAAAAAAACTAAACTGTACATCTCTCTGAGCAAATTAACAAATAAACAAACAACGAGCCGCACTCTTAAGCCTCCTTTGTCCAAAGTACTGTGTTGGGGGCAGGGGGTGAACATGGCTCCAAGTCTTGGGGAGCTCAAGGTTGCTATTTATTTAATCGTTTGTTCGTTCATTCAGAAGATGCATACTGCTTAACATTTTTGGCAATAAAATGAAATCCCCAAGTGGTTTGCAGAAGTTATAAAAGCAAAACACAGATAGGTCAGAATACAATAAATACATTTCAAGTCCAGATTTTAAAACAAGCCCACAACTGAATTTCAGTAGCTAAAGTTTAGCTGGTCCTCAAGAGGGTCTGTAGGGGTGAATAGGCCTAAGAAAGTCTTGTTCCTTCAGGTTTGGCTTTTCCAAATTTCAGAATCGTGTGCCTTATTTTTGGTGCTGTTTGCTTTCTGCAAGTCACCAGAGATGTATCATGTTTTAGGCAGGCAAGTTTCCAAGGCTGTGTGAATTAGACCTAAGGTGCCAGCTGGAAAAGTAGACTGGGTGTGTTACAGATTCCAGGTTTGCAATGTCCCAAATTACCAGCACACATTTAGAACAGTTCCTAAGAAGCCGTTTCATTTCCCACTGAGTAACAGGAAAGTGCTTTCAGGTACATTATATTACCCTGTTTCCTTCATTGCAGCCCCATTTTGAAGTGTGTTGCTCTTGCTCAGAAACCCAGTGGTTTTTTTTTAAATCAAGGAACTGAGAGTTAATGTATTTTTTGCACCATAACACTCACTTTTTTCCTCCTAGAAAGTAAGGGGAAATGTCTGTGCGTGTTATGGAGCGAATGCCTGCGGGTGGCGGGGGGGATCTGCTGCAGTCGTGAGCAGAGGATCCATGGTTCCCCTTCCTTCCCTCCTCCGTGGTTACAAAGCATGGATCCACATGGATCCTCAGGATTTTTGCATTGGGCTACTCCAAACTCACTGTCAGATCACATGTCTGTGGCCACAGCATGAACCACAAAAATCATATATCCACTATTTCGTTTAGAATATTGTTTTTCTTGTTTTCCTCCTCTAAAAACTACGTGCGTGTTATGGTCTGGTGCGTGTTATAGAGCGAAAAATACGGTACATAGACAACCCACCACGATGGCACAGCTGGCTCAACAGTAAACTGAACCCATATTCTTATGGGGTGAGGGCCAAGCTAAATCTGTGCTTCTGGGGCTGGACCAGGGCGGGGGGGTGGGGGTGGGCAATGTGAACATGGTGGAAATGAGCTTTTGAGCAGTCTGAGAAAAGGGCAGAAAAGGGTTTCTGCCGTGAGCAGGCATCATTACTTTCTCGGCTTGGGAGGGATCAGGTTACAGCATTTGGACAGAACCTCCTCCAACCTCCTCCTCTCCGAGGGTCTCTGCTAAATCTGGGTGTTCTGCCTCTCTGGGGTCTTGCCTAGCGCTTGGCGTTCTCTCCAAAGACCTCTTAGTCCATCATCCTGGGCCAAGAGCAGCTTGGGTTTATGGTGGATACATAGCTGGGCAGAGAGAGCGCAAGCCTGCCTTTTATAGTCGCTGATGAGCCTCCATGCATTCCTAACTCTGAACCCTCCTCTAATTCTGAACAGAGCAGCAGCTTTCCTCCCTCCCTCCCTCCTTCCCTCCCAAACCGTTTCCTGCAAGGAAATAGCAGCTGGGGTTGCTTGAGTGTGTCGCGACCACTGCTGCCTTTCGCAGACACCGGCATGAACATGAAAGCCGTGGTTGTTCTCCTGGTATTGGCTCTGGCTACCATTTTTGCTTTAGTTTGTGTCTTGATGACCAGAAAGGAAAAAGTCGTTAGGTGTGGCGTCTCAGGGCTCCAGAATTCTCCCGAAGGCACCAACAGAGATCCGAGCGAGATCTTTGCTGACCTGTCAGCCGCTGAGATGGCCCAAGTGGTGAAATACCTCAAGGAGAATCTTGGCGTCCGCCTGGAAGATGCATCTCAGGCAAAGCCCTCCGATAACTGCATTTACTACTTGGATACGTACTTCCCCTCTAAAGAAGTGGCTCTGGGCTTCCTGGACCATGGAAGGGCTCAGCCCCACCGGGAGGCCTTGGCTGTGGTGTACTTTGGGAACCAGCCAGATCCAAATGTCACCGAATTCGTGGTAGGCCCTCTTCCGAACCCAACGGGCCACCGTGACATCACGCTGAAGAAATTTGGCAGGAAGGTGCCGTATCACAGCAGGCCGGTGACGGTGAAGGAGTACAAAGATATTGACATCTTCATTTTCCAGGAGCTCGAGGTGGCCAACAACTTCCTCAGAGAATGTTGTGAGTATAATAGGAATAACCTGGCTACTCTGACCACAGCTCCCCGAGGGTTTGAATCTGGCGACCGAGCCACCTGGTTTGTCCTGTTCCACAATGTCAATGGCAGCGGGTACTACATCCACCCCATTGGCTTGGAGGTTTTGGTGGACCACCAGAGCCTGAACATCTCTGAGTGGAAGGTGAAGAAAGTGTTCTACAACGGCCAGTATTATGAGAATATGGCCCACCTGGAGAAGGAGTTTAGAGATGGGCGTGTGAAGGAGGTCAGAGTGAAGGCAGCCCACCTGAAGAACGATTTTACTTCCAGGAAGCCTTCAGAATCTTCTCCTCATCCAGGCCCTTTGCAATTTGAGCCCCTCGGGATGCGCTACACCGTAGCCGGCAGCCATGTTGTCTACCGGTCTTGGAGTTTTGCCTTTGGGATGAACGTGAACACAGGGCCACGCCTCTTCAACATCAGATTTGGCGAGGAAAGGATTGTCTACGAGTTGAGTCTGCAAGAAGCTCTTGCTACTTATGGCTCCAACTGCCCCGGGGGAATGGTGACTAGGTACATGGACGGGGCCCTTGGCATTGGGAAATTTTCTTACGAATTGGTTCGGGGAGTGGACTGCCCCTATACGGCCACCTACGTGGACCGCCACTACTTGATAGACTCTGACACCCCAAGACTGAACAAGAACTCTTTCTGCATCTTTGAGCATGACATGGGCGTGCCTCTCCGGCGACATTTTTCTGACATGGGCTCCTTCTATTACGGCGGGTTGAACAACTACGCTTTGGTCTTGAGAGCCGTCTCCACTCTCATCAACTACGACTATGTCTGGGATTTTGTGTTCTACCAAAATGGTGCTATAGAAGTCAAGGTCCATGCCACGGGATACATCAGCACATCGTTCCTCACGGAAGGTGGCACTGCGTTTGGAAACAGGGTCGGGGAGCACACACTTGGAACCATGCACAACCATCTCATGAACTACAAAGTCGACTTGGATGTTGGAGGTAGGTGCCCCAGACTTCCCAAAACGTTACGTTCTGCCACCCTAACTGTGGAAACCGTAGCTGAATTCTGAGAGGGGTTGCAGTTGGGGGTCCCCTGCCACCGGGCGTCCCACAACGAATCTAGCTTCCCTCCAGGAATCTCACATTCTGCATTTCAAGTAATGTAAGGATTTGTGTGACTGTTTAAAAATTCCTTTTCCTATTCAGTCTATTTATAGGGTTTGACGTACCAGAGCTAGACTAGTGGGTTATAAAAGGGACACTGTGTGAACCTTCCCTTATTTAGCACTCAGAAAACTAAACATTTTATTTTTTTGCTAGAACTTGGAAAATGGCATGTTGTTTTTTCTAACAATTTCCTAACAATTAGGCATGTTTGCTTTTTTTTGCCACAACAGATGGGTAAGAGTCTTGTGAGACATTTGTGATGTATTTGTATTTTGTTTATTCTGGCTTAAATTATGAGTCAGGGAGGCTCCTTTAGGACCCTTGGTGATGTCACTAGAAGTATGATGAGGTCTGATTGGGGCAGGGATTGGAAGAAGGAGAGTGGGTGGGATCAGGGGCGTAGGAAGGGGGGCAGTGGGGCGGACCGCCCTGGGTGCCCTCACTGAGGGGGTGACATTCGGTGCACCGTCTGCCTGCGACTCCCAAGCTTACCCCAAGCCGTCGGGGTAAGAGGGGAGCTGTGCCGCTTTGCCAGCAACATTCCCCCCTTCCCCTTTTGTTTTGACAGCTTGGGGTAGGCTTGGGAGTCGTGGGTGGGCGGCACGCCGAATGTCCACCCTGGCTGCAGGGTGCGTGCGCCGCTCTGGGCACCCGAGCAGCTATCCCGCGCCCGGGAGGGCATCCTCCGCACCACGCTCCCCCCTTGGGAGCACACCCGCCCTGGGCAGTGTGGGCATATGCTCCACCGCTGGGTGGGACCAAGGGGAAGACTGGCAAAGGTTAAAATCTCAGCCAGAGAATAACTTTTGGGGCTGCAATGCCCACCTTGTACAGTAAGCAGTGCAAATCTCCAAGCTTTGCAATGCTAAGCCAAGGATTGTGAAACTTGGATCTATCACAAGGTGAGGGAGAGAGAATAAAGGATCAGCACCCTTGGGAAGGTCAGCCACAATTTCTGGCATAATGCTGTTCCCAAACTTGAATGTGCTGTTTAGGGTCCCCTTATTGGATACTTGGGAACTGTGATGTCTGACATAAGGAGATAATTCTGTTATTAACAGAAGTGTGCAATCTGGGACGCGGGTGGCCCTGTGGGTTAAACCACAGAGCCTAGGACTTGCTGATCAGAAGGCCAGCGATTTGAATCCCTCTGACAGGGTGAGCTCCCATTGCTTGGTCCCTGCTCCTGCCAACCTAGCAGTTCGAAAGCACGTCAAAGTGCAAGTAGATAAATAGGTACTGCTCCAGCAGGAAGGTAAACGGCGTTTCCATGCGCTGCTCTGGTTCGCCAGAAGCGGCTTAGTCATGCTGGCCACATGACCCGAAAGCTGTACGCCGGCTCCCTCAGCCAATAAAGCGAGATGAGAGCCGCAACCCCAGAGTTGTCCGCGACTGGACCTAATGGTCAGGGGTCCCTTTACCTTTTACAATCTGAAACAACAAATAGTCTATAAAATGCAATCCATCATCTCGAGGCAGATTAAGAGAATTGAAGGCATCTGTTTCTGGAACACTGGTAACATTCGGCTGACACACTGTTCCTTGTCTGGTTTTGTTCCCCTTTCCACCACTGCTCTCCCTGATTGCCTCAGTGTGCCATAAGCAGAGATCAGGAGCCAGAAAAATGCAGTCCAGAATGGTGCAGGTAGGGCAGAAGCTCAACACGGCTTGAGCGAGGGAGCACATGTTGCAAGGAAAGTAACGGGACTCAGAGAAATGAAATAACGGAACATCTGAAAGTACTAGCAAAGAGCAGAAGCGAACCAGAATCTTGGGCCAAGGGGAAGTAGCAGCTTGTAAATTATATGAGCTGGAGATGCTTCTGTTTCATAAAACAGCGTTTAGGGATTTACAGATGCATTGCAGAGAAAGAGATGTCGATGAAGCAGAGTTCTTTAAATGGTTATGTTGGAATAGGGAAACTTTTCAGCCTGAGGCTCACATTTCCTCAGGGGCAAACTTCCAGAAGTTGCCACGTTAGGAGTGGGCGGTGCGATAAGCAAAAGTGGGTGGGACCAGGAATGCGTACGGTAAGACTGAAGTCCAGCCACAAAGGAGTCAAAGGTTTCCACATCCCACTCGCCCCCATCTCCTCCTCTCTTCTCCATCAGGATAAGCAAGAGGCACATTCCTGCCACAGAAAAGGGCTTGGGGGATAGTGTGAGAGCAGATCCAGTGAGAGGAGTGGCCTAGAGAAAGGGGGTGTGGCCTTGATGGTGGGTGTGGCCTGGGAAGAATATCGAGGGTCGAATAGAGAAGCCCTGCCCCTCTGGGTTGTATGATCGGGATTAACTTCCGCAGCAGCAGGAAACTATTGACAAGGTTGGGAATGGCTTACCACTTGCTTGTAATCTCACCCCATTCCTCTTTGCACGTGGAAATGGGGAGATGCCGTTGTCTGGAGTCTTCGTTTGCTCAAACTCTGGTCCAATAAGGAATGTGGGGACAGCAGAAGATCACGGGCTTTGTGTACACAGAGCTCCGTTTTGGGCTCCTCAGGTTGGGAAAGACTTTTGTTGGAGTTCCCCAGAGAGCTGCATGCCAGACACCAATCCTGAACAAGACAGTGTGGGATGTAATCCACTGGGAGCAGTCAAATACAACATTCCTTGTTTTGCTAGAGTGGACATGCAAGGGAATGTTTGGTCCAGCCAGTCGAAACTTCCTGTTCCTCCTGGCCTGGAGCATCCTTCCTTGCATGTGACTAAAATGTGGGCGTGGCCTTACCTGACCTAACAAAAGGTCCAGTCACGTAGCTACCTCTCTCTTTTTGACCTTCCTGCATCACCTGGACTCGACTGCTGCCTGCCATGTCATCTCCCATAGGGGGTAAACCTGTCTGTACGTGCTTGTAACTTTAAGCCTAAAGCCTGCCTTCAGGGATCACACTGTGCTCTGCCTGATCGTAAGTAAAACTACTTTTTGTTCCTTATGAATAAACCTGTGGTGTCTTTATCCTTTTAGGAGGGATGCAAAGGAGACCTTACCAGGAACACACAATTCAGTCTGAGCTAGATTGAATTGTATAAGAGTAAAAGGCTCAGACAAGTCAGGAACTTGTTTTCCTGCTGTGTAAGAAGGGGAATGCACTATGCTACGAGAAGAAACTTGCTGGCACAAGTTAGGAAGGATATTATTAAATGATACATCCTCTCCTGCCACCCTCAACATTCCCACAGATGGACCAGGCAGAGTCCTCTGTTACTCCACCTTTAGATAAAAGGCAAGGAGCCAGTCTTGTAATGCCACCTGAAAAGGCAGTGATGCCATGGCAATATAGTCGCTGTAGTGTGTTTCTGTATATAAAGGGCAGAGTGATACAGTACATTGCTCACTTTCTCCTGGAAGAGAGGGAAAGCTATGGTGAACCACTGAAAAATGCTCAGATCTGGAAAATATGGTCTCTTGTTTTCAAGCCTCCTGTTGGTTCATTGTGCAATTTAGGCTAATAACTCCGGGCTTATCCACACTCACCCTTTGACCTGCTCTTTCCTGTTCTGATTAAGCTTTAAAGAGTGGGTTTTCATGGGGAAAGCTCTGGAGCAAAAAACAGGGAGGGGGCGTTCAGATATGGTACTGTAAAGCTCTGACCGTGCCTTGAAAGTGTGGAAGAAAATGTGGATAAGTCCCCCGTCTCCTCTTTTTCTGTCCCTCTGTCTCTCTCAAACCCTTAGTTCTCCATCTGTGCACAAGGAATAAGACCTACTCTGCTGATAAAATATGCACTGATTCATCATTTCATGCGGTGGCTGTAAGGAAACCAAATTAGGAAGTCCACAAAGAAATGCAAGCAAACGAAAAGAACAGTTCCCACAATGGAAATTAGGCAGGAGGGAGTTTCATAGCTGCTGATCAGCCGCGGGAAGCTCCCTTCCCGTTAGAATTTGCCAAGGTGCCAAGCTGTTCTTGGCTGGTCTTAAAAGTTTGCAATGAAACATAAGACAGATTGCCTCTGAGACGACCCTGTTAGTAAGTAGACCACCATTATCCCCATCTGACGGGTGAATAACTGGTGCTGAGAGAGATGGGGATTTGTGTAATCCTACATGATGGGAGATAATTTGAGCCCACGCCTCCGAAATACAAGGTGGAAGTTTCCTCCACAGGCCCAAGTTGGTGTTCAGAGGTGCCGTGTTGCGCCCAAGATTGTGAGGGGCTGGCATGCATTTCACGCGTGTGAGATTGCATCGTCAGGAGGAGGCCAAGTGCCCAGCCCAGCAAGGCTACCTCTTTCTCACGCTCAGGAGGAGCCAGCCATTGAACTGCACCACATTCGCCCTTCTCCACCCCTTCAGCATTGAGGGGGCCCAGTCCCCTGCCAGCTAATATTGAGGGGGCCAAAGACTCCTCCGCCCCTAGGAGTTGGTGCGCCTGTTATCCCAGTGGCTGCAAGAATCACAAAATTGTAGCGTCGGAAGGGATGGTGAGAGTAATCTAGTCCAAACCCCTGCAATGCAGCAATCTTTTGCCCAAAGTGGTGCTTGAAGTTATGGCGCTGAGGTTAACTCTCTCTCTCTCTCTTTCTCTCTGCTTTTCAAGTTTAAACATTTCACTAATTTTACAATCATTTTAACATTTCAAAACTTGACTTCCTTCCCCCTCTTTCTGCAGTTTCTTAAATTTATCTTTGATATCTTCTGCCTATCCAAATTAACTTAATTTCCTCATTTGTTCATCTTCTTTCAAGATATACTCTTATGAAACTGCAGGTTATTACAATAATCCTGCCAATGTTCTTATCTGTTTACAATTTGTCTGTAAATAATCAATAAACCATTTCCATTCTTTTATAAAAAGTTCGTTATCTTGATTTCTTATTTCGCCATCTCTTCATATTCCATAAGTTTTTGTATCCGTTCTTCCTTTGCTGGGATTTCTTCTTCTTCTTTCCATTTTGGGGCGCGTAACATTCTTGCCGCTGCAGTTGCATACACGAATAAGTTTCTGTACGGTTCGGGTGGTTCTGTCCCTATAATTCCCAGGCGAGATGAACAGTCTCGTGCTCTACCAACAATCTTGCTTTGTTGAGGGATTGTCTCTAGGGACCGAAATGGGAAATCCTTCTCTCTTATTCTCTGCTTTCGTCAGGGATCAAGAACTCCCTGGTGGCTCTTGATATGGCGTTTGAGTCCGTGGCGGCCCCCTGGAGCCCAGAGCACCAGATCCAACGGCCCGTTCTCACAACCCGGACCCTGGACAAGGAAGAAGACGCTGCCTTTCCACTGAACGGCAAAGTCCCCCGGTACCTGCACTTTGCCACCAGCCGGGAGAACCAGTGGAACCATCAGCGAAGCTACCGCATCCAGATCACCAGCTTCGCTGGAGAACACTTACCTGAAGCTAGCACCATGGAGAGGTCCATTAGCTGGGGCAGGTAGGCAACAAGAACCATGATCTTTCTCTTTTTTTCTTAATATTATTTATACTTTTCAGGTACAGTGGTACCTCCGGTTGTTCCGGAGACCCGGCTGGATCCCAAGGTTTTCCCAACCGGAGAGACCGCTTCTGCACGCGTGCGGGGCGGTAGAGCGCTTCTGCGCATGCGCAGAAGTGGTCTACCGCTTCAATGCATGCGCGCACAGCAAAACACCAGAAATATAATTCCAGGTTTGCCGCTTACGTATCCCGAAGTTTATGTAACTGGAGGGATATGTAAGCGGAGGTACGACTGTTTATACATTTCACTGATTTTACAATCATTTTGACATTTTTAAACTTGACTTCCTTCCCCCCTCTTTCTGCAATTCCTTAAATTTATTTTTAATATCTTCTGCTTATCCAACTTAACTTAACTTACTCATTTATTTATCTTATATGTATATGTATATACTCTTATGTATCTGCAGGTTATTACATTAACCCTGCCAATGTTTTTATCTGTTTACAATTTATCTATAAATATTCAGTAAACCGTTTCCATTCTTTTATAAAAAGTTTGTTATCTTGATTTCTTATTCTTCTGGTAAGTTACGCCATTTCTGCACATTCCATAAGTTTTTGTATCCGTTCTTCCTTTGCTGGGACTTCTTCTTTCCATTTTTGGGCAGGTAACATTCTTGCTGCTGTAGTTGCATACATGAATAAGTTTCTATACAATTTAGGTAGTCCTATCCCTATAGTTCCCAAGAGAAAGGCTTCTGGGTTTTTTTTACAAACGTTACTTTAAACATCCTTTTCATTTCATTGTATATCATTTCTCAGTTAGCTTTAACCTTAACAAGACCACCGCATATGATAAAAAGAACCTTCTTCCTCTTTACTTTTCCAACACTTATTTGATTTAGTTTTATACATTTTTGCCAGTTTACTCAGTGTTAGATAGCATTGATAAATCATTTTAATATAATTTTCTCTTAAACTGTAAAATGCTGGAAATTTTATATCCCTATTCCACAATGGTTCCCATGCTTCCATGTCTATATTATGACCAATATCTATTGCCCCAAACAGCAATCCATGTCCTGTTTGTGTTTCAGATAAATGCCACCCTGTTTCATTTTTTAAAATACTGATTTTTCTTAAATTTTCAAAGCTTTAAACAAATTTATCATTCACTGATATTTTTCTTGTTGACTTCCCACCCTTCCTGCACTGATTTTTTTTTCTTATCCTTGGTTGCTGCATAATAAAGGTAAAGGTAAAGGGACCCCTGTCTGGTAAAGGTCCAGTCATGACCGACTCTGGGGTTGCGGCGCTCATCTCGCTTTATTGGCCGAGGGAGCCGGCGTACAGCTTCCGGGTCATGTGGCCAGCATGACTAAGCCACTTCTGGCGAACCAGAGCAGCGCATGGAAACGCTGTTTACCTTCCCGCTGGAGCGGTACCTATTTATCTACTTGCACTTTGACATGCTTTTGAACTGATAGGTTGGCAGGAGCAGGGACCGAGCAACAGGAGCTCACCCCGTTGCGGGGATTCGAACTGCCGACCTTCTGATCGGCAAGCCCTAGGCTCTGTGGTTTAACCCACAGCGCCACCCTGCATAATACTTGTTTCTAAATCCCCCCAACTCCAGCTTATCATTCATTTTTTCTCCCCCTCGCTCATAACTCAGAATCCTGCTCGCGATTTCATATCGCTAAAATACTTTGACAGATAGCCCCCCCCCCCCAAAAAGGCCTCTACTTTTCCATAAGCAGTTCATCATTTTGATCTCTTGGTTTTACGGTCGATGTTGCCATTTCAGCATAGTCCGTTGATTTTTATAAGCCATTCTTCTTTGGTTGGAATCTCTTCCTCTTCCATTTCTGTACATATAAAAGCTCCAGCTGTCGTCGTTGCATGCATAAAAAGATAAGTCAGCTTCTTTGGAACTTCCGTCCCAATTATCCCTAGCAAAAAAGGCTTAGGGGTTTTTTTGGGGGGGGGATCACCAATTTAAACATCTTTTTTAATTCATTATCCACCCTGTTTCATTTTGAGGGTCGTTCCTGGGTCAATTCAGTGCTGCTAAAGGGGACGTGGGTGGCGCTGTGGGTAAAACCTCAGCGCCTAGGACTTGCCGATCGCATGGTGGGCAGTTCGAATCCCCGCGGCGGGGTGCGCTCCCGTTGTTCGGTCCCAGCGCCTGCCAACCTAGCAGTTCGAAAGCACCCCCGGGTGCAAGTAGATAAATAGGGACCGCTTACCAGCAGGAAGGTAAACAGCATTCTGTGTGCTGCGCTGGCTCGCCAGATGCAGCTTTGTCACGCTGGCCACGTGACCCGGAAGTGTCTGCGGACAGCGCTGGCTCCCAGCCTATAGAGTGAGATGAGCGGACAACCCTAGAGTCTGGCAAGACTGGCCCGTACGGGCAGGGGTACCTTTACCTTTAATGCAGCAAAAACCGTTTGGGAGGCAGCAGTTATGAGTCACCGGTCTCTGCAGCCACGGCAGGCGCTGTGATTCCCCAGCAGTTTGAGTTCAACCCTGGAAGTGCACCCCTGGAGGGCTGTAGCTCAGTGATAGATAGATATACTTTATTCGCATTAGCCAACGGCCATAGCAACATATAACAAGCAATATATACAATTTAAAAGACAACAATGGGTGAAAAGGACAGTCAAATGACCAAGATTATTGTTCAGATAGTGGCCCTTAATCTCATTGCACCCTTGATAAACCTAGCAACCTTTGCTGTTGTCTGATCATCTTGATCTGATAAAAGAAAGAACAATGTGGGGTGGTAAGTAAGAGTGGGGTGATGATCTCATTCCTCAGATCTTTATAAAGGGGGCTGCTTCTATCTGCGGTTTTTAGAGATGCCCTGGAGGGGCTCTGGTGGGGTACGGCCATGGATGTCTGTAGCTCAGTGGTGGAGCATCTGCTTTGGGTACAGAATGCTCCCCTCGGGCTGGGAATGTCCACTGTCTGAAACCTTTGAGCGCTGAGTGCAGACAATACTGATCTAGACAGGCCAGTGGTGTGACTCACTATACGGCAGTTGGGATGGGTGGTAGCCATCTTGCCACGGACTATCATATTCTAAGTAGAAGACGGCACTGCTAGGAATAAAGACAAAGAACTTGCCTTTTGCCTCTGCTTTCATCCTCTCAACCATTTCCCCCGTTATCCGTATCCTTCAGGTACAAGCTGGCTGTTACCAAGCGGAAAGAGGAGGAACTGATCAGCACGTGCATTTATAATCAGAATGATCCTTGGGATCCACTGGTGGTCTTTGCTGATTTCATAGACAACGAGACCATCGTCAACGAGGTGAGTGCTGCGATCCTAGAATTGCACAAGGGACCGTGAGAATGATTTGGACCAGTGTTTCCTCAAACTTGGGCCCCCAACTGTTGTTGTACTACAACTCCCATCATCCCTAACTTGCAAGAGCGGTAGTCAGGGATGATGGGAATTGTAGTCCAACAACAGCTGGGGACCCAAGTTTGAGGAAACACTGATCTGGCCCAACTCCCTGCAGTGGAGGAATCTTTCACCCAACATGACCCTAAGATCAAGAGTCTCGTGGTCTACCGACTAAGCTATCCTGAATTATTGCTTCCTGAGGAAGAGGGACAGAGGTCCGTTAGAGATGGAGAAAGCCTTAAAGGAGGAAGGGTAAAGGAGATGTACCAGTAATAATGATAATGGTCTAAATGTTGTGAGTCTGGCATACTCAAAGAACATATGGCCTTAGATCTAGGTGATGCTCTGCCTAGGATACTATTACCGTATTTTTCGCTCTATAAGACGTACCAGACCACAAGACGCACCTAGTTTTTGGAGGAGGAAAACAAGAAAAAATATATTCTGAATCTCAGAAGCCAGAACAGCAAGAGGGATCACTGTGCAGCGAAAGCAGCAATCCCTCTTGCTGTTCTGGCTTCAGCGATAGCTGTGCAGCCTGCATTCACTCCATAAGACGCACACACATTTCTCCTTACTTTTTAGGAGGGAAAAAGTGAGTCATAGAGCAAAAAATACGGTATGTTGCAGGGTTATTTACAAGGAGCTAAGCCTCTTTGGTGGGGACTTCATTCCTGTGGAACTTCTTGCCTAAGGGGGCTTTCAGACAGTACAGGAGAGGCATGAAGAGGGCAGAGCAAAAGCAGCCACACCGGCATAGTCTCAGATTGGTTGGGGAAAACTCTGGTGAGGAGGAGACTTAGGCAGCTATGGGAAGGCGGGGACCTTCAGACTCTGCAAGACCTTGTTGCTGCGCTCATTAGGCCTGGCACTTGTGAGCCGATTCTGTTTCCTCTAAGAGTTAAGTTCACTTACCTGGTGTGATTTATTGCTGGCTTGCTCCTGACCCCTGAGTTCAGTTATGCTTCTGATAGATAAATGGCCCACAATTTGGCCACAGACCATCTAGGATGGTTGAGCATCATCTACATCAGGGATGGCGAACCCAGATATTGCATAACTCCAGCTCCTATCATTCCCAACCTCTGGCCATACTACCTGGGGCTGATAGGAACCCGGCAACCTCTGCAGGGCCACCGAGTCTCCATCTCTGATCTACATGCAGCCTGTTCTCGACTGGCCCACCCAACTACAGGGGATACAAATCCTGTTTCAACACACTGAGAACTGGGAAAATTGAAATTGAAAAAAATTGAAATACTTTATTGTCACTTGTACAACTTCTATACAGTGAGATTACACGAGCACCCCCCACTCAGCTCTCTTAGTCTTAATTCCCCTCGTTTACTGACGCACACCCACCAAACTCAAAAGTCAGTTGCCCTGTTGTTGTCTTTTCATTCAGCAGCCTAACAGCCCACGGATAGAAGCTGTTCTTTACCCTGTTGGTGCGACGAATCCTGCTTCTATATCTTCTGCCTGAGGGCAGGAGATCAAGAAAGTGTCAGCCAGGATGTGAATCATCCCTGAGAATTTTCCTCACTCTCCTGAGGCAACGTTCTTCCGCTATTTCATCCAGCAGATTCACGAGACAGCCCATAATATCTTGTGCTGTATTCACCACCCTCTGTAGGCACTTCCTATCAGTTGACGTCAAACCAGTGTACCACACCGTGATGCAGTATGAAAGGACACTTTCTATTGTTGACCGGTAGAAGGAGATCATCAAATGTTGATTGATTCTTTCGCAATATTCTGAGGAGATGGAGTCTCTGTTGGGCTTTCTTAACCACCTGGGTTGTATTTATTTTCCAAGTAAGGTCTTCACTGAGATAAACTCCTAGGAATTTAAAGGAAGAGCCAGTGTGGTGTAGTGGTTAAGAGTGGTAGTCTCGTAATCTGGGGAACCGGGTATGAGTCTCCGCTCCTCCACATGCAGCTGCTGGGTAACCTTGGACTAGTCACACTTTTCTGAAGTCTCTCAGCCCCACTCACCTCACAGAGTGTTTGTTGTGGGGGAGGAAGGGAAAGGAGAATGTTAGCTGCTTTGAGACTCCTTAAAGGGAGTGAAAGGCAGGATTTCAAATCCAAACTCTTCTTCTTCTTCTTCTTCTCCACACAGCCCTCCCCGATGTACAGTGGGGCTAGTTCTCTTCTCCTCCGAAAGTCCAACACCATCTCCTTTGCCTTGCTGATATTAAGGTGCAAGTTGTTCCCTAGGCACCATGTAGATATTTTTTGGACTTCCCCTCTATACGCTGATTCGTCTCCACCTGTTATTAAACCCATTATGGTGGTGTCATCTGCAGACTTAATAATTGCCGTAGACGGGTCAGATGATACACAGTCGTATGTATACAATGAATACAGGTAGGGACTTAGCACACATCCCTGTGGTGTGCCAGTGCTGATTTTTAAGGAATTAGATGTTACATGTCCAATCCTCACTGAAAAGAATTGAAGTTCTCTTCCATGACCATATTAGTGAGGAAAACGTCTTCCACTCGTGACAAACAGGCCTGTTGTTGTGTTTCCTGCTGCTTTTCCCCCCAGGACCTTGTGGCTTGGATCTCCACTGGCTTCTTTCATGTGCCGCACGCTGAGGACATCCCCAACACCGTGACGATCGGCAATGGGGTGGGCTTCATCCTTCGGCCTTACAACTTCTTCAACGATGATCCCTCCAGCAGGTCCCCGGACGGCGTCTACTTCACATTGGACCAAGATGCTAGCCAATGCGACATTAACCCAGTCGCTTGCTTGCCCGAGAGAGCTTCATGTTCCCCCAACCTACCTCCGTTCACCTTCAGTGGCTTCCAGAACTTTACGAGTCCTTGACACGAAGAAAGACTCTGCATTCCCCTCCCCGCCCCATCTCAGTTTGCCCAAACATGCCTGTTTCAGCTGAATAACGACACTGTGGAGCCCTAGCAACGTCTGACTTGAATACTGCCTGCTCTCCATATTCCTTCCATCTACTCCTTCGCTTGTTGCTGCCTTGTCAGTGTTATCAGTTTGGTGTTGGGGAGGATTTTTCCTGGTTTCCTCCAGGGGTGGAGAACCGGGTTTCCTCCAGGTGCTGCTAGACTACAACTCCCATCATCCATGCTCACAGGGGCTGATGGGAGTCGGAGTCCAGCAACCTGGCAGCAGCCCCTAGATCAGCTGAGAGACGAGACAGGCTGCAGGATCACTCTGCTGGCGCAGATGTGCTGTTTCCTCTTTTTTGATCTTTTTTTTTACCCCTGCTGGTCGTTAGGCGAACGTGTCACTTGAGTTTGCTTATTTCCTCCTCCCTCCCAATCGGTTTTCCTCTTGTGTTGTGCCATTTTAGATTGTAAGCCCGAGGGCTGGCCCATGACATTTTGGCACCTGAGGCGGACCCCAAAATAGCGCCTCTCCCTGCCAGGGAATAAGAGGGTCCGGGAAGATCTACATCAGGGATAAGGGGTTAGGGAGAAAGATTGACATGGGGATCTGCTGCTGCGGGTGGAACTCGGGGCAGGAATTGACTCCCTCTTTTTTGTAGTGATTTGCAATATGCTTTGGGAGGCATATTTGGTTTAAGAACGGGATAAATCTTTAAATTCGGGATGGCTAATATTTTTTTGACCCAAGGGGTACATTCACCCTTGACCAGTCCTTTACACTGGGTGCATGCCAGTGGCAGGTGTGGTCAAAATTGGGGGTGGCTCCCCCATAGTCTCTCCCGCTTACATGTAAACACAGAGGACACAAACATACAGCTACTATTGGCCTCATGCTTCTCACCTGACTCACTTTGGTGAATGGGAGTTATTGCCCTTTTCCATTCATCCAGTGATTGACCTGATGACTGAGGGGAAGGTGATCTGCATCCTCATCAGGCAGGGATGGAGAAAAAAATTGATAAGAGTCTGCGCTGAAAACTAAATCGAGCAAAAGTGCCCTTTCCAAAACAATATTCCAGCTGAAACAGAGTTATCTTTCAAAATTCAAACTTTCCTGAATTTTGTGAAGCCATTCCCCAAGGAAACAATGTGGGTTTTTTTATTTTAAAAATGCATGTATTAGAGGAAAGGGTGCATCAAAATGAAGTTTGTGACAGTAACATACTGAAATGAATTCTATTAGGGGAAACGGCTCGCAAAAATGTGTGCATTACTCAAAACTGAGCTTATTAGGAGAAATTTGCACTAAGACGCTGGCGATGTTTTGCAAACTGCTTCAAAAGGTGGAGAGCTACGATAAGATAATCTTTATTGTCATTGTCCCATACAGAACAACGAAATTGAAAAAATCTACATAAGACATTCAAAAACCAACAAGCCTGCTATCCCAACCTGGTTAGCCCCCTAAAAACTCTGATACCCCATTTTTAAATACAATATACTTCCATAGAGACTCCTTACACTGCATTTAAAACCAAAATCGCATTTGGATAGAAACTGTTTCTCAGGCGGCTAGTCCTGTACCTTCTTCCAGAAGGCAGAAGCTGAAAGAGAAAGTTAGTTAAAGAGAAAGCTGAAGTTAAAGTTAGAAAAATTAGAAATGGAGGGAATCCCAGAATTGAATAATCCTTCCATCAGACCACACTGGGCCCCACCCAACCCAACGATATGCATACTACGTCTACTTTCATTTTCCTTCGCTTTTTGCCACTGCTGCCAAAATTGATGACGTCCAGGGGAAGCAGAAACATTGGTTTGTGGGCTATATCAGCCCCTGAATGGGGGGTGGCAGGGGTGACTTAACCCTGCTTCAAATAAATAAATGCCATCTGAAGGAACACAGGTTACTCCAACCCTCTCTTAGGCTGACTGAGTGGAGAATTTCTGGGTTTACCAGATAGTCAATGAGATACTTCACACAACTGTTTTCCCTGTGATGGCTTATATAGGAAAGCAACTATGCTCTGGTTTTCTTAGGATGTAGAGCAGTCGTGTCACCTACCCTAGAGACAGAGGACGCAGACACCATCATACACGAGCTCAGAATGGAAACAGAGATAATAATCTGGCCACAGAATGCCTTGCTGTATGACTACTCCACTTGCGACAGGAATTTCTGCAGCATCCGCCACCCTGGTACAAGCTTGTAAATTTCCCTTTGCCGTGAGCAGATGGTTCGCGGCTTGTTTCAGCGTTAAGTGAAATAAATGGGTTTGTGTGTTTTCAGTAGGGCCATTGGGTGTGTACGTTTATTGTGCAATTGCTCAAGATGCGTGCCTGAGTTGCGCCTCATATGCGGCCCAGTATACCTGAAGGAGCATCTCCACCCCCATTGTTCTGCCCAGACACTGAGATCCAGTGCCGAGGACCTTCTGGCGGTTCCCTCATTGCGAGAAGCGAGGCTACAGGGAACCAGGCAGAGGGCCTTCTCAGTACTGGCACCTGCCCTGTGGAACGCCCTCCCATCAGATGTCAAAGAGATAAACAACTACCTAACATTCAGAAGACATCTTAAGGCAGCCCTGTTCAGGGAAGTTTTTAATGTGTGACATCTTAGTGTAATTTTGGTCTTTGTGGAAGCTGCCCAGAGTGGCTGGGGAGGTCCAGCCAGATGGGCGGGGTACAAATATATTATTATTATTATTATTATTATTATTATTATTATTATTATTTTGTCCCCTGTATGCCAAGTCCGGCAGATTGAGCGGGTGAGACCAATAGCAGTTAAGAAAGTTAAGAAAGCATTTCTGCAAGTGCTGTAGAGGGAAGTGAGCAGCAGGTGAGGCTTGTTCACCTGGGAAAGTAGCCCATGTAGGAGAAGGAAAACTCAGATCCTAAACCTTGGTGGGTCATTTTGGACCTGGAAGAGGGCAGAAAGGGTCTGGGCTGGGCTGGTGGGATCTGGCGACTGGAAGCACCCTGGGGTTTCCTGCAAAGAGACACTTAAAATGGCCCTTTGGAAGAATACTTTTCTACAGTGTACACACCATACATTTAAAGTTGTTGTTGTTTAGTCATTTAGTCGTGTCCGACTCTTCGTGACTCCATGGGCCAGAACACGCCAGGCACTCCTGTCTTCCACTGCCTCCCGCTGTTTGGTCAAACTCATGCTGGTAGCTTTGAGAACACTGTCCAACTATCTCGTCCTCTGTCGCCCCCTTCTCCTTGTGCCCTCCATCTTTCCCAACATCAGGGTCTTTTCCAGGGAGTCTTCTCTTCTCATGAGGTGGCCAAATTATTGGAGCCTCAGCTTCACGATCTGTCCTTCCAGTGAGCACTCAGGGCTGATTTCCTTCAGAATGGATCGGTTTGATCTTCTTGCAGTCCATGGGACTCTCAAGAGTCTCCTCCAACACCATAATTCAAAAGCATCAATTCTTCAGCGATCAGCCTTCTTTATGGTCCAGCTCTCACTTCCATACATCACTACTGGGAAAACCATAGCTTTGACTATACGGACCTTTGCTGGCAAGGTGATGTCTCTGCTTTTTAAGATGCTGTCTAGGTTTGTCGTTGCTTTTCTCCCAAGAAGCAGGCGTCTTTTAATTTCGTGACTGCAGTCACCATCTGCAGTGATCATGGAGCCCAAGAAAGTAAAATCTCTCACTGCCTCCATTTCTTCCCCTTCTATTTGCCAGGAGGTGATGGGCCCAGTGGCCATGATCTTCGGTTTTTTTGATGTTGATCTTCAGACCATATTCTGCACTCTCCTCTTTCACCCTCATTAAGAGGTTCTTTAATTCCTCCTCACTTCTGCCATCAAGGTTGTGTCATCTGCATATCGGAGGTTGTTGATATTTCTTCTGGCAATCTTAATTCCAGCTAGGGATTCATCCAGCCCAGCTTTTCGCATGATGAATTCTGCATATAAATTAAATAAGCAGGTAGACAATATACAGCCGTGTCGTACTCCTTTCCCAATTTTGTCGTACTCCTTTCCCAACATTTAAAGTACCTCCCACCAAGAATCATGGGAACTGTAGTTAGTTAAGAGTGCTGGGGATTTTAACTCTGTGGGTATAAAGTACAGTTCCCAGGATTCTTTGAGGAGGGGAGATGTCATTTAAATGTATGTTGTGTACGCAGCCTGAATCAACCAATCACTCTTGGTTTAAATCATTTCCGAAGGGCTATGTGTTCCTATGGTCATTTGGAAGACAGCATGCATTCCTGCTGTAATGCTAATAACCTCCACTCCTGTCCCCACAGACTTGTGCCTGCCTTTTACGTTCTTTCTCTTTCGTTTGCTTTCAGTGAGTTTGCACAAACTCTCTCACTCAACATGCCCCATGTTTTTTAGGAACCGTACCTGACTAGCTGTGGCTCACTGATAAATGACAGCTCTCTCTCCCGGGGTGCTTGCAGTACAGAACAACTAACTTTTGCTCTCCAGGGAAGATATCACTGGGGCAGAGTGCCACTCTCAAGACTGACAGACTCTGGACATCCTCACATAAACAATGCAGGAGAATCTGGGATAAGCACTACCTTCCCCCCTTTTTATTTATGATTGTGAATGGAATCTGCTTCCTTACGCACTGTTGCATGCCTCCCCAATCTCAGAGCAGTGCAAGGTTTCAGGGGTCCCTGACACTTAGCTAGGATTTGTGTTTCCTGTGGAATGAGAGACAGTGGAAACTGTGGTCTTTATGTGGTTTATTTACGCAGCGAGTGGCACTGTGGTCTAAACCACAGAGCCTAGGGCTTGCCAATCGGAAGGTCAGCGGTTCGAATCCCCGCGACGGGGTGAGCTCCCATTGCTTGGTCGCTGCTCCTGCCAACGTAGCAGTTCAAAAGCACACCAGTGCCAGTAGATAAATAGGTACTGCTCTGGCGGGAAGGTAAACGGCATTTCTTTTTTTTTTTAAATAATATTTATTGAATTTTTTTAAAAAAATTACAATAAAAAAGACAATACAGAAAAAGAAAAAGAAAAAATAAGACCATCATTCTCAAATTCTCCACTTTCATTACCTTCTTTCTTTGACCTCCTCCTCCTCCCTTTTCTTGTATCCTAATTAATAGTTATCGCAGCAAATCCTTTCCATAATTCATAGTATTCTGTCATTACATTACCTTAATCTGTTTTCATCTTATCTTATAGGAACCCTTAAAGCTTAAAATTTTAAATCTTATTTTTACCAACTTCTCATAACCATAACATTTTTACCTAATTCTTTAAACATTTTTGCAAGAGCCAAGTAATTTCATTTCAACATTTTTCTAATATTCATCAATTTTATAAAACAATCCTAATGATAAAAAAAGGAATAAAAACAAATCCAATCTTCATCCACCGTCCCTTCCTCCTGGTCCTCCTTTTTATCCCATAGATCTAGCACATTAACCTGGTAATCTTATATCCGTGGCCCTCAAGTCACTTCCATGTCCCTTCCGCAGTGGTAAACGGCATTTCCATGCGCTGCTCTGGTTCGCTAGAAGTGGCTTAGTCATGCTGGCCACATGACCCGGAAGCTGTCTGTGGACAAACGCTGGCTCCCTTGGCCTATAGAGCGAGATGAGCGCCACAACCCCAGAGTCATCCGCGACTGGGGCCTATGATGGAGAAGTTCACGGCATTAACACCCTAAAAGGGTCTTGCTTCTGCCACAGCTACAGCCTTGGATTCAAGCAGAAATCAGGCATGGCTCTATCTCCCAGCTGCCCAACCTGCCAGCTTCTCACTTCTAGTTCACATAAATCAGCTCCATCTCCTTTGTCTTTCTAACTACCAACAAGTTGTCATCCAGCACAGAGCTACTTCCCTTCTCCCCTTAATTGCCCATACTTAGAGGGCCATAAAGGGACGCGGGTGACACTGTGGGTTAAACCACAGAGCCTAGGGCTTGCCAATCAAAAGGTCAACGGTTCGAATCCCCGTGACGGGGTGAGCTCCCGCTGCTCGGTCCCCGCTCCTGCCAACCTAGCAGTTTGAAAGCATGTCAAAGTGCAAGTAGATAAATAGGTACCACTCCGGCGGGAAGGTAAACGGCGTTTCCGTGCGCTGCTCTGGTTTCACCAGAAGCGGCTTAGTCATGCTGGCCACATGACCCGGAAGCTGTACGCTGGCTCCCTCAGCCAATAAAGCGAGATGAGCTCCACAACCCCAGAGTCAGTCACGACTGGACCTAATGGTCAGGGGTCCCTTTACCTTCACCTTTAGAGGGCCATAACCTCACCAGGAAGCTAGCCTGGCTATTCCAGGAATCGAATCTGTATTGGTTCCAGGAATTAGAAGGGACTCAGGCATACAGCGTACCCAGTTCCCACCCCCCAATTTATAACAGTGCTGAATAAGTTAGGTATCTTATTGGATATTGCCTTGGGCACATTTTTATGGAAAGTTGGGGATTTAAACAAATGCTGCCGTTTTGTAGGTTTTTTGTAAACTAAATTTACACGGTTGGTTATCGTTTGTCCTAAATCTAACAAAACAAACAAACAAAAAAAAAGCACAAATCTCTATCTTACAATGTGGAGCATGCCATGGACAGGAGACTCTATTATTATTATTATTATTATTATTATTACTACCGTATTTTTCGCTCTATAAGACGCACCAGACCACAAGACGCACCTAGTTTTTGGAGGAGGAAAACAAGAAAAAAAATATTCTGAATCTCTGAAGCTAGAACAGCAAGAGGGATCGCTGCGCAGTGAAAGAAGCAATCCCTCTTGCTGTTCTGGCTTCTGGGATAGCTGCGCAGCCTGCATTCACTCCATAAGACGCACACACATTTCCCCTTACTTTTTAGGAGGGAAAAAGTGAGTCTTATAGAGCAAAAAATACGGTATTTAGGTCAAACAGTTATCTGCAAGAGGAGGAGATTTAGAAAGAGTCAGGTCAGTTGGTGATGAACAGGGAACCTCCAGGAAAGAGGCGTTTGGTTAAAGGGTGACTTTATATTGAATGGCATGTGAAGTGGGGTGTTGTGTGTTTTAAATGCTATATTGCTGTTCCTTTAAGCAAACAAAAAAAACCACCTTCTTCCCTGAACAGAAAGCAAGCAACAAATGGCCTTTGGGGGCAGTGAGTGCCTGAGGATGAGGGATGCCACGTGCACTGGGATTTTTCCTGCAAATGTTCAGTGAACTCAGACCTCCGAAAGAAAGACATTGGCAAGTGAAAAGAGCAGAGTTAATGTGTAACAGCTGGTTTGAATTACGGGCGTTGAGGTGAGGGAGGGAGGCTGCATTGATTGTCCTTGGCTTCAGGAACCCCTTGTCTCGTCACT